ATCTAGGCTGAGCTGTTGATACGCCTGAGTTAAGTCGAGCTTGGTAAAAATTTTACTCGACCCCAAGGTCGCTAGCATTTCCGCGATCGTGGGCAAAGGATACCCGCTGCTTTTAATAGCCTTGTTTACGGTACTACGGTAATCCCCACATAAACGCAAGGTTCCGTTTTTTTTCCTCACCACTACCAGCGGTGTCGCCCAGTTTGAGTACTCAACCGGCTCCCAGACGCCTTGTTGCACCAGGCGATCCACTTCCTTGGCCACGTCGTCCTTGAGAGCCAGCGGGACAGGACGACCCTTGAGAAACACCGGGCGGGCGTCCTCTTGAAGCTCTATGTGAACTGGCGGTCCGTTGAATCCAGGCAGGTCACTGCCGAAAACCTCAGCAAAACGCGATGTCACGTCCTCCACCTTGATCTGCTGAATTCCACTCAAACGGATGCCCAGCGACTCAAACCAGCTACGTCCGAGTAAACTGTTACCACGCTTCTTTATTACTAACAAAGGTAGCTCTGCTCTACAGCCTTTGAATTTCACTTCCACGTTTGCCCGACCCACCACGGACAATGATTCATTCGACCAGGTTACAAGCTTTGTGCCGGCTTCTTGCAGCGGTATCTGGCCTCGATTCTTCTCGATCAACCGAAACGTCTCTTCACTCACAATCGAGCAAGATGCTCCTGAATCGACTTCCATCGGAACTTTCTCTCCTTGAATGTGCACTTCTACCATGAACTTTTGAGCCTGTTCACGCACTTCGCATACAGAAAACAATGCGCTCATTTCATAGACGCCCTTGTTTTTTCCCTCCCGCTTGCGCAGGTCAGTTGGCTTCCGCGGCGTCCGATTCTCGTCTTTTGAACGACAAGCTTTTGCCACGTGTCCAACCTTTTTGCATTTGAAACAAGCAGCCTTTCTAAAACGGCATACATGCGGAGCGTGCTTACCGTTGCAGCGGAAGCAGCTGACGTCGTCCGCCTTGGTGTCCAGTTTCATGCGTGTCGCTTGAACCAGACCCTCGCTTTCTTTGGTTCCGTCTTGAGCTTGCTTGCGTATATCGCGCTGCTGCTTCTCCGTTGCCTCCGCCGTCAGCGTCATGTCGTACGCCACCTCGAACGTCAGGTCGCGTTCTGCGAGCAGCCGCTGTTGAACCGCTTCATTCTTGATTCCGCATACGAACCGGTCCCTCATCATGACGTCCAGTGGAAGCTGTTTGTCACCGAAACCGCAGTCTTCAGCCAGCTTCCGGAGTGCCGTAACATACTCCGACGCCGCCTCACCCTGAGCTTGGTTTCTTCGGTAGAATAAGAATCTTGCGTACAGCTCCGAAGGCCTTGGATGCATGTGCTTCCGCACCGCCCCCTTGATGTCGTCGTAGCTCGCCGCCGTCGGTCTTGCTGGCTTGACCAAGGTCACGATCAGCCCGTAAGTGTCCTCGCCGCAACAACTCAGCAGAACCGCTCGTTTTTGCTCGTCCGTGGTTATCTTGTTTGCAGCGCAGAACATCTCTAGCCGTTCGACGTATTCATCCCAGGACGCATTCGTGCCGAGACGATATTCGCCGATCCTGCCGACCGACATCTTGGCTTACTCGACCGGGACTCGCCCGTCCGTCGATTCGCCTCGTCGCCAATGTAATAGATCCTTCAGACAGCGCGGTGGGAACAGAACAACAGTTTATTTCCGTATGAGCGTTTATATACACTGCGCATGTTATGATAAGCGAACGCGGCTTGCGTTGGTGATAGGCGCTGACAACGATAACAACAAATATACCTTGTCACTACATGTCACTACAGCAGAACCCAATGTTTAAAAAACTACTTTTCCGTACGAACCATTAACGAATGGAATAGTCTTCCTGCCACATTACCAATGTCTCGTCCGTTCAGGAATTCGCCTCATCATTGCAGCGTTATTCCTTAGATGTGCAGTCCTAGATGTTTTTTCTTTCACCAGCGTGCAATGTGGTTTTCTTCTTGTGTGTTGCCCTGTGTGCCCTCTCCTGCCTTGGCCGCCAAATGGCAGCCGGCAGTATGTCTAAATAAATAAATAAATAAATAAATATTGCCAAGACGTTTATGCCTTTAACATTTTACGTGTCTTACTTTATCCATCGTTATTGCCATCATTTGCGAGTGACACTAATTTTTCCCGTGTGGCACCGGAACACTTGAAGTGACATTCGGTAAGCTTAGAGCCACTAAATGAGTTGCGCTTAGAGTATTGGCACGCCGTTCCCCGACATTGTTGTGGGCGCCGCCATTTTGGTGCTTGTTCAGAGCAGACGCAACTGCCGATCGTCATGATTCACAAGCGCGACTTCCTCAGCATTAGATTCGGTGTTAGGAAGCTCATGTAATATTGTTTCATTTTGTCGCGAACTGATTAAACATTTGTGGAGGACGGAAAAGCATTTCCTGCGATTTTAGATAAAGCTTCAGATAACTGGCAACCATGATTTTAAGTCACAATATGGCCAAGTGTCGTTACTTAGAAGCGTAGCTTATTTCGTCGCACTAGGTAAGCTGAAGTGCGCTCGGTTGAAGTGCACTAAATTAGCCCTACTGACAGGCGTATTATTTTCTTGCCTTTTCTATATCGTTTACTGGTCAGTGTGCTCCGTCTTATCTACGTCACGTTGCAGGGGGGCGCTGCTGTCGGTCCGGTGCATGCACGATTGACATCTTTGTACACCCTCATCCCCAGTCACGTTAGTTCACATATCCAGCATGCTAGTAAAAAAAGAACTTGTAGACGAATTAAAACAAGAATGATTGACAGAATGAGTACTCGACAGGAGTATTTTTTTGCGTGACTATACTCGTTTTAACCTAGAAAGAAAAAGAGGGTTTTCGTATTGTTTTTACGCCAGCGCGAAGTAATTCTTTCCATATCTGGTTGTCAGATGAAGAAGAGATGCTTTCGGTGTTCTTGATAAGATAACACATATCTAATCTAAAGTCTACCCAGATACATTTTAATTTTCTACGTAAAGTAGGAAATTAGTAATGCTTCGTGACGAGACGGACCTTTTTTTACTGCGGTTCTTGAGGCGGCATTTCGTGACCCTGATGACGCGACCTTGAGCATGGTTGGCAGACCGCTTTAAAAGAACTCTAGACTTGAAACATATACAAATGAAGGTGTAGTAGTCGCGAGTCTGGAGGATTACTAAGGGTTTATTCCCAGACAACAGGTCGGAGAGAGAGAGAGAGACATGTTTTTATTTGATGAGGGGTTCACTCGCTATGGAGTTGTGCTCCTGAGACGGGATGGGAAGGGTTGTGAGGGGTGAGGGGGACTTCATGATGATGGTAGTGACGTCTTAGATGAGGCTATGTACACCATACTCCCTGATATACTGTATCAAGAAGTCGAGGATGGCTTTCCTGTGCTGAGGAGTGCCCGTTGGATTGGTCCACTCCTCGAGTGTCGTAGGCTTGTCTGCGGCCTGGATCTTGTCCAGAGCATCATTTCTATGATGCTCGGGGCTCTTATAGGCCCAGAGCAGATGCTGCAATGTTACCTCGGTTCCCTCTTAGCAGCTCGTGCAGGTTGGGTTCATATCTTCTTTCAGGCCAAAAACTACTAGTTTGGATGGTGTAAGTGCATGACCAGGGTGCCAGGTTTCTAGCGCGTGCTGAAGAAGACGACGATCGTCTTTTGCAGTCACCTCACAAGGCACGAAATAATGTCGGTCAAGGCCATGTTGTAAGATAATACTCTTCAGGGGCCCTAAACTCGTCAAACACAAAGTTGGAGCCGAAAGTTCGCAGAGCGCGCTGATTGGACGTCGGCGAAAAAAGCGCGAAGTCATCGTCGTGATAGACCAATCGGTGCGCTCCGTCAACTTCGGCCTCAACTTTGTGTTTGACGAGTTTAGAGGCCCAGGTGAGGACAGCGCGCTCCTCGCGCGGTGCAGTTAAAGTTCGCGTTTCACTCTCTCTCTTTCTCTCTCTCACTATGGTTTCAAGCGGCGCCGGCAGATGACTCGTCGACCCGTGGGCGTGGCAAAGACGGCTCGTGCCGCCTCATGCTCCACACGTGCAGAGCTCCAGCGAGGTTGTCGCTCGTGCAGAAAGACCACGGTGTACTGGGGTGTCATGGCAACGGGATAATTTTTTTCGCTCTCTCACAGTTTCGCCGTTTTTCCGCCGGCGACACTGCCAGCCGCGGGCATGGTGGCCGCGGATAGGGTGCCTCAATGTCCTTCTGTTTAGGGTGATGCCATCGTTTGTAGTACCCGATGCCGACAGCACGCGCTCACAGGGAAAACAGAAAGAAATCGCAGGAAACAAAATGTCGCCGTAGCATAGTCAGCGCCACGAGCGCGTGCAGGGACACGCTCTTTCACGCGCTTCAATACCAAAAATAAAAATAAGCTTTCGAAACAAAATGGCCAGATGTCATCACCCCAAGCAAAGTGCACATGAAGGCACCCTAGCCGCGGAATGATGCAGCCTTTCGGATGTCCGTCGAACGAACACTATCTGATTCCTCGCGCCACGCGTTCAGCCCCGCCGTGTCCCCACCTAAAGAGTGTATCTTACACCGTGGTCAAGGCGCAAAAAGGAATATGGAACGGGTGCAGCTGGACAGGGCTTTTTGCACGTAGGGAATATGAAACGGAATCATTAAGCGCGAGGTTTTCGAGACTCAGGGCTGTTGTGACAGGGATTCTTCACGAGGGGCAATCGTGATGCGCCCCACTGGGCGCATGCGCGGCATTTGATATTTCAGCGGAAAAGAGCTCTGCGTCTGCTCAGAACACGTTGATCCAATATGGAACAAATCAAGCTGCACCACGAAGCGCATCGTCATGGCGCTTGTCGTCTTCGCGCTCTCACCAGCTAAACCAGTCACGCAAAAAAGGACGCTCAGGATCATGACGCATTGACTGTGCGTGATTGGATTCAGCCTGTGACGGGAAACGCCCGTGGATAGACCACGTTCCGACGCGTTTCACAGACAAAGCGGCGCGTCTTCCTCGGTTCCAGATGGAGTCTGAGGACGAGGAGAGAATTTCGCGCATCTTGCGCATGCAACGCCAGCACCGAGAGCAGCTCTTGCACGAGATGTCGCCCGCGGCCAGCTTCCAGGCGGCGTGTGCCGGGGACAACAACAATGGCGGCGGTGCCGTCGCCAGCGTGGCCCAGGGGGCCCCGGCCAATCGGACGCAGCACTGCCCCCACGGCAAGCACCACGGACCTTCCGGCAACCGGAGACGTAAGCTGGCATGTGCATAACGCAGGGCTTAAAGTTTGGGGGGTCTCAGGGGGTCTCGGACCCCCCACTGATTTTAAAGGACGGTCTGAGACCCTCCTCCACAGCCCCAGCATTAGTGAAATATAAATATATCTTTCACTAAATAGCTTTAATTGTTTTCAGGGATGTAACATTTAATTGGGGATTATCAATTGGAGGGTTGCAGGTGCAGAGTGGGTAGAGTCAGCAGTGGGGTTCATTTTATGTGCATCTAGTACATATCGTCAGACCCCCCCCCCCACCCCAATCCTTCTTGTAGGGACCCCCCTCAGCTTGCGGGAGACTTTAAGCACTGGCATAACGTGATTCTTGGACCGGATCGATGGAAGAGGTTAGTGGACATCTCTCTTCGTAGACGCAATGTTGTCACCCGCGAACGAGGCCGGCTTGTGCCGTGGCCAACGGAAATATTTACACCCTGAGGGGTGTTACATTGACATGGGCGTACCAACCGGGGGGGGGGGGGGGGGGGGGGGGGCAAGGGGGGCGCTCCCCTCTCCCCCAGTTCTCAAAGTGGGGGGGGGGGGGGGGGGGGGCAAGGCATGTGTTTTGCCCCCCCTGAAACAGCCACCACTGGGCAGCGCAAACACTGGCCGGCGGCGCTCAAGGGATACCAAGGGCACCTCCCCCCGGCCCTAGGGGAGGGGGGCAGTGTTGCCAGATGGTCCCACCAAAAAACCGCCAAACGACTGGGGGGTATAGCCCAAAAATAGCCAAAGCCGTAAAAAAAATATAGCCCAAAATAGCCAAGACTAAAATAATGAATTTTAAGCCTTATATTGATAATTTTTCACGCTCATACAATACATGTTACAATCTCTGTTTCAACCCTAAGATTCACCACCTTTTGTGCACATTATATCTTACTTGTGAATTTTTCAAGAAAAGCTTCGGAAGGATGAATATCCGTACAAAACTGGCCCTTCCTTCGTAGGTTTTCAGAAGTACCAAAACACACAGACAGCTTTATTGTGAAGCCCGGGAGATATGGTCATACAATGAAAGAACAAAATACAGAAGCAGAACAGTCATAACACTGGGTGTTTCAAACCAGAACCCCAATATCTCAGGTCCTTACTAATATCCCCCCACCCGTCTCTTTTTCTTTGTGAAGGATATCAGGATATTAGTGTCACCCATTCATGTTCACGCTACTTCTGATTGAGTTGTCCTTTCTTGGGGTGGGCAACGACTGGGAAGGTAGTCAATTGTTTAGCGGTGAAACTGCGGACTTCTCATTTTTACAAACCTGGGTGCCTTAGGATTATCAAAATGGGCACCAAAGCAGCATTTGGAGAGTTCAGTCTAAGTCTGGGCAGAGCCATATGCGTCCGGGTTGAAGGCGCGCTACCGGGCCTGTGGTAATAGTGCAATCTGTTTGGTTTGCTCCACTGCGCTGTAGGGAGACCGCTTGAACTCAATTTATAGAAGTTTAAAGCCTTTCTTCTTCCTCTCCCTCCTCTCGACTAGCCAAAAGAGAAACTTTTTTTTTGTTTCGACTCTGATTAAAAGTTCGAAAATTAACTAGCCGAACCTCAAAGTTCGGCGTCGAACCTGAGATTCGACAAAAGTTCGCCGCATTCTTGGAAATAGCCCAAAATAGCCACATAGCCAACCACGAAATTTTGACGCCAACTAGAAAAAAATGCAGCCCAATTTGGCTATATATAGCCCAATCTGGCAACACTGGAGGGGGGGGGGGGGGGGTTCTGGGTCTGGTTTGCCCCCCACTCAGAAACAAGCTGGTACACCACTGGACATTGACACCTTAAAAATAAATGTTTCGCGCGAAACTATTTTTTTTTTCTTTTTCTGGAACGTCATGTTTGGTGAGAAAAGAAAAGAAAAAGTTCGACAGAAAGGAGAGAACTATCAGCGAGTGCAGTATGACGTCATAGTGCACGGGGTCAATGGAATCATCCTTGCAGCCCCGCGTGTGTTTGTGTTCACATGAAAGTGATGTTCCGTAGATATCTGACTTTTAATAATGATTATGTGCTTAAATGATGAAATCAGTTTCAGCTAGCACTATGTGCCTTTGATTTGCATAGTGACGTTATTGTGCTCGCTGATGTATGACAGCATTGCGACTACGCGATGGCTGCTACGCTTGAGCACCGGTAGCTTACGCAGCATTATTGCCCGGGGTGAATATGTAGCAGGGGAGAACAGTGCTCTGCATGCATCCAGCGATCGAGGTCTCCCGGGGTTACAAAGAAGAATACTGCATTTCCTTTCCATCTTTTTCAATTTTGGGTTTGTTTATCGTCTAACGAATAGTGCAGATGCAAAACAAAACCTCGTATCATTGCGATTGCCAAACTTATGATGGCAGGAGTGGTTCTCAACTCTGCTGCAAAACTCGTTTTCAAGGGCCCCTAAAAAAAAAAAAGTTCTTTTTTAATAGTTTGGTTGGGACACGACTGTCAAAAAATTAATTCTACACGAAAAAAAAAAAATATTTTTAGAGCAATATTGATGGCGCGAGACGCGATTTCGTCGGCAGTCACCTCCTTTCCACTTGTTTTCTCTCAGCATTTCGGGCGCGTGGAGGAGAGGTGGATCGGCTTCGCCTTCACGACCAAGTTGGTAATTCCGGAATGACCCGTGACGGTCATGGGCCTCGCGCGCAGAATTTCAAATAAATCTCTCGCCATCAATATTGCTCCAAACAAATAACAAACAAAACATCAATATTGCTCCAAACAAACAAATTTTACGCTTCGCGTAAAATTTATTTTTTGACTTTGGTGCCCCAACCAGACTGTTAATTTTTGTTTTCTATTCAGGGGCCTTTTAGGGTTTTTAGAAAAGTAATCCGTGTCTATTAACGCAAAGAAAAAGTAGACTGGGGATTGCAGACCACTCGGTCCTCTCTCAAATGTAGTGCTAGAGTTAAGCCAGAGTCACACTTCTTATACGTCATACAAAAGACAGCCTGCTAACACGAGTCACCGCAATGTCCGTGGTTCGAACGGTTCGAACGTCGCCTGCCAAGTTTTCTTCTAGAACCCATTGCCATGCGCCATTCGAAGCACGGATTTTGCAGTGACTCGCGTTCGAATCTGTATGCAGACTGTCTTTTGTATGATGTATAAGCAGTGTGATGCCAGATTTAGGGATGAGGAGCCACAACTTTCAGGACTTCAACAAGTTGTAAACAATTTTCAAAAATTACCATTGGGAAAATGGCAGCCAAAAAAGCCCGCGATCCACGTACCGGCACGGTAGACAGTCATCTCAATAAATCCAAGCACACTAAAAATACACTCACACAGCGGTGAACTATCAACTCGTCATGTGTTTGAAGAATGCATATGAAGAATACAAATTAAGAAAACTTATGAAGAGTTGATATAGCTCAGCGCTGTGCTGGTGTATTTTTGTGTGCTCAGATTTATTGAGTGACTGTCTACCTGTGCGCTGGTACATGGTTCATGCTTTACCAACTCGTCCATTCTGCAGTACTAAGAAAGCCCACAAATACATGAAGATGAATGGCTGTCACTACCATGAATGGGCTTTATTCTCTAATTTAAACTTTCTGAAAATCGCTTCTAGCTTTTGAATCAGATGACGCTATGCTGTGAAACTTTGAATCTGGTCCCGATGGATAGTGCTGCATTGGGACAAACACTAGATTTTGCGTGGTTTGTTTCTGCAGTGAGAAAAACATTGTTCACTTTTCTCCCAATCACCCTGTACTTTTTTGTTTCAAGTAAATTTTGTTTGGGGTGAAAAGAGAGAAAACAAGTGATGCTATGACGAGTTGGGCAGCCTTAAAGACCTAATCTGAGTGAAGAATTATTCTTAGTTACTCTGTCCTCGATAATTTCACCCGGAACAACTTAAACAGAAAACTGCCCGTGCCAATCTACATGGTTGCTGGATTTTGTGTGGCTGGACTGCCTGAGGGGCTGTAACTGGTATAATTTACTTGACCGAAATTTGTGCCAAACGTTTGTTGACTCTTGTTTCTCAGGTCAGCAATATCATCGTAACTAGGCAACACAGTATTGGGACACGAAAACCGCTTTAGTATAAGGCTACATTTTGTTTGCATATTCCAACTCTGAACTTTGCTGTGTATTTGCATGTCTTGTTCTGTGGAAAGCATAAAAATGAGAGGCCGTTTAGGCTAAACTTGTAAATTTCTTTACAGCGAAAAGTGCTGTTGGGAGGCTTTCGTCGGGACGGCAAACCACCTTCGTCAAGGAGAAATGGGGGGACTGTAAGTTAATATCTTAATTGATGTCTGGATTGATGTCTGGGTTGACGTCTTGGTTCACCTCTTGATTCACGTCTGGGTCAACGTCTGGGTCGACGTCTGGGTCGACGTCTGGGTCGACGTCTGGGTCGACGTCTGGGTCGACGTCTGGGTCGACGTCCGGGTCGACGTCTGGGTCGACGTCCGGGTTGACACCCCGGTTTACGCCCGGGTTGATGTCGGGTTAATGCCCTGTTGTTGTTTCCTCAGAAATTGCGTGGCAGCTTGCTGGGCTTCACCCTACTGCAGCACACTCTGCTGCAGATGCCTATTTTAGCCCATTCCCATTATTTGGCCCATTCTGTTTAAGCCCAACTCAAACTAATCCTTTTATTTTGACCTCTCTCCTTTCACTTGTTTCTAAAACAACCTTCTTCCTTCGACCACTGAAAACACCAGCACCTTTTCACAATTGTCTGTCTTAGAGCTTACACCTATTTTATTTCTAGTTCTAGGAGTGTAGTCTTGAAGTTTGAGACCTCTAAATTTGGCATCCTGTGCAGAACCAATTTTTGCTGTTTTTATTGTCTGGCCACACATTCTTTTATTTAGTTTCTTTCAGCCTACATATATTTTATTACTGCTTGTAAAAGCCTAAGATTGAAAGTTCAGCCCTTTAAAATCACATCCTGTAAGCAAAACACTAATATTGTAAAAACCCAAGGGACCAGACTTGTATGTACCGTACGAGTCTGGTCCTTGCAAGTAATCAAACTACTGGTGTTCGATTTCTTTTTGGAGTAATTTTGTAATCATTTTATTTCTTCCTTTATGTGGTAATCACAAGGGTAATTTGATAACAGAAGTAAAAAAATTATCTGTAACTAATAACTATTTTTAACCTCTGCATCAGGCCCATCGGTGGCCGGAGCAGAATTCACTTTTATTTCTCTCAGAGCGGCCTTATATAGAAGGCTCCAAGTTATGTTCTATATACGTAAGCACTACATAACTCCCAGCTATGCGAAATGGGGTCAGGCTCTTTGTCTGGTCAGTTTATGCAGGGTGTTTCATTTTAATTCGAACAGATGATTTAAAAATAGGGGATGAGAGTTAGGTAAGTTCTGTCTTCACCATGTATTTATCAGGCTCGGTGGACATCAGAGGAAGGAATAATTCACACGGTACTCGGACTAGTTTACTAAAAGTTCTTAATTAACTTCTTAATTATTAGTTTTAAGGGTTATATTAAAATTGCAGTATTGATGGCAGTTACTGTTAGAGGCCAGACCAATAAAAAAAAGCTTGCAAAAAAAATCATTATTTTAGAGATATTGATCCATCTATTTTCACGTTTTTACGCCTGATTTAAAAATTGCGTTAAAAAAGGGTGTCGCAAGCCCTGCCCACAATAATGCTTGGAAGAGCTTCGTTGTGATTTCGATCCTTTTGTCACTATTTTGGCAGTGCGTCCTTGGCAGGGGCCCCCGCTGTCGAAACAAATGACGACGTGACCTAAACGGCTACCCTAAAATAGCGCAAAAGCGCCCACAATTAACATTTCCCAAACTTGGGAATTCAGCAAATTATATGTTAAGTGCCCGATTCTACCGGACAAGTGCCCATGTCTAGGTGAACCCAGTTTTTAGTAAAAGTGGGATGTGCACTCCCTTGTAATTTACGGTATATAAAACCTCGAGTTAGTTTACGTCGCAGTAATAGTTTGGAAGATGGAAGCCTCTAAACTAGGCGCTTTTTGTCCCCGGCCAGTTTCAGCCAGCGAAGACGAGCGGGGGGCCGCCAGCCTGGGCTACGACCCGTTCCCAGACCTGCTGGCCCACTCGGATGAGGGGCCCGTCAGGACCTCGGCCCACTGCAAGTTCTCCGAGGCATCCGAGCTGCTCAGCTCTGAGCTGACGCGCTCCGTCATCGACCCCAGGAGTCCGCTCACTATAGAGAGGGTCACCGACACACCACACAGCAACGAGCGGGGAAGGCACGTCTCGTTCTTCTTGCTTGCACAGCCACATCATTTTTTTGTTTGTTTGTTTTTTTTTGCAATATTTTTAAGTGGAGTATTACTGTTAGTAAATCACATATCGGAATGGGACAAGACAACTTTCCGATATGTTAATATGTTGTTACCGTTGAGGTAGAAAGCTTCTGGAGGCGACATGAAGTCACCAGAGGTGAAGCCAGAAGTGCTTAGGGACACGCCCCCAACGATGACCAAAACCAAGAGACGCCATTGTACCTCCACAGTTCTGGCTTCACCTCTGGTGGGGTCGCCTCCAGAAGCTTCCTACCTCCATGCATGTTAATAAATTACATATTAGAAATGTAGGAGACAACTTTCCAATGTGTTGTTACTAGAGCGCATATCGGAATGGGACCAAACAACTTCTTGATATGTCGTTACTGTGCAGCAATCTTAGAGACACACATGACAGCTTCCAGCTTCCTGATAAGTTATTAGCAGAGCCACTGCATGTTCCCAAAGTACCGGAATTCCCAAGCTTTGCTTCAGAACCGCTTCGTGGTACTGCGATACAATGGCTTTAAAATGGCGGCCCTGTGCAAAGACAATCGAATTAGGACGGCTAGAATAAATTGGCAAAACTTGCTCGCCAAGTGGTCATAATAATTAGAAGTTTTACACAAACATTCTGCATAAATTTCTTGCTTTTCTTCCTCTCTTGGCCGACATTGGCCAACCGGAAAGCTAGATTGGCTCGATTCTCCAGTTCCAGTGGACGATATGGATCTAGCTGTTACCTGTACCAGCCTACTGTCCTTCTTAAAGGCGGAACAACATAACCTGCTCTTTAGGTAATATGGATTCAGAGAAATGGCTTGCGTCCAGTGGCGTCACTATAGGGTCAGTGGCACCCAAGGCGGCAGCCCGCTGCAACCCCCCTTTCTGATGCCACTGGTCGTGTCGCAACATCTATAAACAATATTGCGGGCCTTTTGTTTAATAGGCATTCTTAAACTCTAGCTCAATGCAAACTGGCAGGCAACAACTGTAGCGAGCCAATAAAACACTCTAAGAGTGAGGTATGTGACAGTGCTTTGCACGTGTGCCATCTGATGACGCACCATCAGAAGCCTCGCTCCGACACCATAATTTGTGCAGCGCAGTTATTGCTTCTACTGTTTCAAGGTTAAGCTGAAACGGAGCTTAGTCTTAGTGGTTGCTTTTTACAGGTAGCCAGACAGCTCTTTATAAACATTCTTTTCTGATTTTTGTTTTAAGATACATTTAGTACTATCTTTAATATTTTCATGCTATTGGTCCCAGTCTTCCAATATGCAATACTCTATTTTACTTTTTAACGTGTGCTCACAGTGCAAGCAAACTTTTACTTCCAGACAAAGGCGGTCCCGTAAAGATGACATCATGACACGGTCTGTGCCAGAGTTCCGATCAGATGGCTCGCCAGTGCTGCACAGCTACGGAAAGTCCTCCTATGGCAGGTCGTCTCCACGGTGGGCAGTTTTCTTTTAATCTTCACTATACCAACACCCTAGAATTTGAAACACCGGACACATTTTCTCGCTGCGCCTTGTGCAGTCATTGCATATGCTACATTGTACAACTCGGGTTTCAAATAACCCGCAAAAGATTTTTTGTTTTGGGGTTCTTGGTGCATCTGACACCCAGTGTTGTGACTACTATATGGAATTGGAATAGGGGTAGCAACTAATGCTTGTTGTCCATTACAAACCTGTGATTTTTTTGGGGAGGCACTATCAAGCTTGGACTAGTGTTTGAAATTTCTGTTACTTTCCAGAGCTGTCATATACAGCAAGAGAAGGTCTGTCAGCAAGATGGGAGACAACTGATTTCAGAATCACGAACATGTAGCCAGAGAGTGATTCTGAGGAATTCACTTGCTCAAAGTCAAATCCTTTTGCAACTAGCTCAGCTGAAGTTTCCCCATCTTCATGTAGCGGAAGCTTTCACCTCCATTTGTGTTGCGCAATACATCTGTGAGCAGACTTATTATCGAGTGGCACCTGGCGTCTACCGGTTCTCGGCACTTTCTTGTGGCCATAATCAGAACAGTTGCAGTGACAAAAGTTTGTCAGGTTCCTTCGACTGGATTGTTCAAGCTCTATTGTAACGTAATGCCATGTGTGTACAATATTTTTATATGTTCCTGCAGGGCCATTCCAGTGCGCAAGGTGTCGTCCAAACGCAGCTCGGCGTCCATCACAACTCCGACGGATGTGGTGCTGCCGGCGGGGATGAGCTCCACCCGTAGCTTCGACGGCAGCGCGGTCTCCAGCAGCATGGCCGCCAGCACGGTGGCGGCTGCGGGCACCTCTCGGCTGCACCACCACCAGCGGAGCCCCTCCGACGGAGGACTGCACCGCAGCTCCAGCTTCCGCACACCCACGGGGCGCTCCCCTTACGCCACTGTCGCCACTGCTTCGCCGCGCAAGGGACAGCGTTCTTCCTCCGTCTCTGCAATCTCCTGCCCTCCTCCCTACTCTCCGGTAAGGTGCCTTGCCCTTTCCGGACACTCATTGGACCTTGTGGCTCGGCTCTGTTATTGGATTGTCAGTCAAGTTTTAGTTACTTTTAAAGGCCGACCAACAAGCAGAAGGGAGGAAACTCTGCCTCAATTCCTCCTTTCCACTGGAGAAAGAGCGAGACCCTCTACCTTCTTCTACGGGGAGTAGCTCGGAGATCCGTTACTGTGGGGAGAGGAGAGAAGAGGGCGAGAGGGAGACAATTCTGTAGCTCGGCCTTTCAGGCTAGTTCACACACTTGCGACTGCCTAAGACTGAGTGCATTGCAAACTCTCATGACAGACATCTTATGAGGAGAGAACGCTAGAGAGCCTAGACTTAATGGAGGAAGCAACTCAAGCCGTGTAGAGCGTTTGCTATTTAATGGCAGACGCCTCCGGGGCAGCATGGTCGCTGGTGTGCGTGCGTTGCACTGTCACTTGGAGAGTGGGTGGCAAGGCTGAAACGCTGGCAGACGACCGACACTTTCATCCCCTCTTCGCAGTTCACACTGCAAACGCGGCCCATAAACCACACAATCTCGATCGAGCAGTTGGAGACACTCCGTAATCTAGGCGCGATAGAGAACTCACTGGCACTCTGGCGCCACCCACGAGATGGCCCTGGAACTGCATTTCACCAGAGGGAAGGTTTTACGGTACATCCGGGATCAAAGGCACGCACTATGTTTTAGAAAAGGTCGCTTATGACATTGCCAAGAGTTTTTCGGGCTATTAGTGAAAGACTGGCGCACAAAAAAGAAAAAAAAAAAAAAAGAAAGGAGATACACGGAAAGGAGGTGTGTTTCACGGCCATCCAATAGGTGACGCCGCTGCATTCTCTCTTCGTAAGAGATGCCGAAAGGTCGTAACGCAACCGGTCGCAAGTCTGTGTATGAGTCTTTGGTCTGGCAGATCAAAAATCCTTCCAGCGGCCTCGACCGCTGCGGAACTTGCCTTGTCGACGGTCGCATGGTATCGTTAGAAGTGAAGCTTGCAAAATGTGCGAATGACGGTATTTATTTATTTATTTGAAAATACAGCAGGCCTTTCTCAGGCCCTGGCAGGTTACAGGCAACAATACACACTAGTACCATATACAACGCTAAAAAAAAGTAAAGGCCCGTTCACACTCTTGCGACTGCTTGCGACCTCTTAAACCTGGGTTCCTTAAAACTTCCTAAACCAGAGAACACACTGGCGCCATCTATTGGGAAGCAGTGTAAACTCTGCGGTCCAGCATATTTTTTTTCATTTCTCGCGCAATATCTTTTCTTTTTTGGCTCGAAAAACTTTTGTCAATGTTATAAACGAGCCTTTCTATGGGTATTACGCACATTTGACCTCGGAAATCCCGCAAAACCTTCGCTTTTGTGAAATGCAGTTCTAGGGTCACCGCATAGATGGCGCCACAATGTCAGTGTGTTCCCTCATTCTAGAAACATTTAAGAAGTTGTAAGAGATCTCGTCTCTCTCAGTCGTACTCGGTCGCAAGAGTGTGAACGGGCCTTAATACATAAATACATAACGACGGAGAACATAGTACATTGAAAGTTCCATCAAGCAATGATACACAAATTAAACACTTACAGTTTTCATAGAAATACATGCTTCATCAGATTACATTCAACGAATGCTGATACAAAAAAGATGAATTTTTAGGATATCCTACATGTTAAAATCAATGACATTTTGGCTATAAGATTTCCTAAAAGTGCTTAGTCAAGCCATTTACGAACGACTGCGTTTAGCAAATTTTGATTAACTCCTCTGGCAACAAATTCCAATCTTCAATGCTATGAACAAAGAATGAATACTTGAAAGTGTCATTATGACTGATGTACGGTTTGATCATTTTACTGTGGTTAGTTCGATTAGAGTAACTATGTGGTTTCTTCAAGTAATCATCTGCTCTCATTTTAAGGTGACCATGATAAAGTTGATGTAGGAAGTTTAAGCGCGCAATGATCCGTCTAACACCAAGACTTTGCATTTTCGATTGTTCAAGCAAATCGGACATGCTCTCCGCGCGCCTATATTTTGAAAAAATAAATCTTAAACCCCAGTTTTGAATTTTTTCTAGACCGAGGTATGCAAGTGCTACTGTTGTAGTAGGACTTGGCAAGCCAGCAAAGTGCAGACTTGCTATTTTTGAGTGCCTTTTCGAGGATATTATTCCTGTTCATAGCACTCGCTTGTTTTTGTTCCCCATTTCTCCGCATGCCAGAACTGTCCTTCTAATGGCAAGCTAAGCTCTCTCACTAGCCCCCCTTAAATTCGACCCATTGATACATTGCGATTGTGGATTTTCATATAGCATTGCTGTGCTGATGGTGCTGGACATAGCGAGGGTCTACCCTTATTCATACAAATTAGAAGAAAAACGCTTTGATTTCCTTAGACATGCCTATTATACATGGTGTTCACTCTCAGAGTAAAAATGATTATAAAAAATATGATTTTCTAAAATGAATTAATAATTACTTTGGTACATAAGTAAGAAAACTATATTCTGCTTTGCAATCTTCAGCGCCAAATTGAAGCTGCGAGGAGATTCCAATATTAAAGTTAAGTGTGAGTAGAGCGAGAGATGTCCCACCAAGAAGTGGCATCGGCGTCTGCTGGGGGAGTGGCCGGGGAGCCATTGTGTTTCGATCTGACAGTGGCACATTATCTTAGGGCCATGTGAAGTCGTCCCAAAACCTCCCCTTTGCCTATGCCACTAATAGCCCACATTATTTCTTGCAGCGAAATGTTCCCAGCAGGGTGCCCAGTTCACGGTACGGCAACGTCCCTGCAGTGCAGCCTGCCGGCCAGAACAACCTCAACATCACGACTACCATCAACCACAACAACAACCAACAGCAGCAGCAGCAAAACATCCACAACAACAACAACAACAGTGCTGCCTTGCTGGTGGAGTCTGACCCCCTGCTCAAGCAGAGAAGCCAGGCCGTGGGGCTGGAGGTGCTGGACAGGGCAGCGGTCAAGATCCAGGCCCTGTGGAGGGGCTACCGGGCGAGGGCCCACATGGACAAGGTTCACAAGGTCTGTCAGGAAGTGCGCTTGAGGAGGCTGGAGGAATGTGTCCTCGACATTCAGTCCAAGCTGACCAGAGTCAACGAGGCCCTGCTCAAGTAAGTCCTCTAAGGTTTTCTTGTTCTATTAAGTGGTGCAGAACCCTACGTGCAGACTCGGAGACGGATTGATCGCTATTGAGGATATATGTGAGCTAACTTACAGTTATGTTAGGAATAACTGCTACTATCCAAGATTGGCTGTACAAAAAGATAGAAAATCGGGACAAGGTTTCTAGGAGTGAGTTTGCGAGGACAAGCCTTTCAAGGACAAGCCTTCGGGGGCGAGTCCCTCCGTGTTCGGTCATTGGAGTCAGGTTCTTGAAATTGTGTCTTTGAGGGACGTCTTTAGGAACAGGTTTTTGTAATAAGAGTATTCAGGAGGTGCTTCTAGAGACAACTTGAGGAACAGGTTATCTCTAGTATGTTTAGGCCCAGATCTTGAGGAGGAGGAGGGAAGGGTACTGAGGGGAGTGGTATACCCCTCCTCCCTCCTCCTCCCTCGTGATCCTGGGGGACCACGTGACCTGGGGGACCACATGACCTGGGGGGCTCACGTGACCTGGGGGGCTCACGTGACCTGGGGGAGGTCACGTGACCTTACGGTTACGTTGACAACGACGCCGCTCAAGCCAGAAACGGCCACCTAAGAGCTGCACTCTAAAAAGCCTCTCTGCTAGCTATGAGGCTGTTCAGCCCTGTGTACGGTGAACTGCTCGGAGACCAGTTATTCTCTATGTAAACATGGTCGCTCACCATTGAGCTACGAAACATAGCTGTTGGAAAGAGCAATAAAAATATTCACATTGAAAGGCCTTTCTTGTGTTAACTCGCAGACAACAAAAGGAACTGGAAGAAGAAAGGAAATACAGGACCTCCAACAATGAAGCACTGAACAAACTGTTGACTAACGTAAGTGCCCGCAGCAATGCCATTTCTGTTTAGCGAGGCCTCTTGGGTGTGCTGCAAAACTTCGTCCTTACCCATTTCCGCACTCCTTTCTTGCCACCCCTCAGATGGAGCAGTTGGAAGGCCACATCACCAAGATGTTTCACCAGCAACTGGTTCAGCAGCAGCAGCTTAGCCTGAGAGAGAAGGCCACTTTCAAGCCGATCTGCAACGAGCCACAGACTACAGAATCGTCGTCGTCATCGTCTTCCGAGGTCACCGTCGGCAACGGCGCATCCACTTCATCCTCTGCACCAAAGGCTCCTTCGCAGTGTGCAGCCGCCCCGAAAGAGGAACAGTGTCCTCTGCCTCCAACCAGCCAGGAAAGACTCGAGTGCCGAAACGGGGCAGGCTTCAATCTGTCTCCGGAGCAGACCTCATTGGACGGCACGAGTGCGGACGACACCACGTGTACAAGCATGTCAGAGGGCGAAGTGCGGCCTGCCGAAGTCGGGCCCGACGAAATCTGCTCTGGCAAAGCCCGACCCAGCGAAGCTCACTCTGGCGTAGAAGACGCGGCACAAGCCGACAGGGGGACCACGCTTCAAGCGGAACCTGGAGCCGAAGAGAATGCGGAGTCTGCCTGTCTTTTGGCCCTGAACAACAGGGTAAGTCTTCTGCGTGAAGTGGATGTGGCTGGCATTAGACAGCTCCTGGTTTGCTACCATGCTCTGTCCCATAGATGAAGGATAACAGAATGCTCTGGCTGCACGACTGCTTGCGTCAATAACATGATCAAGCTATAGACATCTGTGGCTCTCTCCACCAACTATCCTATGAATCGGAAAAAAGATGGCAGCAAGTGTGTTGTAGCAGTGTCTTTAATTGATGGGGGACCTGAAGTTAGTACTAGTTTCCCTGGAACGTTTAGGGTGAGAAGTTGCTGATAAACAGAATAAATTAAAAGCAGCCACAAAAATTGTGGGAGCATAATCTAGTACTTGTTTTCGGTGTATGGCTGCTCTGATGGAGTATATCCAACCTTCAAAGTTCGTTATTGATTCCAGGAATGGTAGGAGCGCTTGCTTCCTGGGTCCTTATTCTAGCAGGCAGCTGGAGTTTTAATAATAACTATAATGTGAAGATATTGTAAGGGTGCAGGTGAGCTGGTGAATATTAACCATGTTGAATTAACCTGAGACTGGGGTAGAGAGGAAACATCAAAACGTAGAAGAGACAGAAAATAGACGGTGCGACGTCTCAATTGAGACTTCTATGTTTTGATGTTTCCTCCCTACCCGTCTCAGGTTAATCCAACATGGTTATAATGTTGTGTGTATGTTTATACAGCCGTAAGTTGGGAGGCCTCAATGGGCGTCTGGTGTCTTGGCTGTAGATGAGAAATTTAGCCATTGCAGCACAACCTCTAGCCTGGGTCTTTAACATGCTCCACCCAGTAGTGATACACGACCGCACGCCAGTAGGATGCTCATCCAGGTCAAAACGGGCATAGGTGGGGATTGAACCCAGAATCCGTGGGTTCAATTCCTGGGTTCAATCAAACAGCCACAGTTTAATTTTGAAAATGTTACAGCAATGTTGATATCACCATTCACAAAGTTTCCATTCTTTTTTTTTCTTTTTTTTTAGTTACACGAGTTACGCGCATGCACCATCCCGTTTTGATTGTGCGTTTTGTCCAAAGCACTCAATTTTGATATTGATACTTTTCCAAGTGTTGATTGCGGCAGCTTACCCATAAAAGTGTGCTTCTACCAAGCACCGGTGCGCTGATGAGAAGCAACACCCGCGGAGCTTGCTTTCGCAAGTGTTGTTTTTCCGCATTGTACCCGTGCTTGGCAGGAAGCGTGCTCAACTGGGCTAACCCGCCGCTATCAACACCTAGAAAGATATAAATATCGCAGTTCATCTCGAAGCAGATATCGAATAGTGTATTGTTCGAAACTATTTGAAATTTCGGATATTCGCACAACACTATAGAGGTCCGACAGTGCCAGACCGAACAATGTATTATTCTACCTGTTTGATATGGCTATGCCTCATATTACTAGGCATTTTGTACCAGGCAGGAATTTGATATGGTGTTTAACTACACTTTGTGCAAGTGTTGTGATTTGCCTGTTTCAGTGATCACCCTCTGTTTGTTCTTTCCCTGCAGCTGGCCAGGTTGGAAGCTGTCATCATGAAACTCGCCATCCCAGACCCAAGCTTGCTTCTGGGGAGCGCATTTACAAACCCTTAAGGCCACTGTAGCAGACGCAAGTTGCTGCTCCACGAAACCCCAGAGAAAGTCCCTTTTATGTTAGCATCCTATGCATTTTTGTTTTGCATTGCTCATCGATATACGGTTCCTCAGTCGAGTTCCTCATGTACGGAGATTTCACTTTCACTGAAGTTTGTCCATTAATTCAAACAGTTTCTGCTATGTGTAGCAGAGTCTCGCTCGATTTCCGACTTGGTGCTTGGACAGTAGGTTCTCGAAGAAACAGCGACAAAAGAAGAGTTTGAAGGCACGCACAATGTAGCTGGGAACCAAAGCATGAAACAGTAAAGAGCATCGTACAGATACTGCAGGAAAACGGTATAGGAAGGCGTAAGTGAAGGCTAAATGAGGAGTGGTCATTAGGGATATTCACAATCAAAGGAGAGCTTCAGCACTGCTTGGCCTCTAGGAATCCTTCAAACTCATCATTTCATGTTCCTTGCAGTAACACTGTTCTCTGCTCTTTCACCGCTGTGGAAGCTAGTATATTTGGCCCGTCTGTTTTTAATTTTGCATGTGGCAATTTGATTTTAGTTGACTTGCATGTTTTGTGTAGCATCAGATGCATGTAACATCTAGAAGTTTTGTGGAAGCCACATTCTCATACCACGTGTTATGCGGAATGATAGCAGCTACTTGAAATTAAGGCAATGCTACTTCTCTCAAAAAGATTAGAAGAAGCTCTTTTATTTCTTTTATTTAATTTTTTAATAGTATACCTATATATGCTAGCTTTTAGCACTGCCACGTCTAATATTGTCAGATGCTTCTGAGAAAATTGTGCATTTTGTTTTTTGGCCTTTTGTACCAACTTTACACAAGGATGCTCTTACCAACACCTGTGCGAAAATAGCAACAGAACAAATCATTCAGTGACCCTTTTTGTGGACTCTTTTGTGCAGCATGATTTTTGTATGACAAAGCAATTCCAGAGTTACTGTTACAGACACAAGATGAGCACCCACCTTGAAACGTCAACATATTGTTAAAAAAAAACGGCTTATTTTTGCAGATTTCGGTTTGTGGAGTGCAACTCCCTACCAGATTCTAATGAAGAGGACCTACTTTTTTTTTAGTTAATTTGTTTTAAAAACTGGGCCCCTACAAAAGAGGCTTTTTACATGTTTCCTTTGCATTCTTCCACAAAGCGACAGAAATATTTTATCTGCATTATTTAATGTTTTAAATATAAAGCCTAACATTGCTTTTTCTTTCATGGTCACTTTTTTATGTCAAGACACGACAATAAGCTTAAAGGGATACCTCGACGATTTTTTTTAGCTACCCCAACAAACTGTATTTTCTGAATTCCCAGCCTTTACCATCTCCGATGTGCTATTTAGAATTCAGATTAGTTATTGCGAAATCTGCAAATGAAAATGATGCCAAAACCAGCATTCAAATATACCCTCACTTTTCAGTGCCGCGATGTCGGTGGTACGGTAGGCTTGTCAGTCGAGCGGGCAGTCAAAAAATGGAATATGCCGAGCTTTTGTTTCGTTCTGCTGCGTGCAATGTTGGAGCGAGCTTTCAAAGCATTCATTTGACACCACATAACTGCTTGTAATCAGTTAAAAACAAATTCTACAGTCCAAAAAGTAAATCGCTGCCTGCCCCTGACGTCGCTTTTTCCTTGCTGCCAGTAGAGACTTTCAGTTTGAAAAACACGACGAGGTGAAAATGGTAAATTCAATAACTTCGCTAAAAAAATATTATCTTGGCCTAATAGTTGAGATACTATTTCAGCAACGTTTTTTGGTGTTTAGCAAAGTTTCAGGCAAATTGGGGACCGTCAAGAAAACACCGAAGTACCCCTTTAACCTTCTTTGATTTTGCTGCGATACGTCTGCCCTACGAGTGCAACATTGGTGCTTTTTCGCATTTTACTCCAACAGGGTATTCTGCACAATTAACTGCGTTCTATTCCTCAATTCAGTTCTTTCACGAGGATGTGCTGCTCTTCATTTTTAAGGATATGTGTGCTACAACCGAGGTTACAAACAGGTGTTGCCAGCCTCAGCCAAGTCGTCCCACTTCGCAAAATGACAACATGGCTCGCTATTAGAGGAAGAGGACCGGGGTACCTCGGTCATAAGCGAAACATTAGAAGTGTAACATGTATAGATCTCTTAACATATGGCTAGACAATAGCTAGCTAGAGCCCTGTAGCCACTGTGTTTTGCAGTATACGCCAGTGAAGTACTCCCGTGTTTTCTTTCTCGGTTGCTACCAGTTCCAGGTGTAGCGTGTCAGAAAAGACTCAAGAGCCCTCGTCCCATCCGGTCGCTTGTACGAACAAACGTTTCGTCACGCCCTGCGTTGGTAAAAGACTGGGTCGGTTACCCTCGGTTCTTGTCCATTTCACCGTGCATCTGTAGAAAAGCATGCGCATGTAAGTCGCCCGTCCCCCAACTTGAGTTGTTTGTCCCAAAGCCTAGACTTAGAAGTGTATACGGAGGTTGTGCAGTAAAACAATAACACTGTAGTTATCAGCACCGAGTGTCCCTGCTCCGGTCGTGCGTCCCATGCGGTAGCAACACCCAAAAATGCTTTGCCAACAAATTTGCAAGCTGAGCGCTGTGGTTGTGCATTTAATTAAAACGTTGGCCCAGGAATGACGGACAGGTCGGCGACGAGTCTTTTTTTTTTTTTTTTGGAACGCTGGAAAGTAGTAATCTAGTCAATATCACGTGGGCATTAATTACCAATGGAACCTACAACTGTGCTGCGGCAAGTTAGGGCAAAATGCAAGCTCCCTCCATGAACAAAGCAGGATCTGATCATTGCGCGAGATATGGCCTACGCAGAGTTCCGGGTTTCGTTGCACTTGCAACTGCTCATTATTTTTATGTACATTGTGGATCTGGCAGCAGTTATATACCACAGCCTGCTGGGCTTTGCCGTGGCGTTTTTATTCGTTGTGCTGATGAATTGCTAATAAAAAAAAAAAGTCTACACTCGTCAGTTTGAAAGCACTGTGAGTCTCATTCACTAACAGCTTTTCCGTGCAGGTGCTCCAAAACTCCCATGTATCCAGCTTGAAAACAAGTCCAAACACAGGTTCAATGTTTATGTACACTTTTTTATTCCGCAGTTAACACTGCCCTAGTCTCATCGTCTCCACGTAACCGAGCAAACAACCTGCTAACACTAAGCACGCCAACGTTGAAGGCATTCTGTGAAAAAAGATGCATTGCAGCATTTTGTTTCTCAAGTTATATACATATTGCATCGCTTATCACCCTTAAAGTGTGATCTTGGAAAAGTTTCTGCTGCATGCATAGCTTTCTCTTCCCTCAGGCAATTGGGTGACAACTTGAGTACTAGCATCCTGGCATATTCCGACGAGGGATGTCGGGAGTTTTACATCAACATCGCACATCTTCATGGAAATCCTAAGGAATAGTAACATACGGGTCTTCCACCCGCGGCATCCTTCTGAGTAGCGCCAGAGTCGTACACTTCCCACACGCGCGCCAACAGTCGTGCAACCCATGCAAGCCTAGCATTTTGACACAATCACATTATATATATTTTTCTATGCTTTGTGCCGGAAAGCCGGAGTCATTACGAGCTGCTTTAATGCACCAGCCAGCCAGGTAGAGAGAATGCCCATGGTGAACCGGGTCCACTGAAGTGACGGATCTTGCCGCTTCAGTGGACCATTTCATAGGTGTCTGGCCCACTGCACAGCTGCAAATGCAGCATCTTACACACTGCTCATTCTATCTGGCTGTCTGCTTCCTTATAATGGATCACATTCCCTGCGACTACTGGCGATCATGATTGAACTACGTTTGTCACTAAAGACCTTCGATTGATCAGAACCAGATACTTTTTTTGTAGAAGCCTCTTTCGTGTCTAGCTAGAACTGTACATGGCAAACACGTTCCTTCAAGTGACTTTGCGTGCAGCTCTCAGCCATGAGTATCATGCAAACTTCCAAGCGTGGCTCTTGCAGAGAGCTTTAAAGGACTAGAAGGCGAGCCAAAATGCTCCACACTGGTGTCACATCAGCCCGTGCTCGTTTTGCATACAACTCGTCGTTTATAGTCGCTCGTTGCCTCTCTGGGCAAACTTTCGGAACCTATTTGCCCTCGATCAGTTAATACAGACTACGGGTGTACATTACCAAAAGGCAAGTTTTCTAGGCCGCTTTCCTCGCAAAGTATACCAACTCTGCGTTATATCACAGGGCAACGAAACAAGTATAGAAAAGGTGCTTCAGTTGGGTCAACCTAATCACATAACTTGTTGGCAAGGGACACTGGCAGTGAGCTGCATTCATCAAAGATATGACAATCTCGTATTCGCCGATGACTGCTAGGCCCTTTTGGCATGGCCACAATCTCTTAATTATGAGTACTTTTTTTTTTTCACGACGTGGCGAACACTTTATATGTAGTGGTGGTTGTTAACCATTCTAGCAAAGTAATGTTCCAATAATATGCACAGTGACTCTAAGTGCTTTGGTTAGCAAACAAGTTTTTTTGGCCACAACTCCAGGAAGAGATGTGTTGCAACACAATCATGTGCTATTTGTTAGGCAGCTTACTGGCCTGTTAGTTCAATGTCCACCAAGTCGCTTAAGAAAGCTTTTGACCCATGTTTTCCCTATTTCTTCCGCTGTCAATACATTCTTAGGAGTTAAAAAAAAGGGGGCCACTATGATCGAGCATCCACTTTATGATTACATCACCTGAAAGTCCGCGGTAAATTTTGGTTAAAAGCCGAGCTATCGGAACTTTGGGAAGACTAAGGATTCAAACCATCAAACAAATTAAATATTTGATTCTTAGGGCTGTAGCTCTTGTCTATCCAGCACTCTCTCAATTTACAGCTATGCAGCTGCAACATATACACATAAAATGCAGCATCCATTTCCTCAAATTCTTGGCAGGCATAGTCAATAAATAAATTTATTTATTTAAACTCTCGATTTCTTTCTTGTAGACTCTGCAACTGTCTATGTGTACACTCTTGTTTGTATTTATACGTAATCAATACCTTTTCATCCTACGCTCAATTAGGACTCGAGCCCTGTAGACTTAAAGGGCAACTCCGCTCAATTCCGAGATAATGAATGATTTCACATTGAAAAGCCGTAGTAAAGGGTACTACGTCATTTTCTTTGCAAACAAATGGGATATATATTTTAAAATCTAATTTGAAACACTAGCAGAAATTAAAACCGAAACTTCGGCTCTGTTCGGCAACGTTGGCCTTGGGCCGTCAAGAACATGGCTATCGCATGGTATGAGATGTCACGTGATCCTCTACGCGACGATGGGCGGGATTGGGGTGGGTGGATGCCAGGCACCAAGTGTCGTTTGCACCGCACTCTTCACCATGTTTTGATGTCTAACATTCGACGATGTCTGCACAACTGCGGCACATGTGCACAAACACTACGACACCGCTGAGCACCGACAGGGAATGTTGCTGACGTCACCCGTTGCGCTCGCTCGGAGAAGTAAAAACAAGCAAAAGGGGGCAATGGTGACGACGTTTAGCTCCATGTTGGCTACGCCCACGCCGTAGCCTCGACTGCGCTGCTGGTTGTGCCTCAATTCGTCCGCTCGAGTCGGTTGATTTTGGCAAGTTGCAAAGTTTGCCGGACAGTTTAAGAAACATTTAGGTCATAATATTTGATGTTTGTTCCTCCTAGGTGATACTAAAAAGGACTGCACTGTTTTTTTAAAAAAACAAAAAGTGAGCGGAGTTGCCTTTTAATACTACTTCGACCTTTTCTAGCACTTTCCTCACCGTCCCCCACATTTGCGAACAAATAATACCGTAAGGACCGTTGTGCTCCCATAGGAAGCAATAGTGAGGCAAGCCCAACTTTCCTAACCCAGAAATACCTCAATCTTAAAAGTGCACGACGAGCGAGTGGCCATCTCTCGTACTCCCTCCATGAGGGAGACTGACGAGCGGTCTTTCGAAGATGCAACGGCAACAATGCAACGCTGATTCCTACACCAGTCTCCGAAATGCCTCGTTCCTAAGTTAAAAAGAGCGCCGCAAACCCCTTCTCGTCTCGCATAGAGCTAATATACAGATTTTGGGAGGCAGGGGGAAAGGTTTGCCGGATGCGCCCACACTTCCGCTCCCGGAAACGGCGGTTCACGTTGACGGGCATAATAAAGGGGCAATGCAACAATGTTTGGACTTTGGTCAAATAATCGTGGTAGTTGTTCCCTGTCACATCTGGATTAAAGAACTGAAAACAAATTTTGCCTATGTGCGTTAGTTCTTTAGAAAAAGAAAAAGTCAAACAGTTGATGTTCTGGGCACCTCCGAACCAACCGACGTAGTAGCACAACAGAGTGAGGTTCAAGGAAAGAATAGTTTTTTTTCACCTTAGGCAGGTGGCGCCACTAAAACTTTTGTCAATGATACGAGGTTTTTGACACATTCCCTTATATTGAAGCGAATCCCTTTTTTTTTTCTTTTTTTTTTTTTGCTGTTATGCAATGGAATCACAATATTTCTAAAGAATGAGGCGGTTTCTAAGTTACTTTTGGCAAGATAAAAAAATGTAAAAATTTAAAACTGCAAATTTTTTCGAAGTTAAAATTGTTGCATCACCCTTTTAAAAGGAGGACTGCTCGCTCGAAAAGCTCTTGGTGCGACGAACGCCGTTCTCGTTACATAACAAAAGCTTGCCTGGTAAGGCGAGCGCTGCTTGAGCCTTTCTGGTCGTAAAATTAATTCGGTTCAGACAGGTCGTACTGCGCATCACATGGAGCATCCAGTGGTCTGGAAGCCTCCACACCCCCTCCTTCGACTTGTCCCGACCCGGCCACACCAAACCACAGCATCACTTCCCTTAATACGAGCTGCCTCCGCTTTCAACGTCCGTCCCGCATGGCTGCGACGGGCGCAGCTCGGACAGACCTTCCAACGCAACCCCTCCTCCGCACGTCACCCAAGTCTCCTCTCCCGCCCCCAAAAGGCGCCGTTATAAGCAGCAGGCACGATCGGCCCGGCCCGTGGCAGGTTTCTCGACGGCGTCCGCGACTGTCTCTCCACCCCCGCAGCAACCGTCCTTCCTCTCGGTGGTCACGGTGAAGGAGCAACAGCCGCTGCTGGGGCCACTGGGGCAGGTCTTGCAGTTGCCCTTCTCGCACTCCTTCTTGTCTAGACAGCTGCAAATGTCCGCCTGGGCCGTGGAGAGGCACAGGATGTCCACCCCGCTCGGTCTAACGTCGTTGCCACCGCCAGAGGTGTTTTCTCGATCCGACGTTGGCATTTCCAGGCCCACTGTCAGCGTCTGGGGAAGCAGGACCCTCGCCACGCCGGTGGCACTCTCCCCGTCCGCGCTGCCTCTCACGATGTCAAGGGGGATCATAGCGTACGCTGCATGCGAGGCGAGAAACAAACGCCGGAAATTCCGAATTACTACTACTGTGCAGCGCTATAGTCCTCGATAAGATGAGAACGGCAGGAAGCAGTTTCGGTAGTCCCGCCTACGGCGTGTGCTTCGTACCTTCGATAGCGCTTCAGCATCTTGTGAGCCTTCAGTGTGCACACGCAGCCAAAGCACGACAGAGGACAATGCAGAGCGCAAGTTTGTCTGCTTCTTTTGCAGGGGTTACGGTCACGTCGGAATTCCGAGCTCCGATTGGCTCTGACTGAAGGATAGTGGGCAGACCTCGAGGCAGCTCGCTTTGAAGTCTACCCACTTTCCTTCAAGCAGAGCCAATCGGAGCTTGGCGTTTGACGTTGCCACAACCCCTGCGTAAGAAGCTGACGAACATGCGCTCCGCATTATCGCGTGCTGGAGGGACGCCCTGCCATTCTGCAAGTGACTATAGCTACGAGTGACTACGGTCACCAGTTTGGTGAATTAAGAAACAAGAGCCAAAGTTTGGACGCCGGTTCTCGTGCGTCGACGTTGACGCCGGTACGGAGCTTACTGCTAGCACAAGTCGCTCAAGAGACCCTGAAGATTAGTTGGTAAATCTGATAACGGTGATGATAATGCTAAACAAAATTGTACGTTAGTAATGCGACTTTAGTTTTCAACGATGAACAATTGGAAAAGAGGGGCATAGACATAGCATGACCATCCACAGAGTAAAAGAAATGGGACATCAAGAAAGGGGGGGAGAGAAAGGGTGGAAGCCGGGGAGGGGGGGGGGGGGGGGGGGGGGGGCAGAAAAAAAAAATTATGGTATCATTCAGTTTAATGCATAGACATGTTTTTCCAGAGTTATTAGTTGAGAACGCTCATGCCTTCTTTATTTTAAAAGGGGAACAGATGTTGCCAACAGCAGCATGCCAAAATCAGTAATTTAGGGAACGTCTCCCATACATACGCGCGTCTATGCAAACAAAATGCTCAGGCATGTAACCACAGATTGAGCTTGAAAGTTTACTACATAAATGACAATGCTTTCATGCTATATTTTTCTCTTATAAAACATTTGTGTTTTATAAAATATTGACTGCCAGAATGAACCTCTAAAACGGCTCTCCCTCGGCTAAAATGGGATCCCAGATCACCCTACATAAACGTCTTTTTTTTAATGCGAAAGCAGTAACTGGTTCTATGGAACAAACCGAAATTATGAGCTTTTGAAGCCGCGCCAAATGGCACCTTCCCCTGTCCCAATGGAGCGATGCCTGTCGTCTGTAGCAGAAATCTGATGGATAGGCTCCCATTGGCCGGCGCACGTCATAGTTTCAAGGAACGAGGCTCCCATTGGCTCTCGCGTGGCATAGTTCCAAGGAACGCCACCAAAGAAGCCCTCTCCATGGCGACGCAGTGGCCCGGCCGCTCAGGGCCGTAACCAGGGGGGAAGATAGGGGGTTCTGACCCCCCCCGAAATTTTTTTCTGGGTACGGCCCTGGTCGGTGCACTGGCAGCCAGCCGATTTTAATCTCCACCTCTGCGCACGCGCAGTGGCGCCGGTCGGCTACCGGGTACCAAACCGGGACCTGTTCTCCGGTTTGCTGTAACTCTCCATTATATGCCACCGATGCACATGATTCATAGGCGAAAATAAGACAACAGACACTTTCAAAATGGCCGCCGTTGTCCCCGAAAACCCCCCCCGAAATTTTTTTCTGGGTACGGCCCTGCGGCCGCTGATAAAAGGGAGCAGAGCCCGCATGGGCAAACTCCGGAGAGATTGCACGGCCGAGCTCGGCGCGGCGCGGCCAATTCATGAGAGCGCGCGCTCGGCCGTTAGCTGCTACCTCGGCAGTACAAAAAAGTGGCCGTCCATGCCAGTACGCCGCAGACGAACTAAGGGAGCGGAAGAACAATATTCATGCTTTCGCATTCACAACTCGTAAGAAGTGCTTAGGTGTTCTCGGAATTTAAAAAAAATATATATATATTTTAGGGTTGCAGTCACTGAAGTTCAAAACGGTACTGATGATCTGTTCTCAAACAAATCCTTCACGGTATTTACAACAGCATTAAGCTCGAGACTAATGCTTGTAAAATTCCTGCAGAAATAAAACAGAGAAGGGGGCAACAGAAGTAAATTTTGAAGATCAATCTTATTGCTAAAAGACATGCAATGCCGATCAAGTTTAATTAAAGGGACACTGATTGATTGGGTGTCAGAAGACACCCAATCAATTTTTTGCTACAGCGTCACATATACTAGGCTCTCGTGTCATATACAAATAAAAATATTGTACAGCCCCTTCACTTCATCTGAAGATGGAGGACCACCAAAGCTGTTATTTTTATGACGTCTAGGATGATGGCTAGAGGACAACCTCAAGGACGACACCTAGAGGATGACGTCTAGGACGACCTCAAGGACGACCTTGAGAACGACGTCTAGGACGACCTCAAGGACGACCTTGAGAACGACGCCTAAAGGACATCTAGGATGACCTCTAGGACGACTTCGAGGATAGGATGACCTCAAATACGACGTCTGGACGACTTCTAGAGGACGATGCCTAGGACTACCTCTTGGATGACCTCAAGGACTCCTAGGACGACCTCGAGGACGACGCCTAAAACGACCCTTCGGATGATTTCAAGGACGACTTTTAGGATGATCTCGAGGACGCCACCTAAAGGACAACGTCTAGGACAACTTCAAGGACGAGTTCAAGGATAAGACAACTTCTAGGACGGCCTCAAAGACAACTTCTAGAACGACCTAGAGGACGTCGCCTAAAGAATGACCTCTAGGACAATTTCGAGGACGACGCCTAAAACGACCTCTCAGATGACTTCAAGGATGAATTCTAGGGTGATCTCGAGGACGACGACTAGAGAAGATAAGAGATCAGGGCCTGACTATCTAATAATGCCAAGAAAGGCTGACTCACGCTGGTTGCCCCCTCTTTTAATTTTAGAGCGCAGCTCTTGGGCGCCTGTTTCCGGCTTGAGTGGCGTCGCCGTCGGCATAACCGCGCGTTGCAATATGGGACATTTTCTGTAATGACGTCACGAGTGACGTCACTGCGCGTTGCATTATGAGTAAAAATTGCCCACTAAATGTAGCAGAAAAATTTAACCCACTATATTTAGGAAAAAAAATTGCCCCGCTACATTTAGCGGAAAAATTCCCCAATAAATTTAGCAGAAAAAATTCCCCCTAAAGTTAGCAAAAAAAATTTTCCCCACTAAATTTAACAGAAAATTTTTCCTGCTAAATTTAGCAGGAAATTTTCCCCGCTAAATTCAGCAAAAGAAACTCCCCGCTAAGTTTTGCAGAAATATTTCCTCATTAAGTTTAGCAGAAAAATTTCACCGGTAAATGTATTGGAAAAATTCCCCGTTAAATTTAGCAGAAAAAATTCCCCAGTAAATTTAGCAGAAAAATTTCCACACTAAATTTAGCAGTAAAGTTTCCCTGCTAAATTTAGCAGGAAATTTTCCCCGCTAAATTTAGCGAGAAAAACTCCCCGCTAAGTTTTGCGGGAAAAACTTCACTAAATTTAGCGAAAAAATTAGAGAGTTTTCGTAGATTGTTTTCGCCGTCCCGCAACGCTCTCTGCAACCCGCTACAATAACCGGAACTCTACAGTCAAGGCCATGGGCATGTAGGTGCAGTAGCAGCTTCTTTGTTGCAGAGGGCTTAGCGGAGGGGGAAACGCGGTCTATGAAAACTCCCTAATTTCCGCTAAATTTAGCAGAAAAAGTTCTCCGCTAAATTTCGCTGACAAATTTCCCCGTAAATTTAGCGGAAAAAATTCCCCGCTAAATTTAAGGGGAAAATTTCCCCACTAAATTTAGTGGAAAATTTCTCAACTACATTTAGCAGAAAACAATTTCCCGTTAAATTTAGCGGGGAAAATTCCTCGCTGGAAAATATTCCCCACTAAATTTAGTGAAAAAGTTTGTTGCTAAATTTAGCGAAAATTTCCCACTAAATGGGAGGGGAGCAGGAGAGGAGAAGGGGAAGGTACGGATGAGGAGGGGCACACCATCCTCTCCGTATTTTACCCTCCTCCTCCTCAAGAGCTGCACTCTAATTCGGCGTTACAGGAGATTGTAAACGTCTTTCATTCTTTTATTTATTTAAACTTGCCACGACCAATGAGGAACTCTCTGTCAACATCCGTGGACGCATTTTTTTCTAAGATTCTAGCGCAGGGGTGGCCAAACCGCGGCTCGCGAGCCGCATGCGGCTCTTTGTTGGTCCAAGTGCGGCTCGCAGGTCCCTCGTAAGGGACTCCCCCCCCCCCGCTTTCCCTAGGAAAAAAAAAAAAGATTTCAGAATAAAGCACACTGCAGCTTGCAGTTTGACATCCTTGCACCCCCATACCGTCAGACTCTGAACAAAAGTTAAATTTGCCCCCCCCCCCCCCCCCCCGCCCCGCGGCTCTTAGAAGTTCCGCGGTTTTGTTTGCGGCTCTTAGGCCAGGCATGCCTGGCCACCCCTGTTCTAGCGCATAACAGTTTTGCAGTAAAACTTGGCGAGCATAAGTACCCTGTCAGTGTCTTTTTAAGCAGTAAAACCAATGGTGCTGCAGGTAACAATGGCATACAAAGGGGACAAATGTGTGATGTATTTGTTGCCCGTAGTTGCCTAAGCGTAGGGCAGCAGTCCTCCACTTCTCGCTTTCTCAAAAGGTTTGCTTTCTATGGTATCTGTTAGTTTTTATGCACCATGTCTTGCAAAAAAAATACTAGGTAAGTTACAGATTCATGCACAACTGAGCAGCATGTTTCACCCTTTAAGGAGTAATAAACAATTATTGAAAAATTTCTGAAAAATCTTCAGGCTCATATTTAAAAAAAAGAAAACTAAAATTCCTCGACCATAAATGTGTTTAGCGAAATATTTACGTAGCAAGACTCATTCTTATTTAAGAATGATTCAGAAACATGCTCCTATTTCGAGACATCGTGCTAGCATACTACTAAAACATTAAAAAAAGTATTATTGGAGTTTAGTATTCTTTTAAATGATAACTCCGGTCAAAAATCAAACCAAATAAATGACTGGTATCGACTAATGCGGAATCGCAATCCACTCTAAAACCAATATTAAACATGCTACCACCAGCTTCTCAGTGGGCATTCAGCAGGTTAGCTGTTCGTTGAGCAACCTTGTGGCCCAATGACATGTTCGTACTCAAGCAGGTTACTTTTTGTACTGCTGCGACTTCTTTTGCCACATTTTTCTGTAGGGTTTTAAGCCATCCCAGCGGACAATTTCTGCCTATTATGTGCTAGGGGCCGTCGTTTCTAAGCGCTCATCAGCGATCGCACACAAAGATTATTAAGGCGAAAGTCTTCCTGGTCCATATGAGCGTAAAAGCATAGAAAAAGCAGATAAAAACGCGATTGCGCGGCACGTGCCGCTCAATGGGCGACCCTACTTGTCCCATTACCTTGGCGTCGTCCTTGCAGTCGTCCTTGACCTCTAGGACGACCTCATTTGACACATTACGTAAAAAACAAGCAGTGTCGGCGGTGTTGTTGTTGTGACCAAAAAAATGGCCAGAAAAATATGTCATCAAGCGTCATCATACGTCAGCAGCGTGATGTCATCGCCGGAGCACCATGTGCGAAAGGTGTGCTTCGGACTTCATCTCTGCTCGTTGTGTGCTTTGTGCGATGAACTGTGAGGCAACTGCATCTACATTTACGGCCTCAACATCGGCAGTAGCATCTACATCTATGGCAGCTTCCGCAGACAAACGTGGCCGTCCACGCAAATAAGCCACAAGCCTCCTTAAGTGTCCTCCTCTAGGCGTGATTCTCGACGTCCTCCTCTAGGCGTCATTCTTGACGCCGCCCTCTAGGCATTGTCCTCGAGGTCGTCCTAGAAGTCGTCCTCTAGGCGTCATTCTCGACGTCAACCTAGACAGTCGTCCTCGATGTCTTCCTTGACTGGCTTTTGCCTTCTTACACGTAAGCAGCCTTAAGTGTACTCTAACTTTTTACATGCTGCTCGCTGAAGCGCATCGTGGTGCCAAAGTGCAAGGCACTCATGGGACTGGCATTGTTGTACAATGCTGAGCACGCCTTGCTGTTCCTGCTCAGCCTTCCTGCTCAGCGCAAGCCTACGATAAGCTTCCACACATTGCACACAACCAAGATTTTAGTTCTTCTCAGAAGATAAGTGAGGGCTCGTTCTGAGCCTGTGCTGTGAACACCGCGCTATCGCATCAAACTCGCTTCTCAGCCGGCAATATGTATTAATATTTGCTGCAGATGTTTGATATCTAAGAAGCAAAGCAGACGTAGCATCTTGGCTGACTTATCTAAACTGCTCTTGCAACTAGGCCAGTCATACATTTTATGGTAATGTGGTACAAACTTTGCATCACATGATGACCATACAGCTGATCACCAGGCTTGCCACCTTTTTTTGGTTTTTTGGTTTTGGTTTATTTTTGGTTGGTTTATTTTTGGTTTTGCCGTAGACACCCGAAACAAAACCTCGAGACAAGACATCTACAAAACTGCACGAGACATCGAAAAAGAAATTACACTTTGTAATTCAGGGACACTTCCTGCTCTAAGAACGGTCGTAACCCTAAAATCAGGAAAATGGATTGGAATTACCCTTTAAGTGTACCGTAACATACAGAGAGGTAGCCCAAGATGATTGTACTTTCCAGTCAGCAATGTCTGCTTATATCCCGCCATAGCTAACTATACGTTTTTACGCCAAGGTCATCATTGATCCAAACACTGTGATTACTAAAAATGGGCAGTCTTTCAAAGTTAACAAAAAAAGATAAAAAAAAAAAAAAAAAAAGAAGCAAATCAAGCCAAAAATAGGGGTGGGTTACCTTTTGGGGATGGGGCAGTGTAGGTTTATCTTACACAAAGGTTCTGTTTTCGTACTCGCCTAAAAAGTAAACACTACCACACTAGAAAGGACCCCCAGAAACAAGATTTTGCGGAGAGGCGTCGGCAGCCTCCGCAGATCGACGTCAACTGGCTGCCGAGTCGTCCACTCACCCCTGAGGCTAGTTCCCGGCACGCCCGGCGTGCTGACGTTCACGGTCTGCACGGGTACGGTGAGCACCGTTGTTCCATCCGAGGTGCGGGTCTGCTCTCCGTTGGCCACCATGGTGTTGAGCAGCATGTGGGCGGGCCCCCCATTCCCGTCTGGCAATAGCAGCCCGTTCCCATCCGGCAACAGCAGCTCGTCTCCCTCACACTCCAGGTTGTCCTCTCCGGGCTCCGGATCCACGTCCAGGCCGTCCAGGTGAAAGGTTAGCACCTGGCCCTGAAAAGACGCAGCACCGCGGTGCACAGTGCACTCGAGGCTGGTTCACACACCTGCGAGAGCTTACGACCGGGTGCCTAAAACCGCTTTGCTTGCAACGAGAGGATATCCTGGTGCCGTCGATTGGGTAGGCATGGTAGGTAAGAAGCCTCGAGAGTCTTCCTACCTTCATGGCTCCCGGGTTCCTACCTCCAGGGAACTAAGGTGAAGCCAGAAGCGTGGAGTGACACGCCAAAAAAGAGAGCCAACTCAACAGCTGTTTTGGTCACCCTTGGGGTCCCGGCTTTTTGTCCAGTAGCGTCCCTTGGTTTTGGTCATCGTTGGGGGCGTGTCCCTCTAAACTTCTGGCTTCACCTGTGGTGGCGTCATGTCACCTCCAAAAGCTTCCTATTTTCCTATTTTTTTTTTTCACACATCATCCTTCCATGCTTGGCTCGAGATGCTTTTGGCAATGTTACGGACGACCATTTCTCACGGGTAGTAAGTACATTTGACCTCGCAAATACTGAAAAACCTTTGCTGTAATGAAATGCAGTTCCAGGAACACCTCACAAATGGTGCCAGAGATGTTTGCCGAGAGAACCGAAGTGTATCCTTTTATCGCGTGAACAGACAATGTTCCCATCGTTGTCGTCGTAAGAAACCACCAGAGCTCAATCCTAAGCAAACGCAACTGTGTGAACAAGCCTTTAAGGCCCGTTCACAGTCTTGCAACCTCTTGAAACTGGGTTTCTTAAAACCTGTGGGAAAATAAGCGCCAAAAAAACACACGGACAAAGAGTAGATTGACAACGACACAGGGCGCACTCTCAACTGAATTTATTAGGAAAAAAACCCAAACTTATATACCAATGGGAGCACACTATCAAACACCACACGTCACGTTAGTCTCCGCCCAGACCACGTTTCAAATATTCAAACTCATTCGTAGACAGAGCCAATGATGTGTCGCTAATGCATTTTTTACCCCTTCTCCTAATCTCAAATGCCTCGTGAAGCTCGCGTGACACTTTGTTTCTGTACCTCGCCAATATTTTAGTGCTGTCAAATGATGGGTCGCAAGTGCATCTTTTGCAATGTACAGCCAAATGCCCTGACGGTGTAGTTCTAGTTGAAGCGGCGTGCTCGCGGACCCGATCATTAATACACCTTCCAGACTGCCCTACATAGCTTAAACCACACGTCATTGGTATTTCATAGACGACGGCGGTTGCGCAATCAGTGTACTTATTCCTGTGCTTGGTATGGCACGGGTCAGTTATCGGTTGTGGATCATTAATTCTCCTGCATAATCGTGACATTTTGTTGGGCGCTGAAAATACGACCGGGACATCATAGCGCCCAGCCACCTTCTTAAGGTTATGGGAGACACCGTGCATATATGGTATCACCACAGGCCGTACGTTGCTCTTTTCGCGCGGAGGTTTCTGCGTCCCCTTGAACTTCTTTATCAAGCTCCCAGCCACTTCGACCAATGAGCTCATTGGGAAACCCCCTTTTCGCAGACGATCTACTTGTCTGACAAAGCTATCGTGGGCGCTATGCAGGCAAGACTTTCTGAGAGACGCCTCCATACACGAGCTCGCGATGCCTCTCTTCACTAGCTTGGAGTGGCAGGAATTGAAGGGAAGGACCCCCTTCTTAGATCTAGGGGAGTACTCCCAACAAATGTGCTCACCTAGAAAACTTAGCTTGAGGTCAAGAAATTGTATAATTCCGTCCTTAGGAGTCTCGTGCGTAAATGACAATCCGCGGCAGCAAGACTTGAACACCTTTAGCGTCTCTGAAACTTCACAGCTAGAGAGATCGGGATTGCGTCCCAGGATGAGAAAATCATCCACATACCTAAATATCTTGTATTTGCCATCACTCATATCAGAGCTATCCGCTATCGCCTTTCCGCACTTACTTAAAAAGATATTGCACAAAACCGGCGCGACACTGGCACCGATGCAAATTCCCTTTTGTAAATAAACACCTCCCTCAAACGTCACAAACGTGTTCTTTAAATAAAAAGACAGGAGCTTATTTAAAGAACACGTTTGTGACGTTTGAGGGAGGTGTTTATTTACAAAAGAAGGGAATTTGCATCGGTGCCAGTGTCGCGCCGGTTTTGTGCAATATCTTTTTAAGTAAGTGCGGAAAGGCGATAGCGGATAGCTCTGATATGAGTGATGGCAAATACAAGATATTTAGGTATGTGGATGATTTTCTCATCCTGGGACGCAATCCCGATCTCTCTAGCTGTGAAGTTTCAGAGACGCTAAAGGTGTTCAAGTCTTGCTGCCGCGGATTGTCATTTACGCACGAGACTCCTAAGGACGGAATTATACAATTTCTTGACCTCAAGCTAAGTTTTCTAGGTGAGCACATTTGTTGGGAGTACTCCCCTAGATCTAAGAAGGGGGTCCTTCCCTTCAATTCCTGCCACTCCAAGCTAGTGAAGAGAGGCATCGCGAGCTCGTGTATGGAGGCGTCTCTCAGAAAGTCTTGCCTGCATAGCGCCCACGATAGCTTTGTCAGACAAGTAGATCGTCTGCGAAAAGGGGGTTTCCCAATGAGCTCATTGGTCGAAGTGGCTGGGAGCTTGATAAAGAAGTTCAAGGGGACGCAGAAACCTCCGCGCGAAAAGAGCAACGTACGGCCTGTGGTGATACCATATATGCACGGTGTCTCCCATAACCTTAAGAAGGTGGCTGGGCGCTATGATGTCCCGGTCGTATTTTCAGCGCCCAACAAAATGTCACGATTATGCAGGAGAATTAATGATCCACAACCGATAACTGACCCGTGCCATACCAAGCACAGGAATAAGTACACTGATTGCGCAACCGCCGTCGTCTATGAAATACCAATGACGTGTGGTTTAAGCTATGTAGGGCAGTCTGGAAGGTGTATTAATGATCGGGTCCGCGAGCACGCCGCTTCAACTAGAACTACACCGTCAGGGCATTTGGCTGTACATTGCAAAAGATGCACTTGCGACCCATCATTTGACAGCACTAAAATATTGGCGAGGTACAGAAACAAAGTGTCACGCGAGCTTCACGAGGCATTTGAGATTAGGAGAAGGGGTAAAAAATGCATTAGCGACACATCATTGGCTCTGTCTACGAATGAGTTTGAATATTTGAAACGTGGTCTGGGCGGAGACTAACGTGACGTGTGGTGTTTGATAGTGTGCTCCCATTGGTATATAAGTTTGGGTTTTTTTCCTAATAAATTCAGTTGAGAGTGCGCCCTGTGTCGTTGTCAATCTACTCTTTGTCCGTGTGTTTTTTTGGCGCTTATTTTCCCACGATGTACCAACTGGCCCATCTAAGCATTTTCTTAAAACCTCTTACAACGAGAGGACACACTGGCACCATCTGTAGGGTAGCAGTGTAAACTTGGCAGTCCGGCATATTTTCTATTTCTCTCGCGCATTATCCTTTCTTTCTTGGCTCGAAAAGCGTTTGTCAAGGTTATAAACGAGCCTTGTTTATAGATATTACGCACATTTGACCACGGAAATACCGCAAAACCTTCGCTCTCGTGAAATGCAGTTCCAGGGTCACCGCATAGATGGCGCCAGCGTGCCAGTGTGTTTCCTCGTCCTAAGAAATTTTAAGAGGTTTTAAAAGGTCTCGTCTCTCTCGGTCGTACTCGGTTGCAAGAGTGTGAACGGGCCTTTAGAGTCGCCAAAGTTGAAATCGAGTCAAATTTGGGAATTTCACGTGCCAAACCGATGAAGGGCATCTGGCCCGGCCTGGAGGATTGAAACGGCAGAGAATGAATCGCGAAGCGAGAAATCTCGACCTAATGAGCCGTGCCCTGCATTTCTTAAGCCGTCGGTGAATAGAGTAGTCCTAAGCTGGGGGCAGCATTTGCTCTCGTTTCTCAAGGTCGTTTGTATTCATTTCTAAAGAAACTCAAGGCCATCCACAACCGGCGGATTCTCGTCGTTCTCGCATACCAGCTTTCTCAGTCTTTGTTTTGCACACAGAGATATCTGTAAGCTTACTACATTCGTATAGCCGTTACGGTTGATGTAAGAATTTAAAATACATCTCGGCTAGAAAAATTATGCTGGCAAGCTGGTTAGAAAAAGTCATAAAAACTCGGGGCTTAGTTTACGATAAAATACATTTTTCCTGGCTCTGTACCAAGTGGAACATTCGTGCGATCCACTTGCACAAAGCGAGAAGAGTAGAGTTCGATGGAGAGCACCACGCTTTATCGCGCAAGGCGTTATGTATGCGCAAATGTTGCGCTGCACTAGTGACACAGTTGGTTGCTGTTCGAACATCACCTCTTGTGACAAGGTCACGCTGCAGTTCTCTGCTCGCTTAGAGGGTATAAATTGAAGAGCAAGTGTTGCACACCTCCCACCCCTCCGAGCGTGACGAAGGACCGGCGGAAACCCTCACCTCCTCGTTGTTGGGTCTGTCGTGCTTCGCAATGTGCGTCTTGAGGCTGTACTGCGTCGTGAATGTTTTCTGGCACCCGTCCTGTGTGCAGGAGTATGGTTTCTCACCTGTGCGCGACAAGAGACGACGAGAGACAGTCAAGCACTTGCCCCAGGAAGAGAGAGACATGGGACCGCCCCGAAGCCAACTCTCTCCGGTCCCTGAAGGTGCACTGAAGTGGTTTTCGAGATTGTCAGTTTATGGTGGTAACGCTATCTATGCGCTGAAAGGATCCCAAATTCTAAAAATTAGTCGTGCGTGACCTACTTCCCTCTTCAAAAAAAATGTTCAAAGGTCATGGACACACCCTTTCTCAGGACAAATTCTCCGAGTAAAGCGGCCGACGAAGGTGCGCGCGTGCGGACGGATCGGAGTGGCTCCAGATCCCAAAGTAGTCCTAAGCTGTCGCTGCCTCAAACGAACTACGTTTCAGCAGCTGTTTACGCAAGCACATGATGGAGATTCACAATCTGACGCCGTTAAAAATAAACCTTTCAGTTGACGAATGCAATGAGAGCCAGTGCAAAACGACGCAGTAACGGCATAGTCTCGCGCAGCATATTTTCGTTAGCTGGTAGGTACAAATCACGCGATCGGTGTGTGTGGTTCGTCCATGTCGTGTGGTCATGTTTCGAAGCAGCAATTTTGGGCAGTGGTTAGCAGTTCGAAAAAAGAAAATTATGGGGATAATGACTGCACACTAGCATTTATTTTCTCTGTAATGTTACACAAATGTCTAAGAAAAAAAAATTCTAATGTCGCGTCTGTCAAAGCTAGCCGCTTGGCAGGTTCACCGGAGTCGTGTCAAATAGACTCCGGTGAATGGTCTGCTGCAGCTATAGCCGGTGAGAGGTCAACAACGAAGTGGAAGCTCCTCCCACCCCTTTCCACTTCAGCAGAGCGAACGGTGGAGAGGAGGCGACCTCTTATCCACCGTTTGCTCCACTGAAATAGAAAGGGGTGGGAGAAGCTTCCGTTTCGTTCTTGACTTGTCACCGACTATAGGTGGCACAAGCTACCACCTGGTATAAAGAATATGATTGATATCCATCAATCCATCCATGCATCTATCCGACGGAGCCGGCAGGGACACATTACTCTAGGTCCGGAGAAAGGCAAGGAAAAATATAGTTAGCTAATTTCAAAGCAAAATTTCAGTATTACGCCTTTTGCACCATTCACATTTTGCGTCCTTATCAATATACAACGTGCAATGACATACAACGTGCAATGTGCCCAAACCTAGGTTTAATGATAACGATTGTAACCTCCGTTGGTCCAGAAAGAAGAATAGAACGCGAGGGAAGACAGTCCACATGATTTTTACTGCCATGAGACTGATAGGTGGTATTGTAATCTGAAACTAGACATAGTTGTTAACTGACAGCTATTTAACAATATGACACTAAAAAACAATTTTTTCAAAAAGCACTTTAGTGCACCTTCAAAAGCTCACCCGTGTGCGTCCTGATGTGGGTCTTGAGGTGATGACTAGCCGCAAATGATTTCCCGCATCCGTACGTGTCGCACCTTCGAGAAGAACAAAGTGTTGCTTGAGTGCCTCGTTTGCCGACATATGAACCTCTTAAAAAAATTGCATGCTAAAAAAACAATCTTCTTTAGACAGCCTGGGTGGTCCATTTATGTTACAAGATGCAATCTTTACCCCCTCCGTACCCCCAGAAAATAATTACTATTGCAATATTTATGCCACAAGGCACAATTTAGGTGGAGCCCTGGAAGAAGCTTGAGGACCAGTCCTCCTCTCGACTTTTCCTCCTCACTTTTTCGCAGCACGTGGGAGGGAAGTACACCGTGGGCCCCCATACCTCTCCTCCGCACTTCTCTTCTTTCGACCAATGGGAAGGCTGACAAAATTGCTCATATTTTGACGTTGCTGCGGCATTAAATTTGAAATAGCAGACATTTCTGAGACAGCGTGCTCGAGCAGACAAAATCACTTCAAACTCAAAATGAGTCTTGCAAAGTAAATACTGCATTAACCCTGTTCTTTTTTTTAGAGGGGAGGGGGGAGGGGGGGGGGGGGGGGGGAGGAGTGTACATTGTGGCAAAAGTGGCTTATCCAGACAGTTAAAAAAAGGGGGATTTTTTTTTAGCATGTAGAGTTTTTTTGACAGTGATTCTAGCCCTGCAATTTAGTCTAAAACAACAGGAGATGTTGAATAGCCTCTTGAAAGCGATACTCAGAGTCACACTGTCCAATTTTTCTGCGTGAAAGGGACCAGGAACAAGCTATTATTTAGATTTCCTGCAACTGGTTTTCACCATGAAACAAAATTGCTTGACACATCTCGTGTTGTACAACTCTCACCTGGTAAGACTTTGTTGCAATAAAACTGCATGTAAAAGAAATGATGTTACAGTTATTATATTGTCTTATTCACTCCTCCCCCCTCCCCCCCTCAAAAAAAAAAAAAAGAAAACAAGTGAATTTTATTGCCACTAGCCCCCAGAAAACACTCACACACAATCTCAAAAAGCATTAAAGAACCCGTTCTGCATAATTCTCTCTACCAAAAGAACCAAGGAATCAGATCTGTGTCACAGTTCACACTAAGAACCATAAATGTGACCTGTCCCTTCAATCTAGATCCTGCTACATAGGATCTAGATTGAAGTTTATGAATTTGGAGCAGTGAAATAGCTTTTCCCAAGACAAAGATACAAACAGGACATGCCAACATCTCTGCCAAGAGAAAGTGGCCGCGAGTAGTTTGACATTTTGGGTGCAGCATTATCGCGAACCACCCCAACGAATAAGAAGAGCACATTGTTTCACCTATACGGTCGCTCCCCAGTGTGCGTCCTGGTGTGTTTCTTGAGGTCGCTGAGCGTCGTGAAGATCTTGAGGCAGCCCTCCTGGCCGCAGTTGAATGTCTCCCCCGTGTGGATGCGCTGGTGGGCCTTCAGCCTGGTTCAATCAATCAGCAACAGCGTTGCCAATTTGGGAATTTTGTTCTTCCAGATCTGGCTACGTTTACGTAGTCATACCATTTTGCCCCAGCTTTCAAACTGTTCTGACTCTTTTTCAGGAACTCGCACATTTCTCGTAAATATTGTGTACTTGTGAAACCAATTATATCCACATGCCTCTCGACGAGTTTCGTGAAATGTGTCAGGCAGTCGACACCTAAAGCTTTACTCTCAGATTGTGTCCGGCTTATTAAATGCAATCTTGAGGTTTACAAAAACAATTGTTATAGATTGTGAGTCAAAATGTTGCTCACAAAAGTTTTAGCGTTCATTTCGTGTGCGTCTTTTTTTAATTTTGTGACAATTAAGGTTATGCACGTAAGTCAAAGCTGAACCCCACTTTATACATGGAAACCCCACTGTACCGAACGACATTCAAATCTTTAAGCTGATTTACTTTTATACATTACTCACGAGGATCTTCACGAATACTCTGAGAGAAGTTTTGCGAGCAAATGTTGGCAACGCTGGCTGCCAATCACATCACATTAGAGAAAACAACAAAAACTTACAGTGAAAACCCACAAATTTTGTCATCAAAACCCTGTTTTTCAACATTCGCACCAACAAGTGTCTTAAAAAATTAAGTGCTTACGTGATATTTGCAGTTGCTCACTTAGCTATCCATCTGACACGATTTGAAGTAACTGCATTAAGTGATTTGATTATGATAATCTGATTTTAAGTGACTATGATATGATAATGTGAGTAATTATGCTATATGTGATTTTAAGTAATTGTGCAATGATAATGCAACTTTAAGTGTTTGGGCTATAATAACATGATGTTTAAGTCAATGCGCTATGATGATGTAGTTTAAATTGCTACTGCCGTAATAAAGCGACTGTCACACCATATGCGTCACTCTAATATTTTGCTGTCACCTTCACATCACCTATTTTTCATACTCTTCAGATACAACAAGGCAGAAGGCAGTGCTGCACCTCCAGCCTTATTGCACATAAATGATTACAGTGTTAACAATTCCCCTCTAAAATAAAATCACAAATACTTCATAAAAAAAAAAAAAGTAGAGGCTAGTGTTATTCTTATCCAGCCACACTTCTTCAGTCATTTTTTGCCGTTCAGCTTTTGAACATTTCGGAAACAATCATTGTTTCGGGAAGCCACTTTCCCAAACAACTACGCCGGGCTAGCCCCAAACTAGAGCAACTCCCTTGGGACATACCAGACGGCGGCATCTCATGCAGCCGCACCGGCTCACCTGTAGAGGGTGTTAAAGGTCTTTTCGCATCCCGTGGCATCGCATTCGTACGGCCGTTCGTTGGTGTGCACCCTAAAGTGGATCTTGAGGCTGTAGGACGTGAGGAACGCCTTTCCGCAACCTTCTTGCATGCACATAAAGGTGTACTCCCCTGGAAATAATTTGCGAAAATTCCTACAGTCAGCATCAGCATGATACCTCCTAACAGAGGCTCTCTCCACTTGGATCATACAGCATGGACAAGGCATGCCTAGGGCACCTCATTTTAGAGCAATGCCCGAGCATGTTTCGTCAAAACTGTTAAATAACAACACCTAGAAGAAAAAGCGTGCACATTATGTCGTCATCGGTAGATCCCTGACCCAGTCCGAGCGATGAATGTTTGAAACTCAACAGGATTACGAAGCGAAGCGGCAGAAACATGGACCATAGTATGCCTTGCTTCAGCATTGCACCCATTGTGAAATGTTGCCCAGAGTGATGCATATGTGAGCTGGATGGCACAGCAAGGATTCACTAATAATGACTTTAGAGTAGAAAAAATGGAGGCCCTGCCTTCTAGGTGGTGCTCAATAAACACAATTTCTTCCAAAACAGGAAAATGATAAGTACTCAAGCTTTTTCTCAGCACTCTTTGGAGGTTCAAAGAGTAAGCGTAGCCCAAATATATAAACAGTCAAAACACTCGGCTCATTTTTTGTTTTGCACTAAATGTCAATGTTTTGGTTGTGGAAATGTTTTCTGCAAGCCATTCGGCACATATGTGTCACATAAAAAATAAACCAATCGATAAACTCTATTGTCTTGATTGACTCCTCCCTTAAATGAACACTGAACGCCCCCAAGAATTTGTTTTAAGTGCCTCGGTAGGAAACTTATGTCATAAGCCCCTCCCTCCCCTCCCCCCCCCCCCCCCCCCAAAAAAAAACAAAAAAAAACAGCACAATAATAATGTTGCAAGACTTATTTTAGGGATCCACAAACACGCTTCTATTTTCGGGTCATTGTCTCAAACATGCATTGCACAGATTTCGATCGCCATTGTAACCATCTCGTCATTACCAGTCGTGAGCGGTCAAACGCTGTCTGCCGAACTCAAACGCAAACATCTGGACCAGTCTTTCCTCTAGCTTTGTTTGGGAAAAGCAGCGATACCAAAGGCGCGATTCGAGCGGAGCAAGAGACGAAAGGCACCTGTGTGTGTCTTCTGGTGAGTCTTGAGGTTCCCCGCCGTGCTGTACGTCCGCTTGCAGCCCTCGAAGTTGCAGCGAAAGCGCTTGATCTCCCGCTTGCGCGTCTCCTCGTTCATGCTCTGAATCGTGAGCGTGGCGTGCGTTGGGTTCTTGGGCATCGGACTGTTGCCCGGATTGATCTGCATACATATCTGGTCCGCAGAGATGGTGTGCTGGATGTACCTGCAATGAAGGCAGATTTGGCAGTTGAGAACGCCCCAGACTTAAGTCTTCCGCCTGCCTCTGGGCCGATCACGTCCTAAACTAACAAAGGAATGATTAAAGGCTCATGCACACACTTGCAAATGCTTATAACCAACTGCATTACAACCGAGTGTTTTACGACTGAGCATATTATAACCAAGTGCGTTACGACCGAGCGTAATCTCTTGTAACAAGAAAACACACTGGTGCCGTCTATTGGGTAACACGGAACACTCACGATTTGCATACATTTATTATTTCTTTCCTGCGTCATTGTTTCACCACTGGCTTGAAAAACTTTTGACACTGTTATAATTGACCATTTCTGATAGGTAGTATGTTAATTTCATCTCGCATATACTTCAGAACCTTCGCTCTAATGAAATGCTGTGCCGGGGCCAACTCATAGATGGCGCGAGCATGCTGGCCGGTTTTGTTGTAAGACATCGCAAGAGGTCGTAATGCGCTCTCGGTGATAAGCAGTAGCAAGTGTGCGAACCAGCCTTAAAAAAGAACAAGGCACTAGTAAAACAAACAAGAAAAACATATTTGCAGAGCTTGGTATGTGGCAATATGTATGTGTATGGTTTTGATCCTTCTTTTCTGTCTTTCTATGAACAGGATCGATGTCCTAAAGCAAAACTTGGACACGGAAGCTCAGAGCAGTAAGTTACCTACTGTAATTTCTCGAGAGAGAGGCCCCACCGCCGAAAATAACCCACCCCTATTTTTGGCCTGATTTGCTATTTTTTCAAAAAACACAGAAAGATATTGATATTTATTTCATGCACAAAAACACCATAATAGTTTTAACATTGGTGTACAGAAGTCAGATTCCTAAGAATTTACAACATGCAGACATATGAAACCATAATAGTCCATAATAAAACATTCATCATAATAAGACAGACATAACAAAAGACATTATAGGCACATCAGTTACTTAAGGTGAAATAAGGCATGGAAAAAATATTGTGCAGGATAAGGACATTGCACGATGTCTGAATATGATGAATTGGCGATTTCTCTATTTGCCTGTCGAGATAAAACATGTTGCAATGTCACGTGAATTTAGCTGGCCCACGTAACTTTATGCTGCCCAAAAGATTGGGTATGTCAATTACACCCTGGATAAGCTTTTGTAGAAACACCGCATCTCGGCAATGCCTTTGGTCACCCAAAGCGCTGAGGTTCAAAATCTTAAGCAGAGAATGGTGTTTGAAATAGTCTTCAATGAAAATGTTGATCATAGACTTTGCGAACCAAATGCCTTTGCACCGCTTCAATACGCTTACATCCAGTTTCTGATAAATGGTTCCATACGACAGGAGCGAATTTGAGCTGGGGCCTAACCAGAGCATAAAATAAATGTAATATGGCATCAGGTGCTTGAAAGTGCCGAGTCAAATGGGAGATTATACCAAGCATTTTAAAATCAGTACCAGAAATAGTTGTCACATGAGATTTGAACGCGAGTTTGCAATCGACTAACACACCAAGGTCCTGATCACATCAGCTCGAGTAATAATAGTTTCCCAATATGTACTTAAAATGTAAGGGATCCTTATGCCCCAATAGCGAGATCACTTTTATTTTGTTGGTATTAAAAAAAAATGGTTGGATGAGCACCATTGTGAGATACTCAGAATATCAGACTCTAGCGCATCACAATCTTTTTCGGAACAAATACCTGAGAATAACTTAATGTCATTGGCAAATAAGAGCACTTTAGCAAACTTTACACAATTTAAAATATCATTTATAAATACCAGCAACAACAATGGCCCTGATACTGACCACTGGGGGACACCTGAAGTTGGAAAAAACGGACTGTATAAAACAGTATCAACACAAACAAAGTTATTTCTCGATGACAAGTAACTAGGAACACACTCACAAAGCTTGGGGGAGATGCCATATTGTTTCAATTTATGTACAAGCAAATTATGGTCAACCTTATCAAACGCCAAATCGTGTCAACCTGACCTCGGTTTAAAGTTACCGGGCCTGCGCAGTGCAGAAAACTACAAAGGTTAGTTTTGACTGAACGTCCTCTAATGAAACCATGTTGTTGCATCAGAGACTTTGATAAATGAGAGAAAAGACACTCTTGCATAACGGTTTCAAATATTTTAGCAAAACCACACAGCAGTGACAGGGGACGGTAATTCGATACAACACAAGCATCACCACATATTGCAGGAAACACACTGCTATGCAGAGACATGTTAAAATTAGGAGCTAATAGGGGCGCCAGAAGCTCACAACGTCCTTTAATAATAAATGGTGGAATTTCATGAGTGCCGACAGACAATTTCGGCTCAAGCTTTTTTTATCGCAGTCTTTTAGTAATTGCAGGGCCCTGGTCAACGGTCACCTCGACAGAAATGGTGTTACTTAGCCACGGCGAAAGACAAGTGAACATTGATGACTGGGAAGGAGTCGTCTTTGGTTCATCGCCCCTCCCTGCGATAACAAGTTTCGCAGGTCACAAAATCTAAAACTAGCATTTTTTCAAATTCTTTCATCACACACAGAAATCTAGCCCACCCCTTATTTTCACTTTAGGTGGGCTATCTCTCAAGACGGTAGTTTACCCTCCTTGGAACGTGCAGTGTTTTGGGTACGAGAATGCCCTCAACCTTGCGCTTATCCGTGCTCATCTGGGCAAGAGGTGACAAACCCTCGGGCAGCATTACCAACTCATCCCAAAGGTGAGAATTAAGTGGACCACTGTGTAGTGCTTTGCAACCACTCCCATTTTTATGCTTCAGTTTGGGAGGACCAAGTACGCCTACCGTAAGATACCGAGCATCTGCCCATTCTACAGTAAGTGCACACCCCTCAATTTTGTAACATTTGGAAAATACACAAAGGACATATCTCTACATATTGTTGACTTAAGGAGAGCCCATCCCCCATTTTTACATGAGTATCTCAAAATTTTGAATGAGCACTAACTTGAGGTTTTACAGTACATGTCTGCTTTGTTCTTCCATAACCGTCCGTCCACCTACACAAAAAATGTTCAAGTCTGCAACTCCTGCCCCTGTGTGCTTGCCGCGGGCTTCCTTAACACCTTGAGAGGAATGTCACAAGTCAGCCATTAAAAGAAATTCTAGATGCATTTCGTCTCAATGCCATGTTGGAGCTGATTACAACAAAAAAAGGAAAGGTATGTTCTAGACTTGTACCATTCTAACCGAATGCATCGTTTTTAAAAAAGAAAAAGCCTTTAATCATTCATTATTTTTCTGCTGCAACGGGCTAAATCTAGATGGGTTTTCAGAGAAACGAAAACTATTTTGTACAAAGGTATGTAGTGCTAATGAATTGTTTTTGCATATATTTGAATATTGAAATATATTTATATATTTAAATTATACAGATGAATGAATCATACTGATCAAACAGGAATGAGGGTTAAAATGCAACTGAAGAGCTATCCCAGCTCTGCCAAATAGTGTTTTCACTGACTCTCAACATTTATTTTCATTTCATCAGTATGGTTCATTCATGTGGATATTTCGACCATTTCCTCTTTAGAGACAGGAAAACGACGGAAATAACCTGTCATTGTATTTTAATGTCCTCCCGGGGCTTGAAGCTTCTACAGCAAAGAAGGAATTAATTAAATAATCAACAAAAATATGTAAACACAACACGAAAAGAGACATCAAAAGAGAAAAACACAAAATCTCCATGGAATGTCTATTATAAAAAATTAGCAATTAAAATTTTAACATCAGCAATATTGGTCATTATTGAGACTACTGGAAGGGCCATTCCAACGGATGGAGTTTTGAGAAAGAAGAGTAGGGAAAGGGAATGCTATGGGGGGAAGGTGTTATGTTAGAATAATAAATCTTGCAAAACAAACATAAACAAGATATTATTAAAACTTTTTTTTTTCCTTTTTTTTTTAAGGAATTAAGTACTTTGTAAGCAACTTCATCTCTAAGGATTCAATATTTTGCAACCATAATATTTCGCTATGTGGACTGATTTGCTATGAATTTGTTGCCACGGGGTGATATATCCTCGGGATTCATTTTTCCCAAATTTATTCAAGTTCACAAAAAGTTAGGTCCTTCTGATAATCAAGTTGACATGCAAGAAAAAAGATTATGTAGCTTATATACCAAGACATAAATAAAGAGCAATAAGAAGTAGCATTAGCAATGGTCAACCATGCAGAGACCTCCAATTTGGTCAAAACAGTCTGCGACTCTTTAATGCCTGGTCCCTAGTGCACACTACATACAAATATAATTTAACCATCATGAGAATAATAATAATTTAACCATCACAGACAAGTCCTCTTTATGCTCGGTCCACAAAGAGTCGCTAAAAACATTTCGTTCTGGCAGTTGTCAATTGAAGGTTGCTTGGAGATCACTTTCCTCGCCGTCAATAAATGGAACAAGCAGGTTTGTACCACTGACTTTAAAGACTGGGACAAGACTGGAGCAGGCACTCCATCGACCAAACTCGGCTAATATGAGCATAGCGGCTATTGCTACCAACCTGCCCTATTCGAATTGGCGATTATCTCAAACCTTTGAGTGGGCACTCTATCGTGATCTAATGAAGCCAACGGTTGTGCACGAAAGTTGGCAAAAGTAAACCAGCCTAGACCAGACAAAATGAGCTTTCCTTTACTTGGCAGCTATCAAACAGCTTGGTTTTACACTACTTTCTAAGGGCAGCCACAAGCAGCCAGTTTTGGACCATCAATTCTTGTGTTGAAAACAAACTTGATCTTGAGCAGCAAATATATTTCCGTGGTAGCATGGCTCTTGTAGGTCCTCCACCTGCGAAGCTTTAAAGGCTCTGTTATACTCAGACGTCGAGCTTAGCAAACGCGGTGCACACAAATGCTGATTGGTTGCAGATATTGAGTTCCTGCTCGCCGGCCGATGAAAGGCGCACATTCTGCGCTATGCTGCATTCGCTGCTTTCAACATTGGAGTATAAGAGAGCCCTAAGCGTGCAAAATGGCCCGTAGGAGCCCTTCAAAAGACAAAGTGCATGGAGAAGAAAAGAGAATTTCCCCCCCTCCCTGATAAACTCAGACAACAAGGTCATCGGTGCCCATTAGAGATTATCATGTTTTAACAGCTTGCACAAAAACAGGCCTCTTCTCTCTGCCATTCATAAACTCAAAGAGAGGAACTTTTGCAGTTTGGCTGACGATTTTGCCGATCGGCCTACGGGGCCATAAAGGAAAAAAATGTTCTACTCAGGTCAGATCGATCCAGGTAAAACTTTGAATGTAAAATGAGCTGCTACTGCCCATTTACGATCTGAGGTGTCAAATTCAAACTGTACACAATCTAATATAATTTAAATGTACAATATAAAAATTAAAAAAAGATTAAAGCTGCACACAGATGCACCACAGCCATAAGTAGAAGCATAACAGATTACAGAGTCGGCAGGTGACAAGGAGACAATTGCCACGAAAAAATATTAAATGAAAAAAAAAAAAAAAAGCCTTAGCAGCATGACATCACCCTGTCACAATACTGGAGCCACCTGGCAGTTTAGTGATTAATGTTTAAACAAAGTAAACACCAGCTCGATACAGTTTAAAAAAAATAAGAGAGAGGGGGAGGAGGATTCTTCCCCGAACGATGCTATGGGGTGTGCTAATTCTGGCAGAACGCCTCGGCACTCATAAAAACTGCAAGAAAGGGTGCTGCCATAAGTGGGACAGCCCGGAGACGCTTCAAAATGGTTTTGTTCTCTGAATAGACAGACCCACGTCTTTAAAACGACAAACTAGCATTTTAAGAACTGAACCCTGTCTAGAAAAGACAGCAGGTAAGCAGTTCATAGACTCTGCAAATAGATAATGAAAAAAAAGAGCTGTCTATTTTGCTTGTACCGAGCTTACAAGAAAGGCCCCAGAACTAAGTTTTTCAGGCTCATGCAGCGTAGACCATTGTGCCAACCATTGATTTGTGCATCAGAGCCCCGATGTGACATCCTGAGGACAATTATGCGACACATCTATACTTGGGAACTAGGCTAAAACCTGCAGCCTATGTAAATAGTTAATATTTAACATGAGTGTGAAAACCAAAATTTAAGTCGCTTCCATTACTTCCAGCACAGCCCTCAAGGAGGAGGTAGTACTCCAACGTGGCCTGCGAGGTTCTGACTTATCTCACACACGCTCGCTGTTCTTGGGGCATTTCTCTGGGTAGAAAGGAACCAACCGACACATCTGGACGCACCCTAGCCTGCTAAAAGACTGTGTTCAATGAACACGGCTGGGAACAGTATGCAACATGTCCTCTTGAAGCAAAGAGTACAGCAATACAGTATTCAAGGTTGTGACTTAAAAGCGGTGTCAAGAAACAGTTGAGGACACATAACACAGTCAGTTGCAATCGTGAAGTGTGCTGGAAGGATCACCATGTCAATGCATAAAGCATATGATCCATATAAACTGCATGTGGATTTCTGCTGCCATCAGGACTTGATTGTAATGGCCTTGGAGGCATGGTATAACTTTGACACTAGATGTCAAGGTAGTTAAGGCGGAGCATATTAACCCGATCTGTACCTATATAGAAAATCGTTGTATCCTTTGTTTTTCATTCGGACAATTTCCCCTTGATTCTCGCGGCTTCGGCTGCGGTCAGTGGCCATGAAGGACGTTTCGGATTCAATGAATGACGGAGGGAACGTTGCGAAACAGTCGACTCGCACGACGCATCTCACGGTACAAGGTCACTCGAAAAAAAAAAAAATAATAAGAATTACGATTAGAGTTTTTGCTTGCAAATTTGCACAGCAGATAGAGGTGTGTCGCAGGACGGAACCTACGAACTCATTTCACCATCGTCGGCAAAGAAGACTTACAAGTGTGTGTACTTTGAAGAGCTACCCGGCGTTGACGTGATACGAGCACGCACGCAAACATAGATCGTTCAACTCAATGGAATGGATGGAACGGGAGACTACATGAAAGAGGTCTCTATGGACGCGGTGATTTACCCAACGTCGCGACAGATAGCGTCAATGATATGCGAGTAAGATAACCATGTTAGGGTAACACCGACGGAGTGGAGGAAAAAAAGAAAAAGGGAAGAGCGCTGCTACTTTGAAAGCGAAGTTTGAACGCACGATGCCCTTGCTAGCGATGTCACACTTTTTTTCACGGAGAAACTGACAGCGTCGAAATGCATTTCAAGATCACGACTAACGTGTGAAGGGCATAACATACCCGGCATTCTCGTTTTCGTGGTCGTCGGCGAAAATGCCCAGGTCATTTTCGGCGGCGGTGTGGCCGTCGGCGGAGTCATCGAAGAGTCCGTCTTTCCCGGAGAACATTTGCTGTCCGAAGGTTGTGTTGTCCAGGCTGTCGTAGAGGTACTCGTGAAACGTCACCGTTTGCGATGTGGGACCCGACGAAGACGTATCATCTTCCATTTTTTCAGCATACACTTTTTGCGCGAGAGGGGCAACAACCAGTGGACATGAAGGTTCGCCACATTCGCCACTAAAAATACACCTTCGCCGATCGCCGCGGTCCCTGGTGTCTGTTTCACTTTGCCGCTGCTACCCACTGCTGCTACCCGCCTGCCGTTCTGCAAGGAACAAGATGTAATTCCAATAATAAAAGTAAACAAATACGTAGCGGACCCGATGTTCGTATTTTTCGTCTTATTCCGCAATTAAAGGTATCTAAAACAACATCTCCAACTGGTAATACCAGTCGTTCTTTTTCTATGCGTTTATATTTACGTAACTTCATGTTTTTCTTGTGTTCTTGTTGACGCCCACTGGCACGAGTACTTCATCCTCGCGCTGCGCTCGGTCCTCCAGTTCGTTCCACTCTTTTCAAATATTCTAGAACATATTTTTTTTCGTTTGATTTTCCGCGCATTTCCGAGACAGCGTGTGACCCGGTGAGCCTCAAAGATGCCTTTTCGCAGTTCCACAAGAGAGGTGTTCCGTCGACTGGCCAAAATACCGGGACTCCACATGAGAACGACGCAGCGACCGTGCCCAACTACGCGCCTTTTCTTTAACCGCGCCAACTCCTTCGCTCCCTTCAGACCACCCGTGCGACAAGTTGTGAACTACACTTCGCTACGGACCACGTCGCATGCTAACAGAGTGTTCATGCCGGCTGAAGAGTTTCAGCACGGCAAGGAGAAAGCTCTCGAGATCAAGTGAGTAGCCCGTTAAACGCACTGAAGCTAACGGGTTAATAATAATTCTTGCGCAAGCGCGCAAGAATGTTTATTACGTTTTCGTACTTGGAACAATTCTGGCTTCGTTAGAGGTTAATGAAGTCCAACACTTCTTCCTTTTTTTTTCTTTTTGTGATATGTGTTTAGCAGGAAAGTTATACGCGCGGAGTGAATTGTGTATGACAATTCTGTTCTAGGCAGGGAGAGACCATTCCGGTGAATGTGGACGATCTGCTCTTTGACATGTTCAAGGATAGCGACGGAACCGTCTGCGTGGGAAAATTTTTAAATGTAAGTTTATGCTAACTTCTTTTTTTTTTATTATTATTATTATTATTATTTAACGCTTGAAGCGAAGTCGAAACATTTATGCGTTTTACACATAATACAGTGAGGTACGTCATCGTGGGAGTGGATTGAACATATTTATGTGGATAGCCTTCCCACTGAAGGTTGATTGACATTTCTTAATCATTCTATTTCATTTACTTATGATCTGCATTATAGTACAATAATCCAGTGTAACAATTTCTAGCTAGGCTTATTACAAACAGTCAGTAGTTTACTAACAGTGAACAAAACTCTGGATATGATTTAAATCTGGCCAGTTGTGCATGTCACATCCTTTCCCAGAATAGGTACGGTGACTTTAACTTGAGCAGTGGCGTACCAACTTGTTTTTGAGTGGGGGGGCAAACCAGACCCTCTCCCCCCCCCCCCCCCCCCCCCCCCCCCAAATCGAAAATTCGGCGCAACTTTTGTCCAGCTTTTCTAAAGATTTGGCAATGATTCGGCAAAATTACAACGTTACCAGACTTAACATTAATATTTTGTTTTTCCTCACGAAAAAAATTTTGCTTCTTCTTCTTAAAATAAATACAACTTGTAGTGCCTATTGAAAGAGTTATGACTAAATAAGGTGATATTCTAGAAGATAATTGTATCGATGTCGCTTTTGTGTGTTTGCTTGTAATTTTGGTGTATGCTTCCAGAAAGTGGCGTGACAACGAGGTTGGGTAGTAGCCGGCACAGTCACGAATCACACTACAAGAGCTTTGATTTTGAGGCTTCATCAGCGCACGCCTGCAAGTGTGTTTACATTGTTAAAATAAAGGCAATCACTGCGTTCTTACTTTCTCTGGTGGTCGCCGTTTCGTGCGCGAAAACAGATGCAACGGTTGCTGAGCCTTCACCAGAAGAGATAACAATATTGTAAATATGCATGTTTTTCGATTTGAGTCACTTGACGTCAGCTTTGCATGAAAGTGCGCGTTTCATATTCGGAACGTGCCGTTTTTAACCTTTAAAATTCCGGTTTCTGGTGTTCGGACACACACGGACGTTTAGGAAGATGGGGAGAGTTAGGAATGGTCGGATGTGCAACGTCGACCATGATAGTTCTGTGTTTAACGAATATTTTTCGTCAGTGTTTACTAACGAGTGCTTGGACTCCGTCCCCACTCTCCCTGAAGAGCTTTACGAGCGCATGCATCCTATTAACGTTAACTCCGTCGGTATTATAACATTGATTGATAAACTAAAACTTACTTCGTCCGCTGGAACCGATAACATCAACTCTAAAATTTAAAAGAAACACCAGTGTTATTTCGAGTGAGTATTTAAAACTTATCTTTATTCAGTCCTTATCTCAAAGGTGCCTTCCATCTGACCAAAAGGTGGGAAGGGTAATTCCCAGTCCCAGCGCGTTAAAAATATGCCCGCGCGGGTCGGGGGGCAGTGCCCTTGGTATTCCTTGGGCGCCGCCGGCCTGTGTCTGCTCTGCCCAGTGGCGGCCGTTTCAGGGGGGGCAAAACGCATGCCTTGCCCCCCCACTCTGAGAACTGGGGGGGCAAGTGCCCCCCTTGCCCCCCCGGTTGGTACGCCCATGAACTTGAGGTTCCCATCTTGCCACACCAGGAAAAGCGAACAAACTATTGTTAACAAAGAACTGCGCCTCGTGCAAGAGAGGCCAATGCATAGGCGTCGGAACTATTCAGGAGATGTGGGGGTGACGGCGATCTTGCGCCCTCTCCCATCTATTCCCGAGCGAAAATTTCCAACTGGGACCAGTTGGCACCTCAACTGGTTTCAACTGGGACTAACTGGTACCAACTGGGAATGAACTGGGACCAGTAGGAGTCCAACTGGGACCAGCTGAGGGGTCAAGTGGTTTGAACCTTTCCCAGTTGGGAGTCAACTGGTTTGAACTATTCCCAGTTGGGAGTCAACTGGTTTGAACTATTCCCAGTTGGGAGTCAACTGGTTTGTACCATTCCCAGTTGGGAGTCAACTGGTTTGACTTCCAGTTGGGAATGGAGTGAACTGGAACCAGTTAGGAAAGTAACTGGTTGGAGCGATTCCCAGTCGGACTTCAAATGCCTTTCCCGTTCCCAGTTCATACGGAGCAACAATTTTGACAAGTTCGGGGTGTATTGACCTTTGCTAATGAAGAAAACTAAAAACACTTAAATTTTTATATTTATACAAATAGGGAAATTTTTAATTACTGGGGTACATTTATATATTTATAAAAATATAAGAAATTTAATTAACTAAATAATTTTTTTAATTGGAAAATATAATTAGTGACAAAATTTTTTCACCTAAATTAACATTTAGTGCATCATTAAAATATATTAAAACATTTATTTAAACACCTACAGTATTCTTTTTCTTTTAATAAATAAATTTATTTTTTGGCCGATCAGAGCTAGCCGGCCGCCGAGGTACGCGCTGTCGACAGATGGCGCCGCCTATGCGGACGCCGGAGTCGGAGTCGGACGGACGCGGTAGAGAGGGGTCGCCATCGCCCAAGTTGGCGTCGTTATGAAAATGTAAAAACTACAGCTGCGCTTCTTTGGACCTAACTGTAAACACACCATGGTGGCAGCGGTGAACTTCTAGGATGGAAAGATGCAGTTCAGCGATCGGAGGGCACCCAGGAAAGACCGGACGCACATAGACCGGACGGAAGAAAACGCCGCGGAGAGCACAATGGCGAAAATGGCGGGAGGTCTACCTTGAAAATGTTAGACCGTTGTGACAGAGATTGCAAGGTGGGAGCGCTACCGCATCCTATCAGTACTTCACCTGCGTAACGCGGGATCACGGGTGAGCACCTTTCTTCACGCGATGGGGAGAGAAGCTGAGGACGTCTCCACTAACAGACGCCAGCGGCCGATCTTCATCTCACGAATGCTACCTCTGAAAAAGCGATTCAACCGTCGCATGCAAGTGGCTAAACCCGGAGCGTGTACATCACCGAACCTATTATTTAGTTTCATTCTCCAAGTTTTTGACAATAAAGTCTTGTCAACCTTCCATTTTGTGCCGTGTTTCATTGTTGCTGGAGTTGGTACCAGCGGTAACTGGGACCAACTCCAAGTGGGACCAGTTGTAACTGGGACCAATTCCAGCTCGGACCAACTCGAACTGGGACCAGTTGCAACTGGGAATTGTTCCATACACCAGTTGCAACTGGGACCAATTGGTCCCAGTTGAAAATTTTCGCCTGGGTTGTTTCCATTAAATTTCTGTCTGGGAGGGGGTGTCGCCCCCCTCTGTTCCGATACCACGGGGGTCGTGCATCTTGTGTTTGGCGAAACGCTGCTCTGAGTAGTTTTGCAGACGCCAACAGAGCCAACCTTCTTTCAGTGTAAAACATCCATTGATTCGTCCAGTCTCACACTGTTTCTTTTTGGTTGACTGTGATGGTCAGGCTCTCTTCACTACTGGCCTGTGGAAAAACGATCCACGGCTCAAGGAGATGATGCAGAACTTACGAAATGTTCACAAGGAGAAGTCCCCAGTTCGTTCGCTCGAGAACCTCTCTGTCACCAGGGAAACTTTCAGCCAGTAAGTGGCCCTTACCTGCAGATTGTTCAAGTGGGGAAATGGGGGCACCTTTTCAAACTGTGATATCCCTGCGCTTACCCCAATGTCCAGCTTAGACGGCCCTTGAACATTGTCTCACAACATCCACTTTGCACGTGGGATTTGTGAGCTGGAAGGGAGATTCGATCACGTGCAGATCACTCTGATCCTGTTGATTTTCAGGGTGATTCGTGAAAATATTGTGCTGATCACACGAGCCCTGCGTCATCAGTTCGTGATACCGGACTTTCAAGACTTTGTGCGCTATGTCGAGGACTTCTACTGGAAATGCAAGGTCAACACCGGTGGGAAGGTGAGCTTTGCAGACAGCTCTTAGAACCTCATTCCATAAATACAGAAATGGCATAAGCAATGGTATGGAAAAAGGATAGGGGGGGGGGGGGGGGGGGGTTGTAAGAAAATGTGTGGACAGCTGTATGCAAGACAATGCAGCCTTCAGGGGTGTGTATTGTTCTGCTAGCTTGCATCGTTATAAACAGGCTGTTTAACTAACAACAAAAAACAACACTTGAAAGAAAGAAAAAATTCAATTGGGGTAACGTTATTGACCATGGCAGACGTCAGGTTACGAGTGTAAAGATAATTGATGAATCAATGACCCAAATTTCAGTCATTAACTTCTGAACTATTCGCCTATCTTAGCTGGCACATTATATTTAGGGATTTGTTGCCCATCATACAATTATGTCGGCTGCTGTTAAAATTTAGACAACTAAATTCTACCCCATGCTATTTTTTGATTAATTTAAGCTTGGGTGGTGTGAATATTCGAAATTTCGAATAGTAGTTTCGAATAATACTCTATTCGGTTTCGGTATTCGCTTCGAGAAGAACTGCACTATTCGCGTTTTTCGAAGCGTTGATTGCGGCGGGTTTGCCCCGTTGAGTGCGCTTCGTACGGAGCACGGGTGCACTGCGGAGAAGCAATACCCGCGGAAGCGAGCTCTGCGGGTGTTGCTTCTCTGCATTACACCGGTGCTGGGTAAGAAGCGCACTCAACGGGGCAACTTGCCGAGATAAACACTTGGAAAAGTATGAATATCACAATTGCGTGCTTTGAAGAAAAGCATACATTTAAAGTGGGACGGTGCACGCGTGTCGGTTGTATTTGAAAATAAATGGAAACTTTGGGAATGTGTATATCTACCTTCTAGTAAAAGTTTAAAAATTAAACTGACTGTTATGCAAGAGTATGCTATGGTAGACAGAGATGCCCTTACAACCTGCATCCATCATGTGTGGTTCTTTCTTTTTTAACTCAAGATTAAAGAAATAATATTTTATATAGCAAGATTTGTAAATTAATTCAATTGGGTATGGTTGGCCATCTCTATAGGATTCATTTTATGTCATATCCGTTGTTTACAGCTGCCATTTTGAGACATCAGACCTTCTGAGGTCACAGTTCATAAATATAGATAATTAAACTTAGCTTATAAATGAACAAGTGGAAGAACCTTCGCAAATTTAGCTGGGTTTTCATCTGAGCATTATGCTATGGTAGTGAAAGGCGTGAAAAAACTGTTTGATATTCTAATCGAAAATATTTGGCCAAAACCCCTATTTGCTTCAAATTCACTTCGAACTCAAAATGCACTATTCTTACAAGACTAATTTAAGCCTTGAGGAGACAGATACCAAAACCAAAACGTAAAGAGCAGTGGAAGTCTTACCTGGAAGCAACGTTGGCTACTGCAGCGGTCACGGGAAGCAAGTCATTCTGTACCAATCTGGCAGCGGTACATTATTGTGCGGTCTTAGAAAAGGTGCCGCATACTTTGATGCCTCCTCAGGTGCTCAACTTTCAGCACTTTCTTTTCACCTTAGCTTCAGTGTGATATACTCTAGGCAGCCTAACTTTGCCCTTCTACAGCACGGAGAAGACTTTAATTTTCTGACTCCTAACAGCTGCGTTAGCATATTTGGACAATGGGTAACAAATCTCAGATCGAAATGTACCAGGTAAATAAAATATTTATCAAGTTAATTAGCGGATTTGAGCTAACTAGATAGCTAATTATGGCTTTTCACTCGTTCCCTGACATTCACTGTGGTTGACAGTGTTATCCGGAAGCAATCACTTAGTTTTATTTGTCCTTTTTTTTTAAACTGCTATTCGTGGTCATTGGTAAAACATCCTTTATATCGTGGAGAAATATCAATCCAATATTAGTTTCTTATTAAGCCCATCGGCTGCGAGTTTCAGGGAACAAAAACTGCCTTAGTGTACATCCATTACAGTTTTCTTTGCTGACTCGGCTCTAAATGCTTAGCAATGGTTTTCCGTTTCAGGTAGCTACATACATCCCTCAGTTGGCCAAGTACAACCCCGACTATTGGGGAGTCAGCATCTGTACAGTGGATGGACAAAGGTACAGAAATAGTCATGCTCTGGTGGTTGCTGTAGGATTGGGTATGAGCATGTGTTGCAGACTTTAGGGCTCCTTGCCCATGCTCTTACTGTTTTTTTTCTTTTAATTTGCTTCGAGGGTATCTGGCAGCACACTGGCATTGTTTTGTCTCTAACTACTCCCAGAATCACAAACTCCCACCTTTTTTAATCCTCGTTACCGAAGGTTTTCGATCGGGGACACGGAGATTCCGTTCACGATTCAGTCGTCTGGCAAGCCGATCAACTATGCCATTGCGCTCACGGAGCTGGGTTCGGATACAGTGCACCAGTACGTGGGGCAGGAACCCAGCGGGAGGATGTTCAACGAACTGGTCTTGGACTACAACAGTGAGTATGATTTTCCTATGGTCACCCTCAACGACTTAAGTACAGAGTGCATCAACACGTGTCCACATTCCTCGCTTTGCAGTCAATACTTCACCTCTGTCACCTATTCGACATTGGTGCAGCTGCATAGAATTCTCAGTGTTGAAGAGAGAAGAAGAGAGAGATTGTTGCCATACTCCCAGACAACTTTGTGTGGCTATGCAGAGAAAGCTATGGGTGCACATGCACTTGCACATGTTGAACGCTTATCAAAGCTGTGCATGTGCGCTCTTCTACTAAAATTTCTCTGAAAGTTGTCTGCGAGCTTAGTGCCTTCCTGTCCATTTGCAGAAACAGCAGCGCGATATGTTTATTAAACCTTAATTGTTTTGTTCGGTGTACGGACAAAAGCTATTGTCAAGTAATTTAAAGCAGATCTACATAATGGCAAGGCAGCTTCACTGCTTTAGCTCTGTGCACTACGAGAAAGCTGCTTTTTCACTACTGTCACATGTCAGATAATGGAACTACCTCATAGAATTCTCATTATTGAAGAGATAAATTATTTTCATTAGTGCTTTCATGTTCAGCCATAAAACAGTTAGCTAAAACGCGATTCTTTTTGCTTGGGGAATGCATGAAAGCTATTGGCAGATAGGGAAGTTCTAAAGCTGATCTGCGTGACTGCAAGGTAGCTTCACTGCATTAACAAGGTTCACTACAGGAAAGTGAGCAGTGAATCAGCAGGGTGTGGCAAATACCTAGCATAGGACTTCTAACTATTTTGCCCTGTACATTGTGCTGAACCATTTTAGATATGAAAAACTGGAAATAAGTGCTTCATTTAGTTCATGGCTGAAGTATGAAATAATGTAAATATTTTTCTTTTCTGGGGGCATCATAAAGTTTGGACTTAACATTCTGGTTGTTGTCACACTGTTGGCATGCGATTATATTATATTTAAAATAATGTAACCAGATAATCCTATACTAAATAGAAAATGGAGTTGGCCTGTTCAACATCCCAGATATGAAGTTGCAAAATATTCCCATAATGCTGCACCTGAAAGTTGGATGAATGCTTCAAATGTATTTTTACAAAGTAATCACTGGAACCACTTGATTTCAGAAAAGGGCATATCAACCTACTTTGTCAGACAAGGCTTTCAGAGGAAATAAGTGATAGTGTAAATTTTGTCTCATAACTACTGTTGGATTTCTCAAAACAGTGCTTTTAACACATTAACTTTAAAACTGAAGTACCTCAGGTACGGTCGTTAAGCCTCTCAAGGTAGTGCATATCTCTAGCACTAATTCAGAGTGAACTCTATCGCCTATTTAAACAAACCAGTTAAAAATAGTATATACTTGCCACAATGCCGTAAAGTTTAGAATGGCAAATACACTGTCAACAACAAGGCTTTCATGCCAAATGATCCTGACCCTATCAATTCACTCACAGATGGCACTCATTTCATTCTAGAAATCTACTCAGTAATTCACAAAACTTTATCGGTAGTGACGGGATATGTGCATGCTGTTTTCTACCCATGGCTCATTTTTCTAATCTTCAGTTCTTCACGTTGCTCTTTGTAACGTCTCATGTGTCACATACAAAGTCTGATGTTTGTCCCTCTGTGAACTCCCGGTGGCAAAACTGCCTGCGTCTGTGGTGCCAACTGTCTCTCTTGTTCTGTCCTATCTGCGTGGTGGGATTTCAGAGAAGCCCCACAACCCCATGGTGAATGCTGGTGCTATTGTGGTGGCCTCCCTTCTTCTCTACCTCATTGAGGTGAGGGGGCTCGGGCACTGCACACCGACTGCCACAAACCAAGTCTTGCTCGCCGAATGCTAGTCTAAAATCGCCAGCCGAAGCACATGGTGGTGTTTGCAATTGCATTGCTGCATTTTAGTTGGGTTGGTGCAGGGGTTTTTGGCATCCAATCTTCGTTTTTCCCCACGTTCAGCACTGGCATGTGTTGTGCACTATGAGAATCAGCGTTTATCAGGGGATGTTTTTCCTCCCAATTCAGGTGCATGCTGAATATCTGAGAAGAGTTTTTATCAGGAGATGATAGCTCGCTAGGTGAACAGTGATATTCATATTTTTCTAAGAGTTGATCGCGATGGGTTAGCCCCGTTGAGTATGCTTCTTACCGAGCCTGAGTGTACTGCAGAAAAGCAACATCTGCAGACACCAGCGCTGCAGGTGTTGCTTCTCCGCAGTATGGTTATTTGCACGTATGGCCGCTATGGTTATTTTCACATAGCAAAAATATGTATAAATTCCCCGATTAGGTACATCTGTCATTTACTTTCCATCCCAATGTAGGCATTGTACTTTCTGAGTAAATTAACTCAGCTTAGAAATAGACAGGTGTCAGTTTGGGAACAACCTTCACGAGTTGAGCTGGGTTTTTGTTTAAGCATGGGGCAGTAATGAAAGGATTGGGCAAACTATGAAATATTCTATTCGAAAATATCTGGCCAAAACCACTATTCACTACAAACTCAAAATCCACTATTTTCACATCACTACAGTCAAAAGTTCAATGTTTTTGAGCAGCCACAAGATATATTGTAGCTTTTGTCTAAACCAATTGGTCAGCATTGACGCAGTTGATGATTCACTCGTAGTTTTGTAGTTGGTGAAGTCTATTGGTTGGTAGTCTACTGCAATAATTAATTGTGTGAAAGAATTTTTGTGCCATCTATTTTTGCGACACGACCAGTGCTTTCTCAGTGTTCTTTTTGTGTTTTCATTCGTCCCTGCAGCCAGAAATGAGGACATCCGAGAAGTTTGACTGGGTATGTTTCAAACTGCAAATGAGAACAGACACGACACATGTCAGTTAGCTAGGTTGACCGCTGCGCAACCCCGCAGATGTTGCCTAATCGCCTGCTATTGCATTCTAGATGCTGCAGTATTACAGAGCAATCTCGGGAGGAGAGTACCTGGGGTTTAACAATGCCATGTAAGTGAGCGTTGATATATGCTTTGGCGGCTGTTGTCTTCACGGTAGCTGGCATGCCTTATGCAAGCGTGAGGGTGCTTAGGGACGCAGTGACTCGCTAATTGGCCCCTTCGTTTGCATCTCCGCGCATGCAGATTCCTGTCTGAGAGGGAGGCGGCAGACCGCAACTATGCCATTGGCTTCTACATGAAGGAGAACAAGTGCTTTCCGGAGAGGGTCAACCTCAAGGAGACCATGGACTTTTACTTTCAGGTGTGCTAGATAACCGTTAAGCGTTACTTAGCAGTTTTGTTCCTTTGGTACTTGTAGATTCTCAAGGTTGCAATGTCGAGAAAGTATTTGTAATATATCCTGTAGATTTTTGCTAGAATAGAAGTATAAAATAAATGGCATAAATCAGTGCCTTTATGAAAAAAAAAGTGTATGCAGATCAGAAGAGGGACATGGTAGGCTTAATAACCTTATAAAATATTTATGTGTGACCCCCTCCCCCACACACAACATGGAAAACTTCCTTGTGTACGCAACTGTTAAAAAAAGTAACACTGACACCCCCCAAAAATTTGTATTTTTTGCCAAGTGATATAATATGGTGTCAGGAGAGACTACCCAGTTAGTATTTTGCTGCAGAGTCACACATATTTTTAATAAAGACAAAAAACTCACCTGCTCGAAACCGAAACACCAGCATGGAACCTCATCGCAGGAAATCACATGGCTACACCCGACCGTGTTTTTTTTTTCCTCCGCTTTTCTGGTTTTTGAAGCAGACGACGATGACGGCGGACTTGCGTGAACTATTTGTTGTGCGATTCTTTCACACTTATATTGCTTCCGCTCTATGTTCTGCCGTTGAAGCTCAAGGGGCCGGTACCACGAACGACAGTTTCGAAGTAGCGGCCCCACGTCCGTTGCAACTTTGAATATATTTGGTACGCCATAGTTTGAACGCCACGTGGCCGTGAAAACGAGAGTGAGCACGACTGAAACCGGCCAATTCTTGACCGGCTGTTTTTGCGCGAAAGTAAAACGAAGTTCGAGCCGCAAAGTGTGTTCTGTGTAGTCTGGCTCTTACAAGTTATGTTTAAATAAAAACCTTGGTGAACGTAAATACCCTGCCAGTGTCGCTTTAACATGCCGTATAAGATGTCGCTCCCACCGAACAAGCTGCTATGCACTCTTACCTTGCACACATAAATTTTGCTGGGCTCCAAGCTAAGGTAAAATGAAGCCTGTAGTTTTACCTTTTTCACCGAAGTGTGTGCGATGGTCAGATATAGTCGCATGCATGGCAAAGTTGGCAGAGAAGTTTGTAATTAACTTGCGCTTTCTAGTGCTCTTTAGGATGCATGCACGCTGTTGGAAACAACGAAAAGATTTAGAGCGGCACCGAACATCTATTGGCCCTTTTTTCACCCTTAAAGTGGCATATCTCGAACTGTATGTTTTTTTTCTTCGATTATTGCAGCTGTGCTCGCTGGAAGTGAACTGCCAGTCGGTGAGCGTGATGGCAGCGACCCTGGCCAATGGGGGCATCTGTCCGGTCACGGGACACCAGGTGATGAACGGCGTGTCCTGCAGGGATGTCCTGTCCCTCATGCACTCCTGCGGCATGTATGACTACTCGGGACAGTATGCATTCAAGGTGAGCACTTCCTCAGCCACTGGCCTCCAGTCATGTGCAAATAGCGGATTTTGAGTTCGAAGCGAATAGTGGTTTTAACTGAACATTTCCTAATTGAATATTGAACAGTTTCTCAGAGCTTCACTATTGTGCACCATGCTTAAAGCGAAAATTCGGCTGAACTTGTGAAGGTTGTTCCCAACCTTCCACTGTCCGCTTATAAGCTCAGTTAATTTTAATGTAGCTATATGAACTGTGGCATGTAAACGACAGATTTGTTACAGCTATCCTGGTCGAGGGTATTTATAAATCTGCTTGTTATATGCAAATATTCTTTCTTTTATTTAAAATTTGACAAAAAAGAAGCAAACACGAACGATGAACGCAGGCTGTCGAGACATCACTGCTCAACATGTACTCTTGCATAATCGTAATGGGTTAGCCCCATTGAGTGCGCTTCTCACTGAGCACCTGTGCGCTGCGGGGAAGTAATACCCGCAGAGCCCTCGAGCTTCGCGGGTATTGTTTCCTTGTAGTGCACAGGTGCGTGGTGAGAAGCGCACTCAACGGGGCGAACCCATTGCTGCAGGTCGGGCTAACCCGCCGCGACCCGCTTTAAAGAGCGTATTATTCTAGACTACTATTCGAAAATTATAAATATTTGTACAACACTACTGTCCTCACATTACAACTCACCATTGAAGAGGGGGAGCAAGGTGCTAATTTTTAGGAAAGTTCTTGCGAAACCAGGTTCTCGTAAACCTTTCATCCGATTTCACCAGCCACTAAAATAAACATAAAAAACTCATAAAAGATAGTTAGCATATTGATCAGATTTCATATGTTGAGGGAACTTAAATTAACTGTATCAGTTTCGGGTGTGCGCCAGATTTACAAAATCTAGTGGCAAATTTTACCGTCCGGCGCTTTTGTCTTTAGTGAAGATCTATGTTCAGACAGACCGAAGTCTGAGGAAAGGATGGAGTGTCGTGGGGTCTTCAGTGGCTCCTAATAAGTGACCGAAAGCGATAGACAAATTTGGGCAGGACGTTTGTAATTTATCTATGCTAGTTTATTTATTTTATGAATAGTCCTATCAGCATGCTCAGTTTCTTTGTTTTTTATGAGCAGCTTCAACAACAAGAAACCATTTCAGACTGTTTTTCAGTTTTCAGGTCACAATCAGTAAACAGTGTTTTGATTATTATTGGCTGTGACCCCGAGCTCGATATAGGTCGATCCCCGAGACGGTCCTTAATTGTGCGTGCAGGTCGGCCTTCCAGCCAAGTCCGGCGTCTCTGGCTGCACCATGGTGGTGGTTCCCAATGTGATGGGCTTTTGCCTCTGGTCGCCCCCTCTCGACATCTACGGGAACTCTGTCCGGGGCGTGCAGTTCTGCGAGGTGCGCTCTCTTCGTTTCCTACCCTTTGCCAATCCCTCTTCTTGCATCTGTGGTGCAACAAAATAATTCCCTGCTGGATCTACTGCGGAACTCCTCGTGTAGCAACACCATATGCAGGAGATTTGAGGGCAACCACAACCACAATTTGGTCAAGCCGCTGTTGAACTGTGCAGGCACTCTTCTCGGACATCCCGTTGTTGTGTAGTTTTGGCTTTCACTTTATTCGTAGTAAGTGCAGAATTATCTAGCATCTCTCTTTCTGCTAGAAAGAAATCGTTTGGGTTTAGCCATGCGATCTGGATTAGCTGTGTTTAATAGTTTGGTATGTACCAGGTTAAAGAGGTTCAAATTAGGCTACGGGCAGTGCCAGTGGCACACAGTGCTGCTGGCACCGTCAGATGCAGCACCAGCCTGCGATGGAAATGGCACTTACCCGTTCACATAGTAGGTCAGGCAACTGTTTATACCACAATTAGATGTGTTGTCTAGCTAACAATGCAGGGCTGATGTTGCCCACCACAGCCACTATTTTGGTTTCAGTTCATGATTATGTGTAATTCAAGATTGAACGAAAAATATTTAATTTTTCGTGGAACAAATACTGTAGTTTGTACAGTGGCTAGCGATATAAGCTAGAGTGCGTGTGCACAAGCGGCGACTGGGCAGTACAGACCACGCGGTCTAGCAGGCTGCGAGTGGAGGGTAAGAATGGCAGCGGAGGTGTTTAAATATGTCCACTCACCCGCCGCGCGTGATGCCTCCCCACCCCCATGCATGCGCAGTAGCCTTGCGACAGCGTTGTTTTTAGTTCTTGGTCACCGTCTGCACACTCTAGCTCATATGGCTAGCCACTGTAGTTTCTAATGTAAAATCCCCCGTTATCCCAAAATATTTTGAATTGAAGTGAGTTGCCTCTTAGAACTGCGCATTGCCTGTTTCAAACGGTGACAGTCAGCATGCGTGATGAAGCAGATTTTGTCAAAGAACGTGGTCTCTTCCGGTTCCTTTGGCTGCTGCGCCACCACGTTCAATCGAAAACCTGCTGTGCGCTCAGAAAGAATGACCTCTCCAGCATCTATAGCAGTCTTCTCTCTCCTCTTCCTAAAACCTACACTATCCGGCCAGTTGTAACTGCAAACTTGCCACAACTTGTACTAGCAAGAAGCACAGCATGGCATCTTTTCTAGAAACCTCAGTGGTGCCAAGTTAGGAGCACCAGATGCTGACTCTTCTCCGCTGAGCCCCTGACTTCCACTCACACGTACAGTGGCGGCGATTTGCTTCGATGCGCAGGAGCTGACACGGGTGTTCAGCTTCCACCACTATGACAACCTGCGTCACATGACCCAGAAGAAGGACCCGCGGAGGCAGAAGTACGAGACCAAAGGGCAGAAGATCGTCAACCTGCTGTTCAGCGCGGCCAGCGGTGACGTCACCGCCATGCGCCGGTGAGGGACGGAAAAGTGGGAGAGTTTGGTGGACGAGCTGCACAAAGAATGGAACCTAAATTGCTTTCTACTGGTGTTGGGTTTGTGGCGCTTTAGTTAGTATATTAGATGGGTACCTGCACTGGGGACTGATCAGTTGCAGGGAGAGCCACGTGAGTGGAAATGTGATGACACATTTCTTTTAACCTGGATGGGCAGTTTTTTGTGTAAATGTTCACCTTGTTCTTAGTTTACCCGAAGATTGTTTTTCTAGTTCTCGAACTTTTTGAGTTGTACGTCAGAAAGGTTGTGTTAGCCCTCGGTCTCGGATTTCTCACATTTTGTAGCTTTTTGGGGTGTTGTTTCTCTATATTTTAAAAATAATTTTGAAGGTTCATCCATGCTTTTGACATAACTTATGGGTTGCTTACTGTTTACAGTTGATAGCCTGCAGGGCTATGCCAGAAAATTCTTCGACATTACCACTCATTATCCATTTAATCTCCACACAAGCCCCATGTCATTCATAGACAAAAAATACAAACTTGGCTTACAACCACCCTCGAATTTTCTGAATCAAAAATGACTATAGCGTGGGGTTACCTTCTACCGCTGCAGAGCTTTAACCACAGTCACACATAAACCTTTGAATTGGTGCAATATGGCCTTCGTTGCAATTGTGCCATTAAAACCATCGCAGCCACTACCTGTCTGGCATGGACATGGGACTGAGCGACTACGACGGCCGCACCGCCCTCCATTTGGCGGCGGCCGAGGGACACCTGGAGTGCGTGGAGTTTCTCCTCAAGATGTGCGGAGTGGACGCCAACATCAAGGACAGGTGGGCCCTGTGCTCCCTGCAACCCTAGGAGCATGTGCAATTGATGTGCACCACTAGTTATGCAACATATCCCCTTTGGTGCAGTATGATACTTCTATGAATACTGCAGAGCACTCAAGTCCCAATCATCGCCATATACAGAAGGATCGACGAGGCGTAGAGGGTCTCTGAAAGGATAGTCAGTTGGAGCATCTGCACATGCTTGAAGCTTCACCGCATGGCACACGTGTTCTAGGAGTAGCGGCTAATGCTGGCCAGCGTCAGGGTTAACTCGGGTTTACATACTTTGGTTACAATTATAGGTCGTCCCTTATTTTGAAAGAACCGTTCCGGAAAGGAAGTCGACGTACAGTAGCTTTTACAGCCGTGGAGGTACAAGGGAGATGATTTTCTGCGTGACAGTTTCCTTCCTGTCTTATCTATAGGACCCCAAAATGCGTCCGGTTGTTACGCTTCCCCGGACTGTCTGCTTTTTACCGCGGTCCTCTGTAAAACGTATCAGCGAGGTTCCCTTAATGTCATTCTATCAACAACCTCTTTAGCTATTTGATCTGCTACAGAAAATCGAGCCTGCGGAAGACCCGAAGGTTTTGTTTTTCTGGAACGACCTGAAAACTTGCAAATATTCACCTTGTCAATTTCGATCGTGTCCGCTTTTCGACGTGCCACAAAACTCGTGTCCTTGACTTCTTCTATTTCAGATGGGGCCACACGCCTCACGACGACGCCCGCGTGTTTGGCCACACGGCGGTCGCCGACTACCTGGCCAAGTGGAATTCGAGCTCGCCGGCACAGAAGCAAGAGGAGGTCAAGGAGACGCCGCAAGACAAGGAAGACCAGAAAGTGGCACCGCCCAAGCCCGCCGTGACCAATGGCACAGCACGCCCCGTAAATATCCCCATTTTGCGCAAGTAGACGGTTGGCAGATTGTTTCAAGTCCAGTGCATGCCGCACGGAAATCTATGTGATGTAATATTTTATGATCACTATTTTTTCGGTAGGGTTAATTTATTGAAGGATTCATTTATTGTTGTACCAACTGTCGGTTCTTTCGAGCTTATGTCCACCCATAATTTTATTTCCGTCTCGACTCATGTCAAGACGTTTCAAGAATGTCAATTTTCGCGATTCTGCAATTTAAAAAATATTGCGGAAATTTTACCACGCGTATACATCACTTCATAGTAACTAATACGGAGCCTACCATTCCCAACCTCGAAGGTTTGTAAACATGAAGTATCCTTGAAACCAACAGATTGCAAAATTTGCTAAATATAGAGCCTGCGAAAATAAAGTAATTCGCAGGTTCTGAAGCATATTGTGCATTACTTGGGACCTCTATAAGGGCCTAGATTGTTTTTGTTAGCACTGTATGGTGATCTAAACTCTTTCCTTTAGAGCAACTATGATTAAATTTGATTTTATGATGGGGAGTAGCTGTGTCGACTCACGACATCACATAAATTCATACTAAGCGAAGATATCTTTGTGCTTTTTAGTGGTACATTTGTAATTCTGGAACTTACAAGTGGAAGAGTTATTGCTTATAATGAAGCTAAATTAATTGTTAATGTAGAGTATTGATTTAGAACACTCCAAATGTGCACTAAATGGGAATCTTATTGTGGTGCCTCTTGTGATGAAAAAGGCGGTTGTGATAGAGCTTGGACATTTCCGTATGCGACGAGGCGCAGATAGAATCAATCTTCCTATCACTTAGGAACTCTTGCACGACTCAATGAGATGCGGGCTTTCAGAACCATCAAGGTGAACTATGGCTCACCTATAACTTAAAGAACATGCAAAGGGTCACTTGTTTTTTTCATGGTTGTGGTCTTCTAATTTATTAATTTTCCTCTCTTTTTTTAATTTTTCTGTTGTACAAAGGTTGACTTTTTATAGCGTTCCAGAGTAGTTAGGTTTAGATATTCAGTTGCTGTCATCATCTTATTGTACTCATGTCAAGAAAAAAAGCATTTTGTTTTAGCACAAGCCGCTTTAAATAAGCCGACCTGCAATTTATTCAAGAAATTGGAAAGATCTGTTTGACTTCAGGATCCTGCTTTCTAAGAATTGTTTTGTGTCATCTGTTTTTTGTTTTTTTTTCTAAATGCCTCCCTTTTTAATTTAGTAGCATAAACAGAGGGCAAGAAGGGGGGTGCAGCCCCTTGGTTCTTCGAAAAATATTTCTGATTGTGTTGCAAGACCGATTTGTCTAATGTAATACTTAGCGCCAGTTCCTGCCCAGCATGTTTTTTCTGCCTCAGTCTCTAGTCAAATATGCTTGTGTTCTTAGCCCTCTTTCTTTGTTTCTTTGCTAGGATCTCTCCAGTTTTAAGGGCAAAAGGTGAATGGCACAACCGTCCGCATCAGAACAAGTTTGTTACACTGTAGCTTACGTAAGTGTGGTGTTCCACTACTACCCCCACCGCCTTAACCGATCGCTTGCCAGTCTGGAGACACCTGATTGCATGGATGAACCTTGACTCCAGCTTCAGTCTGTCCCTGCAGGTTCTTTGCTCCCAGCTTCTTCTAACATATACCCTCATCCCAATGAAGTGCCACTCACCCCTTTGCTCTTAAAACGAGTTTACGCGCAAAGCAGCGTCGTGCTTGGTATGTGGTGACCTGGTGTCATTTTATAGCTTACAGTACCTGTTTTTTTTTTTTGTATTGCTAGTCCAAGAGTTGCTACGTTCATTTGCTCTCTTTACGCTTTGACATTGCTGAGAAGTCTACAAGCTTGGCCAATCAGCTGCCAGCCTTGCGCTGTAGAATCCCCTCTCTATGCAAATTAATGCATGTAGTAAAGGGGTCACATGGCCCAAGGCCAACTTCCGATTGGTCCAGCCAGTCTGTAGCCTCCTCTCTGCTGTCATATTAGGAAGGAATGAAGTGTGCTGTTTAGTCTACAATGCAGGGCAGTCGTTACATGAACCAGTGCTATTAGCTCTGATGTGCTGAAACATTTACTTCTCTTGCAGTGACTGCTTTCTGTTAAATGGCTATTATTATAGACTTTAATATGTATGTACTGCCGTTTACTTTTGATGTCAGTAGAAACATCAGGTGTTGAACCCTATTGTTCAAACTTCAATCTAAATCAGTCGTGTGGTGTTGTGTTCATGCTTAAAGTCTTTCCTTGCACTGCTACAAAACAAACAAAACTGTACTTAAATATGCTGACTTCACCAGTTTGTAATCTCTATCCTGTCTAAAATTGAAAGATGTTACCTTTTTTGCCGACACTTGCTACAGTATTGTCAACCTTACGACACAAAAACAGTTTTTGGTGATTGTATGTAATGAATTAATTAGGCTTTAGAGTCCTGGACCAATTTACCTAGTAGGACAATCATTAGTTTGAATCATACCATATATCGAACTAGTCGTTTAAATATTAGAAGCACCTCTGCATAGCACACTCATTGTTATAATAAACAGATGCAACATGTTCAATGTGAAACACCTGTCCACATCAGACAATTGGAGGTGTGCGAATATTACATTTTTGACTGTGAATCGAATATTATTTATTTTTATTTTTTAATTTGAATATTTGGCATTTAATGTGAATTGAGAGTGGCTACTTTAACAAATCACGGCTGGAAATATTTTCTAGAAAACATACCTATGAAAAGTAATAACTTTATTATGTAAAGTTATTATTTCGCATACTTGTATTAAGAAAAACAATTTAATGTAAGATGATGGCAAACAAAGCAATGACTACCTTTTTTATTCGAATATCGCTTGATATCTTCTTTTCCAGCACTCCTTTACAGTCAAGGGGCAAACTATAATTATAACCGAGGGCTGATCTACAATAGTGAGCAAAATTTTAGAGACCATCGACCAAGATGCTTCGCCACGTCGGCCGTTTCTCCTAGCACGCCGGTGCAAAGCAGTGAAGCTTGATGCGGCGTGCCGGCGCAAAGTAGTGAAGATTGACACCATAGTGGTAGTAAAAAGCATAAAGCTTTTCTGAGAATTCTGAAGATATTATTTGCAATTTTTTAATATTAGAAAAACCAGAAAACTTCGAACAGTAAAAGTGAGCTGCGAATCGGACCGAAAAGCAGACAATATTTGCGAATTATTAAGTCTCATATATTCGCATGCCTCTACAGACAATACAATCTCCTAATCAATTTCTTCAAGGTGCCATTTGTATTTGAGTTCACACATTTTTTGTGCACAATTTATCATAACCAATTCTTCTCCATCCATTCTGTGGCCATTGTACACTTGCCAAATCAAGCACTGCTTTACTGTAAATGGTGCTGTTTTAGATACCCTAGCTTCTCAGGAATATTACTGGTAAAGTAGCCAAAGCTGCACATGTGTGCTGTATTATGCTGCAAATTAATTTTCAACCCAGTGCATGAGTAAACAATTGCAACCACTATGTTGCTATTAGCTTGTGATCTGATAAGTCTTTGGAATTGTATTTTTCTGGTTGGGACCTTTAACAGTCTTTCAGCGTGGTTCAGAATGTGCCTAAAGTTGTTCAGGGTATGATGATGTTAAGCTATAGTCAGTTTAGCGCAGCTATGTGCTGTTTATTTATATGCTTCAGCTTCCCGATCCAAGTATAACACTAAAACATTGAGCGAACTAGCGTATATTTTACCCCCGTAGCATAAAGGCCCGTTCACACTCTTGCGACCGAGTACGACTGAGAGAGACGAGATCTCTTACAACTTCTTAAATGTTTCTAGAATGAGGGGACACACTGACATTGTGGCGCCATCTATGCGGTGACCCTAGAACTGCATTTCACAAAAGCGAAGGTTTTGCGGGATTTCCGAGGTCACATGTGCGTGATACCCATAGAAAGGCTCGTTTATAACATTGACAAAAGTTTTTCGAGCCAAAAAAGAAAGGATATTGCGCGAGAAATAAAAAAAAATATGCCGGACCGCCGAGTTTACACTGCTTCCCAATAGATGGCGCCAGTGTGTTCTCTGGTTTAAGAAGTTTTAAGGAACCTAGGTTTAAGAGGTCGCAAGCCGTCGCAAGAGTGTGAACGGGCCTTAACACTAAAACATTGAGCGAACTAGCGTATATTTTACCCCCCTACTTTCGAAACTTTTCTTGTAAAAGATTTGATTATGACAGCAATAAGAGTGGAACGCAACCGAAGAATCGTGGGTTCAAACTCGCCTAAAATTCTTCCAACTTTTTCTTTAAGGCAGATGAATTACTTTATAAAATTAAATCATTTGAGACATACGGCAACCTTTAATTCGCATAACATGTCATGTTTTAATCGCTTTGTTGTTGAGCGTTGTTTTGAAAAAATTCCCGTGCGAGATCATGTGGCTGACATGACCCTATCGACCAATCAAAATTTTCTTGTCCCGCCGACGTCGACGCTGGCTTTTCTGCGACACGAGCTCCTTATCGCGTTAAAATTTCAAATGGAAACATTAACTTTAATATCGAATAGCCTCTACAAGCTAAGCCATACCCTTTTTAGAGGTAATATAGGCGATTATTCCTCCGGATATTGAGTAGAAATATCCTGAGCAACTCTGCACACGGCTGCAAGTAGGGCGTCTGGCTACTGCTACGTTTCTGCTCATGCGAGCGAGTACGTGCAGTTGCAAGCCTGCCAAAGCTACCTTCATGCGCATAATGCACATTCTTGCACGCATGGGGCACCAGCCAGGATGCCATGCTTGCTATTGTGTAGGATGTTGCCTAAAGTGTATTAGTAATATTACCAATAATTGATGAAAACAAAAGAATGTTCATTTTGGCCAAAGTAGCCCTTTGAGGTTGATTCCAGGTGACTACATATATTGAGACGCAAAAACATTAGGTGTCTTGTCCCTGAAGTGTTGGGAGAAATATTAGAGGCGCATGGTGAAAGGAAACTGAACATATTTAAAACTAGGTTCTCATGTTAAGGCCCGTTCACACTCTTACGACCAAGTAAGACCGAGAGAGACCAGACCGGTTTTTAAGCCTTTTGCGACTTTTTAGGACCGGATGCGATGCAGCGGAGCTGGTTCTAAGAGATTGCATGAGGCTTAAAAACTGGTCTGGTCTCTCTCGGTCTTACTCGGTCGCAAGAGTGTGAACTGGCCTTTACACTGCAAGTTAATGCTGATGCTAGATGACTGTGAAGGTCAATGCAGTGGTGCTGCTTCCTTGCAAGGGATGTTTTTGGTTGTGAAATGTTATAGATTTTTGGCATTGATGCAAAATCAAACCAGAAAAACCTCAAATTCCAAAAAACAATAAGTGGTTACTTTTTAGCAGTTGTTACATTGAAACTATGGAGTAAGATATTTCTATAAATTAGTGCATAGCAAAAACTGCAGAAAAATACAATCTGCCTGGTGAGTTGTGCCCTCATTGTTCAAAGACCAATTACCTTGCACTTGTTTGGCCAAGAGTTTGTAGTAGTGCATTATGTGAATGTTTCTTGCAAGATTGCTGCACTGTGCCAGGACTGGAGAAATAAAAGCATTGGTGTGATTCACTTTTGAAGTGCTGTGTTTTCCATATAACAGAAACATCTTTTGAAGCAGTAGCAAAACTACATTGCACTAGAAAAGAAATGTCCTTCACAAGATGGGTCTGAGAGCCTAGTACGTCTAGTTAAACAGATAGCAGTTTCAAGGTTAAACTCTTTCCTAACCGCGCCTATAGGCCATCGATCCCGGACGATCGATAGTTTCCAAGCGCCGTCAAGAAATTAAGTTTAGTGCAGAGAATTATGTTCCACAATCTCGTGGAGAGTCAAAGAACTCTAGTTTCGGTTTCAACGCAAGTTTAAGCTTTATCACAAGCTTTCACTTCTCTAACATGGCTAACTGCTTTCACCAGTCTTCGTAACAAGATGGCATTATTTACATAATTCAACTGTATTCTGGTATATTTCTTAACTGAAAGAGCTCTTGGGACACTTCAAATGATGTTATAGGCATTGTTTAACAGATGGTTGTCGGTAAGTATCACTATAATTTCCATGGCTGTCCTGAGCTGGCGTGCACATTTTGTTCCCAACGAGGCACACAAAAATTCTAAATATGGGGGAACTCCAATCGAGGCTATGACAAAACCAAGATAGAACACAAGGAAAGTATTCTGCTGGGGATATGAGGTGTGGTATCTGTGTTTCACCAATATAAGCATTCCTTCGTTGAAAAGAGCACGTTATGGAGGCTAACTCTCCGACGAACCGAAAATAGACGTCGGTTAGAGCACACTGACTTTCTAGAAGTAATAGCCGTGGGTGTGGGGCACATTTTCTATATTTAGAATTCCGCACGTACACCATTTAAAAAAAAAAATTCTGAATTTTTTTTTTTTTTTTTTTACATTATATTAATTTTAGTTTCTTTTGAAAGGACAACTAATTGGCCACATTTTGATATGTGATATTGCTCTATATGCAAGTTCGAAGAAAAAAAAAGGTGTTCGCACAGATCCTTTCAAAATGGCTACTTTTCCCATGGTCGGGAAACAGGTAACGTGTGACTGCATATGCCACTGAAGCTTTTCATCGTAAACAATTCCTTCTTGCGCTCTGAAAAAAGGGGTTCACAAGATAGGAGTCCGAGTAGCCTGCACTCAGAGGAAATGCCTTCCAAGGTGTAGCTGAGAATAGCCAACAAGGCTCAATAGCACCCCCTGCTTCAGATAAGCGCTATCTTCGAGCTATCTTCTACGCAGTCCTTCTCAACCATCTGCTGAAGTAAGCATATAAGGCGTATCTGGACCAATCACTCAAGTCCCTCCTCGTTTTGCACACCGATTGCAAAGCCTGCATTGTCTGAAATGTTTGCAAACATTACAGTATCGCTAAAACAAATGGGAGGAAATGACTAAGAGACGTGTAGGATTGTTTCGTGTTCCTTGTCAGTCTTGCACTTGTACCGGTGTTTCAAGAGTCACCATGCTCTTCCCCTTTCATAAATATAAACTATTTTAGTCACGTCACATCACTCATCTGATGGCTTAAAACAAATTATTTTATTTTGGTAACCTAAATGGCTTTTGATTGCCACACATTTCTTTTAAGAAGCTGCAACAAAACATAACTAGGTCATACTCTTGTTGTGAATGACTGAGCCTCGCTAAATAAGTGGGACAATAATGAGTGCTGTAAAGAGATGCAACAGCCCAACACAAATGAACCTGCAGGCATAACGAATATCTCCACCCTACAACACTATCAGAAATGCAAAAGCAAGCAACCACGCGAGACATTCCAGAGAGCCGTTCCATTTGAGACGCATTGTCATCGAAATTCTAAACCTTGAGAACAGAAAGAGGTGCACGCTTCATGGGAAATGCTAATACTTCTGCATAAATATAATTAAAATGTGATTACACCTCACCTGGTTATTAAAGATCCCAAATTTATTTAAATTCATAATCGATATGGGAGCAGGAATTGTTTTCAAAGGGGGGGGGGGGGGGGGGGGGGGCTGTTATGATTATGGGGTGGCTGCACTTCACTGGGGGGCTCAGCCCTAGAGGCACCCCTCCCCTCCCCCCTTCACCTGTCTATAACACCATATAATACCATATTACCAATAATACCATATTGTCATAAGGTATTTGGCAGTTCTGTTGATGCGCACAATTGGTACAAACATTTCTAATCCAAAATTCTGGGAAAATCCAACACCCCCTGCCCGACAATCTCTACCACCGGTGAAATGTACAAAGCGTTTTCTTCCTAACAAGCATCAACCGGGACAATTAAATTGTTACTGTACTGTTAAGTCACTTGCCTTCATGTAGCATCAAAACTGGGCTTATCAGAACAAGTGCTAAACCTGTTTCTCCATGGGCGGTTGAAGTCTCCCTAGCCAACTTTTCATTGTTTTGACTCCTTTCAAGTCCTGCTCCAGCACGTAGTCCCTCTCACCCGGCCCTCTTGGCCGCCGTCTCACTTGGTGACTTGATGCATGGCATGCGCAAGGTAGTCCACGTTCCCAGACGAGATTCCCGCCACCGAGATACGGCCGTCCTTGGTCAGGTAGACGCTGAAATCCTTGGTGAGCTTCGCTACCTGCTCCTGCGTCATGCCCGTGAAGCAGAACATGCCGATCTGGTCCGTGATGTGCTGCCAGTTGCGGGAGGATCCTTCTCTGGTCAGGCCGTCCCTCAGCCTCGTGCGCATGCCAATGATCCGATCCGCCATGCCCTTGACGTCCTTGAGCCACTGCTGGCGAAGCTCCTGGTCGGTCAGGATGAGGTGCGCGATGCGGGCCCCGTGGAGCGGCGGGTTTGAGTACGTCGGCCTCACGATGATCTTGATCTGGGACAGGCAACGGTCGGCCTCCTCCTTGGAGCCGCAGACGAGCGTGAAGGCGCCCGTCCGTTCTCCGTACAGGCCCATGTTCTTGGCGAAGGACTGGGCCATCGCGAAACCGTGGCCTTCTTCGGCGAAGAGCCGCACCGCCGCGGCGTCGCGGTCAATGTCGCCCGTGGCGAATCCCTGGTACGCCATGTCCAGGAACGGGAAAAGCCGCCGGCTCTTAATGATCCGCGAGATTTCCTTCCACTGCTCGAATTTGGGGTCGACGCCCGTGGGGTTGTGGGCGCACGCGTGCAGCAGGATGATGGAGCCTTCGGGGATTTTGGCGATGTCTTGCAAAGCACCGCTGAAGTCGAAGCCGCACGTCTTGGGGTCGTAGTAGCGGTATTGTTTGACCGTTAGCCCCGCGCGTTTGAAGAGGGGGATATGGTTGCCCCACGTCGGAGTCGGCATGTAGATTTCGCGGTTGCCCTTGAAGAATTGGCCCAAAAAGAAAGCGCCGATCATGAGCGATCCCGTGCCGGAGATACCTTGCACGGTCGTGTTCAGCTTGTTCTTCAGCACCGGGCTGTCTTCTCCGAATGCCAGCTGAGCGGCCGCCGTGCAGAAGTCCCCGAGCCCACCGATGGGAAGGTACTCTTTGTCCTGTTTGCGGGACATGAGGATTTCTTCGGCTTTGCGTACGCTCGGGAGCACGTACGGTTTGCCGGTGTCGTCGCGGTACGCACCGACGCCCAGGTTCATTTTCTTGGGGTTGGTGTCCTTTTTGAAGGCTTCCGTGACGCCCAGAATTGCGTCCGGCGGGCCCATCTCGACGTGCGTCCACCACGAGCAAGCCCGCAGGGAAGTCGCCCCGCAGTACGCATTCTTTGGAAGCGAGCTAAACAACTTGTGTCGGACGGCACTCGCCATGTTCACGGGGAGAAGGCGCGTGTTGCGGTGGAGCACGGAAGAGGTCAAAAAGGTCGACTACACGTTCACGCCGGGAGGGTGCTGCGGGTGCGACGGCCTAAGCTACGTGCGCAAATGGAAGCAATCGCAGGGAGTCCTCCGCGCTCACTGACTTGGACAGTTCCGCCGGTTCCGCTGTTCCCCTTTCTCAGGTGCGCCGCTCACTCCTGCCGTCGCACTAGCTCGCTGGCTGCCGGAAAGAAGAATGAGATGTAGAGAAGGGAAACCGGCGGCCGGCTGCCTCACGAGCACGACAGAGGGCGCAGAGGCCAAAGCAGTTTTTGGACAATTTAGTTAACTTTAGCCACGTTCGGTTATCTAACTTTTGCAGCTCGAAACACTGGTTGGGTTCGTTCGATGGAAGGACGGAGGAGAAGAGGATCACAATAACAAAGAGGCGGTTAGAAGATTGGTGGAAATTATCTAGGGAAAATTGAATGATGCACAACTAACTAGCACAGCTGGGGACAGGCGGGACAGAGGAAAATTGGGACTCCCTCCCGCGTGGCTCAGGCCCAAAGTCTCAACCCTGTCCCCCAGTGGGTTGGGTGCAGGGGGTAACGCCGACAAGGTTTGACCAGAGGAAAATTGGCGACTCCCTCGCCGGGGGGAAGAGGCGGGGGGTGATGTTTTTAGTTTTTTTGCCCGATCCCCCAAAGGTCAGCCTGGCGATATCCCGCACTACCTGGTGATAGTTAGGAGGGGGGGGGAGAGAAAATTGGCTTAGAAGGGCGGGGGAATCAAATGTTTGTCTTTATAGACGTAGGCTAGGTGGCGCAAGCTACCGCCCGATACAAAGGGTATAGCCAGTAGCATCCATCCATCCATCCATTTTTCACCAAGAAAGTACAATCATTTGTTGTCGTGGCGTCACAGTAAAGCGTACTCGATTCAGTCATATTGTGTACAATTACTTCTTCTGACGTCATCTTATAAAGTCACTTTTAAGCCTACCTCGTTGGTTTTAGCATAATTTTTTATTAAAAGGCTCTATAAATTTATTTATTTTAAATATTTGTTTGTTTGTTATTGCAAAATTTATTTACGGCGACGACTCACGATGCTTTGCTCGGTTTTCGGTTTCTGTTTCGACGCGGTTTCGGCATGGTTTCAGCGGCGCGCGTCTTCAACGGTAGTTCCAGGGGGATCGAAACAAAAGCGCCTTCGCGGTTTGAATAGAATTGATTGATTTGGTTATTTAGCCTAACACAGCAGCACTTGACTACAGGATTCCCTCAATGCTGGCGCACTTTCTTTTTACAACACTTGTCTCTTGTTCTTGCAGATGTGTGCATCATTTTACAACGGCACATAAAATAAAAAGCCTAAATTTGCTTTGTAATAAACGGGTGCACAGTGAGCGAATAGACGCAACGGGAATTAGATGTAACCAAAACAAAGATTTTTTTTTTAATTGCTTACGTAATAAACACCGTGTTTTCTTGTTTTTTTTTTTTTGTTTTTTTTTTAACAAAATATATTTTTTTTTTTTTTTTGGAAAACCGGAGACGACGGACGGGGGGAAAAGGGGACAACACACAAAACGTCTGTGTGTTGTCCTATTTTTCGTCCGTCGTCTCCGGTTTTTCCAAAATATGTAACATCAACCAGCTCGCCTGCCTACTCACTTTATCTTCACAATATGTTATTTCTAGGATTCCGTGTTTTCGGGGTTTATTTAGCTTCAAATTCGGGGGGGGGGGGGGGGGGGGGGATTTTTGTTTATTATTGTTTCGTAATTTAATGTAATTTAATTTATTTTCTTTCGGGGCCCAAAGACATTATAGAGAGAAGTGAGTGTCAACACAAAAATGCTTGTTATGAACATATCAACAAACAAGGCAAAAATAGCAACAATGAATAAGAAAAAAAATGTGTAATCGCAATTTTAATTTTAGCAGCATCAGTTTTTGAGACTACGGACGCGGGAAGGCGATTTCAATCTATTGAGGTTTGGGGAAGAAAAGAGGAATTAAATGAGGTGGTGTTACAGTGGGGGATACCAACCTTTAACTGGTGATTTGTTTCACGAAGTGTGGGATTAAAGCGATAAATCTTGTGAAAAAACTCATAACCGAAATCATTTTCTACGAAAAGAGAGGTTAGGTAAAAATAGAGATGCTTTCATAGATGTGACGCTGGCTGTTCGATGTTAGCTTGAAAGAATGAAACGAGCGCCTCAACCGCAGATGCAAGGGTGACACCGGGGTCCCAGATAGAAGCTGCATATTTCAGTTTAGAGCGAACTAAAGTTTAATATGAAAGAAGCTTTAGAGACACAGGAGTTAGCGAAAAGTTTCTTTTGAGATAGCCTAGTATTTGATTAGCGCTTTTACATTTTTTTTTTTTCGTGTTTATTTGCAGTGCCAGGCAAGAAATCGGGGTTAATCGGGGCTAATGTTATGAAACGGCTAAATATCAATGAATTTCTGGCCCGGCGAACTGGGGCATAGCCAGGGAAGGGAGAGGGGGGGGGGGGGGGGGGGAGGGGGTTTCCCGGGTTAGAGCATCCCCCAACACTTATTGCTTGCCCCCCCCCCCCCCCCTTTCCAATAACCCATTTTTGTATTACGGAGCTTGAAGTTTCTTTCATGCCTCGCCGCGTTATCAAGACAAAAAAAAAAAAAAAACAAGGATATTAGGTGTTTCGGGCCATTCCGCTTGCCAAAATAGAAATAGGAATAAGCACACAAGGCATCCAAGGGAGAATCCCGGTCATTATCCTTTCAAGTCTGAAGAAGAAACGAGAGTCTTCCATGGACAGAGAGAAACGCCACAAATGTGGTTTCTGGACAGGGGGAGAAACGCTTGAGCTGACACTAGCTTGAGCCTTGGACTAAAATTGCCCGGATTAGTGCCCGATAGCCAGTCCCCTCCGCACGCGTGCTCGAGTCGTGAGTGATTTCGAGGGGCGGAGTGGCCTCTCCCCGAAGGCTCCTAAGACGACAGTGCGGTGGCAGCTACGCTCTTGCGAGACCAATCGACCGCTTCCCTTTCATCACCTGAACCCTCTCTCGTGGTGAAACATAGCCGTGCAGCTGAGCACAAGCTGCATCATCCGAAGCTATCCGATCCTCCACACTTGTTGTCAAGAGCAAAACATTTACATACCTTAGTTGATGTGTGCTCTTGGGGCACTCATCCGTTAATCTGTTCGCCCATTGAAAGTACGGAATTGTGTGTGCGCTTGTTTTTATGTTATGTAAGGATTACAGGGATAATGTGAGGTGAAACTGTTTCCGTAGGATTTTCTTTGTACACAGTTCCTTTATCTCTTTTTACGTAAAACCACACCACCCAAAACCCAAAACCACACTGTAAAAAAAAAAAAAGAAAGAAACCGGCAGACATTTTAAGGTTGCTTACGCGTAGGAACGCGAAAGCATTCCTACACTCACCGCGCCACGTCTTCCGTTTTCACCACCAGCGGCGACATCACGCTACCCACTGCGCGCGCGGGGGCGGGGGGAAGCGTGATGTGCGTTGCGTCAAATCTAGTAAGATAAAGATCTTTCGGGCGAATACACCATAACACACTTTTATTGGACCGTGTGCATGATTGATCTGAAACAGCAGTAATGGACGACGATTTTACCCAGCTGTATTCGTGTGCTCGCGCATGTAACTCGAATAACGCCACCGTCCATTTATCGTCATCCTCGAGCTGATGCAGAACTTTGAAAACGGTGACGCAGCAGAGTTGGCGTTCAACCTCCTCGCAGACATGAAGATTGAAGATTACGGACTTCCGAACACGTCGAGCATCCGTCTGTCGCGCGTGTGGATCTACAAAAAAGGAAAAGACGTGTGACGCAAAAACTATTTATTTTTTTGCTTCTTCAAGGATACGGAAAGTCTGGAAGGAAGTCCTGTCTGCTCCGTCTCGCTCAACACGGTGATGTCGGCAATGCGCTTATAACAGAGGCTCATCGAGCCCACGTTCCAAGTGGAAAACAACAGCCGTCCGAGCATCATACACTTCGCCATGGGTCTTCTTCGATGCATCGCAGCCGGTGCGCTGCTATGGCTTCAGTTCGTGGTGCTCTGCCCTCTCGTCAGCTCGCAGGGGATACTCACGGAAGGTAAGTTGATCTCACCCGCTCGTATAAATCATGCTTCGGCTAGGCGAGCGTTCTTCGAGAATTTTTGAATTGGCAAGTCTGAGCGCTTCGGCTGGAAAACGTATTTACTTCCACTGTATAAACTCGCGTTTGACTTGGGTATTCTTTTAATCTAAGAGCCTCTACGTTATCAGTGATTCGAAAACGTCTCGAACCGCTGATAACATATAGACGCTTTACACACGCGCCAAATTACAGCCGCCATGGCTGACCTTCTCATGTCTTACCGAGATGCCGAGCAACTGAAACGGTAGTTGACGATCCTCTACAAAGGCTGATGCTTTAGAAAAGGACCCAGTTGAATCTAATGTGGTAATAACCTGGCCTGCTATGAAAATGATGAAGTGAAATAAACGAAATAAGAGGAAACAAAAACTGAAGGTCAGTTATGGCGGCGACCATGCACAGCTGCTGCAAAGCGTCTATATGCGAGGCGTGCCATTATGTGCGCGCTGTTCTAAAATTGATTAAAATCGTTTTTACTCATATGTTTAATTCGTATTTCCTTGACATCATATATTACGTTAGTTTAATTCCCCATTAATATGTAGCATGCCTCTGGCACAAGCCTTCGCTCTTCCTGCTGCCACCTGCACCTTGTGGGTTCAAATAAATATTATCACCATTATCGAGGATTTTGTTTATTAAAATACTTTCTATGATTTCTATTCTTCGTTTTACCTTACGACCGGCCGCAGCGGAGGCCACGAGCCATTGGAGCCAATCCAAAGCTAAATGGCTCCGATGGTAAAACGCAGTACTGTTGACTATATTCTTACGCGTCACCACCTGCTATCTTCTGATGTCCCCGTGCTTCCTATCATTTCTAGACGAAGCTGTCTACCATCCACCAAAGCCCGCCAAGACCCAAGTTGCAACTCCCAATGACCCGTTTGCGACCCTAATTCGTTCTGCGGTTCACGATAGTGTTCCCATTGAGGCCTTGCTCGACCGAATCCCAGTCAACGAGTCCATCCGGGGTGTACCTTACCATGGCTTCCTCACCGTCAAAAAGGGACTCCTCGAAGGTCTATCGGACGTCTCGCAAAGAGGACGACCACTCTGCCACGCCGACGACTTCGGCGGTCTCGCATCGTCCACAGTCCTCTTCAGCTGGCCCCGTGTGAGGGCCACCTTCAGCGTCCGGGCTTATATCAGCGGTATTAGAGTCTTCGGGCTCGCAGGGGTCGAGTTCAAGCCCGTGTTCGTGGAAACAGAGATCCAGGAGACTGCCGTGCTACGCTTCGAACCGTCTCCCGTTCGTGTTTTAAGGGTTACCGTGTCGGCGCTAAAAGGATTCAATCAAACTAGAGCGAGGCTTCAGAAACGACTCGCACACGCAAGCAGGAAAGCGCTACGGCATTTTCTGGCGACCGAGGTCCGAAGAGCCCTGGTTGCTTCACTGGAACGTGCCGCCAACGACGTGTCCTTCGGTGATTCGCCCTGCTGAGTGAACTGCACGGTTCTGGACAAGCCAGATGAAAGGATACGAACTATAGCGTATTCACTATTTATTTTGACATTCATATGATCCGAGACGATGAGGTTTTTACATGACCGATGTTGTGCTACTTGTTACATGGTGGGGTAGACGGGATCTGCTGCCATACCACATATGTTTTTATTCCGCATGATCTTGATGTAGCCGGCCTCGCCCCAGCCGGTTCCCCAACTGCAACAGACGAGGGGCTATGTTTACAATACGAGCATAAAGACGTCATTGTGATTGCAGCACGTGACCGCCACGTGCTGCGATTTTGAAAAAGTAACGGTCTTACAGAAAGGCCTACACCAGTTAGGTAGAATAACGTTGGTGAGCTGTCCATGACTTAGCAGCCTGTTGCACGCAAACAAACCAGGACGAGCTTCTTTTGCAAAGCCCTTGCCCTTTCCAATTTAAAAAAAAGCGAAAGCTGGAGAGGAGGGACCCTGCTCCGGGTCCAGCGTTGCCTCTGCTAAACAGGAAAGAGTGGCGTGCTTTGCGACGGAATCCTGAACAACCACTGATGTCAGTGATTGAAAACGAAGCGTTGTAACTGGTACTATAGTCCGTTGCAAACGAAGGGCGAGGGTAAGACGGGCCGGGGAGGAGGAAGCAGACGGAACGCTAAAGAGAGAAGGACGTTTCCCCCTCTCTTCTCCAGCGTTCCGCCTGCTTCCTCCTCCCCGGCCCGTCTTACCCTCGCCCTTCGTTCTTAGGTTGCAACGGACTATAGACTGCGTCAATGCTGCGTCAGCATCGAGGTACCCTACATCGAATATCTCCATGCCTGCGAACAGGCCCACAAGTGAATCAACGATCATCTTTAGAAAAGAACTCAAGACAGTACCACGTGCCATGGTGACCACACATACCTGTTCTTCACAATCCAGTAGGGTGTGCCTCGAGAATCTTTGTCAAATCCGACAACCAGCACTGCATGGTTGAGACCACGAGGATCGCAGCCGCCATCATTGTAGACGCCTGGGAGACGAAAACACAGACAAGAAAAACTGATGCAAGGGGCGTAACGCCGAACCAGCGCGGCCCACGAATCCGTGGCTCACAAGTGCGCGCTAATTCCTTGATTTTAACAACATTAACCCAATTATTATTGCGAAATATAATAAAAAATGGCTGCAGAAACCACTATTGTTAATTGTCTATGAATTGCGGTAGCATTCGTCATGTTTACCTCTTTTTGTTACGAGGCCTGCTAAATTTGCCGGGGAACATGAATTTGTCGTTAGGTCCCGTGTCAAATTTTCCCGCCTAATATAGCGGGGAAAATGAATTGGTGTACAGGGCACATGACGTAAATTTTGTGCCAAAATTAGTGGGGAACATAAGAGCCCAGATACACAGAAATCTGCGATGAGTAGCTTAATAATGCTTTTGCTATCGCATTAAAATACCCATCATACTCGTGCTTGAGACATTACTACAACCGATAGTTTCAAGGGCGAAGAAGAGATGCTTTACTATACAAAGTTCAGTTGACAGGTAAGGGTGCAAGACAAGCTCTCGCAAAAAGCCCTTCAATCTTTCCATGTTCGCAGAACGAACGATAAAGAGGAGGCAAGGAGAATCACCCCTCTCCAACGTTTGCTCTGCTAAAGTGGAAAGAGCGGAGGACTTCACGGGAGGAGCTTCTTCCAGATTTATAATGCGCCTGAATTCGAGTTTTTGGCACCACGCACCGCCCTTGTAGAAAATAAAGGACTGGGGGCTGGCATTGATGGCGATCGAGATGGGCCCAACTCTGGAGCAGGCGTCCATGAGCGCACGTTCGTTGTTGGCCGGCACCCGGACGTATCCCCTCACGCCGTACCTCCTTGCCTCCGTACTCCTGCTGAACTTACACTGGAAGTCCGTCTGCAAAGTTCGCAATGCATCCCGATTGAATTTATAATCCAATAAACCTATGCACAAAACAAAAAAGAAATCCGCGCGCTATTACGTGACACCCCCACAGATCTAACAGGTCACAGACAATACACGTGGACGGGCCTCGCTGCTATTAGAGCAATGCAATTGAATTCACAAGTTGGTTCACAAGTGGCGGCTTTATATGGGAAGAGTGTGCCTCCCGGAGAAAGATAAGAAAGAACAGTGATCACTCTCTCAAAAACTATTGTTTGGAATAGAAAAAAAAATATTCACTATAGTACCTTGACATGTCTGTAATACTGAAATAAAAAGGAAGCGGAAACAAACCTGAGCTCGGTACGGGTACTGCTGATCCGTATCCATGCCTCCGGCGTCTCGGACGTACTGGAAAGCTCCGGACATCTGCCCACCGTTGCAGCCGTTGTTGCCGTACCTGCGACCCGCGCAGTCCAGCAGGTTCTGTTCACTCATGCTCACCAACCGGCCGGTCTTCTTGAAGACTTGTCCTTCCAGCGATCCGGTCTGCGTTCACAGAGAGGACATTATGTCAAAGAAAGAAAGAGCAGACAGGCAGGATGACGCACTGTTTAATGAGACGGCCACGTTTTACGGAATTACTTGCTTTCACAGAAGACAAAGTTATTAAACATGCGAGCCGGTTAACGTTACACATGATTCTAAATCGGAGACATGCGTATTTGTCCCATTGTCGTCCGTTCGTTTCGTGTTTCACGTGTAACTTATTATTAATGCAAATGTGCAAGCGAGCTGGACAAGAATGATGATCATAATAATCCCTAGAGAAGGGGAACAAGGGGGACAAAGGGCAACCAGAAATCTCTAAACACAGCTAGGTGACTGGTGCGAGACCGAAAACATCCACCTAGCCCTGGTATCGAACCAGGGATCTCTGAATGCCAGCACCAGGCGAATCTTTTTCGGTCGCGCACCAGCCACATAACCGTGTTTGGAGATTTGTGTTTGTACTTTGTCCACCTCGTTCCCCCTTCTCAATGAATTATTGTAATCATACGTGTAACTTGCTTTCCTAAAATTAAACATTGAATTTTTTTTTGTAGTTTACGACGGACGATGTCGACGAGGGGAAGGGTAGTCGCCCTGTTACACCCCCTCCCCGCCCTTATATCCCGAATAGCTCCGATGTTTCTAGATGTTGTTGACCTCTGGAAAATAGACCACTTTCCCGTCAATTTTACGGTCAATCGCCAGCTACGAAGAACAAGCGACCGAATGAAAACAAATAAAATTAAAAAAAATCCGGGTTATGCAAAAATGGTGATTGCTCCGACTGCTCATCGATAAAGGAGTACGCCCAGGGGCGGTTTCAGAAGGGGGGTCCGGATGTTCTGACCCCCCTCTTAAATTCTGCATGTGAAAAAATTTAGGGCGTGGAAACAGGAAAGGGGGGGGGGGGGGGGGGATGTCTCAAACATATGATACGCTGACCAACACCAACTCCAAAGAAGAGGGGAAGAAGGAGCCCCCCTCTTATCAGGACCCTCCTTTGTACCTCCCGGATTTGTACAGGCGTCGCTATTCTCCCCCCAGAAGATTATAGAAGATTAACCTGTCACTCAAAATTCTTACAAAAGCAGCTTCCCTCTCCTCCTCTTACTTGGTGTTCAAAAGTGTGCCTCCCCTGAGTACGCCCTATCTGCACGCCCAGTGAACCACTCCAAGTGCACAAATGTGCTCACCGCACTGAAGGCCCAGCAACCTCCGCACTGTCCTTGGTTTTTCACGGGCGTCACAAGGCCCCGCTTCCTCCAGTCCAGGGAATCGGGAAAATCGCCCAGAAGGGGCGCGTGGAGCGGCGTGCTGCCCAGAAGTAGAGAGTCGCTCTTGTTGTAGCCCGTGTATTTCTGCACCACCTCTCGGCTCGTCTGCGGGATGCCGGGGAAACAGACATGGTCGGAATGCTGGCAACAGGTCCCGTATATTACTTTTAAGTGGCGGTCACGCCGCTAATTGCATCGTACATAAGAGAGTCTGCAGACACTGGCTGAGGTGTGTGTTCTCTTCTTTCTAGAACGGCCCGATAGCATCGGCCATTCAAAAAATGTGTAATGTGTTTGGAACAAGTGTCGAGACCGGTTAAGTCGGTTATAACGAAATAGCGGCTACAGCAAAGCGATCACGATTTCCCATTCTCTTTTGCGCTTTGTTATAGCCGAAGCCGGTTATAACGAAATGGCGAAGTGATTTCCGGTCCCCGTTGACTTCGTTATAGCCGGTCTCGATACGCTTGAGTCGCAGAAAATTTTGTCATGTCGGCACCGAATACCGCATCTTTTGTATGATGTACGAACAGCGTGACCATCCCAATCCAAAGCGTGTGACTAAACTAAGTTATGCGTTTAAATGTAAGCAGCCTTAGAAGAAAAGAAGCAAAAGAGTTGTATGTATGTTTATACATTCGGAAGTTAGTCTGCCCCAGTGGGCATTATGGTGCCTCAGCTGTAGATGAGCAATTTAGCCAGTGCGGTACAAACTACTAGCCTGGGGTTGTGTCTCATTACTGCGCACCACGCAGCAGTGAGACACAACTGCACGCAGCTCCAGATCGAAGCGGGCGGGGTGGGGATTGAAACTAGGATCCCCGCGGGGTTCTGCAGGGCGAGCCTTCGCTCCACGTGCTCCGAGCTGGTGCGCGCCAGCCTCCTCGGCCACCGAACCCCTGTCATGCATATCATACAAAAAGGATCTGCAAACACGAGTCGCCACAATAGCCGTGGTTCGAATATTCGAAAGTACGGATCTCGCGGTGACTCCCGTTCGAATCTGTATGCAGACTGTCTTTTGTACGATGTATAAGAAGCTTCACAGCTCTTGCATTCAAAAACATAACGTGACTTTGCAAAAACGAAATAGCTGGGTTGCGTGACCAGTGATGCTCAAGGAAACGTGCTCTATAAAGAACAACGACTAAGAAAGTTTAGAACATACCATGTCTGCGAAGTAGTTGATTTCGACGCTGTACGGTAGGGTGCCGTTCTTGAACTGCATGTCGACGGACTTGCAGTAGTTGAAGCTCTTCCTGAAGATCCCCTCTCTGCGCACAGTCTCTTCGGAACTTTTGTACGTCTTGCCTGGGAATGACCAATTGGAGAGCGACACGTGAACGCGTTTTTCGAACCGCAGAAATAAACAGCGCATCTCCAAACACCAAAACGTTAATTACGTTTTGAAGCTTCATCTCGTCCCAACAATTAGCCGAGCGGAGGCTGACCGCCTAGAGTAATGAAGGCCTGCGAACATCCTCAATGAAACTTCCGAGCGTCCTTCGACGCGTTGATTGGACACGAGGCCCAGCCGAGCGCTGACGCAGCGATCGTGTCCAATCATGTGTGTCTTAGCTCGACCTCACTCTGATGACGTCAAAATTCCAGTGAAGGGGCTTTTAATTATTCTAGGGGGTGTTGGCTAAATTCGGGAGATGAAAACGCCGCTTACTGTATATCTTGCGGAACAAGTCCCACGCTTTGCCGAAGTTTCCGTAGAGATCAATCTCGTCTTGCGCGTTTTGCGGAACCTGGGCCCAAGCCCCCAGGCACAGCGAGATCAAGATGAACAGTCCTGGAAAAAAGAACGAAGGATTAATCTCCGAACGCTGTGCTTGCCAAAAAAACCGTCGCCAGTCACGTGCGTGAACGCTACTGTTATATTTTACGTTATTCACCTACGAGCAGTAATTCCAGGAGTCATGCTTGTAGGCGCTTGAAAGTCACAAGAAACGCCCGAACCCTTCAGTTGAAACAGCGTTTAAGATACATACACCGGCAGTGGGCAAATGCCACAAAAAGTTGTCAAGTAAAATAATACTAATAATCCATAGGCAGGGCTGGCTAAGGGGGCTACAGCTCAGCCTACCAAAGAAAAACCCCAAAAACATGAAAAAAAAAGCGCCGGTTTTAGTTCAAAACAGCCCAGACATAAAGGTCCCGTTGTAGTCTCTTAATTGAAAGCAGACGGTGGGGCACCCTCGACGAGTTTTACGCACAATGGTGGGTTGGAAGGCAAGTGTACGTTGCCGAAGGCTACAGAAGCAACATACATGCTATACTTTATTATTATTTCTTTTTGTCTGTTAGCATAGCTTCATATGAAAACTTTCCTCAAAACCAACAAATCTAAAAAAGCATGTTTTTTTTTTTTGTTTTTTTTTTTAACCTTTTGGAGCCACTTTTTTTGTAACCACTAACAGGCGTTTCAAGGAGCCGGCTCTTGAGATGTCCCCCAAATGTTTTCGAGAGGCAGTGACTGCAAGCAACTGCTCTGGAGCCTGTATCTGATCTGCCAGTACGAGACAGCACTTTTCTTGCCATCGAGTGATATAATTGCTGCTACGGTATTTCTTTACACGCTTCTGAGGTATAACCTACTATTTTTAGCGTCCAAATGGCTGCGAAGTTCTAAGTTACACGACCACTTCCAAAACGGATGGAAGTAGGAGAGGAGTTTGAAAATATTTTCTTGAACGTCATGAGAAATGCCTGTGAATGTGCCCAAATGACAATAGGTTGGGGCACGAGATTCCCATTTTTAGAAGAGTGTAGACGAAGCTGTTTGAGCCCTAAATACTTCAACCCCCGAGCTTACTTTGTTGTCTTCGTTGCTTTACCGGTTTGAGCCCTAAATACTTTAACCACCAAGCTTACTTTGTTGTCTTCGTTGCTTCACTGTTCAAGTCAGTAATTAATTAATAAAGGGCTAGCTAGACAAGCTTCAACCATTCGGAGCAATTACTAGAAGAACCACTATATTCTCGGGAGAGTTTTCAAGTTGCGACTTGCGAGACATGTTTTTTTTTTGTTTTTTTTTTTGTAATATAAATTTTGCGGGCATCCTTTCGGCTACTGTTTAGTGAAATTTGTCCCCAAATAATCATGCCACTCGACATCGAGGAGGTCTTCTCTGCCATCTCTCTAATTCAACATCACGATGAATTTGTGCAAGCCGGCAGAGACACGTACTGTGTAAATATTGTTGTAGACCTGGTCAGACAAGTTCATGGGAGTCATCATTTTCAACATTTCAGCGGAAATTTTCGAGGCCCTATGGAGTTGCTCAATGTGCGCGACACGTCTTAACATTTTCCCCACACGTTCATTACTTTGCGCTTTGTACCTTTAGTATGATGTACTAGAGTATTCTAGTACATCATACCTTTAGTGAGCGATTTACTACTTCCGAAACAGCTTCTAATCCATAATCACATCTGCTCCATTTCCAACCATTGGAACCTGAATTTCCTGATCACTGAATCTAATGGTACAGAAACTTTCGAAGATCTATCATAAAATGAGCGATATTTGTATTTTATAAGGTGCTGTCATTGTCGTTACCACCACCACCACCATCGTCATCATAGCAATATAATCATCATTAGGGGCCTCAAAAACAGCCTTAGCCCACGGCCTCCAAATTCCTTAATCCGGCCTTGTCCATAGGTAGTCTCCGGACTCAATAAGCGCGGAGAATTCGGTTCAACATTTTAATGTACATTTTATATGTGAACGTGCTTACGGTATCATTACGAATGGCGTGAGCAAGTAGCACTCCTCAGCTAGAGAAATTAAATGAGCATATGAATTAACGACGAGATATTGAAGAGGAATTTTCGTCTAACTTACCAGTCATGATGTGGCAGCAACGGAGTTCGGGCGTCGAATGAACCCGGAGACGACCAGAGTGCCTAAAGTACCCTTCTCTTGACCTGATTTGAGGGCTCACATAAAAGAAGCAGAGTGATTCACCATGCCTGATTCACCTATGACGAGCAAACATTTGCAGCACCCCCCCCCCCCCCCCCCCCCCCGCCCCCATTTCCTTTCCAGACGGAGTCAGTCAAGACCCAACTGTCCAAGACCCAACACAAAAGAAGCACTTGCTCGACTTCATAATAAACCTATCTTTTCTCCACTTATCATGACAGCTGGTGCGGTATCTGCTTATAGTCACAGTCTAACCAGTTGGCGCTTCTTGGATAGCTCAGTTATTATCAATAGGGCCCACATTGACGTTGTAATCTCCACTGCGTCATACCAAACCATTATGCGCGAGTAAGAACAAGAACAACAAAAAATTATTTGAAAACCTTTTTTTTTTTTTACTTCACTAATGTGATTGCGTGACGAAAGCGTCAAAGCCACCCGTAGCACATGACTTGCATACTGTTACTGTACCAAGGGCCCCCTTTTCTCTCTCTAAACCAGGGATCTCCAAACGGGCCGGAAAATAAATAAAAATATAAAAAAGAAAATGCTAAATAAATCAACCTAGATAAGCATTTAGGTTGATTTATTTAGCAAAAAAAAAAAAAAAAAAAGAAGTAAGGTGGATGACGAAAATGATTTCTGAGAGGCAAGAAGGGCAAAGGACAAACACAAATCTCTAATCACAGCTAGGTGACTGGTGCGCGACCGAAAAACTCCGCCTGCTCCGGGTATCGAACCCGGGACCTCTAGTGGAGCACTCTACCAACTCAGCTAACAAGGGCTTAGACGTCAGTAGAGCAAACGACAAGGGTGAAGATTATGATTATAAGGCAAAGAACCAGGCGGATTTTTTCGGTCGCGCACCAGTCCCATACGTGTGTTTGGAGATTTGTATTTCTCCTTTGTCCCTCTTGTTTCCCTTCTCCAGGAATTATTTTCGTCATTCATGTCCAGCTCGCTTACACCTATGCATTGAATTGCATTATAATCATAAGGTGGATGAATACATATACTTTATTTTTGTTTATAGTGCAGTATGTTGTTCATTATAAGATTACAAAATAATTGCGACCCAGAAAACTCACCAGGCATATACGAAGCGCATATGAAGTTTGGTGTATTCACACAGGACAGAAGGCTAATACGAATGGTAGATATGATGTTGACAATACGCGATGGTTATGATTCGATTTACACGAGAACGCCAAGGAAGTTGAACATGGTTACGCAGACATGAAACAAAGTACTCCGAATAGTAGGGCTGGTGATGACAATGTACAATAAAGTATGCCGAGAACCCGCGTCTTGATGCACTTTTCTCTCATTCTTTTCACTTTTTTTTTTCGCACGTTTATTTTTGTCTTTATGACGTCAATGGAAAGACTGCGGGCACACCCGAGCCGGGGTCTGGAGTCCACTGGAACAACGTGCAATGAGACAAGCGGGTTGTGGCCCTGTTGAAGTGACGCGTCAAAACATTGAAAGCTGCTTGACGTCGCTAGCTGCATAAATAGTCAGTAGCGAGTTTTAGTAGACCGTGTTTCCCCCTCTGCAACGAAGAAACCGCCACTGCACCTGCGTGCCGATGGCCTTGGCTGTAGAGTTCCGGGTAGCGAAGGGGCTTAGCGGAGGGGGAAACCCGGTCTACTTATTAGCGAGTTTTAGTAGACCGGCTGCTTAGATCGAATCGTCTGTCGGGACCAGGGTGTAAGATAGACAGGTGGGGAAACGAGAGCCAAATGAGTGACCGCATTGTGTCCCCCTCGGTTTTCTCTTTTTTTGTGGCGCCATCTATGTGGAGCACCGCGAACTCTCACTCCAAGTGGGCGACCGGTGGCGACCGGCTAAACTGACGGAGATGGTTTCTCGTAAATTTTTGATGAAGGACTGTCATGCTCTCGGTTTATTTTGCGCACTCTCCCATAAAGTTCCGCGCAAATTCGATTCCGATTTTTTTCTTCTCGCCGCAGCGCTATCTGTCGCAAGTCGGGGGTACCCGCAAGCAGACGAGTACACAATACGGTCACGGAGCTGCGGTATGCTTCTATGGGCCGTTTCCCCACCTGTCTATCTTAAACCCTGGTCGGGACCCAGGACAGCTTTCGTATGAGCTACCCTAACTAAATGCATTTTCTGACAATCCGAGTTTTATTGTTCCAAACGTGCTGTATAGCTTCATGTCAAAGCCTTTATGGTGGTTTTCGGTACACACTAAATATCAACGTCAACGTAGTATCCTCAAATTAGGTGATAGGCTCCTTGCACTGACGTCACATCGCGCACTTATGAACACCAAGTAAAAGGAGGAGAGGGAAGCTGCTTTTGTAAGAATTTTGAGTGACAGGTTAATCTTCTATAATCTTCTGGGGGGAGAATAGCGATGCCTGTACAAATCCGGGATGCACAAAGGAGGATCCTGATAAGAGGGGAGCTCCTTCTTCCCCTCTTCTCTGGAGGGCAACGGAAATGACGTCCTGTGCAAGGAGCCTATAGGCTCCTTGCACATGACGTCATTTCCGATACCCTCCAGAGAAGAGGGGGAGAAGGAGCTCCGCTGTTATCAGGACCCTCCTTTGTGCCTTCTGGATTTGCACAGGCGTCGCTATTCTCCTCCCAGAAGATTAGAGAAGATTAACCCGTCACTCAAAATTCTTACAAAAGCAACTTCCCTCTCCTCCTTTTTCTTGGTGTGCAAATGTGTGCGATGTGACGTCAATGCAAGGAGCCTATAACCAAACCAACATTTAAATTCCCCCGCGCTTTTGAGTGGTGTGACGTCACTGGAAAGCACGCCGGCGGGCATACTTGCATTTGTAGGTCGAGCATTTCATAAAGGAAATCTAGAAAACAGAATATCGAAGATTTAGACGAGCGTTTTGACGTGCTTATTAAGAAAACCAAAGCTTTCTCGCCGACTGAGCTGTCACCGTTGGCTGTCACGCTATCACTAGAGCACTATATAGCTCCTACGGAGCAGAGTAGCGCAATCCTTTGAACCTCGTGTTTTGCCGACAAGATGGCCGACAGAGCGGCTCGGCGCGAGTCACGTGGTACTCAGGGTTCCAAGAGGCGGCCCGCCCTATGGGAGAATACATGGAGATCGATACAACACGGCTGATTAAAAAATGAACGGCGAGTTCACACTTTTCAAAACTAGTCTGTCGTGAAGTTAGTAAAGCACTAAACACTTTGTCAAAGTTTTAATAATATCGGATGCGTGTGCAAATTTTGAGAAGGCAATTTCCAAGGCAATGGCGTTTGAAGCAGACGATTTTTGCTCGCAGCGGAGATGCGCTTTTCGGGTTGGCCGGAGCGGGTCACGTGAATGGTGTGACGTCGCCGTGTCGTCTGCTGCATGATGTCGCTCAAGCAATTTTTTAAAAAAAGTCAGGTCCTTGCGGGGCACAAAACTTAGCGCAAATTATTCTAAAATGTTCCATTATTATGTCAAAAACAATTGCCATTCCGTACATCGCCACAATACTGAAGAAACAACGATTTTCTCACGTTCTCCATGCATTTCTGACCGCAGTTGGAACCTCCGGGCGTTCGCCGCTAGTCGCCGAGAGGCGGCGTTCTAGATTGCGCTACTCTGCTCCGAAGGAGCTATATAGTGCTCTAGCTATCACAGCATCCATTTTTGTGAAAGAACTTGTTCTACGGTTGTAGTGGTCAAGCGGCTCGCGTTAAATGAAAAAAAAAGAGCTCCGAAATAAAAGGAATAGACAACATATTCCTGAAACACAGCCTAGAAATATTTCTGGCGCTCGTGTTTGGATGCGAATAAAAGCCGCGAGGCGCGCATATATTTTGCCACCAGGTGGCACGATCATCGCAACCGGCATGGCCACCCCCATGTGAAATTTCAAGTGGAGTTGTCGCGATCACGAAGCGATCTAAAAATGAGCTGTTTCATGAGGATATCGAACAGCGTCAGTAATATGCGCTTACTTTTTACAAAGATGTCTCTCTCAGAGAGCGTTTGTACGGTATCAGCTTCCAGTGTTCACACGCTGACGAGCGCCGAAAGTGGGAACCGCGAGGCGGTGTTGTCCAGGGCATGCCCTCAATCGCCACTTCACGTGTCGAGGCGTTACAGAAATCGAAAGATTTTATCCTGGCCCACAGACTACCTTCCTTACGAATGGTCCTACCCCCCTCCTAAGGACCTCATTGCTGAATCGGGTATGCTGGTAGTCGTACGCCTCGAATGAAAGACTTTCCAAAGCCTACAATTTCCTCACTCGCAGGAGACCACGTTCACAACACCGATCCGATAGAGCTCTCAACACCGAAGGACGGATTTGAACTTTCGGAGGAGCTCCAAACGTAAGGCTTTCCCCCCTTTTATTTTGACACCATCCATGCGGATTTTTGGCAACTCTGATTACTATCGTATGTGCAGGGCGTCTCCAGAAGTCAAGCGCTTGTTCAGTTTGGAACTTGCATCAATGGTAAAGGTCTAGTCCCTCCGTGCTTTGTGGCTACTAAAATGTGGTTTATTCAGAAACTGTTTTATTTTTCTTTACTCACTTAGTGGGAGATCTTCCACGTCAAGAAAAAAAGATTCGTCAAGTTGGTTCAGCGGCATCCATATGACGAGTATTCAATGGAGTATAAGAGTACGGCGATTTTATGAACGCTTTTCTTGCTGCGTTTCGCGTGCTGTTCGAGTATTCCTGTCGTTCTCGACCCACCTCTGATTTCCTTTACAGTTGCACACAAAACATTTAGAATTCGGAAACTGAAGGAGGTCTTGGCGACATTTCCAAAGGTGAGTAGAGCAGTGAAGGGCAAGGTTAAACTACTGCTTCGCGACCTGCCCCTAAATAAATTGTTACTGCATCTTTTGTGGAACCCTAACAAGATTCACGTTAAATCACTAGTGCTTTTTGTTCATCGTTAATATTATGTTAACCCCCTAGTGTGCCAGATAGCAATAAAATATTACTGTAGGTTTGTGTACTTCATGTAAGAAATTATGGAGGGGGGTGTTGGACTCGGCCAGATGACATGTTAGGAGGGTGCGCATAATTCGCCGATATCTTATGTGTCCCTGCCAGCCTTTTAACGCCGTCCCCACCTTTCAGCGCAAGGAGGTCAAGACTGCTCTGTGCCACGCCATCCACAGTCGCAACAAGCTGCTGAAGTACCTCCGCCGCTGGGACCGCGAGCGCTTCGACTTTGTCACCCAAAAGCTGCAAGTCAGCTTCACGCCGGCGCCACTCAACTGCCTGCCCCCCCCGTTCACAAAGAAGGGCGACCTAAGGCGGCTCACCAAGGAGTACTGCGCCAAGATGAAACAGGACAAACTGGACGCCTTCCACGCCAAGCTGATGGCAGAACGGGCGGACTTCCTGGAAGAGAAGCGCAAGACGGAGGAATGGATCCGCAGCGAGGAGGAGCGGCTCAAGCTGACAGAAGAAGAGCGCAAGTCCACCGAGTACGCGGGCATCCTGAAGGAGCTCAAGCACGAAGCCTAAATGGGAGGGTGACTCTCTTCTGCTTCCTAGAAAAAATAAAGATGTTGCCAGTCGGTCAGTTCTGCATGGACATGAAAATGCAGACAGTGTGGTGGAAGCTATGTGCTGGTTGGACCAGTCGTGCCCCTTTCACCACCCAACTCACGCACTGAGTCGGGTGGTGAAAGAGAGGCTGTTGATTGGTCATGAATGAGCCAAGATTACTGCATTATTATGGCTTGCCAATGTGTTGGCAGCGGTTGTATTGATACCAGCCAAGCCGAGGTCGGCCCAGCGTTGCTGACGACTGCCTTTTTGCCAAGCACTTTCGAATGAACAAATATCAAGATGCAGAGTTTGTAGGAAGGTTGCCATGAAGCTGGTTATAATGGAATAATTTTGAAACTAAACCAAAATCAGCAATAAACATGAGTATACTGTACATTCAGAGTACTAGTAATACTAAAAACCAAAAAGCTTCACAGCTCATCCATATCGAAAATCGTCTGGATGAATCTTTGCAATATTAGTAAGGGGGCAGCATTTTTGTGGAAACGAGCCTTGTCTTCCAAAACAAAATATCTGTGAGGCTGCAAAAAAAACAAAAATGATAATGAAGTTCATTTTTAGTCTGGAAAAAGAAAATATAGATTCGCAAAACAGAAAACTTGCAAGAATTCTTTCTAAGGCCTGGAAAAAGAAAATATGGATTTGCTGAACAGAAAAGTTGCAAGAATTCTTTCTAAGAAATGAACTTCAGAATGCACGGTTCAATATTTCTCAGGAACTCCAGGAATGCAACATATGTCCTACATCTGTTTAGATCATGAACGAAAGGGGCACTCCTAGCCAACCTTCCCCATATTAATATGCTAGTATTTCAAATCCGAGGACCCTTCACTGTGCATCGCCTAACACTGCCATTTTTGTGCTCAGTTTGTGCCCACTGTTTGTGCAAAGAGGTGCTGCCCCTTTTACACAGGAACACAAAGAAAGGCAAATGTTTTCTGTCCTACCGTAGAATACTGCGCATCCGCCCATCCCACATTAAGCGCCCATCCCATATTTGTAAGATCTGAGAAAATATGCACAGTACATTTATATGTAAAATTGATGACCGGACAAGCGCCTATCCCCCATTTCTTGTGATTATCTCTGAAGTTTGAGTGGGCGCTTGCCCGGTATTTTACGGTAGTAATACAGCTTTCGTTTTATGGGTACAAACCCCATTTCAGGAGAACAGTACACTAATAAAACACAACGTTCCAAGAGATTCTTTTTATTGTCTGCTCCCTCAATATAAAGCATGAAGATTAGCCCTGTAGACGGTATATACTATATAACTTTTCAAGACCCCTGCATGGAACACTTGTAAAAGTATAAAAAAAATCTCGAAACAATGCAGAAAGTGATCACAGTATGTATGTACAACACTGGCACAATCATGGGCACCTTTAATATGTAACATGCAGCTGTTTGAAACTTTGCACACTGGTCTGCCCCTGAAGAAAGAGCTGCTGTGTTTATTTGTATCTGTGCCCAATAACTGTTTGGAACAGCTGATTGGCAGGCACTTGTCGTACATGGACGAGGCAAAAAATAAAAATGGCACGACATGGCACAGTTAAGGGAGCATTATCGTCAGTGGAGCTGCTTCAGTCTTAATGTTATAAAGGTCTGTTCCGAAAATGAGCACTGATGTTAGTACACTGCAGTATATGTACAAGGACTAACCGGCATTCCCATGGTTACAATAAATACCACAAAAAAAAAAAGGACCAAAGAAAAACTTTTTCTTGCTCATTAAATGAAACTTGTTTTCTGATGAGAAATGTAATTGTGCAAGAGGAGTGGAGAGGTAGTGCAAAACAATGTCACAAAGCTTGAGATTTTGCCTTGTAGACAACCTCGAGCCCGCAGGTAAGAAAATACCCCCATTTGGCATTTGGTACATCGTAAGGAAAACGACAGCCCTTTCAATGCCTAAACATACTGTCAAAGGGTTGATCAGATGAAATATATACGAGTTATTTCACTGCATGTCAAGCAGGCTTTTAACTCCAAATTTCACCTTTTCACAAAATATGTCTTATACTTCGTGTCACTAATTGTGTGCAGTGCAGGGGAAGGCAATGCCAGGCGAAGAAAGAAAGGGCAAGCACTAGGAAGGCGGAACAGGAGAGGAGGGCAAGGGGAGAATGTTAGAGAAAGAAGGAGGTTTCTCTCTTCCTCTCCAGCCTTCCTAGTGCTTGCTTCCCCTCCCCTCGCCTGGCGTTGCCTTCGCCTGTACCGCATGCTACTAGAGACACATAGTATAGGTCTACAAGGACTGCTACTCACAAGTGCTTTCTGTATCTTCTCAGTGGCTTCTCTCAAACCCTGATGCTGCACTTCAGACATAGAATATTTTTTTGACATAACCAACACTTTCCTTCATCACATTTCAACCCTTTTTTTAGTTAGTATTGTGTCTATGACACCGTACCTTCACCAAAACAAATATCTTTTGACTCTTTAAGTCTTCTGTAGCAATTATATTGCTGCCGCAGGCGGTATGCACAGCGTTTGCACAATTGGTTGAGTATTCTTGGCTGTCTGTTTGTTTTGGTGCCTGTGTACACTGCACTGCTTCTAAAGGGTCTCATGCGAGCGGCATGCTAGTTCTCCTGGCAATTTGGCTGCAAGACCCATTGGCCTCGTGACGAACAACTCCCCTCTTGCAGAATAAATATAACATTGCAGTTTTGTGAGCTTGTAGAGCATTGGACATTGGATGGAGTATAAGCTCCAAGAGCAGGCCCCATTCATGATGGCAGTGTCAAGGGGACAAGAAACCCATTTTCCGAGCCTCATTGGTCTCGGGACCTCAAGGAGACTGCACGTCTCGAGGATGTACCCTTAGAGTTCTGAAGGGAGGGTTTCTAAAAAAGGAAACTATATTTTGCTTATTTTGACACAAGTTTCAAAATTGAGCAGGCTATGGAAGTATTCTTACAATGTTGAATGTGGCAGTGCCTTTGGTGTGTTTTACAAGTTAATATCTCTCGCGTAACTGGCCACCGCTCACAGACCTAAAAAAAAAGGTGACGTCATGAGAAAGAAATGCAGTGTGTAAAAAACATGGCTGGTTCGAAAAAAAGACACGCTAAAAAAAACATATCGATCTGAAGTACCCAGATGACAGAAGCCATCACGAAAGCAAACGTTAAAAGGGAATGCAGGACGCGCTTCTGCGGTGCTCTGCCGTCGGCGGGAGAGGGGGCCAGCTTGCAGAGTTCTGGGAGCACACCTTGAAGCCCCGCACATTGCCTAATCACGACTGGCTTGCAAGATGGGACCCCCGAGGTCAGAGAGAGGTCATGGCGGGCGGGCGGGCGTATGCCTTGGGGATGAACCCGTACTTGTGCACCTTGGGGGCGTAGGCCCAGAGCCAGCCCTCCACAGTCTGGTTGGCGAGGTCCGCGTACACCCAGTCCCCCCCGTCGCACCGTCAGGTCGTCGGGCGCTTGGGCCTTGTAGTCGTACAGCATGACCAGCTCGCTGCCGTGGAAGCGCAGCTCCTCCGTGGTCGCCCCCGTGCCCGCGTTGGCGGGGCTGCCGTGGTGCCCGTTCTGATGCGACGACGCCCCCACCATCCCCGCCACGTTGGAGCCCGGCTGCACCGGCCCGTGCATGGCGCTCTGGTTTTCTGCATGTCGCGGAGAGACAAACAAAAGACACGCCCAGAAGTGAGCGGGAGGTGCACTTTTAAACTTGCGCATCAACAATGTAAAGTTTTGTTTAATTTTTTTAATTTTTTTTTATTTATTGGGTTTTACAGGCAAAGTCCAGTGATAGAGGAAAAAAATTAAAGACATTTACAAATCTCTGTAATGGGAAACTAGACCGCAGCACTTGAGGAGGAGGAAAGGAGGGTACGGAGGGGAGGGTATGCCCCTCTTACTCCTCCCTCTCTCCTCCTGCCGCTGAATTTGTTCATGGGTGGTGTGACACGAAGTCGTGCCGCCACTTTCCCCGCTAAATTTAGCGGGGAAACTGAATTGGTGTTTAGGTCAAGTGACGTCAATTTCCCCGCTAAATTTAGTGGGAAAATTTGCTGCTAAATGCAACAGAAAGTTTTCCATAATGCAATGCGCGCGGTTACGCTGACGGCGCCGCCGCTCAAGCCGGAAACGGGTGCCTAAAAGCTGCGCTCTAAAAGGAATTTCTGCCCAACGTTTTCTTCTGGTTAAACCACAAAGTATGGCATGTATGGGAATGCAGACCATTCTACTAACCTGGAAAGACTAGTTAGTGTACTAACTAGTGTACCATTAGTAAAATATGATAAATAATATGTCCTTTCAAAGACAAGTACTTTTTAACACAATTTCTCATGATGCCCTTTCATTCCCCTATACAGCGGGTCTTTTTAACCCTTTAAGGGCTCAATAAAAAAAAAAGAAAATGCACCAAAATGGTTAAATTTTTTTATGACGTGAAATGCTTCAATAACATGTCTGAAAGACGAAAACACCTTTGCAAACGTTTTCCAGCAGATAATAATGTATTGGCCGTTATGTATTCTCCATTGCTTGAACTCCGGAAAGAAAGGGTTGGTTATGTATACCAATACACAAAACGCACTCTTCCTCCGTTGATCCCCTCCCAACTATTGGAGACTACCAACGGTGTGGTAGCGCTCAAAACATGGCACTGCGCACAAGGCCTTCTTGCACCACCTACACCAGATCCTAGTTTCCTTGCGGATGTTCTTGCCCTTGCTGTCTCTCTTCATGTAGCAGACGATGCAGCAACGTGTCGGTTCTCGCTTCTTCTCTGTCGGCGGGATGTGCGACGGGAAGTGGCGCTCAGTAAGCCGCTTCATGTTCAGAGGACATCCTGGCCGCCCTTTCTTCTTGGCACTGCCATTCCCTGAATACTTGGTGATGATCTCGTCAACAAGTTGCAGCCGGTAATCCATGGGGGATGCTCGGCCTCCTTCTTTCTGATAGAGGACAAATGAATTGTATGTCGCTTCATAGTAGACAGCATCTGGTCTGCCCTGTCCACTCCACCCATTGTGTGGTTGTAATCCAAGATAGCTTCAGGCTTCATGGGCTGGTTGCCCCTTTTGTCAATGAATGGTACCATTTCAGCACTATGCACAGTGGATAAAACCGTTACCAGCTTTTTGTCCTTCCACTGTATCAGCAAACACTTGCCCCTTTGAAAGGCCAGCATATCGGCTTTCTTGAGCTTTGTGGTGGCTAGGCCAGGAGGAAGATTCTTGCGTGTCACTCGTGTTGTGCCATAAACATCGGCTGATCTTTTGAGCAGGAAGTCAACAAGTTCTGGGGACGTGTAAAAGTTATCTGTAGTGATGCAGTAGCCCTTGTCCAAGAGAGGCTCCACAAGCTTCACTACAACTTTTGTTGCCATTCCGAAGCTTTCCGTTGCTACTGACGAGGTCTCCAGGTCGGTGCCTTTTCCCGTATACATTATAGAGTTCCATATATAGCCGCTTTCCGACTCGCACAGCAGGAATGACTTGATGCCGAACCTTGCTCTTTTTAGAGGCATGTACTGTTTCCAACTGAGCCGTCCCTTGAAAAGCAACAAGCTTTCGTCGACACTTATGTCGCGCTCAGGCACGTACAATGTACGGTACTTCTTCACAAGCTCCTGATACACTGGCCAGATTTTTCGGAGCAGAGGTTGAGGGTGTCCTTCCAAGTTCTGGATGGTCGTGTTGTCAACGAAGTGCAGCATTCTCATGACGAGCTGAAATCGGTTCCCAGGCATTATCTCACCAAAGGCAGGGGTCTCAATCAGGCGGCTTTTTCGACCAGTACAGCCTTTCATTTGGTTTCTTTACAATGCCCTGCAGCATCAAGAGGCTAAAACAAACATGCAACTCTTCACGCGTAACAGGGAACCATTTTCGGAAGCGAGAATGCTTGCCCAGGTTCCTTGAATTCAGCAACTGAGATGCGTACCTGTTTGTCTCAGCTACAATAACATCAAGCAGTTCATCATCGAAGTAAGCCTCATAAAGCTCTAGTGGCTGTGGGGGTGAGCTTACTGTGAACGTCAGTCCCGATGAACCCTTGAATTGAAACCGTGGAGGTCTCGCTGGAATATTGTTGAGGTCTATGCGACACCACGAACAGGAGCTGGCGATCATCTCATCGATACTTTCTTCGTCATCTGACTCGCTGTCGTTGAGACTGTCGTCACTATCTTCTTCACTTAAAGAATCAAAATCGAAGTCAACATCCTCATCACTTTCGCTATCATCTGACGGATGACAATCAACCGCACTAGAACGACACACGGATGATGCCATGTTTGTTTGAAAGCGCGGGAAAATCTCATGCGAACAGGGCAAGACGCAAAAAACAAGGAGAGCATACAAGGAACGTCTGCTGCCATCTAGTGTGAAAACTGTCATTCAAGAAAAGCGTGGATGAAAGGAAGTGCTGCCATCTATGTTTTTAAACAGAAAACGCTACTTGACGAGCTGTGCTCGTCAACAGCCATTTAGAAAGTAGCAAAGTACCCATGACATGGTGAGCTCGTCATAAGCAAAAAAGTGGCAATCGCTCGTCACGAGCTGAGGTCGTCATAAACCCTTAAAGGGTTAAGTGGTATGCATTTCCGCAAGGGAAATTGGGGTGCATCAATTATTGTCACCAGCAGTGGTGCACCGAGAGGGGTTGGGGGGGGGGGGGGGGGGGGGGGGGAGGGGGATGTTTTGCCTTCTGTCTTATTACCATCTTCCTCCCTCTTAGTACCTCTCCCTATTTTTTCTCTCTCTTTCCTTGTTTTCACATTCTCTCTCAATCATTCTTTCAGGCCCATCGAAGCACTAAAATTTGTTGTGCACCGATGCTGTTCACTTGGTGCAACTCTTTTCCGAGTGTGACTGCTGATGCGGAAATCCAGGAGTCCAGGATGAGGTATGTTACCTAAAGCCGCCTGAAGCGAAAGTCAAATACGATGCTTACCTGCTTCTCAAAAAGGAGTCTAGATTTAGATTCAATGAACTTTGCATCAACACCAGAATGTGCAACTCCCAGCATTCACAAATTGGTGATCTAGTAGACGCTATCGTCTTCAGCAGAATCATCTGATTCGTCTGTCAGTGCTGAGCCTTTTCCAACCCCTGAAGTCACTCATTGGAATGACTTCGGGATCTACGCCGGCAAGTCGGAGTATTTCAGGATTGTTATACTCTTCCGTTGCCCAAACTTGTGTGCTGAATTTCAGATTAGGTTACAATTTATAATTATTTAAGAGTAATGTTTTAAATGTTTTCTCGTCCTTCCCTTTGGGTAGGTTGGTGATTTTATTAATTTTTAAATTAATTACAATACTGTAAGTTTCTTTTCCTTTTTTTTTTTTGTGTGTGTTCAGGATTACAAATTATTTTTGCCTTTAGATAGTGGAGCTTTCCTTTCATACACATGATGGCAAGGCGCGGCATACAGAACTGGGAGGACACATGGTTGGCTCTGGCAACTCGCTTCGGGTCACAGGAGCCGTAGCTTTTGTTGTCAGCGAAGTTGCTTGGAACGGAGGATACGGTAAGCAACTTGGTTTTCATAAAGACCTACGTTTTGCCAATTTTGCGACTTTGCAAATAATCACAAACAGTTTGTCCCACAAATAATTCACCCCATGGTAATGACTACACCACAGATCATGAAAATTTATGCCAACGAAATAATTCCAAAACAGGTTGATTCCCGAGTAGCACGTGTAGCATGGCAATCTCAACACAGCACATCAAAGTTTGTTTAATCGCAAACTATAGCTCGAAAATCACTAAATACAAAAAATTGCAAAGCTTTCCTAGTCCTCCTATCCTCCCTCCCTCCCTCCTCCCGCCCAAACCCATGCCTGTCACAGATCAGTTATTTAGTTTTTTAGAAACCCCCCAGACGAAAATCCTGGGTGCGCCAATCGTCAGAAGTGGCGGCGAATGTTGGACAAGACCAGGTGGCCACAAAGCAGTTACTTTCAGAAATAGTGCCAAATTCAGGAGTCCTTTCGACTTCTAATTTTGGAGCCCCTTGTACTAGTTGGGAATGGTGTACAAGCGTGAGCTCTATACTCAAGGACGCAGCTCAACTGTACGAACTCTCTCCCAGCAGAAGGAATTGTCAAAAATAAAGCTATGAGCTCGGGCTTCTAGCCATTAAAAATACCTTTAAAATCGAAATATATTTTCTTAAAAGGCTGCTATAAAAATTGACAGGAAAGCAAAAATTGCAGTATAAACATGCCTCTTTTTTTTTATTTCTGCTGAGCCGCGACAGGACAACGACAGTGTGCTTGCTCTCATTCTATTGAAAAATGTCAGCCTATTGGCAACTTAAATCTTGTTATCACGTCATCTATGGACCCAAGGTAGTAGTATAAGGAAATGAGAGGTAAAACTGTCACTTGCAGAACGGCGAGTTCACAAAAAGCAGAGAGCATGAGGCTCCTTCTCTAGAAAACTTCTGGGGTGTCCCTGGGAGAGTCGGCTGCTTTGCAATGTGAAATACCATTGCTCTTTTTTTCCTCAAAAATTACAAAATATAGGCCCCCCCCCCCCCCCCCCCCTTCCCCCCCCCCACCATGTTCTCCCTCGACCTTTCAGGGGTGTGCTATCTTGCCCCCACACTCGAATAAGTCTGAGACCACAGGGGCCCTAAACTCGTCAGACACAAAGGTGGAGCCGAAAGTTTGCAAAGCGCGCCGATTGGACGCTGGCGACAAAAGCGCGAAGTCATCGTCGTGATAATCCAATCAATGCACTTCGTGAACTTCGGCCCCAACCTAGTGCTCGACGATTTTAGAGCCTCTGTTGTCCAGTGATAGTGTGGTGTTATGTAACACCATCAAACTTCTATCATCAGATTAACTAGACAGACAAGATCTCTCTCCTTGTGGTGTGGGCACCCCTTGTGATAAAATGGTACTATTTTATACTTTGTGAGCTCCTCCATGTAGTGAGGTGCTATTTCACACCACCAAACTTTTACCAACAGATCAAGCAGGGGTGCCTCCCATAGTGTGGTGTTATTTCACACCATCAAACTCCTACCATCAGAACAACCAGACCTGCAAGATCTGCCTCCGTGTGAACATCCCTTCTGATAGAGTGGTGTAATGTCACATCACCACACCTGTATCAGCAGATTAAACAACACAGTCGTGTAAAACCCGACTCCTTGTAGAAACCCCCTGCAACAGTTTGGTGTTACTTCACACCCCCAAACCTCTACCAAGAGCTTAACCAAGCTTCTGATAAAGTGGTGCTATTTCACACCACTACACATGTATCAACAGGTTGCACCACAGGCCTGTGGGGTTTAGTTCCCCCTACAATAGTAGCTTTGTTCGATTTACCTGCACTTCCTCCTGCACCGGTGCAAAAAGTGTAGGGCAGTGCACTTCCGGTCGTATCTCGGTACGCACTTTTCTGCACCGGTGCAGGAGGTGCAGGCAAATCGAGCAAAGCTAGTCTATTCCCTGCAGACACCCTTCCCACGTGACAGCGAGGCCCACTTACCCTGGATCGTGTCAGCATCGGCCGGGCACACGAAGGCACTGGGCACGAACCCTTCCTGTCCATCCGACCGTAGCACCCAGAACCAGTCCGGGTCCTCCCTGTTCAGCACCGTCACCAGTTCGCCGCGCTCCACACTCACGTCGTTCTCGTCGCGCGCCACGAACGTGTACAGCACGACATAGCGCCCCGCGGGGTCCTTGAAGAACGGGTGCACGTCCGGCAGCGTCGTCTGCAGCGACGCCGCGTTGGTCAGGTGTCCATCCGTCGTTGGCGGCGCCAGCCGCGAAGACCGATCCTTGGGCGCGCCGAAGCTCTCGGCGTCCGACTGTTGCCCGGAGTCCACCGAGTGCGTGCCCCGCGACGAGATCTGGTCCAGCCCGTCGTCCTCGTCTCGGGGCAGCTTCTTGTGGCGCACCGTGAGCGCGAGCTCGCCCAGCTGGCTCCCGTACGGCGCGCAGTACGAGTGTGGGATGAAGCCCTCCTGCCCGCTGTCGGCAATCACGTACACCCAGTCGTTCTCCTGGTACAGCACGTTCACGATCTGGCCGCGGCGCACCTCGAGCTCGTCATCGACGCAAGGGGTGAAGTCGTGCAGGACGATCACCTTGGAGTCCGGCGACAGGCCGTGCTCCTTCTCGATGCCGACCCGCACCAGCGTCTCAATGCTGGCGCTGCCCGTGATGCGTCCGATGTTGGGAGTCCGCGTGGATAGCTTGTCGTTGCTGGCGCTCTCTTTGGAAACGGAGGAGAGAAACGGCGGCACTGAACCTGATACCAATCGACGGGCGTTGGAAGCAATGCGAGCAATGCGCCGGGCTGTTTTTGTTGGAGCGCAAGGTGACATAGATATCGGACCGGTTCGGCCAAAATAATTGCGCAAGAAAACAACAGTGCAGCCGAGCGATTCGTGCACGGGCCCAGCGTCTCGCAGGCTGCCGCGATCTCCACGACAAAAATTTGCCCTCAGTTCTGAGCAAATCTAAGAGCGTACGTGATCCAAAACCGACCTCCCAACAACCGAATGTCCCTTTAGGTGTAGAGCCAACTGTCACTGCTAACTTCAACAGTCGATCTCTACACTAATTGGTATTCACCCCACGTTATAAACCAGTTAGTCAGAACGACTTAGTTCTCTCTTTTTCGTTTCCCTCTCTTTTTTCGATCGGATATCTCCGTACTAAAAGAAACTAAACGCCTCGTTCGCCAAAACAAATATGAGAGCCGATAAAAGGTTAGAGCACCGAGCAAAACAAACGTCGAACGTTGAGCAGAGCGATCGACCCAGCTGACTAATTTTGCTGGCTAGCTGCGAGATATGGTAATCGATCCCTGCAGCAGGCACGAAAAATGTGAACAACGAAGATAAGCTTACCTTTCTTTCTTTTGCCCCGTCGTATTCTCACGGGGCAGAGAAACGCCATGATGCGGTTTGAGGCAACAGGTGGATAACTCGCTCTCAAGGCTTACCCCGCGCACAGAACAGTCGCGAGGCGTGCCACGACATTGCGCCCCATTCAGCTCGCGGCACGAACACGCCGACCACTACGTCGTGCTAACTCCTCGCGATGGGCCCGTCGCCTCGGCCGATCTTCGCATTCTGCGTGAAGGAGCTACGGACGGTAAACTCGTTCAGTTCCTCCGGCGGCCGGCTGCCCGCAGAATTCCTCGTCTAGTTCTGCCGCCGCACGACAGGTTACGCAAAATTCGTTCTTCCGCAATTCCGCACACAGAGAAAGGAAACAAGAAACAAGGAACGAAAATTATGTGAATTTGTGCAGTGTTGCAAATACGAACGTGTAAACTGTCCCAATGCCGACAAAAACGAGGAAAGGCTTGCTGAGAAAGAAACTAGCAGCGGAGCGATCTTGAAGTCCGGTTTTATGATCAACAAGGTCCGCGAGCCGGAAGTGTAGCGGAACCCTATTTATGTCTGGGTACATTGTAAGCAAACTTTTTTTTATTATTACATTTTTGTTTTTTGTTTGTTTTGGGATTTGTGAGGTGGGAGTGGATTGACTTTAGTGCGAGGAGTTGACTGATGGAACCGATGGAACGGTGTTTATTAGTTTGATCATGAATTGATCAGCGTTGGGTTTGATTGATTAAGCTGAGCGACATACTCGGTTGGACTACTCTACAAGGACGGGCGGTGTCATCCCCCTATCAAAAGCGAGACGCCCTTTGTGAGACAACATTCACGATGCTGCTGATCCTCGACGACGACCACAAGCAACACCTCCACTTCATTCGCGGCGTGGACGTCGCGGTAGCCCGGGAATTCTGCAAAATCGCCAACGAGTTCCTCCTCCGCGGCGTCAACCCCAAGGTGTACCACTCCGCTGCGCAGAAGCTCCAAGTCGAAGACGACGTCGTGCAGAACGCCGTGGAGGGCATCTCGCACCTCCTCAGCCAGGCGGCCAAGTTCAAGCTCAGCGAACAGCAGTTTCAGGAATCGCTTCTGCTGCTCAGCCTCCCCGAGCCGGTGTGCCAAGACTTGGTCGGCTATCATGTCGAGAACGAGAAGGGGCTTCGAAAACTTCTTAGCAGGAAGGCCATTCCGTGCTGGAGCTTCTCGGGTCTCGAGTGGCGACTGGAAGCCGAGGTAGCTAGGCGCTGCATCAAGTCTCATGTCCGGCCCCTGGTCACCTTCAGGCTCAAGCTCAAGAAGGAAGACGGGGAGAGCCTAGAAATCGTCCTCCAGACCGATCCTTCGAACCTTATTCATATGACAGAGTCGCTGGAGGAAGCGCTTCAGTGTGTTAAATCGCAGCATATGCGCAAGATTGTCAAACACGTCAAATAATGCTGTTTTCCTAATTTGGAGTTTGTTTCCTTCGGACCAGATTCGTGCTTTCGGTTTTTGTCGAGTCCTTACACTACGCGCATATATGCCCTAATAAATTGAACAGTTTATAGGTGCCTAGCTTCAATTCATGCCGTCAAAAGTATTTGCGTACTGCAGAGTCGTTCGGCAAAGGTTGTTAGATTGTAAACTTTTGGGTAAACCATAGTTTAGGTTTCAGGCACAGCAACATGTTACTTACGTCTTCATTCACTCGATAAAGCTTAATATCGAAGTGCATGTTCATCTTGAAATCCACTGCTTGTGAAATTGGTTATAAAACTTGTGTAACAAACACTGTTGGGCCATCTAGGTCTGTCACTTGTAACATTTGTCATGCAGTAACAGCTATGTAAATGCTTTTCGGGTTTTTATGTTCATTGCTTCTGCTTTTCCAGTCAAAATTAGCACTTTGGATCCAAGATTTTTGTCTCTACTTGCATTATACAAGCTGTCAATGAGAGCAGATTGCATCAATCCATACGAGTTGTTCAATTAGAGCAATGCTGAGCGCAAGTTCGTCTGCTTCTTTTGCAGGGGTTGTGGTGACGTCAGAAAGCCGAGCTTCGATTGGCTCCGATTGAAGGATGTGGGTAGACCTAAAAGCAAGATGCCTCAAGGTCTACCCACTATCCTTCAATCGGAGCACGGCGTTCTGACGTCACCATAACCCCTGCAAAAAGAAGCAGACAAACTTGCACTTTGCATTAAAGGCTTGTTCACACACTTGTAACCGAGTAGAACCGTTAGAGACAAGACCGGTTTTTAAGTCTCTTGCGACGTCTTAGGACCGGATGCGCTGCTGCAAAGCTGGTCCTAAGACATCGCAAGAGGATTAAAAAACGGTCTTGTCTCTCTCCGTTCTGCTCGGTCGCAAGTATCTGAACGGCGCTTAACACTATTCCACAGTCATACGACTTATTTTATGAACGGCCAATGCTCGGAAAGGTTCCTCTCAACCTCCACTCGTAGCATTAGATGCCGACTGCAGCAGGACGACATTTCACACTGGGAGTAAGAACAGAACACCTTTGGAGAATGCAGCAAGTATAACATTTATTTGTACGAAAGCTACACATTCAGTTCATCTACATACTGTGTTCTCATATATAAATCTATTATATTACACATCAACTGTGAGCTTACAGGATTGTCACGATGTATACACATCTTCACCCTTTCTCGGTACAAAATAAACCTCTGAAGACACGGGAAAGAAAAAGTCTCGGCCTTGTACAGTCGTACGGGAGGTATTGGCAGCAATGTACATCGTAATACGAGCTGCAGTCGCTGACAGGACAAGAAGTGCGGAGCGTCTCTTTCAGACGCCCGTCCTCCAGTGTGCGCTTGTTGCCTTCCAAAGTGCTGCGGCTGCGCCTGCATGCTCCAGACTCGCGAGACACGGGTGTGACCTCGTGCTGGAGGCAGCACCACTGAAGGACCTCGTCGCCGTCCTTGTCCTGTCAGTGATTACGCATGGTTTCCAATGTGAGTGGCATCGTTTAATTCCCACTGGGCTCGTTCAAAGCACCTAACTTTTTCCCCATCGCTGACTGCAGTTCACTTGCCATCCATAATACTATTGTACAAGCAGAAATGACTAAGAAATGGTGCAGTCATATCTATATATTTAAGTGGTAATCAAAACCTAAACCAAAAAATTAAACAAAAACAAGGGAAAAAACTGCTGAGACAGTTTACTCCACGGAGCCAACACACGTACGTGCTACACATGCCGGCGAATACTCTTGTCGTCGTAAACAGCACTACACACTTTCTCGCACCATGCCGGTACCATTACGTCCGATGATCGCGAGTTATTGCTAAACTGCATCACTTTGTCATGTTATGCAAATGGAACACTGGAGGAACTGTTAAAATTACATTATAAACAAGAACACTCCGCACAGAATCATTGAACGATTACGAAGCTTTTTAAGCTTTCAACAAAAGAAAATGGAAGGGATGGGTAAGGGCAACGGTGGAGTAGACCAACCACCTAACCAAAGAATGTCACTTCAGCTTCGTAAACACAGGGTACCTGAACACCACACGCGCTCCTCATATGGCACTCCAAAATAAGCCACAACTCAATGCTTAGTAACGAGTATGTGCTCAGTCAAACCAGTCGCCATTTAGCCTGGGTCACTTAAAAACAGAAAAAATATTGTGCAGCTTTGATGTACAGCTTAAGTACCGAGAGAATACGCTCTGCCTCGCCGTAACATGGGCTGCGGCAAAGGTTACAAGCGAGAGTGAAGGGTTTTGGTCTGTGCCCTCGGCTGCATGTGCAGCAGAGGCATCTTTAAAAGCAAGCACTTCACACTTGTGGCCTTTGCTGCAGTCCACGTGAAGACAAGACAAAGCATAAAGTATAGTAGTACCATAATTGGAATGCAACACCACAGTTTTTTCCCATTTGAAAATATTAATTGTATAAAGCTCGCTAGATATTCATGGAATGCCTGCCATCAGGTTTCAAATCACAAAAAGTGAAAGCAAAAAAGGAAAGAGGCATAAATGCATTAATCTATCCAGGATGCTATCCAGGCATGCTTTCCAAACAGAAATAAAAGAACCATTATTTGAGCACACCCAAGTTCGTTTTTGATATATGCGAACTCAATGCACCTGTGAATACAAACGGGATTAACTGCAATTCTTCCTAATCGTTCCATTCAAGCTGACAAGACTATGTCGACTGTTTCTTAAGCTTGTATAAATGGTGTACAGTTAAAAGTACTAGCACAAAACTGACCAAAAGTGTCACAATGCTCGGTTCAATGGTAGCTGGTAAACATTTCAGTACAAAAAGAGGAGCAAGATATGTTTCAGAAATTGGCACCTGTATACAAAGCCATCTTACTTTTGTTCTTCGCAGAACATACCAGTACCAAAGACGTTAAAACAAGACACAAGTAGCTGACTTCACAGCGTGAAAACTAACAATATATCGCAAGATTAGGATCGTTCGCTGTCAATTAAGGAACAGCGACTTTGCCTAGCGTAAGTCGTGCTCGACGATGAAGCACCTACACATAAAAGTTTTCACAAGTTACGTTCTGAGCACTAGCACAGTCATATATTCAGAAATATGAACCCTAGCATCCTGTGGGACATATAAAAAATGGCACAAGAAGAATCTATAAGCCATCCGCGGTTCAGACCGCTGTAAAAAATACCTAGACATTAATTTCAATGGGACATATCTCCATTGGACTTGGAATGCGTCGTTATGTCATCAATGGATGCACGTTAGATACCTTGCACGGTACCTCAACGCAATCCAGTAAACACTTACAAGCAAGTAATGGTTACCAGCATTCACTCGAAAATTTTGGGTTACAATGAAGTCACTTTTCCGGCACAAGTTTAGGCAATCAATTGCTTGCTTGTAAAGATAGAAGCTATGATGCAACAATGTCATCATTCTGCACTTGATGCTTTTCAAGTGCCAGCACTTGAGGAAAAGTCACCTTGCTATTACTTAGAGAATGCATTCAGAAACATTTACATTATGCTCTGAGAAAAACCATATAAAAAAAACTTCCAGGGTGACACCACAATTGAACAAACATGTCTTACCACATATTGTTGCACAGTAATTGCACCCCAGCTGCATTTCACAATTATAATAGCTCTGTTCATTTCACTTTGTACGTACTTGCATGGACTACTTTTTTTTTGTTTTGCGTGAAACTTTTTTTACTTAGGTCTTATTATGCTTTGAGTGTCTAATATTTACAGCTAGCAACAGCTATATTCTTTGCAAGAGGTCTTAATCTTCATGGACAGGACAACTGACATATACCTTGTTTACCTTTAAGCTGAGACTAGAAGCTCCGCCTTCAGCGCAGGCTTTCTGCCCTTGCCAACACAAGTGTGAATGCGCAGTCCCGTGCAACCAAGGCACTGCGGAAGCCAGCGAGCTCGCGCTAAGGCGGAGCTTTTAGCTTCAGCTTGAGGGTGAATGGAGTATAGTTATCGTAAACTTTCCACCTCTCCAATACAGGCCATTGACAGGTTAGGAGGAGCGATGGTGTCTCTCCCTTCAATGCTCAATGTTTCACACAAGCTCACTGCTTTTGATCATGATTCAGCTACAACACTGAAGCACTGTCGAAACCAGCAGCATGACTGAAAGCCACTCCCTGAATCGCTGGAAAGGCCCCAACAAACTTCAAATAATCTAGGTTGGTCTATAACTATATTTCAATGGTTCGGAGGGCATAGGAAACTGACGTGCGGCTCTGTTTTGCTTCGTTTCGTTCCGTTTCGCAGCATTGTTGTCCCGTTCATCAAGGTCTTCAGCGTTTAGCCGGGGCACACAGCATAAGATACAAAAAGTTAGTCTGACCTGCCTGCTTGCAACAAAAAGTTCCAGACCTTCAAAGGGTTTTAAAATGCTTTGAGAAAATAAGAAATCAAGACCTCACGCATAAGCTTGAATTAGGTGCTTTCACTACACTCATAAAAAAAAAAAAACACACACACACACGCAAGTGAGTGCACTCTTCAAACTACAACAATACATGTCCAAACCTACTAAGCAATTGTTCTGTGAAGCTCCCCCATAATAAAACAGTAGACTGACAGGTGAGTTAGTGAGACAGAAAGAATTAAGAAAGCCACACCAAAATGGGTAACTAAAAAATCGTTGCAAGAAACAGAAAAAAAACAAAAAAAAACTGAGGCCTTTGATAAAGCCTTAGAGAGTATGTACAGCTCAGCACAGACTTTTCTTTGAGTGTCAAGGTAAACGTTGGGCTGCATGGTTCAGCACTGTTTGGCGGCTCCACGTGCAAATTCACGGAAAGCGAGGTTAGCTTGTCGAAGGCAGGAAAAATGGAATGAAAGTACATGACCTGTTGCACCAACAAGTGAGCAAACAAAATTACATAAAACAAAAGGTAATGCAACACACTTTGATTTACACATCTCCTCTGGGTCGTGGGCCCGTCGTTGATCTCTTTAGACTCCACTCAGCTGAACGGCGGTAATACCGGTCAAAACTGCAGTTCAAGTCAAGAACAGCACCCGTTAACCAAATCATATTCAGAACAATCTCAAACAATCAGTACCAGTACAGAATAAAGTAGGACTGGTTCGACCCTGGATAACGCCCCGCACAACGGCCGTAGAAAATACCGGGGGCACTGCTATACTGTTGAGGGACGCATACCGCGGCTGGTCAACCTTAGACCAGCATGCACCCGCAACCGCCAAGTAAACGCAAAAGGGTCAGTCACCATAGCTCGCTTGCACTTGTCAAATCAAACACTCCATAAAACAATGGCTTCTTAGACAGATTTGTGAGAACGTGAGATGGAAGAGAAGGCAAACGCACAAAGAAGCGAGTAGATCAAATCAAAATCTTGCGAGACATACTTGTTCACTTTAATTTCCGAATAGAGGTTCTCCCGCCCGTAATAGATGACGCTGAGGAGACGACCGGATGACGCACTGCCGGGCTGTGGCGACGTGGCAGACGGAAAAGATGGCAGTCAGACCGTCAGGGTGAGTTTCTTGAGGCGGTCAATCTCCACCTGAAGGGTCATGCGCAGCTTTTTTTCTTCGTCGATTTCTGTCATGAGGTCCCTAACCAGTTTGCTGTACTGACTCCTGTTTGATTCAACAGTTTCCTTGAGGGAGTTCACCTGCACAGACCATAAACACATGCAAACCTCTAGAAAAGCCCGAAAGAACTTGCTCATGATTAAATCTAAAGCACCAATCCAGATGCCTGACCGGAAAGTTCGAGCTCAACAGCAGCAGCAATGTATTAATTCTGAAGGCAGTACAATATTTCTTTTTTTCAGGTTGAGCTGGATATGGGAGTTACTGTTTAAAGAGAAGATTAAAAGGCTCTTGAAAAAGAAAACGAGATACAGTATAGACCACTTACAATGTAACCGCTTATACTGCAGGACCGGGTATAACGCGGCTTTTTTAAACCACCGGTTCGCCTCCCATAGAACTCCATGTAATTACATACTGCTTAAAATGCAGGCACGCGAAGGGAAATACCGGTTAAAGTGCGGTTTCTGGAACAGCCCGCCGACCGCGCCGACCGACCAACGCAGCGAGCCCGCTTCCCTGTGCGACACTAGATAATGGCACTAGCCGCAAGCGGCACTTGTGGGGCAAGGAGGTTGCTCGAAGAAGCGGAGAGAAGCGAAGAGAGAGGCTTCAGTTGCCATAGCGACGGAGGGACGCACGCACGTGTCGTTCACGTGCGTGCGTCTCTCTGCTGCGTTGGAAACAACCGCAACGACAGACCAATCGCAGGTCCACGAAAAGTGTTCGCGCGCGTTGCATGCTGGTCGCGGGCCGGCTTCTTCTATCCGCAAACATGGCGTCGGTTGTGATCGTTGACGTAGACGGCGTGGTGGAAGCTCATCGTTCCGCGTAAAAGCGCTATCCTTGACTGTGAATTTTCGTTGTGTGTTGCTATGATCACCCAGCACGTACTAGAAGGGAAGATCCACCTACTCGTGCGGCGATGCCGTGGCGGCCACTCTCAACACGGCAGAAATGCCCGTGTCGTCGTGTTTGTTTTTTGTTTACTTCGATTACAGTGGTGCTTTCTAAGCATTTGTGTTTTCGAACATCCCCTTGATTTCTTCTTTGGAGCATTTCATGCCTGTGCTCAAGTTGAAGGTATTACTGGCGCGTACCGTAAAAAGGATGCGGATTTTCACGCGTTTTCATCGCCGGAGAAAAGTGATTAGGGTTAGCAATCCTGAGCGCTCACAACGTCCGTCCGCAACCCGCGATGCCGTTAAAAGGCTGCTGCGCCAGGCAAAAGTCGCTGATTTCTTTCAAAATGTGTGACACACTTAAGAGAGAAGTGTACAAGTCTGGTGAAATAAAGGCTTTCCTCAGACTAAGCTTTATTTTTCATCTAACATAAAATAAATTCTTTTACACAGGTAAGTTGTCTCATGGCATGTATTTTGGCCTTAAAAATTGATATTTTGGTTATAGCGCGGTACCACTTATAGTGCGGATTTTCGCGACTCCCACGACATACGTTATATGCGGTCTACACTGTAGAGGTGAATTCTTGCACATTTTTGTCCCGTGAGTTCGAATATCCCAAGCATTTAACCTGAACGTATCACTCGACGCGAGGTTTCAACTGCCTTGCACATGCCACTTGTGAGGGAATATGTGCAGCGCTTTTGACTGTTTGGATAAGGATTGCGGAAGGCATGGGAATGTTGAGATCTTTGCATATTGTCACGATTCCCTTCCATCAGCGAACACGCCGGGAAGGAGGCGGGGCTTCAGCGCCATTTTCAAAGCGCTGCTGTGGCTACTTGGCACATCAATCTAAACATAATTAAAATATTCGTGATCCTGGAGGTCAAATGAAAACCATTTAGACTATTCCTTCTGAAATACAGAACTGCTTCGGTTTCCCTCCAACTTTCTTTTTATCACTTTTTTTTTGTCTGCCCATCACTGCTTCAGCCTCCGGCGTAGACTGTGGGGAGGGGTCGAAAGTTGCACACAGTACCACTTAGGCATGCTCTCACAACTTCCGGGAAGTAGTTTTAGCACAATATGAATCCAAAAGTAGTGTCAAACCTGAAATGACCCATAACTACAACTAAAGTTAATTTCGATCGCTTGGTTGTCATCTGATGATTTGCTTTCTCCTTCATTAAGGTTGATATCTGATGATTTGCTTGCTCCATCATCAAAGGGAAGCTGAACTGAAATTTGCAGCTCACAAAACAGAGCTGGAGCGAAAGCAAGGGTGCTGCAAAATCCAGAAACATCACTCATACAGCGATATCTCAAACGGATGGCCTTATATCTGAAAAAGAAGAGCGCGACTGAACACGGCCGAAGAGACATGTGACGTCTCGATTCTCATTCCCTCTCCTCTTCGCTTCGTCCCCTTGAGTATCGCTGAGCAAATGAACCGAAGCGAGGAGGAAAGAAGTGAGACCGCTTTCCCTCATTCTCAACTGCTTGAAAAAGAATCACGACGTCATATTCCTCGCTTGATCGCACCCTTCTTTTCCATAAATACTGCCATCCATTTGAGATATCAATGTATGAGTGATGTTTTGGAATTCATAGCGTTCCGTTTAACGCTTTTGCGGCCTTATTTTGCGAAATCCAGATTTCGGTTCAGCATCCCTTTAATTTCAGATCAAACATTGCAAACATTGCCACCTACCTAACTGTGTGAGAAGCTATCGCATGAACTTTATAGTGTTTAATTCAGAAAGAAGTGAACTGCGGAGCTATGCTATTTTTGTATGGCTGAATGCACTCAAACAAATTTTATTAGGGATAATGTGACCTCGTTATATATTAGAAATGGGTAATTGACATAATTAGGCTAATTTGATCAAATAATCCTTTTTTACTAAACTATAAATATAGCATAGGTCTGTATGGCAGGCCTATGCTAAAGCATGTAGAAATTCCTGCATCGCCGATCAGAAGCCCACATCAAAGAAAATTACAGGAGGACACTTAAAAGGGCACCGACACATCAAAATCATATTTTTTATTATCCGAAACAATTGAAAACGATGCCAAGACATTACCCTCAAAATTCGAAACTTGGGAATTCAGTATTTCTGAATTAAAAAAAAACAATTTCCAAATGCCGAATTTGAAGTTCCCGCGCGATCCGCGCCAGTGCAGCGAGTAAATTGTGCGGTCTCCTGCGACTCGACTTTCTTTCGGACCTCCGCTCCATGCTATGAAGCAAAGCGCCATTGCCACCGCAACCCGAAGCGAGGAGGAAGTGAGCAGGCAAGATAGAAGGGAACCGGCGCAAAAAAAAAACGGTTTCTTCCCCGACTCGCCGATAATCCTCTGCTCGAGCGCCGCCAAGTTTTCCGAGGGAAGATACAAATCCAGGAAGCGACATCACACCAAAATCAGATTTTTGGTATTTCAAAAAGAGGGGCCGTAGTGCGTTCGCGATTGCGTTAAAAAACATGTTTTACGATTGCCGTTATGAAATGTTATAGAAATGTCGCCTACAAAGCTTCTAAATTTCCTGGTTTTTGATATCACCGATCAAAAGAAGCAAGGAGGTGAGCGCGGGAGATAAAAACGCCAAAAATAAAAGGGTCGTGCACGCGCGCGCAAGACAGTTTTTTTTTTTGCGACGAGTTTTTTTTTTTTTTTTTTGCGTGTTTATGACTACAATTTGCATCGTTTTTAGGCAATTAAAAAGAATACGACCTTTGGGGTGTCAGTGCCCCTTTAAAGGGGCACTGCAATCATATTTAAGCGTCTACCTTTTTTGCGGTTTCCACGTCTCTTGGGGTTCGTGCAAGCCAGCGGGCACAGAGAGAGTAACTAAATATCAGTGCGTCATATTTTAACCGGACGACGCGGAAACCTCCTCCACCGACGAGGGCGACCCGCGGTACCGAAAGCGCGCAAAATGTGACGTCTTTGGTCCTGGGCTTACTGCTGGTCAGAGCCGCTAAAAGCTTCTTTTTAGTCGAAATACAAAATATAAGTGGCGCAAGCCGTTTCAATTATTTATAAAAGTAGTTTTTGTTTAGTATGATAAGAAAAGAAACAAATGCAGTTCGTAAAGTATGGAAACAACAAATGACCCATCGACATACCCGCCACCAAGCGGTGGAAACGGCTGTGCATACTAGAAAGGAGTAGTCGGATCAGGCGCCGACACGGAAAGATCCTGGATCTACATGGCGGCGCTGCGGTCGTATGGGCAGGAGGATCCGACCGGCTCCGAGCGTTCCGAAGGCCTTCGGCGACAAGCTTTGTCTTGCGGTTTGGCCGTTTCGCGGTATGGCAGCGCAAAGTAGCTCCCATTCTGAACTGATCTTTACCCCGTGTTTGCTGTAGTTTGTGGCCAATGAAGTGTCATGCCGAATTAGTATTTAATTGCGCAGCAAATGCAATGAGAGCCGCTCTGGCTGCCCGCTGCATACAGCCTATGCAGAACACGCCTTAGTGGTGCCCTCTCGCGCCGTCGACACGGAGTGCGGCAGCCGTGAGCACGCGATGAGCTCACTACTTCTCCTCTAGTTCACGGCTACTCTCAAGCAACCAAGGACGTCATGAGGGAGGTTATTTTTTGCTTGCTTTTGTAATTTTAATTTGCCTATAACTCTTAAAATAAAGGGAATTTCGAGAAAAGAAAAGTTTCACTAAGTTACTACGTTCAGTGCGCTCAGGTTCGGTGCTAATTAAAAATCAGTAAAAAGTCATTGCAGGGCCCTTTAAGACTGCTTACATGTAGGTAGGCGAAAGCCTTAAGGCCTGTTCACACTCTTGCAGCCGAGTACGACCGAGAGAGACAAGACCTGTTGAAACCGCTTAAAATTTCATAGGACAAGGGAACACATTGGCATTCTGGCGCCATCTACGCGGTGGCTCTGGAACTGCATTTCACAAGAGCGAAGGTTTTGTAGGATTTTCAAGGTCAAATGTGCATAATACCTATAAGAAAGGCTCGTTTATAACGCTGACAAAAGTTTTTCGAGCTAAGAAAGAAAAGATAATGCGTGACAGAAATAGAATGGCGCCAGTGTCCTCTCGTTGTAAAAGGTTTCAAGGCACCCAGTTCTAAGAGGTCACAAGAGTGTGAACGGGCCTTCATAGCCCCGCGGGAGAAATGTTTTCGAGTAATGTTTTTACAAATATTAAAGTTTAGGACAGGGGTGGCCAAGCTGCGGCTCACGAGCAGCATGCGGCTCTTCGCGCATTAAAGTGCGGCTCGCGGCTCCCTCCTTTACTACCCCCTCCCACTCCCCTGCCTCCCTCCCGGTCACACAAGCACTTCCCCAAAAAGAGAAATGAAACACGTTTGAAATTGACAGACAGGTTTCGGTTTGGTTGTCTTGTGCTACTGCTACCTTAAGTAGGGTTGGACTGCTTTGGAGTCAGATAGATTAAAAGTAGTTCGAGCTCTGCTTACTAATCTAGACCACCCCCCCCCCCCCCCCCCCCCCCTTCCCTTCTTGCCGCTCTTGGAAGGTTAGTGGTTTTGTTTGCGGCTCTTATGCCAGGTCAGCCTGGCCACCCCTGGTTTACGACAACGTATAGGATGACGTCAAGGACAATGTCCTAGAGTTTGATGCCAAGTACGGCGTCAGGACGACCTCTTCAATGACATCAAGGACGACGCCGAGGACAACTTTGCGGACAACTTCAAGGACGGTGTCTAGGAGGACTTCTAGGATGACCTCTAGGACGACCTCCAGGACGACGCCTAGAGGACAACATCTAGGTTCTGGACCTAGACGGGGTGCACAACATGCGACCTGTGGACATGACACTGCGAGATGTGCTCAAGACGGCAACTAGTGCGATGATGCACGATATTGAAAACCTGTCTGCTAGATATTAAAACCCGCGCAGTTCCCAATAAACAATTTTTTACAGTGGAGCTGTTAAGGGCTAGTTTCCCCAGGATCGTGTCCCCCGCAAAGAAATGTCGACACAAAACTTTGGACAGCTACCGCCATCTATGAGCGACGGCGGCAACCAGACAATCGGCTTGCCGGCCTTGCTCATAGATGGCGAAAATCTTTTTAGCCTTTCCACTCTGGTTTTCACCAGAGTGGAATTTCTCTACGCATTGTCCTAGATGTCGTCCTCAAGATCGTCCTTAAGGTTGCCCTAAACAAAGACCTTGAGGTTGTCCCGAGAGGTAGCACTCGAGGTCGTCCTAAATGTTGTCCATGATGTCATCCAAGAGGTTGTCCTTGAGGTCGTCCTAGAAATCATTCTTGAGGTCGTCCTAGACGTTGTCTTTGAAATCGTCCTAGAAGTCGTCCTTAAGGGCGTCCTAGACGTCGTCCTTGAGATTGTCCTAGGCATCGTCCTTGAGGTCATCTTGATGTCGTCCCTGAGGTCGTCCTCTAGGCGTCATCCTCAAGGTCGTGTTAGAAGCAGTCCTTGAGGTCGTCCTAGACATCGTCCTAGACGTCCTTGAGGTCGTCCAAGAAGTTGTCCTTGAGGTCGTCTGACCATAGTACAGCTTCGCTGGTCTTCCTTCTTCACCAGGGTGGACAGGCTAAAAGTTCTTTGGCCTACGTCATTTTTGAGTTGTGCACCCCTGGTAGGACGACCTCCGGGACAACCTCAAGGATGACGCTAAGGACGGTGTCGTCCTTGAGCATATGATTGAGCGGCGCATGCTTGATGACATATTTTTATGGCCATCTTTCGGGCACAACGACGGCGCATTTTCGCTCAATGGGACGAGTAAGGCTTTCGTCTTAAAAGTCTCATTAGAAAGGACCTTAAAAGCCCGTAAGAAATGACCTAATTAGAATTCAATAATTGCCATAAGAAATAATTGAGACGTCTTAAATCTGATTGCATATTTGAAAAGAGGGTGACAAAATCCATAGACAGAGCAATTTTCATTACAATCTGCACATAAATAAAAAGTTAGTTTTAGAACCAGTGTCTGGCCTTAAGCATTAAACTGCCAAAGATGAGCTCGGCTCATCTTTGGCAGGCAAGTTAAGCTTTGACAGCAATTCAGGGAAGATGCATGCTTATACCCCCAACATGCGGCCCTGACGTCACGCCGCTGCGGAGGCGCTGCTATTGGCAGGGCGCAAGCGCAGATGCTCCACTTCACGCAAATCTGCTTCCTGCATTGCTCACACCTCAGGGGGCTTGTTTGTAACCAGCTTGTTGGCCTATAGCAACTTTGTTTCTTGCCACAATACACTAAGTACATAAAGTCAACGCTATAGCACAAGTGTCTTGCTGCGAGATGCATAAATGGGAGAGTGATCCCTGGCTAACGGATGTCCTACCTGCTGCAGAAGGTCGTTGAACTCTTCCTTGGACACGGAGCTTTCTCGCATAACTCTGAGCTCGCTCCTGAGCTCCTCTGTGGTCTCGCTGTCGATGGACGAGGACATCTTTCGGCTGCGAAGTACCGAGGATGGCGGCGCTGCCGCCGCAGCTGCTGCAGCGGAAGCTGCCGCTGGCGGTTCCTTTGACAACGGACTTCGTGGCACTGCAGTTGATTCTGTGCAGCCGGACAAAAGAGAAGACTGTGGTCGCAAGTTGCACGCGTAGCCACAAACATCGGCACGATTGGGTAAACAAACCAGCACGTGTCGAGGCAAAGGCTGCACGTCACGGTTAAAAAAGTAAAGTTAAGACGCCAGAACTCGATTTCCGTAGCAGATCAAGGCACGGCGCAGCGTTTAGGTATTGCGAGGATGACTGGAACTCAGACTGAATGTTTGTCTTCTTTTTCAAGGAACATGCATTGCACGCATTTCGAACACAGTTTCATGTATCGGATAAAGAAAATCATTTTCTGTACCCAAGTCCATTATAAATGGGTGTCGCATACAAATGACTGATTATTATGGGTTTAGTGCTGCAAGCGAGACTAGGGCCATATTTCTTCAGCATAGTAGGCTCATGTGCTCAGAATCTTAGCACAGATTGCAGTGTTGTGCTTTAACAATTTCATAAAGGCAAATGACAACACAGGCTTCGCTATGAGAAGCTTCCATGCAGTAGGTCTTCAAATTGGCACAATGAATGAAGTTGGCAAGTTTGCGAAGTGTTTTGTTGCAAAGATATTGTGGGCTACGGAGGCTCCTGTAATGACAAAAAAAAACAACCTCTATGTCCACTCCATATAAAAAAAATGACCGCATCTCCACGTGGTGAGTGATGTTGATTGGGGCGAAGCTCTGGTGGTGCTGATGATACTGATTTTGTTCATAGGTAGTGCTAAAGGTACTGATCTTTTTATTGCTCATAGGTAGTGCTGAGTTCCCAGTTGTGTGTGGTATGGAACGCGATTATATACGCATTTGACCGCAGCGCCCTCTCCTGTATAAACACTGAGCAGCTACATGCAGTGTTTCATCTATGACATCCCCAGCTCTTGAGTTACTACCACATCTCAAAGCTCCTACTCGTCCCACAGTCGTGGCCGAGCGGTTAAGGCGATGGACTAGAAATCCATTGGGATCTCCCCGCACAGGTTCGAATCCTGTCGACTGCACAAACATTTTTTCTTTTTTTAAGAAGACAGAATGGATAGCAATCGATGTGAGCTCAGACGCCGGACAAGGCTAGAACCTAAGGAGCTTCACCCCTAAAAATATTGTTTTGTCTAAACCTGCCCAGTTTGTAAGAGGTTGAGTGGCAATTGGTTCTGGGTGACATGATTGTAGGGGCTTGTTTTGTGATCAGAGAAACTAGCTCTAAGGTGCTCCATCAAGGAAGAGTAGGAAAGGGCACTGCCTGTAGTAAATGTGACAGATGTTTTTGATGAAAAGAGCAGGACAAGATGGGGGCAGGCTTCGTACCTTCCCTGGTTGGACAGGCGGAAGTCCTGTGCACAGACGGTGGGGACTTTTGGAGGAGGCCCCTGGCTGTAGTCTCCTTCTCTGGGCTCATCTGCAACAGGCGCAGAACGTGAAATGATAACCGGTGAAGCGAGCAGAAGGTGAAACACGATATAAGAAAGACTACTAAATTACTTTCTCGCCATTTGGATGTGTTAAATAACCCGACTTCGTGCCTAGGTCCGAAACGAGCAACAACTTGAAGAAGCAAGTATGCACGCACAAATTGTGCCCTAGGTACAAAGTACCAGTGGTACTGAGATTTATCTCATAGCAACCCCATAGTTAGTGGCAGGTTAAGAATGCAGTAGATGCACAGAAGGCAAAAAGCGCATGCCGAAGCTTCTTCTGCAATCTTAGCCTCTACAGTTAACCGAGCTAGAACTCGTTCGTCAATTATGAAGGTGAGGTCATCGTCCAAACTTTTAAAGCCACGTGCCTCTATGCTAGAGCGCTCACACCAAGCTTCACAGCCTTGCACCAGTGCTTTTGTGTGAAGCTTCCCCACTTTGCACCAGGGCACAGGCACAAAGCTTCACTGCTTTGCACCGAAGTGCGAGCGTGAAGCTTTGCTGCTTGGCGCCAGTGTGCTCAGAGAAGCGGCTGGCACGGGGAAGCATCTTGTTGGCACAAAATAACTGGGAATTTTGACGACTATTCTTTGATTTCGATTGTAGGTCGACTCTTAATCTCCAACAGATAAACATGAAAACTGCCTATCAGTCTGTGAGATGCAGGACAACCCGCGGAGGGTCCGTCGTCTGAGCCCACCTTGACGTCCTTGTTCTCGAAGGGAGGCTGACTAGTAAATTTGGACTGATTCCTCTTGCCCAGGTCCTTCATCCAGGCAGGCTGCATCTCATTTGGCTCGTTTCCCTGAACAAGCAGAGAAGGCGCAAGTGAAAAACTGAACTGACCTGTGCAAACCTGATAACTGCAACGTTCGTATACATTAGAAATAACGAGCCATTGAACTTTACTGTATATAATCTCGACTTTTGGGTGTACAAACTGGTGACTGCCTGACAAGCTGCTTGCACAAAGTTAAAGGGGCCCTGCAATCATATTTAAGCGTCTACCTTTTTTGCGGTTTCCACGCTTCTTGGGGCTCGGGCAAGCCAGCAGGCACGGAGAGAGTAACTAAATATTAGTGCGGCATATTTTAACCGGACGAGGCGGAAACCTCCTTCACCGACGGGGGCGACCCGCGGTACCGAAAGCGCGCAAAATGTGACGTCTTAGGTCCTGGGCTTACTACTGGTCAGAGGCGCTAAAAGCTTCTTTTTAGTAGAAATACAAAATATAAGCGGCGCAAACTGTTTCAATTATTTATAAAAGTAGTTTTTGTTCAGTATTTTATATCCGAAAAGAAACGAATGCAGTTCATAAAGTACGGAAACAAGAAATGACCCGTCGACATACCCGCCACCAAGCGGTGGAAAAGGCGACGCATACTAGAAAAGAGTAGTGGGATCAGCCGCCGACACGGAAAGGTCCTAGATGTACACGGCGGCGCTGCGGTCGTTTACAGACTGGAGGATCCTACCGGCTCCGAGCGTTCCGAAGGCCTTCGGCGAGAAGTTTTGCCTTGCGGTTTGGCCGTTTCGCGGTATGGCAGCGCGAAGTGGCTCCCATTCTGAACTGATTTTTACCCCGTGTTTGCTGTCGTTGTGGCCAATGAAGTGTCATGCCGAATTAGTCTTTAATCGCGCAGCAAATGCAATGAGAGCCGCTCTGGCTGCCCGCCGCATACAGCCTATCCAGAACATGAGTTAGTGGCGCCCTCTCGCGCCGTCGACACGGAGTGCGGTAGCCGTGAGCGCTCGCGATGAGCCCACTACCCCTCCTCTAATTCACGGCCGCTCAAGCAACCAAGGACGTCAGGGGGGAGGTTATTTTTTGCTTGTTTTTGTAATTCTAATTTGCCTATAACTTTTAAAATAAAGCGAATTTCGAGAAAATAAAAATTTCACTAAGTTACTACGTCCAGTGCGCTCAGGTTTGGCGCAAATTAAAAACCAGTAAAAAGTCCTTGCAGGGCCCCTTTAAGCAATGCGACATATTTGATAAACAATGCAATATTTTCGTCCACTCTGGCAGTCATCACCTTTTGGCAGTGTTTTCCTAGCTAAAGCAAGGATACAGGTGGCTGGTACAAAAGAAACGCCCCATCCCTGGAAAGAGGGAACAGAAGGGACAGTGCAATGCAACAAAAATCAGCTTGAAGGCATCCAGCCTTAATCCTTTGATGCCCAAAACTTTACTTGAAATACTGCAGACCAAGAAATCCTCACGTGGTTCTACAACACACAGAATAAAATAAATCTGATCTCAGAAAAAAATTACCTTTCTCCGTAATTATGTACTCGAAATGTTGATTGTGAGCAACATTGGGCATTTGCAGCATTATTTTGAGTGTAATGACCGAAAGCAGTTATGACCGGGGGTAAGGCACAGGTGCACTTCTCATTTCGCACAGTAGGAGCACTTGTAACTAGATTTTCAATATTTGTGCCTGTTTTTCTTCTTGGTGTTTCGAGGTCAGTGGTGCATGGCATCATACCTCAGATCCCCTGTCAGCTTTGGTTTTATAGGACAGCAATCTCTTGAAGATGCAATTCAATTCTCCACCGTTAAGTGCAGGTATCCTCGCCCTTGCGATAGAGGGCGCTAAATTTATTGAGGCGCGCATGACGCAGAAGAAATTAAGTAATTCTTGAGTTGTTGCTCCTGAGCAGTACTGGGCATCCAAGGTTTTTGAGGCGTGCATGATGCGGGAGAATTGAAATAATTCTTGAGTTGTTGCTGCTGAGCAATACTGGGCATCCAAGGGTTATCTAGAGCATGTGCAAGGACATCTTACACTGTCCCCACCATAAAATCAGCCTCCAAGAACCAAGCCGGGACATTGAGAGGACCAAACGCACAATAGCAGCGAATATATTGCGCATCTCAAATAAATCTTGGACAACGGCGCACAACCAAGCGCGAGCATAATACATACCAATTCCGTTCGGTCGCAACAAAAACAGACAAATCTTTTAAAGTCGATAGGCGTAAAGCTTGCTCAAGTCAGATTTCTCTTGTCGTACACGACGCCCACTACTGCAGTCAGCCAAAAAACAAAATATGGCACACATGAAACGTTCTAACATCACAAACGTTTAGTGATACTCTTGAGTTTCTAGACGCCAGACACCAATGTTCACGGCGCTCTTCATCAGATAGTTGAACACGTAGCATGTGCACACTTGATAGTTGTTTCTAGAATAAACGATACTACCACTGATTGGGCTGACAAACCTGGTGACCTTCCAGAGCCTTCCATACTCTCGAGCACAAGTGGTCGAGCTCCTCCTTGCCTAACCCTCTGGTCATGTGACCTCCCCATTAACCGATCGGCGTCGAGCACCTCGCTCCTCCTCTCCCACCCGTCAACCAATCAATGACGAGCCTCATGGCCACGCTTTTATTCAGGCTTCACTTTTAGGTTTCCCCAAAATGCCAAACACCTAGGCAAAGGATGTTTCACGTTAAAAAAAGTGTTCAACGTCCTGACGTGCGACTCACGTTTTCCTTGCCGACGGTGATGTGCGAGGGGGGCCTCCTGTTCATGGGGGGCCTCACCCTGTTGGCAGTGGGGTGGTTCAGCTTGTTCTCAGAGGGCTCAATGCTGTCAAACGTCGCTTCTGCATGGGGCACACACAGACGCACCGCAGGGACGTCAAGGGTGCCCACCACTCTCGTGTAAAGGCACCTTCCACAAATTACACGAGCCAAAAAGAATCTTCGGTAGTAAGAAAATTATAACCAGCAATCATACAGCCATGAGGGTACAGCTACTCCTGCTACGCACACAGAACCCATAGACAATAAAAACAACTTCAAGTATTAGTCTGTTGCAGGTCAAGAAAAGCCGGAAAAGCTCCTCCTACTAAGTCCTCAGCTCTTTTCACTTCAGCAGGGTAGATGCTGAGGGGAACCGAGCAGAGAGGAGGATACCACTAATCATGGCGAGCAGAGAGCTTTGTGGGCAGGGAGCTTTGCAATCACAGAGCATTGTCCTGCTTTTCTTAGCTGCGACAGACTATAACACTCCTCATACAAAATTCTGCTGTCATTCTTTCACAGAGAAGAAAATCTCAGCAAAAGTAAAAGCCGACATAAAGGCTATAGCATTACGACACGTGGCAGTCTCGATCGGCGGACGGAATCGAGGAGTCACGGCAAAAGCAAGGTTAGGTCGACTGTTCAAGGGACGAGGGAGAGGTAAGCCAGAGCAAGACAGTTATAAGATGCACGGAGAAGAAGATCATCCCAGAGAACGAGGAGGAGCATACCAAGAAAGAAAGGGAAGAGAAAGGAAGCCCACACAGAGAGAAAAACATCCGACAGCTTGGAAAAGCAAGCAGGGTGGATGCAAGAAGGAGCACTCCTTCGAGAAAAGAGAACTCTACGACAAAGAGAAAAAATACGCGACATCAAAGCGGATAGACGAGCCACCGGAGAGGAAGACCGACAGCGAACAAAGAGCCGGACAACGGCCGATTCTCCACGGAGCGAAAACAGGAGAGAGCGAGAGCGGATGCACCAAGGGTCGCAGGGCGGAGAGATGGGCCCTCTGAAGGCACACAAAGGGCCGGAGCAGAGAAGCGACAGAGTCACCCGCGGTGTGCAACAGAAGCCAGAGAAAGGCCTTCCTCTCCACGGAAAGTCAGAGAAAGGGAGAGAGAGATCACCCAGCAGTTCCATTTACCGGAGTACTCTTCCCTCGCGAGGTTCACGGGAGGAGACTTGGGTTCCTTGGCGCCCGCCGCAAGGCCGTTGGTGGCGGCTGCCGGCCGCATCACCTGAGCGTAGGCGTCCGCCGCTTCCTTCGCGGGCACCGCGGGCGCTCTCGGTTGGCTCGCGACGGGGGAAGGGGGTGGGGGCGGGGCGGAGGAAGGGGGGGAGCCCTCGTCCGGGGGCCTTTGGGGGGGCTTCTTGGGGGTCTGACTCGGGGCCTGCTGGCCCCCCACGGGCGGGGAGGGCAGTGACTGGAGTGCGTAGGGCTTCTTGGCGGCGGCCAGGCAAGTGGCGGGGGGTACGCCCGGCACGGCGGGCACGGGAGGGGGCCTACGCTCGGGGGCCCTCTCCTCCAGGCCGGCGGTGACGGGGGAGGAGGCTGCGGGGGCGGAGGGAGACTGGAGGTGAGGGCACCGGGCGAGCTCGACGTAAAGGCTAGGCCAGATATATAGTTTTTTTAAAAGCATCTACAGAGCCAGCTTTGGGGAGTTTGTGTCCGTTGCATGTAGCCTAGATGACGTCGTAGCGTCACGTGACACCGTGACGGCTTTATATTGTTTGTACGCAAAACCCTCGTAAGGTACCCTTCCGTGGCCTTCAAAGTGTGCCTGCAAAAGGAGGTGCACGAAGAGACCCTATGAATGATACGTATTTAGAACGCCTTCGGAAAATGCCAAAGAGACAGTCAATTTCTTTTTCTCGCATCTGTTCCTCGGTGCGGCTGGTGGATGCATTCCGGCGTTCATTTGTTTTGGAAGGGTAGGCATATTCCAGTCACTCATTTTTCAACTTGAAGCTTCGTACAGCGTGTGTCAGCAGACAGGAGACCGAAACACAAATCTACACTCTCTTGCACCCTTTATAGGAAGCGGAAAGAACAACTCAAGTGCTGAATCCAATGAGACAGGAGAAGAGCAACATCTTAAGGAAGCCATACACTCACCACCATCTAACCAGTGTGTTGCTAGGCTCTAAGGACAAGGATGAAGCAACCACAGAACCAACCGACAGGAAAAAAATGACTGACGGCCAGATCTGATGGCGAGGCTGACCCAGCTGGGGTAAGAGGACCCACCTTTCTTAGAAATTTCGGAAGGCTTAAAAGGAGGCACTTTGGAGACCGGCCGGTCCGAGCTGTTGCCATACTCCTGGAAGGCAGGCTTGTCCGGCAAGTCCGGCTTGGGGACAGTCTTGCCTCCGGGCGACTTTTCGGGTCGCTCCGGCTTGGCTGGCAGCGCCACCTGGGCACACATCGGAGTGGGTAAGAATGTGGGGCCAAGTCACAATGCCCTCCTTCGGCTTGCATATTAAGCATCAGCGGGGGGATGCTGCGGTAAATATACACATAATTTTCAGCCAGAATGCATTTCAGCTGCCTTAACAATGTTGGTCATAGCATGGCCTAGAAATCATAAACTATTTATTAACAAAAACTTTTTACAGCGGAGCTGTTAAGGGCTAGGTTCCCGAGGACCGTGTCCGGAACAAAACACTTGTCGACAAAAATGCCTCTGGACAGCTACCGCCATCTATAAGCGACGGAGGCAAGCACACAACCAGTATGGTTGCCGCCGTTGCTGGTAGATGGCGCCAACCATTCCAGTTATCATAGAAGAATGGATAGTTGGGCGACGCGTTGCTGGGAATTCATAGAAGGAACAGCGCGAAAAACAGATGACGCCAAAGAAGAAGCACACGTAACGAGCGCAGCGCTCGTCACGTGTGTTTCTTCGTCCTCGTCTGTTTTGCGCGCTGTTTCCTACGCTCTTATCAGTTTCGGTTTGGACTCTGGATGGGTTAGCAGCGTGCCGTTTCGGGGAAAGAAGACTGGCTGTGGAAGGAGCGGCGACGTGTGCAGCAGCGCGAATGGGTCCGTAACCGCTGCAAAGCTGCTGTCGCCTCGACTTCCACTGCGTCGAGCCTTTCAGATTCCCTTGCCAAAGAAGAGCACATTGCTCGCCTGGAAAGCCGCCGCCGAGAACAGAACCAGCGATGTAAAGGGCACCGGCAGGCCAACGCCACGGACGACGATCGTGCCACGGAGGGCAAGCGCAAGCGCGAGGCCTGGCGACGACTGCACTCCACGCCGGCTGAACAGTTCCCGGGCGCAAAGGCAATGTTTTAGAGGGAGTTCGTGGATTACTTGTTTGGTGTCACGTGCGCCTTGTGCGACAAACTCTGGGTCGCCGGAGACGTATCCACGATGGGCGGCGTGTCGGACAAGAAGAAGCGGGAAACGGGCGCGTGCGCATTGCGGCAGTGTATCGAGTACAGCTCCGCTGGTCTTCCTTCTCCACAAAAGTGGAAAGGCTAAACGTTTTTTTCCTTTAAATAATTAGTTTTGCTAATATGCATACTCTTCTGAAGGATACTGTAAGTTTCATACGGAAGAATGAAATGTTTGCATTAAAAAAAAGCTCGAGGTACACCTAAGCACTTCTTGTGAGTTGCGAGTGCGAAAGCACGCACACCGCTCTTCGCTCCCTTCTTTCGTCTGCGGCATACGGTGCTCTGACCTTGGGCGTGGAACGGCAGAGCCGCTGCATCGCTGACACACGGCACCATCGGGTGAGCGATCATTGAAACTGATGCGCAGCGGCCAATGGGAGCCTCTTCAACGTGCGCCAGCCAATGGTACCGAAGCCGAAAATTCGTCAGCTTTACTTCACTCCTTTGGGATCGGGGAAACTAAGCGCCGTGTCTAGGCTTTTCGAGTGGTTTCATAGCTGGGAGCTAGCTACACTTGGAGGAAGGATTTAAGGTGCAGTTTTTGAGCTTCGAACTGATGACGTCGGCTCGCTCCACGAGACAGTTAATGCTTTTGCATTAATAACTTACTTCTAAAGTTCCAGTGGCACAGTGCTTATCGTCAGAACTGATAGGCAATGGAATTTACCACATTAAAAGAGTGGCTGATCTTTACTCAATAGCCCTAGGGTGATTTTTTTTCCTCGTTTTAATGAATTTCATTTTTACGAGCAAAAAAAAAAAAAAAAAGTCCGGGGACACCTAAGCACTTCTTATGAGTACGCAAGCTATATATCTTTTGCGAATCTTAGTCCACTCCAAGAGAAACTTTTGCTAGGATCTTCAGGTTTTGAGACTCCGAAAAGATGCGACAAATTAACACTGCCTACCGAAATGGCAAGAATCACACTGCGAGCCTTTGCTCGCTCGCTGCACCACAGCTGCCCTTATTTATCTCCACTGAGAAGGCTTTCCCTTGGACAAAGTTCAGAAAACATTCACTACTGTGTAATTTCTCTAAAGGAAGGTCAGTTTTTCAGAATGTTTGTTTTGTTATATCAGTAGTATTTTTAATAAATAAGTAAATGAAATGCCTGTATCCATATTACAAATAACTGAAGGAACTGATGAATGAGGTGGTTGTTGTCAAGTTTATAGAAGGAATAAACAAACAAGACAAGAAACCAGACAAGCACCTTCTTCAAAAGGTGCTCGCTCACCCCTTGTCTCGGTTTTTCATTCTTTCTACTATCCTGACAAGCATTACCAGTATTCTTCAACTCTGCCTTCCAATACCCACATCTTTGCTACATCAATCTTTTATAAAGAACAGTGCTACTCTAAGGAGACTATTGAGATAAAACCATATATCAACTAAAACACACTTTATGAAAGAGACTTAAGGCCCGTTCACACTCTTGCGACTACTTGCGACCTCTTAAACCTGGGTTCCTTAAAACTTCTTAAACCAGAGAACACACTGGCGCCATCTATTGGGAAGCAGTGTAAACTCGGCGGTCCGGCATATTTTTTTTTTATTTCTCGCGCAATATCCTTTCTTTTTTGGCTCGAAAAACTTTTGCCAATGTTATAAACGAGCCTTTCTATGGGTATTACGCACATTTGACCTCGGAAATCCCGCAAAACCTTCGCTTTTGTGAAATGCAGTTCTAGGGTCACCGCATAGATGGCGCCACAATGTCAGTGTGTCCCCTCATTCTAGAAACATTTAAGAAGTTGTAAGAGATCTCGTCTCTCTCAGTCGTACTCGGTCGCAAGAGTGTGAACGAGCCTTAAGAGTTCTGGCTGTTCACCCTAACAAACAGCATGTCCCGACAGTGACCTCAGGGTACAATGCGCAACACTCCTTGCATACTATAAGTTTCCCGACAGAAAGCCCACCTAAAATCGAAAGCAAATCGGGTAAAAATAGAAAGTGGCCTACTTTCAATGCACAACCAAAAAAAGATGAAAAAAAAAAAAAAAAAAAACTTGTAGAAAAGGAATGTGAAGGTGTGTCTACACAACGTTCACTCCACCTCAAAACCTTTAATTGAGCAGTCGCCATCACCGCCAAACAAAATGTCGATCACTTCTTCATGTATGTCCGGTGACCTTTCAAACTTGTTATCGCAGCAGGGGTCTATGGACCAAAGACGACTATTCTTCCCAGTCGACATTTATCGCCTGCCTAACTGTCCTCGTTTCCACCGAGGTCACCATTAGCCCAAGCGGTGCAATTACTAGAAGTGGGCTATCTTTCGGTGTTTTGGGAAAAATACAGAATCGTGCCAAAAGTAGGGGTCGGTTACCTTTCGGGAGTGGGGCACCTGTCTGAATATTACGGTTAACGCAAACTCAATGCCCTTTCACGCTTCACTTCGAACGGGTAGGGCGCAAAATCTCGCTGCCGTTCCACCGCACCGGTATTTGGCGACGGCCCCGTGACTCTACGAGAACAAAAAATTGGCCGCATCTCCACGTGGTGAATGATGTTGATTGGGGCGAAGCTCTGGTGGTGCTTGTCTGCGTAGACGCTGAGCCGCAGCATGCCAAGCCTTTCGTTCGTTTTCACCCATGTCACAAAGAGAATGTGAGGTATGGAACGTGGTTATATATGCGTTTGAGCATATGACCGCAGCGCCCTCTCGTCTATAAACGTTGAGCCAATGCATGCAAAGTTTAACACAATTATATACGCATTTGACCGCAGCGCCCTCTCCTGTATAGACGTTGAGCGGCTACATGCAACGTTTCATTTATGACCTCCTCAGCACTTGAGTTACCGCCACATCTCAGAGCCCCCTACTCGTCCCACAGTCGTGGCCGAGTGGTTAAGGCGATGGACTAGAAATCCATTGGGGTCTCCCCGGACAGGTTCAAATCCTATCGACTGCGCAAACATTTTTTTTTTTTTTTTTTGCTCTACACGAGCACGTGAGCTCACGAGCACGAGCACGAGCACAAGCACCAGCAAGATCGATGTGAGCACGGACACCGGACAGACAAGGCTAGACCCTAAGGAGTTTCACCCCTAAAACGTCAATCCCCCGTTTGTGCGGACGCCGTCGCACCACGCGCCGTCCCTAATGCACGTTCTCGGCGTTGAGAAAACAGTGACCACGAAAGGGTACGGGCAAGCGCCGCTCCACGAGTGCAGAACGCGGACGGTTTGGTGAGGAGGGGGCGACTAACTCACCTCCTCCTTTATGAGCTTGACGAAATTGTCCGGGAAGACGCCTACTCTGCCGTTGAGCTCTCCCTTCCACCAGCCCTTGTCCTCCACTTCCTTGGTGAGCACCACTATCACGTCCCCTTCGCGGATTGTGAGCTCGTCCTCGTTCTGGGCCTCGTAGCCATACAGCACCCGGGCCTGCTCCCGCACTGTGCAAGGGGAAACAGAGGAAGGCCACGATTTCGTTCCAACCTCCAACAAGGGGGACTTTGTTCCCCACAAAAAAACACTTCAAAACAGTTTTTTTTTTTTTTTTTTTTGAGGTGAGGAACAGGCAGTTGTAGGGGACAAACACATCCACGCACATCTTTTCCTCTCTCTAATTACTGTACGTGACACCACCGGGAAAGAAAGATTCGAGACTCGTGCTTTTCTCTTCTTACGTACGAAAACTATAGTTGCTGACAGAGTGAAAATGGTGAAGCGTGTCTCTGACACCCGATCTCCGGCACGTGCTTCGTGTTTTCCACTGAGTTTCGGCTGCATACACGCACTCAAGGTGTACGAGGTGCCGAGGCGCTGTTGAAGACAGGAAGCTCGGGCTGGAGGCGGGACGACCGAAGCACCTCCCTGCCGTTCCCACCTTGTCGGTGACTGTAGTGCTCGTAAGCGGACTGGTGGCTGCAGCACGATTGACTAACACTGAAAGCTTGCTCTGGACGCTACTGAGACAAGGCCTCAAAGCGGTTTTGTCAACCCTTCGATGTGTTGTAACCACAAAAGAAGTCTAACGGGTTATTAAACCCTTTCCGAAGTTTCGAAATGATGCATAAAGTATGCGCGGCCGCCATTAGTTGGTCATGCGGCGTTGGATGTGTGCACTTCGTCAGCATTTGGAGTGTACTTGGACCGAAACCCGTATCGCACAAATGCCGCGTCGGTGCTCGGCGCGAACTCAGAACCGATGGCAGGCCTCGTGCCGGAAGCGATGAGACCAACTAATGGCGGCTGCGCATAATCTATGCATCACTCCACAATTTCGGAAAGGGTGTATTACGTACAGCTATGCAGATATAATTCGAAGGGGCTCATAAAATCTGTTCGATACTAAAAATTCAAGCTCAAAACTAAGGACAGCTGGAGATAAGAAACAATGCTAACCCACCTTGCATTTTTTCTGCTTTTCCAGTAATTTAATTTTTTTTGCACGTCATTAGCAGTCAACTAAAATTAATTCTGACGATTACTACTTCTTAATGCATATACCCAAAATATAAAACTATTTTTCCAACCTAACTCTCTTTAAAAAGCATATTGCGAGTTAGCAATATTAATAATTTAAAGGTTTTCATTGGCTCAGACTCCCATAAGGCAGAAAGCCTGAGGCAATCAAAAGGCTGAGGCCCATGCAGGGTATGCCGATTGCGTACAAAGGAACGAAGGAGCGTGAGAGAGCGAGCATCCAGTGGAGGCTTTTTCCGTAGCTGCACTAAAAAAAACAATGCACCAAACTCAGAAAAGTTCTTCGGATGCACAAGTGCTCGTCTAATAGTAGTATAGTGCCTCTCCAAATGTCACAGATAAGCTACGAAAGAAAGCTGAGTGTTACGACCTAGAGGGGTTAATTCCACGCTTTATAAATCTGAGAAATGCCAGTAGTTTCTCATTCCTACTTCAATATAGACGAGAAAATACATGGAGTCATGCACCACCAGATAAACAGGCACACACACACATGCCCAAACGTTTTCTGAGAGCACATACCAGGTTTCGGTGGCAATTTTGGAGCCTCTGAAGAAGCGTCTGACGGCACTGGAGGAGCGGGCTTCTTCAGGGGTACCGTACCCTGAAAGTCGGACAAAAGAGAGATCTGCATCTAGCTCAGATTACGCCCGGATGGACGCAGCCCCATTTTAGTTTTTTATGGCACACCTGGCACCAGTTTTCAAGCCACGTGGGAATATGTCAGCTTGGGGAGCCCTCAACAGAGTCCATACAAAACGTTTTTACTTTCTTTCATCTGTTCTCAGAAATAAGTAGACTCCTAAAATTTTCATCTTACAATTCAAACTGCTTACAATAACTAATCACTTTGCTTTACTCGGTGCAGAGGTCAATAATTCAACATCTTTCTTTTTTTCTTTGCTGAGGCCTACTTAGCACAGGTATGGTGCAATTCTTGGCAAAATTGGCATTTTGGAACAAGATGTAGCACACTTTCGTTCGTAGTGCAATTTGGAGCAAATGCTGCTGCGCTTCCATCACTGAGCTAGGAATTCATTATTTGAAAGGCAAATAATGGCAATCAAAAACGTCTAAAAAAAAGAAGGCTCATATACATGTCTATGACTGCTACTTTCAATGCCAATTTTGACTTGACTATCAATTTCTTCCTGATAAAGTTTCACAAAGCTCTTATGCAATAAAAAAAAGTGTAATTTAGTCTTCTTTTTTTTTTTTTTTTTACACTATAGAAAATTAAGTCAAAGATCATCTTTTCCTTTTATGTGATGTAAATTTCCACATTCCCTTCTGCTACCCCAAGAAAAATACATGTTTTGTGCATAGTTCATACACCTGCAATCACAATTCAATTGTTTTATCAAAGCAACTATGACAGAGTCAGCATCTATTTGGCTCCCTAGAAACAGATGGACCTGTCATTTGTAAGTTCGTAGCTTCTTTGTACATTCCTTTTTTCCCCTTTTGAGCCATTCAGTTTTTCACCTACTGTAAAATCCTGTAAAGGTGCTCTCCCTCGAGAAATCGCCCACCCCATTTCTCTGGCTAAATATCCAGAACATAAAAATTCCGAAACAACGTTCGTAGCGAGTTCCTGCGGTCTTTTTCCGCGATCTGCGCATGCGATATCAGTTCTCGTGGCACGCAAGTTTGTAGCCGATTTCTGCCTGTTTATCGAACCATGAAACACAAATACTGTATTTACTCAAATGTAACGCGAGTTTTTTTTTCAAAATTTCTCCCACCCACTTTGGGGGTTTGCGTTATAATCGAAACGCCTCAAAATTTGCCTTGGCAGTGTCGCGGCACAGGCACTTTAAAATGGCTACGACAAATCTCGCAATCTTTCAATCTTGTGCTGGCAATATGTATACGTGGGCAACATCCAATCCAATCCAATTCTTGTTTGCGACGTGTTTGTGATTCATTTCGCCCGTGTGTCGCAGGCTGCTATTTGTGCTTCCGCGACTTTGGACTCGAGCAAATGACAACGCGACAAGCTCAGTACAATGCCCGCTTTAAAGAAGTGCAATTCTGATGGCTGAGGAAATCGGAAACTCTGCCGCGGCTCGACGGCTAGATGTGACAGAATAGACTGTCTGAGGGTAATACTTGATCACTGATGGCGAAAGGGACGAGTGAGCAAAACTCATTTTATTTTTTAGAAACTGGCAGGTGTTGGTCACTATGTGCAACAAATAGAGGTACTCTTTTCCCTCACTTTACTCGCGTTACATTCGTGTTCTTTTTTTCTTTTTTTGGCGCTGTGAAAAGTCACTTCTCGCGTTACGTTCGTGTAGATACAGTATGCGGCATCCACAGTCTGCGGTATCCTTTCCCGTGACGCAGGAGTTTGTAGCGAATTCCTGCGTGTTTATCGCGTTGTGAAATGCGGATTTGCCGTGTCCACAATCTGTGATATCGGTTCCCTTGTCACGTGGTTTGTAGCAAGTGGCCCTGCGTTTATCATAAATTTTTTTTTTATAAAGTTTTGCTGTCTCATTTTCAAAGATAGCCCACCTCATGTTTTTCACAATTTATCTCTTCATTTTGGGTGGGCACCCTTAAGGGATTTTACGGTACTTTGTTTCTGCATCAAGGTGAAAATCTACCGGTTGTATTGGGTACAGACACACACGAAAAAAATCTGATTATTAATACAGTAAAACCTCCTTATAACAAAGTTGAAGGAGCGGTCAATATTATTTCGTTATAATTAACCATTAGTTTGTTATAGCCAATGTCCATTTCTTCCCACTATTACCAAGCAAGGGGAATTATGATTGCTTTGTTATATCCATTAGTTTGTTATACCCCATTTTTGTTATAACGAGGTTTTACTGTATGGCATGAGCTTCCTACGAATAAGGTCTGCACATATGTTCCCCCATAGAGGACAAGAGTCGATCACTGCCTTAACGAAATGGGGCACAAGTAATGATTGGTCCTAAAAGCTTCAGTCTGCACTGGGGCAATGAGCATGCTTTCCCCATGCTCAGAATGCCAAAGCAGGTAGAATTTTTTGGTTCAAACATCATACATGCCTCATTATCACTGGGTCCCATCTGTAAATGGCAGTGACTGACTTTATGAAAGAGCAGAAATGTGCATTTGGCCCTTCAATAGACAAAGGTCAACATCAGACTAGAGCCAATATGGCAAGTCTCATCAGAAAGAGCCCTTGAAATCGACCAAGAGGACCCTTCAGCTGTCTGCTTACGCGCTTGTCGTTGGGTGGCTCGCTCCCCTGTTGCTTGGCCTTGATGCGGCTCTCGGGGAAGATGTTGCCAAAGCCTATCCCTTTTACCACAGGCTTGGGCTTGATCTCCGCTGCAGATGACGACAAGTGGTCTCCTGGAGAAATAAGACATCTTTTGTGGAGTAAACACGAACACCCAGTTCGCCAATTAGTCCATTCCTGCCCAACTTGGTGCTTCTACTTTTGCCAAAAGCAGAGAAATTAGCTCAATTGATTAAAAATAAAGAGTACCATCCTTGCACAAAAAAAAAAAAAAAAAAAAAAAAAAAAAAAAAATCAAACAGGAAGGTGCAAAATGGACGGCATTTGTGCGTAACATTGGGTGACTGCTGGTAACGGGAACCAAATCAAGCTAGAACTGTTGATCCTGGACAACCCAAACCTTTTTCTATTCCATTCCCTCAGGACTGTAAACCATAAATTCACGAAAAAAAACTGTTTAACTAATGTCTTAAGTTGATAAGAGAGCTGCGCTCAATTTCCCGAGACATGCGCGTGCGTAATGCATGGCCGTAAAACCGTTTTTATTTTTGTCTCGGCCCTTCATGCCCTTACTGGAATTGTAGAGGCACGTTTATATTCATGATTATCAGGAGTTGGGGGTGTGTGTATTTTTATACAGCCTGAACCTAGTCTGCCTCAACGGGCGACTTGTCTCTCAGCTGTAGATGAACAATTTAGCCAGTGCAGTACAACTGACAGCCTGGGGGTCTTTAACGTGCACCACGCAGTGGTGATACACGACAGCTGCTGGTACGATGCTCATCCAGATCGAAACAGGCAGGGATGGGGATTTAACCCAGGATCCCTGGCTTCTGAGCGCGAGCTTTTGCTTCACGTGCTTCGAGCTGGTGCCCGCTAGTCCACTTGGCCACTGATCCCCCTTATATAAATATTGGGAGCCTTTGTAAAACAAGCAAATGTTCCCCAGTGGGTACAAAAGTATTACCATTTCTTTTATGTTTTCACTTATAGCCATTAAATGGGAGGAGCTGATAAAAGGGGACTGTGGAACTCTTTGCCCTGTAGTTTTGCGAGGCATGGGCGAGGTGTTGGTGACAAGCTTGTTTTACATAAACATTATATACTAGTGTAACGAAAGGAGCGGAGCCACGAGTCGTTCTCCTGTAGCGGGTGACTCACTGTGCTAGCTGTACATTTTCAGCCCACTCAGTGTCGTTTTTGTTTATGAAAAATGAGCTTAATTGCATTGTTTGTTCAGGAAACAAAATGCCACCACATGGGACTGCATTTTCGGTTGTAGCTAGCTGACACCTGCTAGCACTTCAAACTTCATTAAAAAAAAAGCTGCCCACTTGCAACGACGTGCCATGTTCGATAACCACAATCCACACAAAAATTATGTAGTAGACCGTACCCGTTTTTAAATACTTTTTAAACAGCTGCCCACTTGCAACGACGTGCCATGTTCGATAACCACAATCCACACAAAAATTATGTAGTAGACCATGCCCGCGTTTTTAAATATTTTTAAACAATGTCTGCAAATCTGCTTCTTCCCTCTGTGAAAATACAAACCACCACGAAAACATACTAAAAAAAAGAAAATAAAGTAAATGCATAAGGGGAAGAAGACACTACATCGATTCCTCTTGAAGGGCCCATACAACGGTGTTTTGTGCCATACTGAATGTTTTTGTTTTTACTTTTTAGTATGGCTTATCACCGAGTTTTTATTTTGTCACTCACTATGCCAAAGCTAGAGACACTCAGTATGCAAATGGCAAAAAGCACCACGCAAGGGTTTTTATGATTACACAGAGCTGCGAAGTTAGAGGTTGGGTGCTCCCACCATCAGGGTTAGCAGTTCCAAAACCAAAGTGATCTGTCCTACTTGTGGCCTTTTTTTCCTCAGCTATGAGGCAGGAGGACACTGAAAATGAAAGCTATCACACATTCAGAAAAAGAAGATAAATGTTGTATGTTGAAAAAACTAGCAGTGCTTCGCCCGACGGCATGTTCGCTTTGCGTGCGGCACAACAGCCAGTTTTAAAACAAACCCAGCAAGGCAAAACTGATCGCTTTTTTCACTTCACGGAACCTAGCTTTTACACGTATCCCAAATTAAAAATACCAACTGTTTAAAGGTATGTTAATTTTCTTTAGAATACGTCAGACGCATGCCATACATTTTTTTTAGGGGTACGTCGGACGTAATTGGTCAGTTTAATACCTTGGACAGCTGGGCGTAATGAATTGCTCGTTCACACAACACGACTTTAGTGCAACTTACATGTGAAGAAGATTTCACCCCCCCTCACTTACTTTGCAGGGGAGATCAGAAGTTCCACAGCAAATCACTTTACATATTATGAGTGAGATGAGAGAGAGAGAGAATAAATTAACAACAAGACGATAGGACGATACGTGCACTAATAAAATGGCTTCATGCTGAGTCAATAGCTTAGGTGGACGAGCAACGATCTTCACCCCCAAAGTTCTGCCAGTTAGTGGCAAGTCACAAAGTGGATACTGGCATCAAAATGCAAGTACCGTAAAATACCGTGGAAGCACCCACTTCGTACAAGCGCCCACTATTAGTATTTCCCAAACTTTGGAATTCTGCGAATTATGTTAAGTGCCCACACCCTCCAAAGCGCCGGCATCAGCCGAAAATGCTCACACCGTGGCGGCGGCCACAAGACCGCCAGCGGCAATGACAGAGAAAACCATGTGAAAATAAATGTGCCTTCTCCGATTCCATTCGCACTGCCTTCAAAGTTTCTTACCGGCCGCCATCTTGACTTTTACCAATTTGGCCGGACAACAGCCTATGTCTAGATTAACCCAATTTTCAGTTAAAGGCCGACGACCAGACTCAAATTCTGCAAGGCAGAAGACCCTCCTCTCCACGCCTTCGGGTTAGGGAAGCGAAGGATGGAAAGAAGGGACCAAGAGGGGCGGGCGTGGGTAGAAAGGGTAGGAGGGAGAGGAGGAAGCGAGCGAAAAGTGGAAAGCGTGAACTGGTCGTCGGTCTTTAAAGTTGGATGGGTGCTTCTCCAATATATTACGGCATATTAAAAAGAAAAAAAAAATGACTGCACTACTCTAAAAAAAGGCAAATTGGCCAGTTATATTTATCGTATTTTTCAAGCTATTTGCGACTCTAGTTCGCTATAGGCGGCGCCACTCGTTTTCAAAAATGGCGGTTACAGTGGGGGCCGGAGATGCGTGCCGATATACCAGTTGCTGAGCATGTCTAGTGCGATGGTTTCACTGAGCTACATAAATGATTCCTGCTTATACAAGAAAGCTGGGTCACCTCTTTATCCTGAAAACAAAAACGGTGTTTAGCAAAATATTCACCCCAGGAGGCATGTTTTAATTCTGAAACGAAACCAAAACTGACCTATATTTTGGATTTCATTTTTCGGTATAGACGCCTCAAATACGCGCCACATTGAGCCGAAGCGGGCGTTGACAAGCCTCCCTGGGTGACTCCACTGTGTGACATACGTCTGATCCAGACACTTCAAAATATATTGGGAGAGTTCAGCGTCCCTTTAAAGGCGGGGTCTTTCGTATACCTTAGAGATAACACGTTTGTGGAAAATATCAGTGCTGATATTTGTGTTTTTGGCTGTCTTTTCTCGCTCAGATAATTATGTAAAATAATGAACTGCAGGCCTTTTAATTGGTTTTTGGGTATTTAGATGAGTACCATACTTCGTTATCCATTAAATCCTTCACATCTTGTCACAGTGAGTGATCTAGAAATAAACAAATCCTTGTATAGTCTGCATTGGGTAAAATTTAAAATTTTAAACATGTCTAGTCTGCAGACTATAGCCTGGAAAATATGGTTCATGCATTTTTCTCACCGGTCACTATGGACAGGTTAGGTATGGCAAAAGGATATGTTAGGTATGGCACCTCAATGTGAACTGACCAGATACATCCAATGTACCTCTACTGCTCTAAGAAAACTGACTGCGTGCAGCTGACGCACCTCTAAAGACCTGTTCAGAAAAACAGCTCAGTGCCTTTTGTTGCTTACACATACAATGCAGTGCTAACTCGGCGCCAAGCCAGCGCTGACAGTAGCACTGACGCGGTGCTGATTTAGCATGATATCGGCACTGAGATGCACATGTGAACCAGCCTTAAAAGCCGACCTGCAGAATCCTCTTCTGCCGGGCAGAAAACCAGTTCCCCGTTCCTTTCTCCCCATTCCCTCTCGCACTCTTCTCCCCTTCTCTTCCCACATGCGCAGGTCTCTGAGCTACCAACTGCAGACAAGAGGAATGAATGAATTTGGAGTTTTCTGGCGCAGCAGCAACATAGGCCATAGTGCGCCAAGAGACAAGAGGAGGGACTAGCTCTTTCTTGAATGGTAAGGAGGAACTGAGTTTCCCCCTTTCTGCTTGTTGGTCGGCCTTTAAAAAGACAGACAGGATACGCTCGAAACACGTCTCGACTTGGCGTTAGAAGTAAAGAGAGGTGGCCTCGGTTCTAGGGCAGTTCAGCGCCGCTGCTCCAGTACCTCGCAAGAGAGATCCCTTAGGGCGCCGGGAGAGAGCGGCCAGGAAGAACGCACCCGTGACGTCCACCGAAGGGTCCGGCTTGTCTGCGTTGAACTCCGACACGACGCCCGTGGAGGGGTTGGCGCTCCCGGCCCAGCGTCCCCCCGTGCCCCCCCGGGGGGACGAGGCCGGCGGCACCGCGTCGTCCAGCACCACGAAGTTTGAGGGGAAGACACCCACGCGGCCCCTGAGCACCCCCTTCCACCAGCCCTCCTCCACCTCCTCCAGGACCTCAATCAGGTCGGACACTTCCAGGTGGAGTTCATCCTCGTTCTGGGGCTGGTAGCTGTAGGCTACCCGTGCGCGCCTCCGGTTCAGGGCCTCTGTGGCGTCAGACAAGAGGCACCCTTACGGAGTTATTTTGCACCCTTGAGAGGTTATTTACACCTCATAAAATTAGTTTGCACCCTTAGCGAGTTACTTTGCACCCTTACAAAGTGATTTCACACCCTTGCTAAGCTATTTCACACCTTTAGAAAGCTGTTTTGCACCCTTATGAAGTTATTTCGCATCTTAACAGTTATTTTTCACCCTTACGGTGTCATTTCACATTCTTACAGAGCTATCTTACACCCTTACAGAGCTACCTAACACCTAATTAAATTAATTTGTACTTTTACAAAATTATTTTATATCTTTAAGCAGTACTTTTGCACTCTTATACTGCTATTTTTCACCCTTAAAAAGATATTGTGAAGCACCAAAAAGCTCCAGCTTGTGCTGAAGTACTGTGCTATCAAAACAGCACCGTCTACTGAATGCTCAGCCACTGTCCACACCTCCGTCTCATGAAAGGAACACCAACTCTCGACCCCATATTTTTAGGATTTTCAAAATGATCCATCGGCGTGAACTGGGCTTAAAACTCCACTGCTAGATTCTCCTTAATCTGGGCCCACTTTATTTTTTATCAGTTTAAGTGCAAAAAAGGAAGTTTTAAGATGTTTTCTTGTAGAGTACATTCAGTTTCATGATTTAAAAACAAAAGTAAAAATATAGGCAACTGTTTTAGTTCACTCGATTCTCTCAGTAGAGCCAAGAGTCACAATCAGTGTCACAAAAGGATTATACCCACGAACATTAAGCCCCTATTTAATGGTTCATTTCCCTCTGACTGTCAGGACTCCTTGCGTTACACCATGTTGTGTTGCACAGACCTCGACTGTCATGGCAACCATCTCATTGTACGCAGTCATAAGCGGCGGTCGTAACAAAGTCAATCACAATCAAACGCAAATGTTTGAACCAATCTTCAGCCCGTGGAAAGTTAGTTTGAGTGCTTGGAAACTCTTGCCCTCATCTCCATCGGGTGGAGCAGACTTTGTACACCTGTCCGAAAAATACTGTCTTGAGCTCACATTCAACTTCATGTTGTAGTAGTGTTACTCTACCTTACAGGGAAGCAAATGTTGCAAACATATCAGTCATGTTTAAAGTCATCTCATTCCCAGCATACAAACAAGAGAAGCAAGACAAGACTTTTTTTGTTCTTGTTCTCATTATCTTTTTCTCACCCTTTTATTATAAGGAAAGTGATTGTGATGTCCTGTCTTTCTTTCTCTCCCCCCCCCCCCCCCCAATGGTAATAAAATGAAATGAAATAAAATATCATTACAGCAAATAAAAAGGTCAGGTTGACAAACTGGCTTGAACAAAGGAATAATAAATTATGAAGAACTGTTTCTGTTTGTCTGTGGTGACCACTTGCAGGCAATGCAGACCCAACTGTCAAATAAAGAAGGGTGATAATGCCAAGGTAAATTTTTTTATATTACGGCAAAGGGCCCTTAAAGGAAAGCTATGAAGGTTCTTGAAAAAAAATGAGTTAGAAGTGAATTCTAGTGTATTTTTACCCCGTGAACCCAAATACCCAAATCATTTGCTGCGAAAGTATTGTTAAATGCAAGAAAACGCGAAAGACAGTCGCTGTCCGTTACGTCATGGTCGGATCTTTTGGCTGACTAAGGCTAGGGAGGCGGGACTTCAGTGCTATTTTGAAATGGCTCTTATGGCTCTCCAGCGCGTCGCATTGAAATATAATTGTGATATGTGTTATTCTAAAGGCCAAATGAACGCAATCCAAGTGTTTTTTCTCAAATGCAGAAGTGCCCCATCTTCCCTTTAATGTCCTGAACTGCTGTTTGGAGTGTGAAATGAGCCTTCTCTCATAACAGAGAAGCATTTACAAATACTATGTGAGATATATTGCCTGATTCGTCGTGATTAAATAGATTGAAAAATATCCATTATTCTTCCCAACTTTTTACATTACTAAATCATTTCTTGATATTTCCGAAAAATATTTGTATCACCTAGGAGCGCATCACTGAGGTTCCGATCTGATCTCCAACTATCACCTAGCCGATACTGTCCAGTTACTTAGTGAACCACAAAAATAATAAAAATTACTGCCCAAAAATTTTTTTGAGGGTGCACAGCATTCAGTGCTGCATCAAACCATGCAAGAAAAAACACCATGAACATGTTCCAACACAATACAAACGCGAAGGAAAATGGACAAATCAATATCAACTTTGCTTCAGAGTACATGCTTTGAAAGAGGGTTGTGCGCAAGCCTGCTCAAGTAGCAAGAAATAGACCAGGAGTGGAGCATATAGACCATGAGAACTTATACCTATATCAAAGTGAGCATGGGAAGGTTATGCAGGGCCTTGAGCTTTTAGCATAACACAGCGTATGTGTAACCACTGTCGATAAAACAAAGATTCCCACAGACCTCCCCTAATATAGTGGTCCTTTTAACAGAGGTGCTCACTGCGAGCACACCGAATTCTGAAATTAGAAGTGATCGCAGCAAAGATTTGCTGGTTTGGAAAGCAGTAAGCACTTGTCGAAAAGAATCCATAGCACCGTTGTTTTTACGTAAATGTAAAATTGAAAGAATTTTCTTTGTTTTTGTGTTAACATGAACCGAGATGCGAAATTCTAACCGCACAATGACTGAGCATGGTTCCTGGTCATACAGACGCTCAAAGCCGGATACATACGCAAAACGCCGTTACATCCCTACTCCTGAATGTTAACGCCCAGAGGAATATTTTGAGGTAGGCAGTTTACAAACGTTTATTTTACGTGCGACGAAACGAAGAAATAACTCTGGTAGATGTAGTAGTATACTCATGTTTACGCAAAGTATAAAGAAAAAAATAAATAAATAAAAGGTCAAAGTCGAGTATCGAGACGGTTTGAAGTTCTCCCATTCGTCCATATGGGCTCGAAGCGAGTCAGCCGCGTTGACACTATTAAACTCGCTTCGATCACCTCGGAGGGCCAGAGTCTTGGCCGTCACACCCCCAGGGGCTCAGGAAAACACTGACACTGCTCGTGAGCTCAGCGGAGGAACTTCCTGTCGGATACGTCGCTCGACATATTTGTGCGCCCGGACTCGGAACCCAAGTTACATATCCGACACTGATAAGGTCAGAAAGCGGCGCGCTGACGGACATACCCGACGAAATTGTCGACGACTTGCGACGTTCACTACCAGCACGAAATATGTGGCGCGCGGGCGTGCTGGTCGCTGGTGAGAGCGTTGCGAGGAGTCAACACACGCGGTCGCCGTGAAGTCGCGGGACAGGCGGTGGCTCCGTCCCCTAACCTCTATCGATTCAGAGATGGCACAATTTCATGTCGACCCTTCCTCTAGCGTGCCCTGTAGCAGCACCCACGAAAAACTAAAAAAAAAAAATAAGATAAAACACACCAGGAAACAAACAAATCGAATCTGGGACACAAACAAGAAACGAAAGCAAAACAGACACACCACGATCCCGTATGAATTCGAAATCGTAGCAGAACTTGAGGCGCCGCACGCCAACGTCGGTGCGTTCGTTTATTCGGTAGGTAAGCGAGCGTGGTGACCGAGAGCTGTCGAATGTGCTGCCGGCGCGCGATAGCTGTCAAAGTGATTGAAAAACCTGCGATTTCCAGCACCCGAACGGCCGATCGTGCCAAGATCCAGCCGCCGCGGCCGATGCAGCCGATGGGTGGAACGCGCAGTTCGACCGACACCGTTAGGATTTTTGCCAGCTTTCACTGCGTGCAGACGCCCGTTCGTATGCTCGGCTACGTTTCGGGCCAGAAAATATACCATCGCGTTTACGAGCACCGCGGAAGAAATAAAATTAACGAACCCATTCCAGTCGCCTTGTCATCAGCCTTTTCGATTTTGTAGGTGTAGTTCCCCCAGCGGAAGCGCTGCCAGCGCTGCGTGCTTGCCCGATTTCCGGCGAAGCGCAAAACGCCGCCTGCGCCGCCTGGAAGAACATCGAGGCGTAATGGCGTAACAACGTAACAAGTAAACAGAAGTGGCACGGTTGCTGCCCAGGGTCGTGAGCTGACGTTTTTCGTCATTCATCGTTGGCCGCCGGAATTAATTTGCCGCATGACTGTCAATTTGCGTGCCGGCTCGTAGAACGAGGCAGCGCCGATCATGCTGAAGTCATCGAAAGCGTGGCGGGTGCTCCACCGGGGCACCTATCTGCCAGCGCATCAGCTGGCTCGTCAAGAACACACGTCCGACTTGAAGTTTCCGGAGGAATGGACAAAGCATGCCACAAAGCAACTCAAGGGGAAGCCCCCCGCGTCCCTAAAATGGGACACGGCTGAGGGGATCACCATCAAACCGCTGTACACGAGCGAGGACATCAAGGGGCTGCCCGAAGATTTTCCCGGCATGTTCCCGTTCACGAGGGGCCCATACCCGACCATGTACGCTGGACGACCGTGGACCATTCGTCAGTATGCCGGGTTCAGTACGGTAGAAGAGAGCAACAGGTTCTACAAAGACAACATCAAGGCCGGCGTGCAAGGACTCTCGGTGGCGTTCGACCTGGCGACCCACTGCGGCTACGACTCGGACAACCCGAGGGTCAAGGGAGACGTCGGCATGGCGGGCGTGGCCGTCGACTCTGTCGAAGACATGAAGGCGCTCTTCGATGGCATACCATTGGATAAGATCTCCGTCTCTATGACGATGAACGGAGCTGTCATTCCTGTTCTGGCTATGTTCATCGTCGCCGGTGAGGAGCAGGGAGTCAAGGTGGAACAGCTTTCCGGAACAATCCAGAATGACATTCTCAAGGAGTTCATGGTCAGAAACACGTACATCTACCCACCAGAACCCTCGATGAGGATCATCGGCGACATATTTTCGTTTGTCTCGAAAAACATGCCCAAGTACAACTCAATCTCCATTTCGGGATACCACTTGCAGGAGGCGGGAGCCAACAACGTCCTCGAACTAGCTTTTACAATTGCAGATGGACTCGAGTACTGCCGAACGGGACTGAGATCTGGCATGACAATAGACGACTTTGCGCCCCGCCTGTCTTTCTTTTGGGGTATCGGCATGAACTTCTACATGGAGATTGCGAAGATGCGGGCCGCCCGACGACTCTGGGCCCGCTTGATCAAAGAAAACTTCAATCCCAAAAATGAGAACTCGCTCAAGCTTCGCACACATTCCCAGACGTCCGGATGGTCCCTCACCGAGCAAGACCCTTACAACAACATCGTACGGACAACCGTGGAAGCCATGGCGTCTGTCTTCGGCGGCACTCAGTCGCTCCACACCAACGCATTTGATGAGGCTCTCGCACTGCCCTCCAAGTTCAGTGCCAGGATTGCAAGAAATACTCAGATCATCCTTCAGGAGGAGAGTGGCATCACCCATGTCATTGACCCCTGGGGTGGTTCCTACCTGATGGAGGCCTTGACAGAGCAGGTCTATAATGAAGCTCTTAAGATTATCAAGGAGGTGGAAGAGCTGGGCGGCATGGCAAAGGCAGTCTCGACGGGCATGCCTAAATTGCGGATCGAGGAGTGTGCAGCGAAAAAGCAGGCCCTGATTGACAATGGCAAGGAGGTCATTGTCGGCGTCAATAAGTATCGCCTGGAGAAAGAGGACCCTATTGAAGTCTTGACAGTGGACAACACCATGGTTAGGGATTCTCAGATAGCAAAGATTAAAGCTATTCGTGAGTCGCGAGACAACGCAAAAGCAGAGGCTGCCCTGAATGCCATCACACAAGCGGCCAGCTCTGGAACTGGTAACCTTCTGGGTTTGGCTGTTGAAGCAGCAAGAGTGAGAGCCACAGTTGGCGAGATCTCCATGGCCATGGAGAAGGTGTTTGGTCGCCATGTCGCCTCTGACAGGATGGTGTCTGGTGCATACAAGTCCACATTTGGAGAAGAGGACGCCGAGATCACTGCAGTTATTGCTAGAGTAAACGCATTCCAGGAGCAGGAGGGACGAAGGCCACGTATCCTTGTCGCCAAGATGGGACAGGACGGTCACGACAGGGGGGCCAAGATTATTGCGACTGGATTTGCTGATATGGGCTTTGATGTGGACATTGGACCCCTGTTCCAGACTCCCGAAGAAGTTGCCCAACAGGCCATCGATGCTGACGTCCACGTTGTGGGGGTGAGCAGCTTGGCAGCTGGCCACAAGACTCTCGTGCCAGAGCTGTCGAGGGTCCTGAAGTCGCTGAATCGTCCTGATATTCACATTGTAGTCGGGGGAGTCATCCCGCCACAGGATTACGACTTCCTTTACAAGGCAGGGGCTGCTGCCATTTTTGGCCCTGGTACAAGAATTCCAACCTGTGCTGATCAAGTGCTGGACTTGATTTCTGGGAAGTCTACAAAGGAAGAGAAACAACGGGGCTGATGGAGATATCTTTGCAATGTAATTGCAGAAATGTCTGTAAAGGACACCTGGAAATATTTGTTCTTGTTTTCCTAAAAGTAATAAAAAAAATGTTTTGTGAAAGTAGGCTTTTTTCCTTTTTCTTCTGTTTGTTTGTTGGAAAACGTTGGCAAGTATTTAAAGATATTAATGTGAATTTGTCCGCAGACTCCGAGGCACCCCTTACAACTTGAAAAGCCAAATGCGTCATCATCATCATCATCATATATCTCGTAATCGCGTAATCGACTTGCCAGGGGGAGCAGCGAGCGCGAGCATTTTTGCCATTTTATTTTCGGACTGTGAAAGCGTGGATCGACGGTTCTCCTAAACCGGTGAGTTCCCTTGTCGTTCTGCTTGCCTTAACGCTATTAGTTTTAACGACGCTCTTTTATTCTGTGTACAGACAATTTAAGAACAGCGACGGCCACTGACACATAAATTCCAACTCTCATCGGGAACGAAAACGATCGGGTTTGCTTATGCCGGTGCCTGGAGTTTCTAGAAAGTTCTCACCGGGCGTTAAAACCGGCCTCAAAAATGTACGCTCGTAGTACTCTGAGCGAGTAGTAGGCCAGTTCGGACACGTATTTGTGCAGCGTCTTTACTTTTGGGGGCTATTGGTTCAAGTCGAGGCTCTGAAACGTCATGAACGTTGTATGGTTTCACCCAGTGATTAAGGCGGATGCTCTTGAATGAGTAATTTTAATAACGAAATTTTCAGGCGCGCAAGTCACCACTTCGTTTCCTAATTAACTCCAGCAGTTGCTCAACTCACCCTGTATAGGATTCGGAAGTCGTGATCTTCAACTGAACATTTCGCAGCAAACTTTGAACATTTACACGCCTGCAATGATGTGGCTAGGTGGTTAGCCGATCAGAGCTGTTTGACATATCCGATACCTCAGCGCGGTTAATCGTAGGAATCGTTAAAGGGGAATCGGTATCAGTAAATGACATGACTCAAAATTAGCAAGTGCGTGTCCCAATGCGATCGCGACTTTTCCAGGTATTGCAAAACAGCTGACATGGCGCAGAATCTTGTTCAGTGCTACAACACGGGTTGCCTGGAGAAATTCGACCCTAACAAGAACACGGCAGGTAAGATTAGGCAACGGCAGAAGGCCTTTTATTCATACTTCTCTGGGTCACTTGTCTCTGCGTAGCACTGTCATCACCAGTGTGATTCCGGAAGAGGCTGTGTAATTGGCACATCCATGATATGCATATCTCTGCAGCATTTTGCTAAAGCCTTTTGAATCTTTTATAAGCTGTTGACACTTTTTTGGGCCTGTGGGTCGGTGTATATACGCTTTCCCTTCATTTCTTCTCTGCGGGCATTCTAGATCTAACTTTTTAAATGATTTATTTACAGTTTAAATGTACACTGACAGACTATTTGTGCTCGCCGAGGTTTTTATTTAAACATGAGCAAGGGCTTACCTACCGAGAAAACAATTTGCGGCTCAAAATTTTTCTTTCCACCTGAAAACGGCCAGTCGAGGATTGGCTAATTTTAGTCATGCTCACTCTCCCTTCCATGTTCACGTGGTGTTCAAACTATGTGTGTTGAATATATTCAAATTCGTGGGTCATCTAAGGCACACATTCAATATTGAACATAAAAAGGAGGACAAACCCCATATTTGGTGGCCTCCAAATAACTAACTGCACATACGTTGATAAAAAAGTTGCACAGATCACAGGAAGTACATGTCCACTTCATTCTCAATATGATGACGCGATGGCGGCGCACGGTGGACCTACATTGGGACGGATGTGGGGACCGTTACTTTGGAACTGTCGTTCGTGGTGCTGGCCAATCAATGTTCCAGCGCACATCGAACAGAAGGGTTATAAGTGCAAAACAATTGCACAACAAACTGTGTTTCAAATTCGTCATCATCATCGTCTGCTTTACTCGTTGGAGAAGCGGAGAAGAAAAGAAACACAGTCAGGTCTAGCCAACATTACTGGATCGGCTAAGTAGACAAGCTCTGAGGCAGCGGAGCTCATGTCGCAGCCCGCCCGACCCGCTCAGTCTGAGTGGCCTCGTTACCTTGTATACGCCATAAAACACATTGTTTCTGTGTGGATTACGAAATGTATTACCAACGACTGTTGCCAGTAGGATAACGTCCGGATTAAGACAACATTTCCTGGAACGTTTGGGGTAAATTCACGCCCGCCGGGCCTTCATAGTTTTGGCAGTTTTCGACATTCGGCACCAGGGCAAGCAACTCTCAGAAATGGCTGTGTCTATCGTGGTTTCCGGCACATAGACCGTTGTGTTTTTGGTCATTTGCAGACTGAAATACGGAAGTTCAAGCATAAGCTGCTGCATACATTCAAAGCTTCTTTAGGAAAGAATGTCAATTTGAAGACGTCTTCGTCATTTGAAAGAAGCGGGCTGTTGGTATTTGTATTCGGCTACATCAAGGCCTACTACAAGAACGTCTTAAGGTGGTGAAAACGGCTGATTTTACCCTCTTGTTTTGTTTTTTTTTGTGTGTAGACATCACTTCCGATCAGCTGAACAGGGGAGCGTGCGGTAGATATTAGAGCAGTTCTTTTTACAGTACCTACTACAGCTTCGCGGCAACAATGTATGAATTGTGAGACTCTCTCGTTGTCTCTGTAAAACGAGTTCATTTGTGTAAGCATATAAGCATGCTCCAGCGCCTGATACAGCAACATGCTTCTTGACGTGTTTAAATGAGCACATTAATTTAAATTCGCTTTATGTTACCTATACTCTTAACGTTACAGTTGTGCTTAAAGGGAAGCTGAAGGTGTTTTGTATTTCAGGAAACCCACTTAAATAATTTTCATTTGACCTCCAAGATTTCGAATATTGAAATTATTTGTAATTTGGTTTAAAGATGCTGCAGAAAACCATTTTCAAAAGTACCACTGAAGGCCCTCCTGCATGACGTCACAGAAGGAGCTTTCGGAATCTCCACCCTTGCGCATCTTCAGCACCTATCAAAGCTATGCCCGCACACTCTTGCTATATTTAGAAAGGGCAGAAAAAGATGTCATGACTGGTGCCAGTGCGAGGGAATACACCTGGCAAGCTTGAAAGTGCAATCCTTTGCTGTAATATAAATGCACTTCTATGTGAGAGACACCAATCGAAAGTTAGAGGTTGGCTGTAGCAAACAAGAAAGCCCGGCTCCTGTGATCGCCAACTACATGTATTTTCATCCCTGGTAGTTTGCATTTAAGTGACAATTTTTTCATGGACGAAGAAATAAACGTTGCACAGTATTCATCTAAAATTTTAGACTTGCCAAAGATTTGTTGTGGAAACAAATTTATTTATTTATTTATTTTGAATACCCTCAGGGCCCATGCTTAAATAAATAAAGGGTAGAAAACATATTTTATTAGTTTTCCCGTGACAAATATGTGGGAGGGTTTATCGAGAACTGGATACGGTGCTGACAGCGCATGCGAGCTCCCGACTGTGCGTGCTGGTCATAAACGAATATAAGTGACATCATCTATGCCATAAATCCCGTTTTACTTCAATATTACACGAGCAGAAAATAACACTCGGAAACTCGAACCAAAGCTAGGCACGTACGCTCCTATCCGTTAAATTACACCATATAAAAATCAAAGAAATTGCAAGCGTGCATATTTACAATCATGTGGCTGCAGCAGAATTTACTTGCAGAGTGCATTTCTTAAAAGAAGTGCCGCTGACGTGCAGCTGACCGGGGTCCTGAGCTTGCCCAGAGCTTGGCCGGCTTTGCGTACCGGGCGGGCTGCAAAGGCAGTGTCAGCACGCTCCCACGAACGGAGGGGGCTGGCTTTTCTAAGCGCGGCTAATACAGAGCTTGTCAACCGAGCCGATTTAGTAATGTTGGGTGTAGCCACGTGACTTCTGGCCTTGAGCTTCCGTGCTTGTGTTTCGGTTTCGAGCAGTTGAATCTTTTGGCAATATTAAAAATATATGTGACTCTGCTGTAAAATATTTATTGGGTAGTCTTCTGACAATCGCCTGGCACAAAATTAAAAGTTACGAGGCGCGAGCTTTCTAACTTCGACAACGCTTCAGTGTCTTGTGCATCTCAAGCACATGCATGCAGCCAAAGAACAGTGCGAGACATTATGAGCGTGCTGGTGGCTGTACGTTTAAAAGACTACCGGTCTGTTTCGGTCAGTGACTATAGTGGCTTTTGCTTGACCAGTAATGTGACACCAGTTATATATTCTTGCCCTGTTGTTCCTCCTAAAGACGCCTGCACGCATCATCCGGGTAAACCGGTCTTCCACGATGCCTACAAGAGCTGGTCCTGTTGCAAGAAGAAAACCACAGATTTCACCGAGTTCCTGAACATCAAGGTCAGTGTGGCACGCTTGTTGATAGGGTTGGTTTATGGACTGATAGCATGCTTTTGCTAACTATGTGGCAAGTGTCAGCCTGAAATCAGTGAAGAGAGGTGCGAGAGCAGTACTGTACCATGTTGACCTCTAAGCTGACAGCAGAGTGAAAGCCACAGGTTGGTTCGACCGCTCAGTGGTGAGCCTTCAGAGACTTGAATTGCTCTCTGTGTATCTGAAGGGTGTAGCAATGTGGTTCCAAGCTGACGGTCAACTTGTCGAGCCTCAGCGTAGTTTAAAAAAAATAATTATCTGCTTAGAGGTGAACAGAGTAGTGCAATAACTAGGCATGTGCAAATAGTGGATTTTAAGTTTGAAATGAAGTCAAAGCGATTAGTGGTTTTGGCCAAATATTTTCGAATTGAATATTGGATGGTTTCTATATTCACTACCATGTACCATGCTTAAACGAAAATTTAGCTGAACTTGTGAAGGTCGTTTCTAAGTTCTAACCTTCAACTTGTGCACTTCTAAGTCCAGTTAATTTTAATATAACTATATTTATTAACTGTGGCATGTAAACGATAGATTTGTCACAGCTATCCTAATCGAGGGGGTTTAAATCTGCCTGCTATACGGCAGATTTGTCACAGCTGTCCTAATTGATGAGATTCATAAATCTGCCTGCTATATGTAAATATTCTTACTTAAAAAAAAAAAAGTAAAAACAAGAGACCTATTTAAAAACGGGTATCTGGCTTGTACCATTTTCAGTGTTCGTGCGTATGGCGCATGATTTGCTCGCATCGCGACGCGACAAACATGTGCGTGCTGGGCTGAGGAGATTGCACACTGTGCTGAAGACTTGTAAATATTGGTACTGGGGAGGAGATCGAGCAGTCACGCCTCTAGCGGAACGCTCCAAATTTTCTTGTTTGTTTTTGATTGGAGAAATGGATGGTGACGATTTGAAGGCCGCTCCTCGTGCGACCAAACCACTGGTCAAAGCGAAGCGCTGGTGCCCAAACTGCGCTAGGTGAGGTTCAATTGCTTTGTTATGCTGTGTTAGTAAACACCGAACTGTGTGGACATCAAGCTCGATAAAGTGCCCCCTATAGTTCGATCTCTTGCCCAATACCTGGGGACAACTTTTCTTGGCAATGAAGCCAAAGCTATGGGCGCCCGTGCACTCATGCACATTGAGCGCTGATCGCAGCAGTGTTCGCGCGGTCTTCACTTCATCGGAAATGTGAGAAAAAGTTGTCCCCTTGTATAACATATTTGCATAATCGGCGCGTTAACCCCGTTGAGTGCGCTTCTCACCGAGCTCAACGGGGCTAACCCGCAGCAATCAACTCTTCGAAAAGTTTAAATATCGCAGTTCACTTTGAAGCAAATATTGAAAAGTGTAATATTTGAAACTACTATTCGAAAAGTCGAATATTCGCACAATGCTAGCCACAACCATAACCACGTGCTTACATGACTCCTTGAACAGTGACAAACAGGCAGGAACTTGTTGATCGAGATAAAAAATGGGAGGGTCTCAGCGGATGCAATTATCGTGTAAAATATAAATATTTTTTTTTTTCTTCACGATTCAGATGCAGAGCACAACGCAGCTTAAGCACATGGTCACTGTTCTCCTATTTTCATTGTATAGACAAAAGACTGCATCAAGGCTTTCATTTTGTTGGAATGTGTTAGTGTGTGGCAAAAATTTGAGTAGTAAAATTTGGTGTTTGATGTTGCATTTATTTTTGTGTAGTTGGGTTGTTTGATGTCTGTCATGAACTCGTCAAGCCAACATTGGTTGGCTTTTAGTTTGTGTCCCCGGTGCCTACAGTCTAAGGTTGTTATAACAGACCTTGATTTTGACCAAGATTTTGGTCTGTTGTAAAAGGAGTATGTTGTGTGCAGATATGAAGTTTAGTCAATGGTATGTAAAGGAAAACCAACCGAACTTCACAAATCGGTATGTTATATCTAAATGTCTGTTGTAACCAGGTCTGTTGTAATGAGCTTAGACTGTATTAGGATGTGTGGTTGCAAGTAAATTGTAATGTTTAAGCAACCTGTTTCACGCAGTTACAGCAAGGTAACAATAACTATTTTTGGGTGAATCCGCAGAATTTTTTCAGCGTATTTGATCTGATAACATCTGTGTGAATTGCAGGGGTGCACAAAGTCCTACCATCGGGACCAGAAACCGGTGGAGTCTCCTAAACCCGAGCGGAAAACAGACGCAGAGAACCAAGTATGGCTACTTGAACCCTCTCGTTTTGCAAGTTCTTTCTTTGTGTTTCTTTAGCGCCTTGTTGATATGTCCCCAACGCATCTCAACATGTCAAAAGCAACGTTTAGGCCAGGACTTCGATTCCCGTTTTGTTAGCCTCGTAGAGAATGTGTGCTGTGCTTTGGCACTCAGTCTAGACTTCTCTCGTTTATTTAGTCCCACAATTCCTGATGATGATAAAAATCATCCCGCGAGTCGAACTTCTGCAACGTAGCTTGCATACGGGAGCCTAGAAGTGGCAGCAAGTGTGAAAAAAAGGCTGGCACAAGATACAGATTAGCTTACCAATCCTCAATTTAAAGTCATCGATATGGTGTTGGGTTTGCAGCTAATGTGGCAGGCCTCCTTTTCTTACCTCGACAGAATGTGAACCCAGACAGGCCCCCCGAGGCCCCCCGCCCCACTGTCCCTCTGGTCAGGCCTGACGAAAATCAGCCCCTAGTCTTGCTGCAGAGCTCCGTAGGGTCGTCGCTGGTGCCGTTGCTGAGCAAGCTGTCCCTCGCCAAGAAGGGAGAGGCCTCAGAGTCTGAAGGTTGGTCTCCGCTTCACTTCCCTCTCCTGCAAGAACGCCATTCAGCTATCCCGTAACCCATGTTTAGATGACAGCGAGCTTATTTCCCTTTTCTTTGCTGGAGGGGGAAGTCTGTCCAGTGAAGTACGACTGCTCATTTCTGGTGTGTCCAGTGTGCACTACGGTGTTTAGCGAAATGCCCTTCCACGTTCAAGCGGTCAGGAATGGCAACTGGTCTTGTAATTTTCCAGTTCGCAGAATGTCCTTTCATTCCACGATCTGCTGGGCATGTGGAGGCCAGGTTATTGCACTCGGCCACCAGTGGCCCAGATTTCTGTCTCTGGGTGTTAAAAATAAGTGTCATTATCGAGCGTACGTCGGAAGTTATCTGCCTGTGGTATGGCACGCTCGACACATGGTGCAGAATGTGGATGGTTGAAGTGATTTCGTGTAGCCATCTTGTCGGGTTTTGGATCTCGACAATGTGCGCTCAACACTCGCTTTGACTTTTAGGAGACTTCTTTTTGTGTTTACCTCACTGTGCCATTATTTGCCGACCACTATTATTAGTAAGATCGAGCAAGTAGAAATATGTTTTGTTTTGTTTGAAAAACTGAGATTGGAGACAGACAGACATAGGCTTAAGATTTTCCAGACGAGTCATTACCAAACCAGCTTGCCTGTACAGTCATTAAGGCGCATTCACACCGGCGATGTAAGCAGCTGCGCGATGCAACTAGATCGCATCGCAAAAAAATTAGACGGTCACACCCGCGTGCACGATGTGCAAGTCCATTGCCTTCTTTGGCGAGTCGTTGTCGAAAACTCTCGCTCCAAATGCCGTTGATTGGCTCAGCCGCTCCGCGACTAGATCGCACCGCAAAAAAGTTGGGTCGAGTAGCGACTGCTCAAATCGCGTCGCTTTTTGCCCCCGATGGTCGCTTTTGCAATGAAAGTTATCGCGTGACTAGATCGCATCGCCAGCGGGAACGCGTCTTTACTGCTACAGCAACGGTATTAATGTGTGTATATTGTGCTGTTTTCTGGATCAGTGGCACAGACTGTTTCAAAGTTACAATAGTGTTGAGATATTGGAGATTTTAAAAGCTACCCAGAATGCTTTTTCTCCATTCTAGCAAAAAAATTGTGGCCAAAGTTAGGTACATCGTCCTCCTACCCCGTCTTCCTAAATGTTATCTTTATGGTATTCAGTGTGCATTTTGTCTTGCAGCTGACACCACTGTTTCCCTGGGCACATCCTGCAAGAATGCTGGTTGCCAACAGGTACGGTGGCGATTGGATGAGAGTTGGTGCTTTGGGCCGAAAGCTACCAGCCCTTACTTCCATGGCACTAACATGAATGTCCTTCCATTTTGCACATTTTACAGTCATACCAAGGGGAGCAGAGCAACCTCGAAATTTGCCTCTACCACTCGGGATTTCCAATTTTCCACGAAGGGTATGTTCAATGTAGACGACTTTGGCAAAGTGCTCTTACCCTTTAAAGGGGTACTCCGGCAATTTCTTCATGGTCCTTGATTTGACTCAAAATTTCGTAAAGACACCAACGAACAGCGCTGAAATAGTATCCCAAATAGTATACTAGGCCAACATGTGTTTTTTTGCGAAGTTATTGAATATACAATTTGGTCCTCACAGTGTTTTTCAAACTGAAAGTCTTTACTGGCAACAACGAAAAAGTGACGCCAGTGGGAGGCATGGGTTCACCCTTTGAACTGTGGATTTTGTTCCCAACTGATTACAAGCAGTTTTGCGGTATTGAATAAATGCTTTGAAGGCTCGCTCCAGTACCCACACACCAGCACGGAACAAATGCTTGGCATAGTCTATTTTCTGGGCTGCTCGCTCAACTGGCAAGCCTGCCTTCCACTGACGTCGCGGCACTGAAAAGTGTGGTGTACCGGTAAGGGGTATATTTGAAAATCGGGTTTTTGCAACATTTTTGTTTTGTAATTTCACAATAACTATTGTGAATTTCACGATACTAAATAGCCTACCTGAAAGGGTAAACGCCGGGAATTCAGAAAGCATAGTTAATTGGGGTAGCTCAAAAAATGACCACAGACAGCCTAGTTTGCCCGCATTCCATTTAACATGTTTGCAAAGCTTTTATGTGCAGATTGGTAACTAAAAAGTTCTTCTAGAACTTTTTCTAAGAACTAAAACGTCCTAGCAGTAGGTTGACCTTGTTTCTTTACCACTGCTAGGCAAAAAAATTTTAGGAAGCTATTCATGTAGAGTTAGTGAATGTTACCAGAGTATCAAATTCCATTCGTTCCGCTTACCGGAAGTCAGTTCCGCAGAATCCAGTCCCCATTGGCTGACTTAGCCCGTGGCGGAAGTTACTGATTGGCCATTTTGTAGATCGGCCCGGAACAACAAAAAATATGCATAAAACATTTCGGCGTTACCACGGCTATGGTGGGTACGCACGACTGGGAGCTCTGGGCATTGATGAGTTAGGGCCGAACGGCAGGTTTTCTAAAACAAATTTGTAAAGTCTAGAAAAAAACACTCCATGTACTCTAATATGCAGTCTCAAAAGGTGCATTGATTTTTAGTGTTTTTTTTTTTTTTTATACGAAGTAGCCGCTAATCTAGTTTGCCAACGAAGACTGCTGGCTCGTTTACTCGCACCGGTTGTGCTGGTGCTGCGTTTCAAACGCTACGCCTCGGACGCTAAGCCTAACGCTCGACTTCGGGGCGAGAGAAAGAGACGAGACGGCGAGGAGCAAGTCACGCACTGCTCGGAACGGGGGAAGGAACTTGAATAATAACAAACCAGTGTTGCCACAGGCCGGGAACGTGGATTGAAAAGCTCACACACAAAAGAACGCTACGCTGTACATGCTGCACAGGGCAGTGCCACAATGGGGATCGTGGCTGCTGCGCCGTGACTCGGTTCTGTGTGACACGCAACCGTTTTTTCACAATGTTTTTCTTAACTACACGGGTTTTATGTGAATTCCAGAAATTTAGAACATAACAGCAAAAATAAAATTTATTAAAAAAAAAATACTTGGAGTTTAGAGGCATTTTTATCCAAATTAATTTTTTCCTACATATCCCCTACATGAAAAAATTCCTGCGTCTCCTTTGGCATGAAATGACCCTAAATTAAAACTGCAGAAAACGTTGCCTCGAATTTGTGCAGTTATAGCCAAGAATTACACCAATCACATATTATGGATGGATGAATGCTATCGGCTGTACCCTTTATAACGGGCGGTAGCTTGTGCCACCTAGCCTAAAAACCGAAAAGAACCAAAAGTGTGATTCCTTCCCTCGCCCTTCTAAACGAATACCTCTTTCGTCCTTAACTAGTTGCCGTGATACCAGCAGTTGTCAGTGTCATGCATGACTTGCGGGGATGTTTGTGACAGTAGCCACAGTCATCCTTCTGGATTACTACGATATGGAACTTTAGAAGTATCATTAGAGTCTGTGGGCACCGACCCTCTTTCGTCTGCTTGCACGCCAGGATATTTGTGAGCAAGAAACTACTGCCTGGGTTGGTGCACAGGACTAGCACACTCAGCCATACTGCCAGTTTTTCTTACAGGCTTTCAGTTCCGAAAGTAAAGCGGGAAGAACCGACAATCGCTTGTTTGTGCTAACTGTGTCATACTCTGCACATGTATTGTCTAAGTAACTGTATTGTTGCACTGGCTGCGTTGAATGCATTGTTTGTCTTCCCTGTCGTGGCATCCTCGTCACATTAAATTGCAAGTGCAATGCTTGTTTTGATGGCATTTGTCCTTCTCACACGTTTCCACTCCTGCGTTTTCTTCACTCAGGATGAAATACTGGACCTGTTGCCAGCGGAAAACGTCAGACTTCGCAAACTTTCTGGAGCAGCGGGGATGTACTTCAGGCAGTCATCTCTGGATTAAAAAGGTAGCGAGACCTGCGCAGGCTTTATATCTGTTTCATTGGCATCCCGCAAAAGAGTGTCCAAACCTTCCGCGTTGCCTTCTGTTCGTCGTAACGGCAAGCTCTTGTGTGCTGGCAAAGGTATGGACATGCAAAAGCAATGGAGGGTGCTTAGTGTCTCCGCTGGAGATGAGAAATTTAGCCAGTACAGCAGCGCCGCTAACCCGGAGACTTTAAAATGCATTGCACAGTATGGCAAGTTTTGACATGGTCTAACTTAAAAAAGCGAAACACCGATTAAGCGAGAGCACTGTGTAACAAAGCCGATGTCACTATAGAAGAACCCACTAGAATGCGTTGTGTTTTACGCGAACTGTGCAGAAGAATGCGGAGGGTGATCAAGCGACATGTCGCTACGACTGGCACCAGACTGCCTCCCATGTGGTGGTGAGCATCTTTTCCAAGGTGCCGATCCCAGAGCTCTCCCGCGTCGAGGCCAACCCGGTCAAGCTGCACCTGCACATCACCTTCGGCGAGGACCGCTGTCTCTTCAGCCAGACGTTCCTGCTCTCCGGGGTATGTTACTCCCTGATTTCTGAGCCTATGCTGTGTTTCAGCGCAAGTGCGAGCGCAGCTGTTGCTACAGTCACAAGCTTATGGTCTCATATGATGCTTTCACTTAACAAGCTCTCGTGCATACTAACCCGCGCATTTGCTCAGCACCTCCCAGATAAAGGCCCATTCACGCAGTACCGTTCACTACTCCCGACTACGTTGCCAGCACTTGCGTCGAGTAACCGCCGCGGGTCACCGGGACAACTGTTTTTCATATGGAGTTCGCCAACCAATAGTCCTCTTGCAAAATCGAAGAGATTATAGTGGTGCAATGCTGTGCAAAGCATTTCGGGAACCGTTTGTACTAAATTTCGGTTTTGATTTGCCAACCTCACTTCACGACATCCTGTTGTGACCGAATACAGCGCTTGAATTTGTGAATATTGGACTTTTCTTACATTTCTAATACTGTAGGTGTTGCCTACCAATATGGATAATATGCTGGGGTGCACTTCTTGGGCTCCAGACGTGCCAGAGTTTGTGCATAGGTAAATTCAGAATTATGATAGTGAATACCGTAAAGTTCCAAGAGAACACCCACCCCGGAGAGTTTACCAATCTTGTTTTTCTGGGTAAATATCGGTAACATAAAAATTCTGAAACATCGCCCACCCCCCAACTCTCGTCAGACGTTACGCGATGTCCAGTAGGTATCGCATCAACCGTGCGATTTGCTGTACTGACACGTGTTACAAATGAGTTCATAGCAGGTTCCCGCGCTTTTTTTCTGCGATATTGGCTCCCGTAACATGCGAGTTCTTCCCGCATGTATGTTTCACCGTGAAATGCAAATCTGCTGCGTCCGTAACCTGCGGTATCCATTCCCACGACATAATTTATAGCGGATTCCCGCGTTTTTCTCCGCAATCTGCGCGCACAATCTCGATTCCATGCGAGTTCGTCTCGCATGTATAATGCATCGTAAAATATGATTCTGCTGCGTTCGCGATCTGCGGTATTTCCTGTAACATACGAGTTTGTTGCGGATTACCTGATTTTTGTCCACGATCTGCACGCGCGATATCGGTTCTCGTGACAGACGAGTTTGTAGCGGGTTCCCGCATGTTTATTGCACCATGAAACTTAAATCTGCTGCGTCCGCGATCTGCAGTATTAGTTCCTGTGAGATTCGAGTTCTCGGTGGGTTTCGGCGGGTCCTTCGCACCATGAAAGGCAAGTCTGCTGCGTCCGGCAACGTGTGGTATCCTTTCCCGCGTGTTTATCGCATCGTAAAACACGAATTTGCAGTCCGCAATTTGCGGTATCAGTTCCCGCGTAGCGTGGTTTGTAGCCGTTGCCACGGAGTTTATCATTAATTTTTGATAGAGTTTTGCTCTGGCATCTTCAAGGATAGCCCACCCCATGTTTTTTCACCATTTCTCTTCATTTTGGGTGCGTGTTCTTTCGGAACTTTACGGTAGAAAATGAAAAAGTATATTGGGGCTGATCATCCTGTTCCATCGTCTCCTGAACGTCCTTAATAAGACGTTAGCACCGGAGTTTCTTAATGTTGCGTACCGGAGGCCAGTGTAGGGTACACACTCTGCGGAGTGTTCGGCTGGGATTCGTGTTCAGCCGGTGAGGAAGCGAGCTCCAGCCGAGTGATGATGCAGCGCTTGTGCGACCCTCTTCAATAACAGGAATCGAAAAGCAGAAACTTGTAGAAGTCAGCCATATGACACATTCTGTGTTAAAAAGTGGAAGGGTTTAAGCATTTGACTCCACAGCATGTTCTTGAGACAAGGATACCACACAATCTTGTTTGCTTCTCAGTGTAGGAAATCGCGTACCGCCGCCGATTCGCCATTTCCCACGTGGTCCGTCAACAAACCGAGTCCAGCCTGGTTCTTTCACGGGAGCGGGATTCCGCTCCCCGTTTATTCGTACAATAAAACACAACACTACAAAACACTCAATCTAAACTACAAATACAAGCTACATTACACAATTATTTACAAATGCATGTTCAGGCTAAAGCTAAACACAAAGAAGGCCTTAGGCCTCGCGTCCCGCGATATCCTAGATCCGGTCGTTACCCACTTGCCTGCCTGCGTCTCGGTCTCGTCCGGAGTTCTTCGAGGCCTCTCGCCCCCTGCCCCACCGAGTATCTCTATCGATGGGCGAGGAGGTTTCTCCTCGCCTGCCACGGGGGCGCCTGCAGCGCCCTCCAGTGGCTAGGAGAGAAAGCGGCGCGTCGGGAGCCGAATTCGAGATCCCGATCGACCCCGCGGCAACACGACCATGTGATCGTGTCGCGGCCAAGATTGGCCGAATGGTTTGATGGGCGCCCTCGTGAATTCACGGTGCGCCATACTCCCCTCTCCTAAAAATCGAAGTACGCCGGAATTCAGACGTACGGCTAGGCTGCTGGGAACACCGTCGCTTGGTTTGGCCTGGAGACCCCCTACACGCACACACACACCGCTGGTCCCATAGGTCGTCCTCACTGAGGTCCATCAGTTCGCCCGAGACCTGGGGTGCGCGGCCACCACACACCTCGCAGTAGACTGTGTCGACTTCGGCTTGGCGGCGGCCTCCGGGGCAACGGGGTCCTTGAGCAGTGTGCCTGGCCACCATGAGACTGGCCCCTCCAGAGTGGTGCACCGGAGAGGGACTGTGGTTGCGACCCAGCTGCGACCGCCCTCCCGGAACGATGCGAGGCTGGAAGTCCAGTGTCACTGAGAACTGCACCCCGGCGTCCTGCGTGGCGTCGCGGACGTCCCACAAGGCTCCCCGAGCTGTGGTTCCTGCCGGGGAATACGCTGCCAGAAGACGAGGAGCTCAGCCCAAGCTGGTGTTTGTCCAAACGGCGACTCCTCCTTTCATCCCTCCCAGAGAGGACCATTCGGTGCACACCAAGTTGCGTCTCGAAGCAGCAGCCGCAGGGGCGATGACGCACAAGATGGGAAAAGTCCAAGGCGTGCGCCCAGCGAGGGAGCAGTACCCCAACACCAACAGCGACGCCGCACACAAAAAACAACAAAAAAAAAAAAAAACATTCAAAGCAAAAACAAGAAAAACAAACACTGAGGGTTCCGAGGCACCCTCCCCCCACCCACAAAGAAAAAACAATAAAAAAATGCCGGGAACGCCAATTTCGGATCGCTCCCCCTCTTCTTCCCTTTCCCGGGTTACGGAACGCCGATTTCGGATCGTCCCCCCTCTTCTTCCCTTTCCCGGGCCACGCACTCTACGAGGTTCCGATCCCATCGGGTTGCCTCCGGCTATGCGTGTTGTAGCTGTGCCGCGGTGGTCCCAGGAACTCCTGAGATCGTTGGCGCCCGCGAATGCCCCTTTGCGGCCGCTTGACCGGCTCATCCCCTTCCCTGGGGAAAAAGGGTTTCAGTTCGCCGATGTGAACTGTCCCGCGGACGAGATCAGAATTCTGGTCCCTCAGCGTGTATGTCAGTCGAGACTTCTTGGAATCGATGACAAAGGGGCCAACCCACTTGGGGGCCAACGCCGCCGAGAAGAACTTACTCGCATCGCTCTGCACGTGACTTCGCCGCAGAACGGTGTCGCCCACCTCGAACTGCGCATCGCGGTGCGCTTTGTCATAGGTGTTCTTCTGCTCCGCCCGCGCGCGAGCCCTGTTTCCGCGGGCGGCGTCCAGCGCCCGCGACAGTCGCTCTCTTGTGCGCGTCGCGAAATCCTCGTACGAGGGCACCGCTCTGGCCGCGCTCTGTCGCGGGCGAAGAACCGCATCGGTCGGCGTAGAGAGTTCTCTGCCGAAGTTCAAAAGCGCGGGCGTGAACCCAGTGCTGCGGTTGAGGTTGGACCGCAATGCAAACGAAATCGAATCCAAATGCAGATCCCAGTCCCGCTGCTTTCGAGCATACGCCCCGAGCAGCGGCTTGATGTCGCGGTTCCGCCGCTCGGTCACATTTGCTTGGGGATGGTAACACGAAGTCTTACAATGCTTAATCCCGAGGGCCTGGCAGGTTGCCGCGAAGACTTTCGAGCAAAATATCGAGGCGTTGTCACTCACCAGTCTCTCGGGGAACCCGTAGCGACACCAGACCTCGGACAGCCTGCTCAGGACTCCCTTGGCTGTCACCTTCCGCATTGGAAACATCTCGACGAACCCGGTGAAGTGGCAAGTTACTACCAACACATGTTGATAGCCTCCGCTTGACCGCGGCAGGGGTCCCATTAAGTCGCAGGCCGCGATCTCCCATGGCCGCGTACTCACGATGGGCTCGAGCAGGCCGGGTGGTCTGCCGCCCCTGGGCTTGCGCTCTTGGCACACTGCGCAGCTACGGACATAACGGCACAGCTGCCCCTTCATGCCCGGCCAGGTAGCGAAACGGCGCAGCTTATGCCACGACTTCGGTGCACTGCCATGACCGTCCGCATCGTGGTAGTGACGCAGCGCTGCCACTCTGAGATCGCGGGGAATCACGGTCTTGAACGACTCACTTGAATCGCTCTCTTCCGGGAAGTAGCGCAGCAGGACGCCGTCCCCATCGATCAGGTAAGACTCCAGCTCACCTGCTTCAATGTCTGACCCCTGGGCGGTGGCACTTGGCCCTCTCGGTGTTCCGGAGTGCCGGAGCGTCTTTTCGCCCGTCTGGTCAGGATCCATCTCTTGCCTGAGCCGGTCGAAGATAGCGCGACAAAACGAATCGCTCTGCTGTGCTTCGTACAGTTCCGTTCGGTTGAACGCCGGTCCCAGTGAGGTAATCGCCTCAGCCAGCTGCGCGACGCCGCCACAGTGGGGAGCGGAGCGCGAGGCGGGATTTCCCGTCTCCCGGGGGATGGCCCCGCCTCCGTAGTCTGCTGCCTCGCGCGGTGGGGGATCCACGGGTGCGCGGGAGAGCGCGTCGGCCACCACATTTGTGGTGCCCTTCCGGTACCGAATTCGGTACTCGTACTTCTGCAGTGTCAAGGCCCAGCGCGCCAGTCTTCCGGCGGGTTCCTTGATTCGGGAGAGCCACGCGAGGGCCATATGGTCCGTCTCGATCGTGAATTCCGTCCCCTCGACATAATGATCGAACTTCTTAAGAGCAAAAATGATGGCGAGGCATTCGCGCTCACTCACCGTGTAGTTCTTCTCCGCCGGGTTCAGCGCCCGGCTGGCAAATGCCACCGGGCGGATCTCTCCCTCTGTCTCCTGCAGGAGCACCGCGCCGAGTCCCTGGTCGCTGGCGTCCGTCTGGATCGTGAAGGGCCTATTCAGGTCTGGCAGTTTGAGGGATGCTGTACGCGCCAAGGCCTCGGTCAGCTGGAGGAACGCCTCCTCCTGCGGCGCCTCCCAGCTCCAGGGAGCAGCTTTCCTCAGCAACTGCGTGAGGGGTGCCTGCATGGCGGCGCAGTTCGGGATGTAGGCTCGGTAGTATCCTATCATGCCGAGAAAACGGCGCACTCCCCCGACATCGGTAGGGACTGGGAACTCCAAGATCGCCCGCAACTTGTCCGCGTCGGGGGAAACTTTTCCTCTCTCGATCCGGAATCCCAACAAGCTGATTTCAGAAGCTCCAATTTGGGCTTTAGTCGGGTTTAGTGTGAGGCCGGCGATTCGTAGTTTGCGCAACACGTCCTCGAGGTGACGAAGGTGGTCCTCGAAAGTTTCCGAGTACACAATGATGTCGTCCAGGTACGCGAGCGCGTGCTGCCACTTGGCATCTCCGAGCACCCCGTCGATCAACCGCTGAAATGTCATCGGTGCACCTGTTAATCCGAACGGCATCCGAGTGAACTCGAACAAGCCTCGGTGACACACGAATGCAGTTTTGCTTTCGTCGCCCGGGCTCATCTCCACTTGGAGGTAGCCTTTGCTTGCGTCGAGGGTAGTGAAATACTTCGCCTTCCCCAGATTCGAGATGATTTCTTCGATGCTCGAAAATGGATACGCATCTTTTACGGTCACCGCGTTCAAGCGCCGATAATCAACGCAGAGTCTCGATGTTCCGTTCTTCTTGGGCACCAAAACCACCGGGAATCCCCACGGTCCTGATGACCGGCGAATGATTCCCGACTTCAGGAGCTCATCGACTGCGGTATCTATCGCTTTTCGCTTCGCCAGGCTCACAGGACGCGGATTGGACTTCCAAGGGCGTGCGTCCCCAGTTTCAATGCGATGTTGCACCTGCTTAGTGCAGCCCGGCTGTTCGGTGAACATTTCGTCAAAGTTTTGCAGCAAAGCCGCCAACCTCTCTCGCTCTGGTCCGGACAGTCCATCGGCATTGGCCAACGGGTGGCCCATTTCGTCGCAGTGCTCGGCGGAGCTCGGAGTTGGGTGACTCATGGGCATGGCGTCGTCGCGGTCGGTTCTTTCCTGTTCTGTCGCTTTTCCCAGCGCTGCCGCCATGGCCCCCATGGAGCGCTCTCGGAAACTTGAAAGGAGTGCATATGCCCCCTCTCGGTACCCGCCACTTGCCACGTCAATGATGATGCCAGTGTGGGCCAGGAAATCCCGTCCCAGAATGATGGGCACTGTCAGCCCGGCCAAATGGACGAACCGCTGTCTCTGCGCGCGTTGATTCCAACGTACCACGAGACGCACTGCTCCCCTCGAAGTCGTCGACCCACAAGCCAACTGGAAAGTGGTCTCCCCATGCCTCACCCGAACGGACTTCTGTTGGAGATGCCTGAGGACCTCGTCCCCAATTAGCGACGCACTAGCCCCGCTATCCAGAAGAGCTGCGAACTCCTTTCCCGCCACCGTCAGGGAAATAAATGGGGCCGCGGTGCTTGTCGCTGCTCCGACTCGATACGCCGTCGGCACGCACACGGTCGAAGGGGTGTCGGGGACCCGCTCGTTGGTCTGTTTCGCCGCCGATAACTTTATCGGCGGCCTCCTCCGTTTCCCGGAATCTCCCTTGTGCAGTCGCGCCTATAGTGCCCGATTTCGTGGCACCGAAAGCAGCGGCCTCGCCAACCTGGGATAGGATTCTCCCCAGTGGGACGTCCGATGCGCTCACCCCTTTGTGGCAGCGGGTCGGCGGCAGCCTGCTCCTGGGCTGCGGCGATCCGTGGTGCGCCGGTCGGACGGAATTCCGTCGCGTGGACGGCCGCGCTCCCTCCTCGGCGCGATCCTGGCTCCAAGGCGTCATCCGTGAGCTCCCAGGGATTCCCGCTCGGCTCCCCGCTGGCCTCCGCCATTGCGGCCTCCCCCCGTCGATACCCACGTGGCACCGGACCCTGCCACGCGCATCGGGGTTCGAGCGTGTCGATTGGTGCTGGGGGAAGGTGGTACCTGCGCTCCGCCAGTATGTCGGCCTGAACCCTGCGCGCCTCCTGTGCTAGCTCACTCAGACTTCCGAATGGGCGCCCACGCAGATACCGCGAGAAGGTGGGATGCGCCTGCCTCACCACCCGCTCGACCTGCTCCTGGTTCGTAGCATTCGGATCGGCGATCTGCAGGAGTTCCTGCATTGCCCGCAAGTACTCTCCGAAGGGCTCAGCGGGAGCCTGCGTTCTTTCCTCCAGTTCCCTGCGCATTCTTGGCAGGTAGTCTGCCGGCAAGAATTCTTGTCGGAAGAGGGCCGTGAACTCGTCGAGTGTTCCGGCTGACTCGCCCACAAGGCGATGCCACCTGGCTGCTGGGCCTACAAGAGCCACCGGCAGAACTCTGCCTAGCGTCTCCTTCTCTGTCAGGCCGGTAGCCTTCCGATATCGCTGGATTTCCAGCAAGAAGTCGGTCGCGCTCAGAGCTCGATCGCTGTGTCCGCTGTACTCCGGCACCGGAATGCGGATGAGGGTTCTTGGCGGTGGCGTTTGCCTCTGCATGCTCTGTAAGGCCTGAGCGAACGCCGCAACCAACGCCGTGGATTCACGGGACATCTCCGTGCTTTGAGGCATAGACACGACCGGCGCTACCGTCGGCGTGTCCGGACTCGGCGCTGCGGTCATCGCCGCGCCGTTCCGTTCCGCCAGCCCCGTCGATGTAGCGACGTCGGCCAAAAACATTAAATCCGTGAGGGCGAAATTACCCGTGGCCATCTCGAACAGTTGTTTGGACGTACCCTTCACACTTTCGCAGTGCCGCGGTATAAACTCGCCAACCAGGGGGACCGCCCCGCGTGAACTTCCACGCAGTGTCGTCGACGGACGTTGCGACCGTAATTACGGCTCGCCTGCCCCACGTTGGGCGCCATTTGTAGGAAATCGCGTACCGCCGCCGATTCGCCATTTCCCACGTGGTCCGTCAACAAACCGAGTCCAGCCTGGTTCTTTCACGGGAGCGGGATTCCGCTCCCCGTTTATTCGTACAATAAAACACAACACTACAAAACACTCAATCTAAACTACAAATACAAGCTACATTACACAATTATTTACAAATGCACGTTCAGGCTAAAGCTAAACACAAAGAAGGCCTTAGGCCTCGCGTCCCGCGATATCCTAGATCCGGTCGTTACCCACTTGCCTGCCTGCGTCTCGGTCTCGTCCGGAGTTCTTCGAGGCCTCTCGCCCCCTGCCCCACCGAGTATCTCTATCGATGGGCGAGAAGGTTTCTCCTCGCCTGCCACGGGGGCGCCTGCAGCGCCCTCCAGTGGCTAGGAGAGAAAGCGGCGCGTCGGGAGCCGAATTCGAGATCCCGATCGACCCCGCGGCAACACGACCATGTGATCGTGTCGCGGCCAAGATTGGCCGAATGGTTTGATGGGCGCCCTCGTGAATTCACGGTGCGCCATATCAGACAGAAGAAAAATAGGTAATATACGAGTAAATCCCTATGAAAGAAGCGGTGAACAGCAGATCACTGTTTGGGCTAGTGCACAGATCGTGAACATTATCCAGTTCATCTTCTAATCTGAGAATTTGCTAGTTTTATCTGACAGCTGCTTAACAACAAATAGTATTTCTGAACTGCTCTTTGCTAGATTCTTACTTAATTCTGTTTAATTATGTCCTTGCTGCAAGTTCAGGAGCCCTGCAGTTTATGGCGCTCACGATTGTTGCGGCGAAACACCCATTTTTTGTCTACACGGGGTGAATATGTGAGCACATGCTTTCTGTTGCAGGTCATAGACGTTGAAAAGAGCTGCGTGCAGTACCTGGGAACCAAAGTAGAGGTGAAGCTCAAGAAAGCTGAACCCATGAGCTGGAGACATCTTGCGGTGCCCCAGGCCAAACAGACTTCCGCGCAAGACGGTGAAGGGGATAACGACAGCGCGTGACAGCGCACGCTTCGTGCCGACATCCGACCAAGTTGAAAATGTTCAGAAGCGGTGTTCCAGTTACACCCCTCCCCTCCGGATACCAGACTGGGTGCTATTAAATAATTGTTGAGAAAATACTCAAGCTTGGTTTGTTCTGGCCCGTGTCACAATGCTGTGCAAATAAGGTGCTCCTGACGAGGGTGGAGAGTTGGGCGAGTTAGTGATTCATAATGGTTTAAAAGCACAACAGTACAACGGATAGAAAGGAAGACACAGACACAGCGCTACTTACAACTGAAGATTATTTTCGTTGTCACTTAATGTATGTACCAGCACCAACAAAAGTATGAGGACACCTAAGCACTATTATGAATTGGGAATGCAAAAGCATGAATGTCATTCTTCCGTTCCCTTAGTTCGTCTGTGGCGTAGTGGGGTGGATGGCCACGTTTCGCCGGCCGACAGCTGAGCGCGCGCTTTTGTGAAGGGGCCGCGCCGCGCCGAGCTTGGCCGTGAAGCCTCTCCGGAGTTTGCACGGGCGAGCTGTGCCAGCTCTGCTGCCACCGCTCCCTCTTCCCGGCGGCCGGGCCGCTATATGCGCTGCGCCGCCATGGAGAGGGCTTCTCTGGTGGCGTTTTTTGGAACTATGCTGCTTGAGAGCCAATGGGAGCCTCCTTCTTTGATGATGCACGCCAGCCAATGGGAGCCTATCCATCAGATTTCTGCTACAGATGACATTGGGACAGGGGAAAGGGGCCGTTCGGCGCGGCTTCAAAGCTGACGACGTCAGTTTGCTCCGTGGGACAGTTAAAGGCCCATGAAACGATTTTTGGGTTGGGATAAATCATTTTAGATTGGGATTTTACTAATAGCACATCGTTCAGTGGACCAAAAGAAAAAAGGTAGAAAGTCAAAAGCCTGACTTTCAGTGCGAAAATTTGAAAACAGAGCGGACTATTTCGTGCCTCCTCCCCTTTGCAACCTCTCTGCTTTTTCTATGTGATACATCCGCGGTCCCAAAAGCGCGTCATCGGGTCCAAACTGACGTCACGCGCAACCGGACCTCACTTATTCCCTTCACCCCTAAGCTGACATTATGGTGGAAGCTACGCGCTTGCCGGACCAATCAGCCGCCTCCCTTTCATCACCTGACTTCATTCTCTGCAGCCACATTTGCCATGCTCACGTGGCAAGTGTGGCTGGCCCACCGAGCACGTAGCTTCAACAGCACTGTCAGCTTTGGAATGAACGGGGTGGGGAAAGCAACTTTTGTCTGAATTGTGAGCGACGGGCTAATCTTCTAGGGGGAGAATGGATGTGACCGGGGATTACACAAACGAGAGTGCGAGCAAGAGGGGACTCCCCCTTTTCCTTTTCTTTAACTGTTTGGTGCAGAGTGTCGAACCGAAATTTTTATCGGTTCGGTTACGGTTCGGGTTCACGGCTTTCGGTTCGGTTCCGGTTCAGTTCCGGGGAGCAAAACATAACGGTTCAAACCGGTTCAAACCGGTTCGAACCGGTTTGGACCGCTAAATTGAGAATATATTTTTCGCGTTGTTCTGGCAATATACACTATTTACGCCGTGAAACGATTAACTATATAGTTTCTTCGATCGTCCGTGCAATTTACTTTTGTTTTTAGGTACAAAAATATTAAATTCAGTTATTTAATTTCGACGCAAGAGTAGAAAAAATCTACATTAACATACATAACGTCGTGTTCATACGACTCCACATCCCTTTGTTTACCAGTAACATATATTTTACCTGAATCAAAATGTTTAAGTACAAGAGTAAAGTGTTGAACTGGTTGGTATATACCTGTGAATAGATCAGCTTCAAATTTAGAACTATACTGTATTTTATTCTGCTTTCTTCGTGTTTAAGTAAAATTATAAAGTTCAAGCTGATCTATTTACACGGTATAAAATGTTGTCGCAAAGTGATGTAGGTCGCCTAAAATACCCATGATTGGTACAACTTTGTGTCGCAGTGTTAAAAATGAAATCGTGATTGGGTCCTTGAACTAAGGAATTAATTACATCACATAAAATTATGAAATGAGCACCTCGTGATCATGCTAATTATGAAATAAGGTTTACGAAATACACTTCACAATATATATGTATATGATGACGACACAACTGAGCTAAAAGCAATGGAATTTTCAGAATTTAACAAAAGTTTTAGGATAATTCCTTTCAGACTATTTTTTATAGAAACACCGAGCGGCAACCCAAATGCTTGTTGTTCTAACCAAACATTGTTTACACTCAGCACCGCATGCATGCCACTAATCGTGCAACAAGAAGTAATCGCAGTTGTTCACTCTAGTCTATACGCACTTTCGCACTCAGATCCTTTCTCTCTACTTCTTTTCATGGGGAACCAGTTCAGCATTCCCGCTAGAACAACCTCCCCTGCTTCTCTCACGCCACCTCTCTCTCTCTCTCTCTCTCGAATATGACCCGAAATAGCGCTGCCCAAGTGAACATTTTCTTATGCAGAATACGCTGGCATAGTCTGACTGGTGAGGTTTCTTCTTGACAAAATGCCGGTCAATTTAATTTGCAAATGAGCATCACCTTTGCTAACTGATGACTTTCACTCGATAATGTTAAGGAGCTCATGTCGCATAAAAGCCGATGTCGGTGGCGACACTGGAAAATCCTGATTGGTCGATAGGTTCATGACGTCAGAGCTACATACCCTCGTGCAAGAATTTCAAGCAACCCACAATGCTCACGGGAAACGTGACATCATGCGTGGAATGAGAGTGATTAAAACATGACATGTAATGCGAATTAAAGGGCGCCGTATGTCTCAATGATTTCACTTTTGAAAGTAATTATTTTGCCTTAAAGAAAAAAATTAAGAATATTAGGCGGGATTCGGAACCCACGACCCTTTAGTTGCGAGTCAGACACTTTTCACTAGGAACGGCGCGAGCGTCTGACACGACAAAAACGTGCTTTTTGGTAAGCTACCGCCCTCTATAAATGACGACGGTAACCAGACAACCGGCTTGCCGGTTGTGTGGTTGCCGCCGTCGCGCATGGATGGCGGCAACCTCTTCAGCCTTTCCACTGTGGCTTGCCGACTTGCGGCCTGCCATTACTTAATTTACACCATAGTACAACTTCGCTGGTCTTCCTTCTTCACCAGAGTGGAAAGGCTGAAAGTATTCCTGAGGAATTGCCTCCTCCGTTGGTATGTGTTCATGAGACAAATTTATTTGACAGTTGTTAACCGCAACCCTTCATTGATTTTATTTTGCACCCCGTGAAGTTTAGATGGGTCATAAAACGACATCGGGTTGGAATGCTCATGACTTTTCCGAGGCGTACTGGTCCTCCGACCCAAATACACTCGCACAGGCCGCCACTAATTCAGAAGCTTATTTGTCGCGGTGAAATTGTGAGGATTAAATGAGACTATTTCTTTTAGTCTTGCCTTCCCAAAGATTGATGTCGACATTGTAGGATCAAAACCACCCGCCTGGCGACAGTCGAGCGCGGCTCATGGATTGGACAGGAGGACTGCGTGAGCACAGTACATCGGCTTGTAACAATCAATGTCTTGGCAGACACTTGGGTAGTGGCTCGTGTCCAACCACTGCGTGATGAGAATAGCCGAAATGTAACAATGTCTGGAGCCTGAGCACGCGTTTTCTTCTTTTAAAACCCCAGCGCGGGGTATGATTAACGCTGGCGGCATAAGATAGGCACCAGGCCACATGGCCGCTTCTGGCTCCGAGTTGAGGGGATGAACGATGCTCATATTTCTCGAATTTTTTGGCGACTGCCTTTGCTTAGAAAAAATAGCAAAGCCAAGTCCAAGCAGTTATTAACGTTAGGGTGGTGATCCTGAGAAGTATTTAGTGACGTATAGAAATATTTTTAAAGCTCCTTTAAGCAAAGTACAGAGGGAGTCGAAACGTGGGCGATAACTTGAGAACGATGCTCGTGTGAGACTTACAGCAACTGCCAACGTTCGGCTGTCTCTCTGAGGTCACTAAAATATCCTTTTTTTTTTATTCCTTCCGTACACACGTGTAGTTCAATGTAACGTCATATTGATAAGTCGCATTTAGTAATTTTAGTACTTCTATTCTCAAGGACATTTCTCGGATGCAGTTCAGCAACAACGAAAAAATATTTGGGTGCCTCAATAATGTAAAATGGGTCTTGCAACATTTTTTCTTGTACTTTCAATAAATAGTGTTATGAAATATCCCCTAACGTTGATAGCTTGCGGAAACATCCATTAGTTTCCCCTAATAGCAAATGCAGAAAAAATAAAGGAACGAGACAGCTGTCGATATCTCCTCAACTCACAATTTAAACAAGCGGCCACGTGATCTGATACCGCCAGTGTTCATCACAGCCATGCTCTAGGCGGCAAGGGTTTGGAAAGCAAAAGCTTGGGCTGAGCTTCAGATATTGTTAGAGTTGGGCTATTATCATATGTAATTGACACGAGCCGTTACCCAAATGTTTGGTGGTGCTGATTGTCATGAACCCGAGCACTCGACTAGGGGTTATGAAAATCGCTTACGTCACGGTGTCACGTGACTCTCGGTGCGAAATCGTAATGTCATGTTACGTCATGCTGTCAACAATGTTAATACATCTAGTGACTTCCTAAAATAAAATCGAGTTGACGCAGTGAGTCACGTAACGTCACGAGGTCACATGACAACATGAATTGACACCCTGGCATCACGTGACAACGTGACACATGGTTAATCATAGTGCCATGAAAACGCACAACTTACCACACTTTTCAATTCTGAATATATGACGATTTGATCCATAGATAGAAATACAGCCGCCAATTTTTTATTCCCATATGTTCATTTTGTGATACTAAGAAAAAAGAAAAAAAGAAATATTACCTTGAACCGTTTTGAACCAGTTACCGTTATATTTTTTTTTCGGTTCGGTTCCGATTCAGTTCCAAGATGGCGGCGAAGATTTCGGTTCGGTTCAGTTCCGGTTCGGCTAAAAATAACGGTTCTGTTCCGGTTCGACACCCTGGTTTGGTGGAATGCGCAATTTATGAGTTGAGGAGGAAAGCTAAACAGGAAAAAGTTGGAAAAGCGTTTCATGACCCCTTTAATGCTTTTGCAGTAAAAACAAGTTAAGAAAGTTATACAAATATGTTAAAAGGCTAAAATTGTGACATCACCCATCACACCATCTCGTACTAGTCATTTCTGGTTGAGGAACAGCAATTCTTTGTCCACCAAAGATACAGAGGGTTGCTGAAACATTGCAGCCCCAACTTACACATTTCATGGATTTCAAGTATTTCTCGTGCAATTTTTTTGCTAAGTACATCACAGTCAGCAAGGAGTGGAATGCAGCCACAATCTCAGCAGTGCATACCGAAATGCCCTGATATGACGCTATCTATGTTGTATCTTGTTTTTGTTGGTGACGGTATATGTACTGAGTGACAACAAAAATAAGGTTCAGTTGTAAGTAGCGTTGTGTCTTCCTCTCTGTCCGTTGTCCCGTTGCACTTTTTAGGGGCAAAGCCCCTTAGGGTCTAGCCTTGTCCATCCGGCGTCCGTGCTCACATCGATTGCCATCCCATCTGTCTTCTTAAAAAAAGAAAAAAATGTTTGCGCATTCAACAGGATTCAAACCTGTGCGGGGAGACCCCAATGGATTTCTAGTCCATCACCTTAACCACTCGGCCACGACTGCGGGACGAGAAGGGGCTCCGAGATGTGGTAGTAACCCAAGAGCTGGGGATGTTATGGATGAAATGTTGCATGTAGCCGCTCAACGTCTATACAGGAGAGGGCGCTGCGGTCAAATGTGGATATAATCGAGCTAAACTTCGCATGCATTGGCTCAACGTTTATAGACGAGAGTGCGCTGCGGTCAAATGCTCAAATGTGTATATAACCATGTTTCATACCACACATTCTCTTTCTGACATGGACCGTTGACCTAAGCGGTGGAGATGCGTTCCCACGGCTTCTAGCGGATCCAAGCTGATCCGCTAGAAGAACCACTGGCTCTGCATTTCACCGACATAAAGCAGTAATAATGAAGTCAAAACGCAACCCAGAACTCAGCACTACCTATGAGCAATAAAAAAAAATCATCATCATGAGCACTACCTATGAACAAAATCAGTATCATCAGCACCACCAGAGCTTCGCTCCAATCAACATCATTCACCACGTGGAGATGCAGTCATTTTTAACCATTAAGGTGCTCCTGTACTTGTTTTAATACTGGCATCCAAAGCACTTAATGTTCTCCACTTGCGTTACTTTGAACACAGATGATTGAGGAGTGGCTTTGAACCACAAGCCAAAGCTATGAGCCCGCACACGAAAATCAAATGTTACCCCTCTTGGTAAGGCATGCTTGAGGAATGAATATCCACAAGCATGTTTTGGCAAAAGCTATTTCCATAATGTCAGATTGCTTTCTTTCATGCTTAGGCTGTTTTTCCATTTACAGCCTAAACAAAGCGCTGCACTGCAAAAATATGTATTGTGCAAAAATATGTATGGTAACGGCAGATAAAGCAGGTACTTCGAGGTAAAAGATGTATCATTGGGTGGGTGAACCCATTTTAAAGGGTTTAGGTGACCTTGGAACTACATTTCACTAGGAAGTTTTTTTTTCTGTATTTGCAAGGTAAAATGTATGTGAGGAATGGTCGTTTATAACGTTGACATAAGTTTTTCAAGCCAAGAAAGAATTATGCGCGAAAGAAATGACAAGTATACAGGACTGCCAGGTGTTCCACTGCTACCCATTAGCTGGTGCCAGTGTGCTCTCTCGTAAGAGATTTTAACAAGTTTCAAGGACTCGGTCTTAAGAAGTCTCAAGTGTGTGAATGGGCCTTGCTCAATGTGATAATTATATTGGATTGTAACGGCCCTAAACTCCAGTTGTCAGTACTTTAGTTTTAAAAAGTGCATTTTAATATGAAGTGCTTTGGGAAATAGTGTGAAGGGAGCGGCATCTTTTTGAATAGAATTATGAAAGATGTTGCATGTGCAAGCCCTCGTAAGGGACTTCCCTTTGCAATGCGTTCGTCAACTCGTGTAGTTGTGTAGTGGATAAAGCAATTTATCTCTGCTCAAGAAATGCACACCGATAGTGTGAAGCAAGCGTGGCAAAAGCACAACATCGGCACAACAGCAATGCACGCAGTGAAGTGCCAAAGCAGGCAATCCAATTTATTCTCGACACCAGCTTCAGAGCCAGAACTAATGCATATCTACACGAAGCTTGCGATGCTTTATGTACAATAAACAGCTTCCAAGTCTCGGGAGGGCTGTGTGTGGCAAAGGCTCGGTTGACGGACTAACTCCCCAATGTTCCATCACATCTGACCCCGCTCCCTGGCGATCCGACTGCCATATGACCTGGACACAATGTTCCAAGAGTCCATGTATCGATCCATGCACATGGAAATGCATTTCTGCAAAAGAAGCAAGTGGTTCGCATCAGTAGGTCTCATTGCCACGTTGGCAAACGGGACATGGTAAATGAAAGCCCGGGAACGAAACACAAAAACGGATCTTAAAAGCAGTGTATTCGAGATCAAGACATACCTGAAGATGCCACATTGTTATCGGCAGGTATGTGTTCTAAACCTTAACGTCAAATGTTTTGATATGCCTCGTGCTTACCATGTATCACTTTCACAACCTCATTAATCCCCTCCTAGAAAACCAATAATTAATTTTATTAATATGAATTTAATTGGTTTTCCTTCTGGGTATCTGTGTGTTAGAATTCAAGCTGCAATAAGCTGCAGGAAGAAAAAGCTGCGAGATAAAACAAAGTTTGAAATCATGGTCATGAACAAAGTCAATCCGAACATGCTGGTTAGGTACCGCTGCTACTGCACTTGTGTCTAGATCTTTCAACACAGCTGGTCGAACTTGATGCCTTGCTTCCCGAGTGTTAGTCCGATTCTGAAGTTCCCACTACATTAATACACTACACTACATATTTCCACTACATTAATCATCGAATGGAGATCTGGAACTCCTTCAACAGCAGATTTCAAAGAGAGTGGCGGATGATCGCGAAGCACAGCGATTACCTGTTCAGAGTTGTCCAAACTGGATCCCGGTTTAGAGACGCACTTCTTGAAGCATTTTTCTGTCATTTTCTGCAACGAAAGTATGACGCTACGTGAGCATGATGCAAGGTTAAAACTTTCTGGGTTCGCTGACAGCTACACCACTACGCACTGGGCAGTTCAAAATTTCCAAGCTGAATCTATGTGACGAGAAATGTTGTCAGGATATGTCCTCACTAATCGACAGTTTTCCAAATTACATCGCATTTATGTATTCGGGCTTGTAGTAACCTGTACCTGTAGTAACTCCTGGGCATTTGCTACAGCTATCTGCTGCTTTACTTGGTCCATAATTTCTTCTTTTTGAGCGCCGGTAAGCTTCCCTGCTGGTAAGCCGTCCATGGTCGACAATGAAACCGCTGTTCAGGGCGTCGTAAAGACGGAAGAAACTTCGACCGTGGACCCCCCACGTGAACCACGAAAGGTACGAAAGGTAAGAAAATGCCGGCGGTCAATTGAGATTGAAATCCAACATACTATGAGCCAAGCCAAGCCAACGCAACCTTAAAAACATAGGAATAAAATAAATCACTCTGACCGATAAATTGTTTATTTGTTTAAATGACAGACATAAAATAATAGAAAAGCGGCCTTTAGTCACAATTATAAGTAAAGAACGGACTTTTACGCGTGTTCTTTTTTTTTTTCTAACTTGAGCCTGAACTTAAAGCTGACAACGCCATTGAGTCAATATCAATCATGGAGGCCGCCATGAGGACTGCTCGGAGATTGCACCTTTTTCATCGCTTAAATAAACCTCACATCCTAGTTTCCCGCGTTTCACAGGTATCTCAGGTGAGAAATACTTCGATTGCATATTCAAAAGCGAAGTTATGCCGCATATGTTGCCTAAACTTCACCGTGTTTCTGGCTTTCATGCGACATGCCCAGTTCCCCACCTCGAACCGGTAACGAAACCATGCTTCGTCTCTTTTCTGCATTTATCTTCAGGCAAACTTCTGCAGTACCCACGGAGAAAATGCGAAAGATCAGGATCCGAATATCCTCCAACTTCACCGGCAGTCCGAAACCAAGGTTCAAAAAATAAGCAAGGCCATGAAATCGTACTTGGACAGAGCAAAGGCATACGGTATGGAAAAACGATATCAATTTCTTTCTGTGTTTTTGCCGCGGTTGACTCATAACTCGCACGTTTAGTTTAGTTCATCCCAAACTTTTACCATATCTAATTTACTAATAATAAGATGCAAGTAAAAAGCATACTGCTCTACATAACCCGATTATGTTCCTGGCCTTGCGTGCACGAAAGCTTACAAACGAAACAAAAAATCTGTGACATGTGAGACAGATTCTACCATCATATATTGGAGGTATCTTTCTGCTCTGTCATAATTGCTGTTTTTGTTGTCATTATACTCCCACAGATGAATTCATTCAGAAGGAAAAAAACGAATTTGAAATTGGAAAGCGCCACCTTGCCAACATGATGGGCGTGGATGCTGATGAAATGACTCAAGCTGATGTTGATGTAAAGTGTTTGTTTCTGCACTCCAGATATCAACAAGCACACTCACCCTAGATGTGACACTAAAAAACCCTCATTCCTTCCACTTAGCGTGCTATTGAGTATCTGATGCCATCAGGGCTGTACGAAAAGAAGGCACGACCACTTATGAAGGTAAGCATCATCCTACGCCCACGAAAATCTTTCGAAAGCCGAAGAAAGCCAGACTTGTGTTGATCAAATCAACAATGATGCCTATGACGTCTTATCTTTCATTCAAAGAGCTTTCAATAAGCGTGATGTTTTCCAAACGAAAGGTGGGACAGCTGCTGAATAGTTATGTTTATTAGACGTAGTCGCTATAATTATTTTAATTGTAATTAAATCGATATGAGCATGTTCAGATGAGGTTAGTTGTCTCCCGCACTAAAAAACTGTCATTCTCTTCATTCTCAGCCCCCAGAGGAAGTGTTTCCCGCAGAGAAAGGTCAGTTGGAATATTTGATGTAGCCCCTTGTTTCTTCTGATTGTTCCTTCCAAGGTTGACGTTATGTTCTTATCCGGTCCATTGTGCTTACAGCTGCCCAGTTTGATTACACAGGAAGGCCTTTTCATTACCTGTTCTACACAACACGCCCAAACTACTATGGCCTGCTGCATGTAAGCTGGCTTCCCCTGTGCTCCGTGTCACTCATACTTTTCGGTAGCTAACATACATTCTTTTTTTTTTTTTTCTGTAAGGATGCTGTGAGCAAACTGACAGAGCTCAACAGGCTGGAAAATCGCATGATCAGCAAAGGTGTGCTTCAGGCGGCGGCTGATCAGAAGGAGTGAGTAGAGGTTAATGACCTTTAGCCAGAAATGGCCAACCTTCATTCTATTATTGGTTGAGTTCCAACATGTTTTCTCTAATAGGGGAAGTCTGAAGTTGTTATGGAATTTCAGTCAGCCTAGAAAAAAAGTTGAGAAATGTGGCCAGAACGTTTGTGGCATGTGGTCAGAACAATATAGAAGAAAAGATAGAACTTTAGTGCATTTTTTTATTTACACATGCATGCATATGTCCCTAAGTTATAATTTTATTGATTGCTCTTGAATCTGAGTGCTTTATATCACCAAAAGCTTTAGTTCTCGATTGCAATGATACTTTCGAAATTTGACTTTTTGACGAGCAGAACTACACAAACACAGTGCTGCAATAATTTGTCTCACAATAATTTTCACACCAAAAGGTGCGCTTGTTGCCGACTTTCTTTTCCAGAAACTTGGACGACAGTATGTGGCTGTCGAAGAAAGAGTTGGAGGTCCGTCTGCTGGAGACTTTAAAGGACACGCAGGTAGGAGCCCGAACTTTGACATGTTTCTTGAGAGAATCGCGTTTAACATGAGTTGCGTCACCAGCATAATCCATAAGTCAGCCTACGTATGTAAGCGCCAATCCTCCCGGCTGACCGCAGTCACCCCTGATCACGAGACGGAGATGGTCTCAAAACGTTGAATATTTTGTTTTATTGAGCGAGGAGAGCATAATTTGCTTTTTCTATTCCCCTGATCTGTTGAAGGTGTTTGGTTCTGTCTGCACCACCTCTTGTGGTGCAGCCAACTAGTAGTATTGGCAGGGAGCGATGGTGAGCTAGGAGGAGGTCATTTCGTTTAACCCTGGTGTCACAGCCTGGTTCTCTCTGTTCCCATCACGGCGCAGATGGAAAAGGGGCCGTAATTTTTCCCATCACACTTTTTAAACATGGAAAGTGTTTTAGGTAGGCCGTATACTTTCCGGTTTTAACCTAAAAACGCTGATAAACATCCGCTGGCGTCAAAAGAAAAATATAGGTTAAAACCGAAAAATCCAGGTTTTTGAAAATTTTTGTACAAGCAGCAGTTTTTTTTTCACGGAAAAAGTCCCATGTAAACGTTCGTCAAACTCATTCTTCTTTTTTTTTTTTTTTAACAGTTTTTTTTTGGGGGGGTTGATCATCAGCATAGGCTTCCTGAGGTCTTTTAGTAATCAAGATCTGTTTTTTTTTTTGTCAGTCCTGGTTACTAGGACTAACAGAAAGAAAGGAAGAACCTTTCCCTTCTCGTTACGAAAATTATTTGAGAGCACTTCAAGTTTGCATCACACGGAGCGGATCAGAGCCGCCAGGGCGTAAAGAAAAGCGTAAAGCTCCGGACAGACATTGCGTACCAATGAAGAAACAGTGAGCGTGCAGGCAAGCTGGTGATAGTTAATCATGACGGTCTGAAACCCGAGACTGTGGTGAGGGAAAAAATGGGGAACTTTGAAGTCGAAGAAACAAGGTTCGTGAGAGACGTCTTCTTCTATGCCTTTTTTTTTTTAGATTTGAAAGTTTCCTGTTTTTTTTCCTCGCCACAGTTTTGGGTTTTAAACATGATGATTATATATCAGATGTAAATAAAAGTTGAACCATTTCTCATCTCGATTGTTTGTTTCTATTTGTTTCTATTCACGATTTTTTTCAGTTGGTAAAACCCGTTTTTAAGCGTCTGCTCGAGACAACTGACCGAAATGCACCGGTATTTTGGAAATAAATAAACACCGAACAGCATCCACTGATTTGTGACATAAATAAACACTGGAAAGTATATGGCCTGGTATAGGGGAGTCTGTGTAGGCAAAATGCCGGCATTAAAAAGCGACGTTGTCTGCATGATGTCGTCAGTGCCGTGTGACGTGGTCACATGACATGATGTGTTGCGCTGCGTGACGCATCGCTTGGCGTGAAGCAGGAGGTATAAACTTTTTCGCGTCAACTTTAACTAGTTTGTTCTACGCGCACAAATAGCATTTTGTTGGGGATGATCAAAATGGGCTGGAGGGTTTTAATGTGGAATAAGGGTACATACGGAACTTACTTTTGCAGATTTGGCTATTAGAGTAGGTCTAGATTTGGGGTCGTTTGTGTTCAAACTAAGTTGAAGTCTCGTTTCGCGCATTTGAACTGATCCGTGCTCTTGTGGCAGTCGACAAAATCTTCTTGTCAGGAGCAGCGAATAGAGATATAAAGTATAGCTGCCATACCCAAAGGGGCTTGAGCAACTTCTGGAAGCTGGACAAAACTTGCAAAGTGACTAAGGTATTGTTTTTATTGCAATGTGGACCTCTATATCTTTTTTAGTGTATTATGTATTTTTTAAGGGTTTTTGTATGGGTATGTATGTTGACTGGGGCTGTTATTAAATGAATGGTACGGGCAGCAGCCTCCATCCATCCACGCTATCAACGATCTGGCCTCTGTGACGTGTTTGCATTGTATTTTGTCGACAGTATGATTACTTCGTGAAGACCTTTGAGCGTCTGGCAGAGCACCCCTACTCTTCCCATGCCAGAGAGTTTATCCTCGAGTACAGGAAGACAAGAACCTCCTCTTTGAAGGAAGACGTCGTGCCGCCCGTAAGCCATCTTGGGATAATCAAAGCTCTTATTCCTGTCGAAAACTGTGGAATCAAAGCACAGTTGATGCTCCTGCTGCTTTTTTATTTTTTGCAGTTGCTGTACGACGAGACGGGGCGGCCGTACATGAAAGCGCAAGGTGTGTTGGTATTTCGTTTTGTAGTGTTAGATCCTGGTAAAAGTGCAGATAAAAGCCTTAATGACAGCCGTTCAGTTACATAGGAGTGAATTTGCTTCGCACTGAGCTGGTACTGCCAAGATGCAGCGTTTCTTGTGAATGCTTAATTTGTTATTTTTGAGAGTTGCTTGTCTGTTGAACACTGAAAAGGGTACTCCGGCGATTTTTCGAGCTACCCCAACTAACTATATTTTCAAAATCACCGGCATTTGCCCTTTCCAGTATGCTATTTAGTATAGCGAAATTCAGAATAGTTATTGTGAAATTGGCCAGTGAATATGATGCCAAGACCAACATTCAGATATACCTGCGCTTTTCAGTGCCGTGATGTCAGGAAAAGGCAGGCTTGCAAATCGAGCGGGTAGTCGAAAAATGGACTATGCCGAGCATTTGTTTTGTGTTTCTGCGCGGGTGCTGGAGCGAGCTTCCAGGGCATTCATTTTGGCACCATGAAACTGCTTGTAATCAGTCGGGAACAAAGTCTACAGTCCAAAGAGTGAACCCCTGCCTTCCCCTATCGTCACTCTTCCATTGTTGCCAGTAGAGACTCACTTTGAAAAACACGGTGAGTACCAAAATTGTAAATTCAGTAACTTTGTGGAAAAAAATGAATTTTTGCCCATTATTTGGCTTACAAGTATTTCATCTATGTTTGCTGTTGTGTTTAGCTAAATTTCAGGCAAATCGGGGATTACGAAAAAAACGCCCGAGTACGCCTGTGAGACGGCACACATACTCTTTACAAATTAATATTTTCTTTTACTTCTTTCGCCTAATTTTTAAATTTTTCTGTTGTATGTCCTTCTTCATTATGGTTCTGCAGCACAAAATGGTACTACTAATTCCCACTTAATGGTCCATCTGCATAGGAATGCCTTAAAGGGTTACTGCAAAGAACAAAAAATGTATTTTTGAACAGCCTAATTGGGACAAGCACGTCACAAAACAATTTTTCCGCCCAAAATAAAAAATTTTACAGCAATATTTATTGCGCGAGACGGATTTTAGTTTGCGGCTATTACGTCCGTTTTAAATCGCACACCACAAAGTTGATGTTAGACGTCACAGAGTGACCTGACGTATAACAGCCACTCCGCGCGCGTCGAAAGATCGGGAATTTCAAATGTGAAGAAGTTGTGACCGCGAATAAATGACGTCCTGTGGCGTAAATATTGCTAGAAAAAATGTGTTTTTTCGTGGAAGATTTGTTTTGCGACATGCTTGTCCCAATTAGGCTGTTTAAAAATACACTTTTTTTTCTTTGCAGTTACCCTCTAAATGCAGGGCGACAGCACCAAGGATGTTCATATTTGAATCGTCTTTTTGTTTGTGTAAAGGTACATTTACAGGTGTGTTCGCACAAGATCGGGGCCTTGGCTGTTGTTTTGCTTTCATTTTCATGTTCATTTTATTTTCTTGCATTGTCACATGCCAACTACATTTGATGCCGCAAAAAATCTCCAAAATCTGAGAGAGACAAAGAACATTTTGGCATAACACTAACTCTTCATGGTCGCTGCACACTACAGTAGGGAAGCTCTGAAAAGCTTTCTGTCTCAAAATTGCAACTGGAAATTTAGTTCCCATCATGGCAAACAATGCATCCTGATTGATTTCTAGTGATATTTAAAGCACATTTTGAAAACCAAGTTTCTGGTCTTTGAACAGCAAACTTGCTTCTCTGGCCATTACTTAAAGTGGAACTCTGCAGATTTTTTACAGCGAAACTGTTATGCGCTAGGATGTGGGAAAAAATGTGTCCGCGGATGTTGGCAGAAAACTCCCCATTGGTTGTGGCAAGTGTGAATAAATAAAAATAAAAAAGAGGGCAACCAGCGTGAGTCAGCCTTCCTTGGCATTATTATATAGTGAGGCCCTGATCCCCTGTTATCATTTCTAGGCGTAGTCCTCGCGGTCGTCCTAGGAGTCGTCCTTGAGGTCGTCCTTTAGGCATTGTCCTAGACGTCGTAAAAATGACAGCTTTGCTGGTCCTCCATCTTCACGTGAAGTGGAAGGGCTAAAATTTATATAGTTTTTTATTTGTTTTTTGCGTGCTTTCTCGATGGTGAAGGTTCTTCGTTCTTTTGAAAGGTTTCAGAAAACGAACTAAAGCTGAAGTGACTGTGTGGGGGAACGGCACCGGGAAGTTGAGCATCAACGGTCATGGGATCGACTACTTCCGCGAGATCCGCGACAGGTCTGGTTTTCTAAGCTTTCCACCTTTATAACTCGACAATAAGGCAAAACTCTAATAAGCATGCGAATGAAGCGCGTGCACTCGCTTTCAAACGGGTGACATCCACGGTGCCAGTCACCGACATTAATGAAAGGCTAGGCAGCGTACGACTGGAACCAGGTATCCGATAATGTAATCTCCACTGGGATTCTGAGCGCGTGGATAGAACCCGTATCCATGCGCTCTCAATTGGCATTTGAACGGTTCCACCGTGGTAGAGACAAGACGGCCAGCTCTGAATCTACTCGCCGATTGGTGCAGTGGTAGAATGCCAAGCTTGCAATCGGGGGGGTCGTGGGCTTGATTCCTGTTGGGGTGCGTTTAAAATTTTGTCACTTGTTCTCGGTTTACCTCTTTTTTATACAGATTGTCCTCCGAAGCGTGTTAAGTGCATTCTGTAACAGTTTTCGTGGAGTTTTGTCACACTTTCTTCAGCAATCCCATACACTCCGTGCGGGAACTATAGGGGGCGCTTTGAAAAACGCGCGCAGCGCCGCTAGCGGAGGAGCTGGCGTTCGACTGTGAGGCGCGTTCAGCAGACTGCGGCGCCTTTTCGCATGCCAAGCTGTGGCGGCGGAAGCGCGCACGGACGAAACTTTTGCTTTTTGACCCGATAAGTTAAGGGTGACGTTGCATGAGTGCTGGGGACGATTTAAGAAGGGCATTTAGCTGTTCTCCGCTTCTTACATATTGAGCTTGAGTCGTCAGTAGGGATCATTTCTCTAGTTGCGGTCGAAAAAGGGGTTTCAGCAATTTTCTGAAAAGCAAGACGGCCGCAACCATAATTGCTCTTAGTGGGAAATTTGTTTTGCTCCTCGCTGTAAACGTAGGACTGCTGGGACGATGATATTTGGAGGCGAGTGAGATGTTCACTAAGTTTGTGCAGTAAGTGGGCCAAGTTTTTTTAAGACAGCAGGTGTGAAAGTTATGGTTCGAACGAATAAAGGAATAAAGCTCTCAGGAATATCCAATATTGGACCCAAAATGTTGTGTTATAACCGGGCTGTGCGAAGTGCAGATTTGGACACACAGGTTCTTAAACATGACCGTAACTTGACACAACAGTTATAATACCAAAAATAGATGGCATAGGGAAACCAGGTGGACATTTGGTTTGGGCGGCGTAACTGAAGGGGAAACGGTATTGACCGTGAAAGGGCTCTCTAGAGTATACCACGCGTCGTGGGAGGTGGAGACTTTACAGGTAGGAAGGAACTAAGTGCACTGTACTTCCAATTGAAACAACTTTACGAAAGGTGGTTCCAAAGCCGAGAAAACAAAGTTGTCGGCCAACACATGGTTTGGCCGCCAAGTGCTTTTGCGGTCAGCTGTTGTGTAATAACCTGTTGTGCGAGGTGCTGATTTTTGGCGCACAGGTGCTTTGACATGACCGTCACTTGGCACAACACTTATTATAATTTAACAAAAAGAGTTGGCATAGCGAAACCAGGTGGAAGTTTAGTTTGGGCGGCGTAACTAAATGGGAACTGGCTTTGACCGTCAAAGGCTGTCAGATAATACCACTCATCGTGGGAGGTGCACACTTTACAGGTAGGAAGGGACCAGTGGACGGTACTTCCAGTTCGAACCACTTTGCGATAGGTGGCTCTAAAGCCGAGAAAAAAAAAAGTAAAATGTTGTCTACAGAACTCGGGGTGTCAGCGTTTCCACATCCAAAAGGAGGCTGGTCAAGAAAGAAAGCACACCCCATAAACTTCCATACTCAAACGTCGATTCTCCAGTGATTCCGAGTTTCATTGTTGTTATCTTTAGATTTATATTTGTCACTTTTTTTATCTTCCGAATCTTTCTTCATGAAGTACAGATTGCGTGCCATACTTGTCCGGAAATATCATCGACCCGTACGATCGGGACGAAACTTCTTTGGAGGGCATTCCTCCAACGAAATTGGCACTGCATACCTGTGAGTGTGGGTTCGTCCCATCGGCGCAGACACATGTAGGCGTTACTGGTACGAAAACAAACGCAGAGCGCTAGCGGCAGTGTAGAATATGTCAGCCGTGCCGACACAGAGGCAGACATGATCGGGAGACCAAATTTCTCACGTCGTACGGCACGGCTCCATCGTTGTCGCTGTCCCACAAAACATCGGCGAGGTGAAAAACTGTGAAACTTTGTCTCCACGAGATACGACGCATAACTATTGAAGCACTTAATGACGCAGCACAGGCAGCACTTCATGCTGTTGAACCCAGCGCAACCGCACCACTCAGACTTCAAGGCGTACCAACGTACGCGGCGTGGTTTCGGTTTCGTTTTCTCTGGGGTTCTCGCTGCCTACCTTCGGTACCGGCCGCGCGGTGGCGCGCCAGTCGCGTCGCACGGAGTGTATTCACCAACGTTAAAAGCTGCATGTTTCCCATGCAGGGAGCAGGTGATGTTTCCACTGCAGTTCACCGGCCTGCTCATGAAGGTGGACTTCGAGGCCACGGTGGAGAAGTCCAACGGTTTCATGTGCGAGGCCGGCGCCATTCGCCACGCCCTCGCCCTGGCCCTGCGGAGCTTCGTTCCGATCGAGGAGGTCGAGAGGATGAGGATCGGTGAGCATAAGCGCTGCTGCTTGGACCCGCACCGCCGAGCGTCAAATGGCGGCTGCGCAGCACATCTCGATTTCGTGATTTTATGCGAAGCGATTGTCCAAAGGCCCGCAAATGTGTTTGGAAATAATTCACACTCTGTAGTCGTGACTGATAAAGCGAGAATGGTACGGCGTATCTTTTGAACCCCTGGCCTCCGGCACGCGATCCGTGCCTTCTGCTGCACCTTGGCTGCACTCATGCGCACGTTCGAGGTGCACGAGACATTAAACACTGGCAAAAGTAGGACGTTTGCACTGGAAGCGGGACATCTCGAAGCTCATCGCTGCCGTTCTCGCTTTGTTGGCGACCGTAAAGACCGCAATCTGGCCTTAATACTCCATCTCGCAAGCTGTACTAGTGCCATCAAAGGTCCAGGCTCACTAGTTTAGCATCCAAACGTGCCTTGTTCGGACGAGAACTCGCGCAATGAAAGCGCATTCCAAAGCCACTAATCGCTTGGCCCCATTTCTCCCATGTTGTTGCTCAGAATCCTCGAGATGGAAAAGAGCCACGCTTCTATTCGAGATTGAGCAAACTTGAAAAACACCTTACGTAGGACAAGGACGATTGAGAGCTAGAGCGAGGGCGCGATGAGAAACTCTTCGCCTCCGAGGTACCCAGTTTGAGAACCCGTGTGTCATTCCATTAATTTGCTGCAACGGTTATTGACGATCCATGAGAAGATTTCTTTGCTTACTTTTTGTTGGTATCGATTTTTGGTATAGGTATTCTAGGAACACCCCTCGCGTCCTGGTGCGCTCTTTAGACCGAATGGTGGGCACCTGAAGTGTGTTAACGGTGCTGACGAGCGTGATTTCGATGCAGCCGGCCTACTGTCGAGGGACAGGCGTTGCAGGGAAAGGAAAAAGCCAGGCCAAGAGGGAGCCCGGCGCAAGTACACATGGTGAGCTAAGATACTCTTGCCATTGAAAGGTCCAACTCTCCAAAATCTCTTCCAAAAGAGCTTGTGTGTTACAAAGCCATTGACAAATTGGCAAGCGGATTATGAAAAGTTAGTCTATCTATTATATCCAAAAGCACTTTATGTTTTGTTTCCTTCTGTTCTATTTTTTGTATCTTATCAAACTACTCCCGCGTGCATTGTATATTTACGGATATTAATAATCTATTTTTTTTTTACGGAATGTTTTATTTTTTACTGGCAGTGTCAACAAGTTTAGAAGTCTGAAGCTTCTGCCACCCACCACGTGGTGCCTCTTCACTTGCCACTCTAATTTTTAATTTGCTGTTGGAAAGAAAAAAAAAAAATTTTCAGCCTTTCCACTTTGGGGTACTTGGTGAGAATGAAGTAATGGCTGGCCGCAAGTCAGCAAGCCAGAGTGGAAAGGCTCGGAAGGTTGTCGTCGTCGCTCATAGGTGGTGGTAGCTGTCCGGAGTTCTGTGTCATCAGGTCATTTGAGGATGGACACAATCCTGGGGAAACTAGTTCTTAACAGCTCCACTGTAAAAAAAAGCGTGCTTCTGAAGTTTACAAGAACAATTATTTCGTGGTTATTGGTCATCAGACAAAAAGGAGTATACTAAGCTTGCAGAGGACGGGGCTTGGGGTTGCTTATTCCACGGTGCGGACTGGGCTCAACGAAGTTCTCTCCCATCTGCCTGGCCTCCGGCCCATGCTGAAGGCAGCAAAACTGAAACTCCTTCCTCCAATTCTTATCTTGTCAATGACTATAGTGAGCAATAATTGGTGTCAGACAAGCTGAGCACACTTGTTTCAGTGAGACCATAAAGTAAATCTGAACACGGACGCCGCGACGTTGGAGCTTGACTTTTTTTTGACAATTTCACTTGACCCACTGCTTATACTTGTCTTTGCTAGTGTGGCAACAGTGTCATGAACTGTGTAGTCTTGCACTAGCAGATCCAAGATTTAAGAGATTCATGTCTAGATTGGGGGCTACAACTTAAAAGGTCCTTGGCAGTTTTACAGCAGACAAATGTATGAGAAGCTACAGACCCGCATTTACGTGTGGCAGACTCTGAAGGGAGGGAAGCAGTGAGAAAACATGAAAGGAAAATGTGCGATACGGTTCTTCGGTGCGTGGCATTGCAACGTCCGGGAAAATGTTACCGCCACCTAAGGACAGCTCCTTTTGGCAGTTGCTTTTTTTTTTTTGCCACTAAATATATATATCTTCTTGTTTTTTGTTTTTTTTTTTCGTTTCAGGTTGAAGAGGTAGAGATCAAGTCCAGGAGCATGCACAGGTGCGCTAAAATAAAGGTTTTTTTTACCAATGGTGGTACATTAGGGGTTGAAATTATTGTCTTTGTCGTAGTGTTGAAATGTTGTGTTGAATAATGCAGCTACTACCATAGCTGCATTATTCCAGTCCACTCAGTTTGTGCTTTACCATGCTGTATGTCATCGAGTCAAAACAATTGATGGAAGGCATTTGATTCACTTGGCTCATTCTTTGGTCGGGTACACATAAGGATGGGCTTAGTGCTTGGACAGGTAAGCAATGCTAGGAGTGAAGGTAGTCGCGACATACCTAGGCATACGAAACTCGTGGGCCTGACAGTGAATAACAATTGATCCGGATAATTGTTTAATAGCTCGTGTCTCCATTGCCTCTATGATAATTTTGTTTTACTCTAAAATTCTCATTGACTATTAAACACTATATATTCGGGTTTTGAGAGCTGTGTGCATATGCTTCCCATTCGTTCAGGGAGGGCATTTCTTTTTCAAGTGAAGTGCTCCTTACTCGCTCGTGCCGCTCTCATGTGCAGCTCATGCCGAAAGTTCTAAAATGTCCTGATCCAGGGATTTGTTCCGAATAGTGGATTATACTTTGCTTGCTTTTGGCATGTCTATCATGTTTCTGTATGTCCTTTGTTTCTGCAGTGTTAAACAAAAGCTACAGCCTCCTGTTTCTGTGTACACAGAATTGTCGGCGAATTCCCTGTTGGCCAGAATGACAGCTAACATAAAATTAGATATCTAATGATGTTGAAAAAATAATTCATACACTTGGTTCAGGCTTCGGCCCATCTGAGCAGCTTTGACAGAGTACAGGGCTCTTGAACGAAACCATTTTAAACGAATGACATTGCGAAACGAATGGCGTTCCGCAATGAATTGCCGGAATTCATTGCGGAACACAAGTTTGTCTGCTTCTTGCATAGGGGTTGCAATGATGTCAGAACGCCAAACACTTATTGGCTGATTGAAAAAACGAAATAGTGGGTAGACCTCAAAGCATCTTGCTTTGCGATCTACCCACTATGCTTTCAATCAAGGCCAATCACAGCTGGGCGTCATTCTGATGTCACCGCAAACGACATCACCGCAACTCCTGCACAAGCAGCAGACGACTTGCTCTCTGGATACTGCTGGCCGTGGCTCCATTTTGTTACCGATTTTTTCGGCCAGAACAATTAATTACGGTGCAACTGGCCATTTTAAGCCTCGAGTGAGCGGACAAACTAGTGTGAACACGGCCTCAAAGCACACAAAATATAGCATAGCAGTGGCGAATGCCTCCAACATGGATTCGGGCGGGTTCCGGTGAGATTTACTAGCCGGTAGTAGCGTTACATGATGGTTTCGTGCAAAAGCCCTCTACTCTGTCAAAGCTGCTCAGACGGGCCGAAGCCTGAACCAAGTGTATGAATTATTTTTCCATCACCATTAGATATCTAATTTTATGTTAGCTGTCATTCTGGCCAACAGAGAATTCCCCGAGAATTTTGTGTGCACAGAAACAGGAGGCTGTAGCTTTCGTTTAACTTTGAGGCCGTGTTCACACTAGTTTGTCCGCTCCACTGATCTCTATGTCTATTTGCTGGATCGCGTTTGACCACCTCCTCCTATGGACCGGAATGCGGTCACTGGCGGCCATCTTTAGGTAGAGTTATATCATCTCTAGCCATCATAGTAATATGGCGGACAGTGCAATGGCGGCAGGCTGCCATAAAAATAGCCGTAGATCTAGTACACTGTACCGTGGGTGACATTTCGTGCTTGATTGAAGTTCTTCGACGAAGCAGATTCTTGAAACCCGGCGTGAACGGTAGCCTCATCTTTGAGGACCCGGAAAAAGTTCTACGAAAGCGCAGCACCGGCGGAAAGCAGCGCAGCTCGCATCAAAAGCAGGCTCCGTACCGTCGTCTGCTTTCGATGCTTCTTTCGATGCGACTTTCGATACGTGCTGTACTGCTTTTCTCCCGGTGCTGCGATTTCGTGAAACTTTTACCAGGTCCTCAGAAACCGGACTACTGTTCACGCCATGTTTCAAAAACATGTTTCGTCAAATAATTTTAATCAAGCACGCAATATCATCCACGCTATTTTGACCGCAGCCTGCCAACCCACTTGCCAAAACGCTATCTGCCATGGATGGATGATAGCGGCTGCAGCAGCTTACATTGGTTAGAGGTGATATAACTCTACCTAAAGATGGCCGCCAGTGACCGCATTCGCGGAGCGGGCAAACGCAATCCAGCAATTGTCATAGAGATCAGTGGTCCGCTCACTCTAAGTTTAAAATGGCCAGTTGCACCGTAATAATTGTTCTGGCTGAAAAAATCTGTAAAAAAATGGAGCTACGGCCAGCAGTATCCAGAGAGCAAGTCGTCTGCTGCTTGTGCAGGAGTTGCGGTGACGTCGTTTGCAGTGACGTCGGAATGACACCCAGCTCTTATTGGCTTTGATTGAAAGGATAGTGGGTAGATCACGATGCTAGATGCTTTGAGGTCTACCCACTATTTCGTTTTTTCAATCAGCCAATAAGTGTTTGGCGTTCTGACATCATTGCAACCCCTCAAGAAGCAGACGAACTAGCGTTCGGCAATGAATTCCGGCAATCATTAGGAACCAGGACAAGGCGACGCTCGAGCAATGGGTTCGCCGGCGTTGTCTCCGGCAGATACGCCGGCACAATCTAGACAAAAGCTTTGTACCGACTAAGGGTTTGTGGACTGTACTTCGTGTTAGGTGAGGAACCGCTTTGTGATTGGTTAGGACAAGTAAAGCAGACAAAATTACTTGATGCAGTTCCAGTCTTCATTTGTGTAGCCAGCCAAAAAGTTCTAGGGCCCTTCCACTTCACGTGACGATGGAGGACCAGCGAAGCTTATTTTTATGTCTAAAACGAAGTTAAGGATGACTTCCAGGACGACGTCGAGGATGACTTCCAGGACGACCTCGAGGATGACGCCTAGAGGACGACCTCAAGGACGACTTCTAGGATGACGCCCAGAAAACAACTTATAGGATGACCTCAAGGACGACTTCTAGAACAACCTCGAGGACGACATCTAAGACAACCTCAAGGACGACTTGTAGGACGACCTCGAGGATGACGCCTAGAGGACGGCCTCAAGGACAACTTCTAAGACGACATTAAGGACGACTTTTAGGATGACCTCGGGGACGACGCCTAGGACGACCTCAAGGACGACTTCTAGGACGACCTTGAGGACGATGCCTAGAGTTGATAACGAGATCAGGACCTCACTATCTAATAATGCCAAGGATCGCTGGCTCAAGCTGGTTGCCCCCTCTTTTTATTTGCCACGACCATTTCTTTCAACATCCTCGGACGCATTTTTCTTAGATCCTGGCGCATAACAGCTTCGCTGTAAAAATTGGAGGCCCAGCTGCAGTACTGACAAGTTCTGCACAACTCTTTTTTTTGTCAGTCACTGCAAATGATTACATTAGCAGACGACACATTTTTTGCCATCCCACGGCACTCTTGCTAGGCGTTTTAGCATTCAAGTGCCGAGCGACGGCGCTCCATGTGCATTCAAGTGCTGTCCGAGGACGTTAAACTGGAGTCACGCTTACCTATTTTAACCTGTGTTCCATTGGCTGCTCGCCTCCAATTTGTTTTAGCTTCAAACGTGAGTGAGGCAAATGCCAGGGCTATACAGCACTACTACTGCTGCCGCAATAGACCGTTTCCGAAATTCAGTCTGGCCACTTTGATCACTATCATCATCTGTGGTACGAGTGACTAATAAAGGAAGACTTTGAAGATGCTCCTAACTGGATGATGTGAGGCTTGTACATTTGGTGGTTCATACGATGCGACATAGGAACGGAACAAAAGAGCTCTGTAAGCATTCATTGCTAACTCGGATTCAGTAAATCTCTGTTTGGCACACAATCAGCTTTAAAGGGGTACTTCAAGCATATTTTAAATGTACCCATTGTGTTCACAAATAGGCTGAATATAATCCACAATATCTGTATATGACATTTGCAAATTTGTATTTTGGGCCTGATGGTTGTACCTTTTGTTATAAAACGGCCCACTCTGGCAACGCTTGGAGAGGAGCCACAGAGAGCATGTGACATCTGCCGCAATCATGACGTAGATTGTCTGGGGACGAGCAAAGCTGCTGTGAGACTGACGTCAAGAGGATGTCCTAGCCGTTCCAGCCACCAAAGCGGCCGAAGCACGCCAGCGATCGGGCCACCGCAAATAACCCCAAAGCTGCTTTTGTACAAATATGGTGTGATGGGTTAATCTATAATCTTGTAGAGGGACAATAGCGACGTCTGGGACACACAAAAGAGTGTCTCGGGGAGAGGGGAGTTCCTCCTTCCTCTCTTCTTTCGTGGTGGCCGGAGGCAAGAGAGTTATCGTCACTACTTGTCAAGGTTCCTAGATGAGTATTACAAACGAGGTGTTAGCAACATCCACCAGGTGCTCTTTGCTAATCGTTTAATTTGTTTTAAAATTCCTTTTCGTGACTTTTTTAACAAGATAGTGTTGTGTTCGATGTGATACTGCTCCCTTGAACACGAATAAACCAAGAAATAGGTGCCAAAATTTCGTTGTAGTATCCCTTTAAAGGGATACTTCAACGAAATTTGAAATATACCCCTCGTGTTCAAAAATACGTTGAATATGACCCACAATATCCATAAATGGCATTTGCACGTTTGTATTTTGAGCCTGGTGGCTGTATGTTTTGTTATAAACGGCCCACTCTGGCAAGCACTCGGAGAACTGCCAGCGGAGACCACGTGGCATCCAACGCTATCGTGACGTAGTTCATCTCGAGACGAGCAAAGCTACGGCGAGGCTGACGTTGAGAGGATGGCCTAGTTGTTCCAGCTACCGAAGAGGCTGCTTTTGTACGTACTTTGAGTGACTGGTTAATCTTCTATAATCTTGTAGAGGGACAATAGCGACTCTGGGTCACACAAAAGGGATTCTCGGGAAGAGGGGAGTTTCTCCTTTCCCTCTTCTCTCGTCGTGGCCGGAGGCGCGACAGTTACCATCACTACCTCTCAAGGTTCCTAGACTGGTATTACAAACGAGGCGTTAGCGACATCCACCAGGTGCTCTTTGCTAATCGTTTAATTTGTTTTAAAATTCCTTTTCGTCACTCACACAGCGCTGCGAGTGTATTTTTTGTGTGTTTGGATTTTGAATAACTGTCTACTTGTGCGCTGGTTCATAATGATGCCTTACCAACTCGCCCAATCTGCAGTATTAACTGGCTTAGGGTCTTAGCTGAGCTCACTAGTTCACGGCCACTCAAGCGACCAAGGACGTCATGAAGGAGATTATTTTTTGCTTGTTTTTGTCATTTTAATTTGCCTATATCTTTTAAAAGGAAGTGAAATTGGAGGAAAGTTTCAGGGCAAGGACTTTTTTACTGGTTTTTAATTTGCACCGAACGTGAGCACACTGAACGTAGTAACTTAAAAAACTTTTCTCGAATTTCGCTTTATTTTAAAAGTTACAGGCAAATTAAAATGACAAAATCATCCAAAAAATAACCTCCTTCATGACGTCCTTGGTTGCTTGAGTGGCCATGAACTAGCTAGAGGAGGGGTAGTGAGCTTAGCGAGCGGTCACGGCTGCCGCACTCCATGTCAACGGCTCGAGAGCGTGCCACTAAAGCAGGTTCTGGCTAGGCTGTATGAAGCGGGCAGCCAGGGCGGCTCACATTCCATTTGCTGCGCGATTAAACATCGATTCAGCATGACACTTCATTGGCCACAAACGACAGCAAACAGTGACTTCGCACTGCCATACCGCCAAAAGGCCAAACCGCAAGCAAAAGCTGCTCGCCGAAGGCCTTGGGAACGCTTGGAACTAGTCGGATCCTTCAGTCCATACGACTGCAGCGCCGCCGCGTACATCCGGGACCTTTCTACGCTCGACGCTCGTGTGTGCCTTATCCCACACCTTTCTAGTATACGCCGCCTTTTTTCACCGCTTGGTGGCGGGTGTGTCGACAGGTCACTTCTTGTTTTTGTACTTTCTAGGCTGCGTTTGTTTCTTTTCTGATCTATAATAGAGAACAAAAAGTACTTTTATAAACAATTAAAATGGTTCGCGCCACTTATATTTTGTATTTCGACTAAACCCGTTTCCACCTCAAGAAAAAGCAAGTTTTGCGCATTGTTCATACGCGGCGCGAAGTAGTTCTTACGAGATTTGGTTGTCGGAGGAAAAAGCGATGCTTTTGGTGTTTGGAATGTGTACGCCTTGATAAACTAGCATATATCTTATCTAATATTCACCTACATATGTCTTAATTATCAACATAAAGGGGAAAATTGGTAATGCTCCGCGTGGAACCGGACTTTTTTTAGTATGGTTCTTAAGGTCAAAATGGGTATAGATAAAAAGAAGCTTTTAGCGGCCCTGACCAGTAGCAAGACCTGGACAAAATAAGTCATATATCATGCGCTTTTGGCACCGCGGGTCGCCCCCGTAGGTGGAGGAGGTTTCCGCGCCGTCCGGCCAAAATATGATACACCGATATTTAGTTACTTTCTCCGTGCCCTCTGGCTTGCCCAAACCCCGAGGGACGTGGAAACCGCAAAAAAGGTATGACGCTTAAATATGATTGCAGGGCCGCCTACCGCAAAAAGTTTGAAAAATATATTCGAAAAATACCAAATTTTTTTGTGCTTTATAAATTTAGTATGCAATACAAAGGCCAAAAACAAATGCCAAAATATTCATTATATGAGAAATCTTTGAATAAACTGCAAAAGAAAAAGGAATTAAAGTTCCGCTTCACTGAATTACCGCAGACAGTTCACGTCACCTTGCACATGGACGTTCAGGCCGGGCGTAGCAGTACTGCAGACAGTTCACATCACCTTGCACGCAAAGTGAATGCAAAATGTGGAGGGGCTGGGGGGGGCTTTTCTGCGTTGATTCCAGTCCAATGATGGCACGATGTCCTCGTCGAAATCGTCCGAGCTAAAATACAATAACTCAGCTGCATCGTTCTCGCTGTTCGATGAAAGATTCATTTCCTCGTCTTCTGAATCTGAAGAGACGTCACAATATCTTCGTTTTTGCCCCAATTTTGAGGCAAGATCGCCACTACGAACGCAGCGACCAGAAGTTGATGCTGCCATTTTTAAATCCCCTGTTGTTGGTGCTGGAATAATTTTCTGCCAAATTCAGAAATTCACTAGATTTTTATTTTCCTTGAAGCGCCATCTATCCACAGCAAAGGTCACTAGAAACACGTGGACTAGCCCAGTTAGTTTATGGTAGCATATTGGAGCCCGAATCAATGTGGACGAGCCCAGCTCGTCTTCGGGAGGAGCGGTACAAACAGTGTGGACGAACCCAGGTCGTCCATGGTAGGGAAAGGGTTAAGTAACATAGGGTGTGCATATTGTAAGCCTTTTGTTTCTCCTTTCTAAGGAACAACTTTATTCTCTCCCATTCTTTTACAGGGTCCGCTACAGCAAAGCAGTATGCACACATCCGGAAGATCAGGCTTGGCGGTCAACCATTGCCGCCTCCTGGCTGAGCCTGCTGCATCTTCTTTTTCTTGTAATCGTTCAGCGCTGCTTTGATGGCGTCCTCAGCAAGCACTGTAAATTGAGAATACATCTGGTGAGATAAGTGAGCCGTATTTGTCATAACCCTTCGGTGAGTTTCACACTTAAACCCACCCTTTTCCCACTTTCCTGGTGGATGCAGACGAGTTAAGCTAGATCTTGAAACCCCTATAATGAGCTTCTTCAAACGTTGCCTTAGTGTTCATTCTGAACCGAGTCCACTGAATATTATACAAAAGAGGTGTCTTCTTTTCAGTTGATCAGAATAAAGAGAAAAGGAACGATTTCCAGCTCTTCTACAAGGTGTTTTGTTCACATTGAACCCATCCTTACCATTCACATAGTTCTATGAATGGCAATAAATATGCTTAGTCAAGCCATCGAGCTTTTTATTTTTTCGTGCTTTCAGAATTATTCACGGGTCAAGCTTTGACCAACCGACGTGGTGTCGGTTGCACTGTCTGCTCTCAGGTCAGCAAATGGAGCATACACATTTCACATGACAGTTTCTTGGGCCTATGTGACAGCCAATATAGTTGCATGCCCTGGTCTGTGACATCATCTGGAGATCACGGACGAAACCATTAAGCAGAAATAACTCGGAACAGTGCCATAGGCACTGTTCCGAGTTAAAAATAAATGCAACTAATAATGGCAAAGAAAAATCTCATCATGTGAATACACCACCGGGCTATGTTTGGCACACCCTTACTGGGCCCTTGTCTTGCCGACAAAGCCGTCTTTTACAGCCCCCGAGAATTCAAGAGTGACTCAACCTGAACAGTTCAAATTCAGGGCAGTGAAACAATGATCAGTTCTCAGGATTTATTTGTAGATTCTGACAAATTATGAAGACTAACTGTATCACTGCATCAACTGCATTAGTATATGTTCTAAAATGTCCTTCAGACAGAGGTGGCTATTGTTGGACGAGGTCTTCGACGCTCCTCCCTACGGCAGAGAGGAATGAAACTTGGCACCGGTGTCCATAGCTTCAAGTGTTTGACTCACTTGAGCAGTGCAGCTTGACAGGAGGAAGGCTCAGCTCTTTTGCAATGTCTGTGTTCTTTATGGTCATGGCCTCATTCACCTGCATGCAAGAGTTAGGTGTGGCTGCAGTGCACGGGTCAGCGGGTCCAGGAAAAGCACAGGACAAAGCCACAGACCTCGAAATGAATCGAGATTAACAGCAGTGTCTCAAAAACAACCCAATTTATTGCGCAAGCACTGCTTACGAAATATTGTATAGAGGACAAAGGGACGCGCACGATAAATACTTGCAAGTTAACGACCATGTGCCGAGTCGCCCAGTGTCGCTAATTTCAAGCCTCTGGGCTTCGTACCAGAAGGAGGTAGACAGCCTTGGGAGTACCTTACAAGCTCAAACAAATGAATATGCTGGATTTGAGAATGGGCGCACTATAGGGCCTTGCCAATCTGCTTTACAAACAAAAAAAAAATTCAAAAAATTTCAGAAAACAGCTTACATTCTTGCCCTTGATCCATTCTGTGGCGAGAGAGCTAGATGCAATTGCAGAGCCACAGCCGAAAGTCTTGAACTTTGCGTCCACAATCTTTCCGTACTCGTCCACTTTAATCTGGAAGTGGAATAGCAGCATGATGTCCCAGTATTTCACTACCTTTCGTCTTCAGAATGAAAAGAGGGAGGTAGACACTCCTTAAAGCAGGAGTCTCAAACTCATTTGGGTGTGTGGGCCAGATAGTCTACCCCTGAAATGGCAAAGGGTGATGCAGGGCCGAGAAAAGGAAACCAACTACTAATTATGCCTCCATAAAAGAGAGCGCACATTTAAACAGCAGTGGTTTTTACATTGCAAAGTAGCCGAATCTCACAGTGGCACATTTAAGATTTGCTAGAGAAGGGACCTTGTGCTCTCTGCTTTTCAATAACTCGCCGTTTTGACATTGACATCTCTAGCCTTGATTTCTTTGTACCTACTTGGCCTCGGGGGTCTAAAATGACATCACACCGACAACGTGCTTGCATTTTTCAACAGAACAAGTGAGCAAGAACACTGTCGTTGCCATGTCACTCAATTCTCATAAATTAATTAAATTCAACATGCAAAAAAAAAAAAAAAAAAAACTTCACACAGCGGTTTTTGCTTGCCTGACCATTTTTGTAGTAGCGTTATAAGGCAATTCTAGTGCTTTACTGGTATTTTTCAACTGCTAGAAACCTGAATTACTAGCTTTATCTTTGAAAGTTGCTGCTACCGAGCAACGGTTTTTGCAGCAGAGGTGCACCATTCAGCCCACGCTCGTAGCTTAGTAGTGGGATTGACATACAAGCGATTAACATGAAAAGGAACCGAGAAGCAAAAATTAAGACGAAACAATACAGAGTCAAAATGAAAACGAAATAGAATATGTGAGCACGTCGTAAGGGCAGAGCTACTTTTCAAGTGTAAATGAACCGACGACATGAGACCATTATCGACGATGACGTAATAGCACTGGGGATGGGAAAGGGGGTTCAAAGTCACTCGAAGGCTGCGTTCCAGTGAATTGCAGGCAGCATATGTGAGACTCCTGCATTAAAGCATTCGCGACTCCAGCAAACTATAGGGGGAGCGCTCTTCAGGCAAAATGGCGAACGAAAAAAGGTTGTTTTCGTCGTTCAGCACGCGGACCACCAAAACATCTTGCACTGCAGCTTAAAATTGGTATTACATATTAAAGCAAAGCGATTTTTCGATGGTAGAAACTTTCTCCTAGTCAGTGCGTAGGAATGACGTGCCGGAAGCATAAAAATAATTACTGGAAACAATGTTTCTATCTGTCTACGAGATTCAAGCGGCGATAGAAAACAACAGAGTCTAAACAACCTACTCTCCTGAGCTTCTCGGCATTGCTGCTACGCAGTGTCAGTTTTGCATGAGTCGCCAATACTCAGGTGGTTTTTGACTTTGCCTTTATTTTGCTCCAACCTTTCTCTTGGCGTCGCGGAGGTGAAAACACGACAACTTATCCGCGCACGCACCCTGCTTACGTAAAACAAGCCCAAGAATTAGCAGTTCCAAGGAGTAACACTTTAGTAGGAAGGTGCCTGACGGCATTCTATCAAGCAGGAATGTAACCTTGACCGTTGTTCACATGGCGTATTAACCGAACAAGTAGTATTGATGTCAACTCGACCCAAGGTTCTCTTCAAACCCTCCGTTTAAGATAGAACTGGGATGCATATGCTCATGATAAGACAAAGTGAAAACAAAAATTGCTTTAGTGTATGTCTAAGTGTTCCTCAGATAAGGTTTCCTGTCAACCATATTCACCAGGCGCGACTAACTAGCGCCGTTTTAGGGTTAGTAGCATGACTAAGTAGTTGCGAGCTAAACGAGAAATCTGCGACTAACGAGCAATTATGTTCTGCGGTATTCATGAGCGCGAAGCGGGCGGGTGACTATCTAGTCCAGGGGTGGCCAAACCGCGGCTCGCGAGCCACATGCGGCTCTCTGCTGGTCACGGTGCGGCTCGCGGATCCCTCGTAAGGGACCCCCCCCCCCCCCCCCCCCCCTTTTTCGCGTTTCCCCAGGAAAACGGAAAATATTCCAGAATAAAGACCAGCTTTCGGTTTGGCAGACTTGTGCCCCCAGACGTACAGTGGAACCGCTTTTCACTCGTATGTTTCCACAGATCTTGTTTCTTTCACTGTTCGGGAGAGTTTGCCGGACCCTAGGGGGAAAGGCATTAAGGACAGGGACTGTCAAAACAGGCTTGCACGGCTTGGGTTCAAGGAAATGTTTTGTCTCGCGGCCTTTGCCCCTCGCCGGTGATATTTGTCCGCTTTAGGTAACGGATGTTCCCTCTATATCGTTTCTTGTTGAAGGTTGCGGAAGTCTGGGTTGACCCCATTCATAGCTTCCACTAGTCACAAACCTTATGTTCAAGTTCACAAAGGAAGAGGAACATTCTCATTGTTAGTTTTACCGACTTGCAGTTGTAACCCGAAAGCTGCTTTTTTATGCTTTCGGGGGGGGGGGGGGGGATAACCAGGTACCGGTGTTTGTTTTGCCCCCCCCTCCCCCCCTTTCTGTGGGCGGCTCTTAGAAGTTTCGGGGGCTTTCTTTGCGGCTCTTACGCCGGGTCAGCCTGGCCACCCCTGATCTAGTCAGAACTAACAAGCGGAAGTGACGTAAAAAGATAGGTCACGCATATGCACACTTAAATGCCACTGTGTAAATGGGTATTTTTTCGTATAAAAACTAAACTTTAAATATTTATCAGGAAAAAAAGTTACAATGAGAGACATATTGTCCGAGACAGAGTTTTACAAAGAAAAATTTAAAAACAACGCCAGGGAGAAACACGGAAGCTGCATTGTCAGCGACAAACAAATATGGAAGCGCCCGTAAATGAGTTTTTTTGCACCGTCCACCGCCCTGCTGAGGTCGCTTTAGCAATATCTCTGGCCGTTGAACGTGGCTATTTACACAATATTTGCTCCTCCGATTCTTTCTAGATATGTCCCCCAGCGTTCCGAGACAGTAAGTGCTTCGTTATAGTGCTGGCAAACAGAGGTGATACGAGTCGGCCATGGCGCTGAGCCGCTAGTCACTCGCTAAACTAGCCCTACCCTATGACTAAGATTTGTTTGTCGACTTCTTAGTCGCACAAGGCGACTAGGCCCTAAACACGACTGGTGAATACCAACCGCTCACTTAGCGGCGACTATCGCTTGCCACGGGATCATTTTAGCCGATGACGTCGCTAGTCAGTGGTTAAACAGGCGCTCCTCGCGCCTGGTGAATATGGGTGATTGTCACTTTGCATAGATAAGCAAGGCTATGTCTAAAATTTACTGATACAAAAAGTTAAAGAGAGAAACCAGTGTAGTCCTGACAAAATCCACTGTGCTTATTGTTGGGCGGAGGGGTTCTGAGTGTTAATAGAAGCTTGCTTTCAATCGTTCATGTATAGACGTTTGCAAGTATGGCCTCTGGGCGCCGACATTTTGCTGCTGGTGCGGGTAGATTGTCCGATTGTCAAGCACTGCTGAGGCCATGGACACAGCTCAGCAAGGCTTGATAATCAGACAATCTACCCACCAGCAGCAAGGTGATGGCACCCAGTGGCCATACTTGCAAACAGACGTCTACAGACCGTAGACTTTCCGGCGTTTATTTCCAAGAAAAATCGGGGGATTTTTTCAGTGTTTATTTATTATTCAAATTTCTGTGTATTTCGGCAATTCGTTTTATACAGACAGAAGAAAAACTAATTGTCGATAAAGAAAAAAATAAGAAACACAGGGTTTCTCCTAAAAAATTCAGTTTTTTCCCACCGCAAAAATAAACTATGCATCGCCGAACACTCATCCCCGCCCAAATGTAGCACTAGAGGTCCGAACCAGGTGCCAAAGTTTCAGCACTAACCATTAACTTATTTAGAAGTTATATATGATCTTCTAAAATTTGCAACAAAAATTAGGGCACCTTTTGCCCGTTTTCGGTACCTGATACATAGAGCTCCACATATTCGAAAGCTCTATGGGCCGCCATTTTCCCACTGAAAATTAAAAAAAACAAAAATGACCTATAACTTCTGAATAAGCTAACAGTTAGTGCCAAAACTTTGGCATCTGGTCGGACCTCTAGCACATTTGGGTGGACAATGAGCATTCGGAGAAACATTGTTTATTTTTGCAGTAAAAAAAAACAAAAAAACTGTACATGTTTTGGGGGGACAACCTATTGGGCAGGAGATCAAACTATAGGGGGCGCTCTGACCCATTTGTTTCCCCACACCTCGGTGTTTACTCAACACGAGGCCGGCGCACATGCCCACAGGCCTTATGGGCATGTCCATGTCATCATCTACAATAGATGATGACATGGACAATGTAAGATGTCCATGTCGATTGTGAGTATTTTTTACAATGTAAAAAATACTAACAATCGACGAAGCGACGTTAAGTGCCGGATCTATCCCGAAAGCAGTCGTCAAAGAATGAAAGCTTGACCCACTTCGGCTTTTGTGCTGAGCTGGGCACCGTGCATGCTGCATTGTCCATGCAGGCCGGAGTGGTACCCAAAAAGAGCCCCTCCTCCCCTTCACCGGAGAACACGAACACTGACGCCGCGTTCAGCTATGTCGGCCGAGCGCCGAGTCATTGTATTTGTTGTCCCTATCCGTGTAGTTCTAAAGTTAACCGCTTGGGGCGTCACGGTCTGTCCTTCTCCCCAATAGTAAATTGAAGGGGCGATGCATCAATTTTTGCACTTTGCGCAAATACCACTTAAAACGGATCCCATACGTTAATGACCCATGAAACACGCGTTCGTTTTTCACCCCACGCAATAGAAGTTCCAGAAAAAAAAAATTAAAGAAAAGCTAGCACCGTTCACCCCCTCAACTCGCAGCCAGAAGCGGCCACGTCATCTGGAGCCGATTATATGCCGCCAATGTTGATCACAGCCACGCGCTGGGGTTGGCAAAGCACAGGACACGCGGTGAGTTCCAGACATTGATATGGCTCGGCTATTGTTGTCGTTGCAGCGATTGTACACGGGCCACTACCCGAATGCATGTCGAGGAATCGATTGTCACGAGCCCAGATCGAATGCGTATGCAGTCTTCGCGTCCACTGTGTGAGCAGTATTTGAATATCGTTACCACAAAGCTCGATGACGCATTCCCGGGGATCGTACTGTTGCCATTGTCCCCACAGCTCAATCGTCAAATTTCGCAAAGGAGCAAAAGGCAGCTTTGGAAGGAGAGACTGAAAGAAAAGCTCCGCTTTCATCCTTTGAATTCCGCTGCGACGAAGACGCTTCTTGGTCAGTGGTGTTGCGTTCGAGTATTCTTGGGTTTCACTAGTGCGAGGAAGCTGGTGTAAAGTAAGAAACATTCCTACCCAATGTCGTTGCACAGCCCCTTTAAGATTTATTTTTCAATTTATATACACCTTTTCGCGATTTCACGCTTATCATAACGCGGCAATACTTGCAAACGACGGATGAGTTTGAACACAAGCAAGGTCGGAGGATTTTTTAAAGGGACACTGACAGGGTATTTTTGCTCGCCCAGGTTTTTAGCTGTATGTGACACATGAGAGCCCAACTACCCAGAACAGAATTTGCGGCTCGAAATTCGGTTTCTTTTCGCCCGAAAACCGCCGATCGAGAAGTGGCCGGTTTGAGTTGCGCTCACTCTCTTTTCCGTGGTCACGGGCTGTTTTCTAAGGTTTCAACGCGACCACCAAATTTAATCAAAGTCATAGGTCATTGAAGGCACACAGTCCATACTAAAAATAGAAAAAATATGCAACCGATTTTTTGTGGCTTCCAAAAAGCTGCAAATACGTTGATTGAAAAAAAAAAGGTTGCACAAACAACCGGAAGCATTCTGTGCGTTCACTGAATAATTCTCAACATGGCGTCGTTTCGAGGGAACTCGTGGGTGGCAGTGGACGACGGGCGTGAGACCTACTTCAGAACTGTTGTTTACGGTACCGGTGAATTCTATCGAAAGAGAAATTTTGAACCCACCAAAAAATTGATATTCATCCCGTACGACACGGCCGACCAGCAAGCCGATTGCAAGAAGACGTCGCCGAGCCGTCGTCCCTTCTCGCGGCTGAAGACATCGCTCGCTCAAACGTCAAGCACGAGGTGCGTACGTCGAGTTGAATACGCACGCATACAGTTTCTTTACTTGGTGCGAATGTGGCAAATGCGTGGTGCTGCCCGACTTCAAGCCGGGAGTGCATGTACTGGAGGGAAATCGGCAGCAAGCTTTCTGACATACAGTTGACCGCTGCCGCTGTCGACCCGGCAGCGGTTCAAGCCGGGGTGCATTGCTACGATTGAAAGAGTTCTTTCAGTAGCTCAGTGGAATGACGTTTGCTTCGCACGCAGTGGGCACGGGTTTAATCCCCAGTGTGGGTGTACCAATTTTTTTTTCAAACATTTTGCGATGTTTACATTTTTTTTTTTTTTTTTTTCACAATTATTACTGAAAAAAACAATTGTTGTGGGCGATACGTCGCTGAACGAAATGGTATGGGATTCCATTTTTGACACTTCTGCCGCACAATGCCACTTTCAGATGTGAGGCAGCTCTTCACGCAACATCTTGGGAATATTCTTTTCGGAGCCGATCACGGGAATTCCTTAAGGGCACTCACTACTAATTGCCAACACTTAAATGTACAAAACAACTCATCTTGAAGTACACAACAGCGAGCGGAACATAAGTGCAAAGGAATCGCACAGCGAACGGATCCCAAACGCATTTCGTCTGCTGCACCTAAAAAAAAAAAAAAAACTCGCACAGTTGGGTGTAGGCACGTGACTTCCGCCACTTACTCTTTCCTCTCCACATCTCCGTGCAGTGCGTGGGTTTCGGTTTCAGTGTCGAGCAGTTGCATTTTTTGGCTGTATTAAAAAAGATATGCGACTCTGTAGCAAAATATTAATTGGGTAGTATTCCGACACCATAATGAATTGCCTGGCAAAAAATGAAAAAATATATTTTTTTGGAGGGTGTCAGTGTCCCTTTAATGTCACCTTACATTCCTTGTACCCTGCTACCCTTCTGCTTCGTGTAACAACTTAATTGTTCTAAAAAAAAAAAAAAGTTTCCGCAGCGAGGAAGGTTTTTGCTTCTCTCGCAAGATTCAACCGATAACGACTGCCAGTGTAGTTTCGAATACTGTCATCCAGTTTGGACTGGAATAGAACTAAGAAATTGTGAACATTTGTGGCGACCGACTAACTAGAGTTTGACCACCAGGGTCAGCTATTCACTTGTTCGGGACTAGCAGGGTGCTTGATCCTCGGGGAGAGGCAACAGAGCACTCTGAAATAGGTCTTACGCCATGACATGACGATGCAAAGTTAAGAGTGCTCGTGCATGGCTTCCATCGGCACACGGAAAGAAAGCACGCGAGGTCGTTCTGGCGCTCTCAATTCTGAGCATGACTTGATTAGAAGTCGCGCCAGCGAAATCCACCGCCAGATGCGCGAGTACAATATTAATATAAAAAGAAAAAAGAAAAAAAATCCGAGTACGCACCTGGAGTTTCATGACGTCGCCGCAGGCCGGAGCTCCGACAAGACCAGTTCCAACATTTTCGTCGTTTTTATTTAACGAACCGACGTTACGAGGATTCTCGTAATGGTCAATCACCTGAGAGAGAGAGTTCGCAATAGGCATTCAGGCGATCAGGAGCGCAAGACATCAACGTAATTAAACTTGAGGAAGAAAACGCGAAAGGACAGACAACCACAAACCGTCCTTTCTCGTTTTCTTCCTCCAGTTAAATTATCGCTACCAACCCGCTCGTTCTGTCCTTACGTCAACGTACGTTTTTGAGAAATCGATATGCATCGGAACTGCGTAGTGGGGAGACAAGCAAGTATCCGACAGCGAAAACTTGCCTTTTCGTGGTAGTTTGCCGAGCTGACAGCAAGTAAAGTTTTTCTCGCAGGCGACAGAGACCTATGAATTGTCCTCAGCAGCATGTTTGATGAGATAGGCTTGCAAATTTTCCTTAATTTTTAGCAATTCCGGAAGAAAAACCAAGCTTCCGAACACTCAGCCGACGGTCGAATACAGTCTGCGGTCGTGTGCAAAACTACTGTCGATAACTCTCGTGTTGCGACTCAAATGCAACATGTTTTTAGGTAAATTATTTTAAAGAATTACACAAAGCTAAATATTGGTACTATTAAGTGGGAAGACGCATTTTCAGTCCGTTTTATTGCAGCTTAGCTAGTTTGAAGCAGTTTTGCGAGCGGTTTTGTTTTTCCTAGCACTTTCTTGAGGCTGATGTTGGCTTATTATGAGGCATTCAACCGAAGACAATCCTAAAACCCTAAAACCATTTGGCTATGGTGTAATTTGGCACTCAAATTATTCCCGTGGTGGCGTGGTGGTTATGCCGTGGTTCCCGTGTTATAAGCTATTCTGAACTATTTCTGTCTCCGAGACCACAAATATCGAGAATAATCTTGTTGGGGAAACTGCTTGACATCGCATGGATCTAGGAACCGAAACAATTACATCAAAGTACGAAGCCAAGCTTCGCCTCGACGATCTGATCGACGCGAAATTGTCCGAGTATCATTCCTTGCAAGAGTTGGCAGGAAGCACCGATGACCGCCTTCCACCGAGTCGGAGGGCTCAGCTCAAGCAAAGGTAATGCCGTTAGACGCCAATAGAAGCCTTATTATTTTCGGAGACGAGATGACTGATTCTATGGATGACTGATGCTATCCTGAGGCCGAGATAGGCGTCCAAACATCACAGGCTCGATAATGTGATATTTTTAGCTTTACCCATAGAATTTATCCTTGGTAGCACGACTTTGGTACGAGCGATCACAGTAGGGGATACCTTTCTACTTGCAGGCGACATGAACTAGCACTGGCGTACAATGACCGTGGACACATTCATTATAGGCTGATTGAATTTGACGAAGCTGTGGACGACTACACAGAAGCGCTGAAATACAACGACTGCTTAGCGGCAGCTTATTACAATCGGGGCACTGTGCACTACAGAATGGGTAAGTCAGTGTTGGTTCGGTAAAAAAAAGACTAAAGAAAGAAAACCGTCATGATGAATGATGCAGTTAATGCAAAGGTGCAAGTGAGCTGGACAAGAAGAACGATCATAATCCCTGAACAAGGGGGACAAAGGACAAGCGAGCTGGACAAGAGGGACAAAGCTGTGTTTGGAGAGTTGTGTTTGGCCTTTGTTCCCCTTCTCCAGGGATTATTATCGTTATTAAAAAACCGTCAGTCACATTTCTTTTTTTTTAAATTTTGAGTGAGATTTGTTGATGCATGTCTTCTGAATTGGAGTTAGGACTTAGCTCATCGCTCTGCTACCATTCCAGGTTGTTTCAGCACCGCACTGCTGGACATGGAAAAGGCCGTGTCTTTGGATCCTAACAACAAGGAATTCTTCAAAGGTCTGGAGGAGACTAAGCGGCGACTTTGAAGCTTGCATTTTATCCGGTGACAAGATTTGCTCAAATATCTCCAGCTAAATAAATTAAAGAAGAAAATCGTGCAGAACAATCACACAACCATAACTTCATTTCTTGACCGAAAAGAAACAAAGAAAAAAAAAAGCTATAATCAGGCCTTATAATTAGTTAGCCGCTTGCATTTTGCTGCATATAAATTCTTACGACAAACTTTAAACATGTCTCAGAAAGGAAAGAAATGTAAAATATCTCTTCAAACTAAGCTTAAGATTATCGAGGCTGCTCAACGGCAAGCCTCGTACACTTCTATTATGAAAGAATTCGACATTTGCAACAAGTCGACAGTAGCCATGATACTAAAGAATAAAGAAAAGTATATTGCTGCAGCACAAAAAACAAATCTAGAGTGCCACAGGATATCGTCTTTTTCAAGATATCCCGAGGTCGACTGTGACATTGAACATTTTATTTTCAAATGCGTACAAAACAGCCATCCGATCAACGTCGAAATTTTACGGAAAGAAGCAAAGAAGTGCGCTCAAAACCACGGGTACACCGACTTTCCCGCAAGTAACGGGTACTTAGAAAAGTTCTTGAAGAAAAAGCGCCGTCTGGACTCTGCCGTCGTGACCAATGCCATGCAAGATTGGGCCAGTAAACTGCTGCCGCAGATGGTCGAGGGGTACTCTAGGGACGATGTCTTCAACGGAGACGAGTTCTCTCTCTCCTACCGCAACATTCCCAAAAAGATGCACCGGTCCCTCGAAGAACAGGGTCGCTACAACACGGAGAAGGTCACGGTGTTTGTGGCTGCAAACTGGAGTTCTAGCGACAAGCTGCAACTTGTGGTTATCGGGAAATCCAAGCACCCTGTGTGCCTAAAGAACAAGGAAGCACCCATCATTTACCGGAGCAGTCAAACGGGCCTCATGACCCGGGAAGTTTTTGAAGACGTCATGGTCGTGTTCAACGAGCACTTCAAGCAGCAGGGCCGGAAAGTCTTGTTTTTGGTGGACATGTGTGACGAGCACAAGCTCTTGACCCTTTCGAATCTCAAAGTAGACTTCTGGCCTCCTGCGGCTGCAGCCAAGCTCCAGCCTCTGCAACAGGGGATCATTCCGCTGCTAAGGGAGAACTACCAGCAGCTGTTCACACAGAAGGTACTGCTGTTAACCGAAGAAGGAGAAGTCCCTGCTGCGCGGAAGCTGACTCTCTTCGACACCAGCTTCATGTTGCATTCTCTCTGGGAACAAGTTGAGAAAGATCAGATCGCAAAGGCTTTTCTCCAGGCAGGTTTCCCAGATTCGAATGTGTCATTGGCAGTGGTAGATGCTGAACGTCGGGTGACCTGCAAAACCTCGGTGGCTGGGGAAGGCACTCTACAGGTTATAGATCTCTGTCGACATTCATTCAACGGGCCTTTTGCAGAGGAGGCAGTGAACTCGTCCATGGAGGAAGACGGTGTCCCCTTAACAACTGGACTGTGCAAAGACAATCTGATAATGAGTTCCGCGCTTGTTAAGGACTCTGTTGGAACAGTTGACCATGTGTCTGTGGAGGAAAGTCCTTGCCTATCATCTGTCAATTCTGAGGAAGTGGTGGATGTTAATTTCTCTGCTTTGCAGGTGGCGACTTTGGGAAATGGCTGTCCCACTGAAGTGGGTTCTCTAACCCTTGTTGAGGATGTTTCCTCTCCCCTACACTCGGTGACCGTTACTGCAGAAAAAAATGAGGCTACAGCTTTAGCCCACAGGAGTTTGTCAAACCGACAGTTTGTTGATGCTCGAGAAGCTAGTCTTCTAACAGAAAATATCATTGAGGCTGCTGAGAAAACTTCCCGACGACTGTCTGGAACAGATTCCCGGACTGGACGTGTATCTGGAGAAAAAGCGCGGGACTTTTTGATGGCCCAAAAAGCACTGCAAGCTGTTCGAGGGTATGTTTCTTCTCAAGGTGCCCCAGAGGCTGTACTGGACATGGTTTCAGGAATTGAAACCTTCATGGAGTCAACATGAAGAACTGGAGCCAAGTGCCAGTGGGCAGCCAAAACACTCGATTAAAGAATGTCAATTTCTTTTACAGCGAATAATTGTGTTTTAATAAGGGTTGTATCAGACCTGTTTCAATCCAATATTTTTTAATAGTTGCTGTGAATTAAACATTGAATTGACTATAGGTTTAAGTGAACACTCATCTCATCTTTCAGTGTGAGCCTAATCTTGGAGCCCCCATAGATCTGGGACAGGATTTAAAATAGGGTAACCTGTACAGCATTTATAGACTACTTCATTCGGGTAGATGATATTTTTGAGCTACTTTTTTGGCATATGAATGCACTTGCACTTTAGAAATATGAGATTTAAGTAGCCATCTTCTACAAAATTACTTCACAAGAAGCTCCCTACTTGCCTCCCCACATCTTCCCCTTGCATGATTTTAAAACCTTGTGGCTCATTTTGCTTAAAAAAAATTTGAAGTTTTATTTATGTGTCGACTTGGGTCAAATGTGTTTTAGATGGCTCGGAAACAAAATCGGCAAGCTCATAGCCTTTGTTGTAAAGGATGGCCGAAGAACTGCGAGTCTTTGATGAGTTTGAGCTCTCCTCTCTTTGGGCAGGATGGACGTTGATTATAACTGCACCGTCTGGCGTGTCAATTCTTGCTTCAGTTTTTTCAACCTCTTCAGCGGAGCGCTGGAAGAGGAAGAGGGAGAGGGAGAGATTATTAGTGTGACAAGAGCGAAGCACATAAAGGAAAATTGAGATTCAAGACAAAGCATGTCTTGAGACAGCTTCTTGGAAAATATCTGGAAGATCAAAAGGTTACCAACCTGCGTGAAGTCAGAGTCGCGTGCCCCTGCTTGCTCGTGGTCGTAATTGAGATCGGTCATTTTGTTGCCATTTCTGTCATCTTCTTCAACTGAGGTTCTTTGTCCAGTGTTTGCCGCTTTTGCCCTATGCACATTTGAGAAATTAGGTTTTGGATCAGTAATCATACCTGCAAAGGCAGATATCCAAATGTCGAGAAACCGAGACACTGTTGCAGACCTGTCCTCTCTGGCCTTCTGCACCCTCTTGAGGCGTTCCTCTTGCTCTTTGGCTTCTCTCAGCCTTTGCAGTTCCGTGTCTGCTTCAACCCGACTTTGGAGGTCTTGGAAGTTTCTGCTGATATGATCCAAAATCCACTGGAACCCCTTGTCAATTCCTGGGTCCTTTTTCCGCTTACGATTTTTGAACCTGGCACAGCTAGTTTCCTTTTAGAAAGAGCGTGTGGAAAGTATAAAGAGGCAGGACGAGTTAGGCAGAGCACAACAGATTTAGCTCAAAGAAGAAATTGCCAGCATTTTCAATTTCCCCTGTATGTCTGGATGGCTGCGATCACAGGTATTGGGTATTGCAAAATAATTATCTTTATTAAGGCCTCTTAGGTCTTAACAAACTTTACCCGAAGAGGCTCCACCTAACTTTATCGGGAACGTTTAGTATTTGACACTAACCGGTCTGACTAAAATGCGAAAAAGCATCAATGTTCTATTTGGGCTAAATGCTGCACAGTATACCTACCTCAGCAATGCAAAAGTGAATGAAGAATTTTATCTGCTGCAATAACAGTGCCTAGGAATTACGACGGGCTGAAATGTAGAATGGAGTTGACCTCAAGGCTCTGATATTTTCCCTTTTATATTATTTTATTACAGTTGACTCTCATTAATTCAAAATCCAGGGATCTACAGACTTTAGTCTAAAATATGAGAAGTTTGAATTATCAGAAATTCATCTGAATATCATGTGAGGCAAAGCAGCGATTTGCTATAGGGATAACTACACATCAAGAAGATTTTTTACACTTTCCTTTACACAGGCCTATTTATAAGCAGGCACACACATAAAACAATTGCTAAGTTCAAAGCAAATAGTAGTTTTGGTCATATTTTCGAATCAAATATTGAATAGTAGTTTCTCAAAGATTTTCATTACCGTGTAGCATGTTTAAAGAAAAATTCAGCTGAACTCGTAAAGGTTGGTCCCAACCTTCCACTTGTCCACTTCTAAGCTCGGTTTGTTTTAATATAACTATATCTATAAACCGTGGCCTCAGAAAGTCCAGTGCCTACATTGGGGTGGCATGTAAATGACAGATTTTATATAAGAGTAAACCCAAAGGGACGCCCAGCTATCGTAATCGAAGGAATCTAGAAATCTGCTTGCTGTATGTTTAACCCCCTCAGAAGAATAAAAACAAGCATAAATAATGAAAGCATATTTTCAGGACAGTTCTGCTTGCATAATCGCAGTGCGTTATTCCCATCGAGTGCGCTTCTCACCGTGCACCCTCATACTGTGGAAAAGCAATGATCGCGAGCTTTGTGGGTATTGCTTTCCCGTAGTTCACAGGTGCTGGGTGAGAAGCGCACTCAGCGGGGCTAACCTGCCGCGATCAGCAGTATGAATGAGGCAGAAATGCTGTTTGAACTAAGCAGCCTATAGATGCATTGAAAACATAGCGGGAAACCCAACATTTTTCAATTGGTTTGAATTAACCGAAAGTATGAAATATCCGAGTTTGAATTATTGCGAGTCTACTGTATTATGTGCATTCCCTAATGTATTGTTCATGGATAAACAACACCAAAGTTAGTGATTAGGAATAGGACTGTGAGCTTACAATTAAATGTATTTGACTTATTTTAGGGTACCTTTAGCTTCATTGTTGCAGGACTGCAATACTGATAATAATGCTTTCCCAAATGTTTTATTAGAGGACCATGCTTTTGCTACTGTCATCTTACTAATGCTGTGCCATACTATAATATGAAGATGCCAATGTGCTCTAAATTAGGAATAGTATATCATTGTTCTGAAATCTGAATCGGGCAATACCTTTCCCGTCACCACATACTTTCCTTTTTGGCAAGATACTTTACTGAATAGACAACAGATGCAGGAAATAGGATTGTAAGAAAGGAGGCAAAGACTCACTACTCTGGTGGGACACTTGAATTGGTTGACAATGTTCTCCAGGTCAAGCAACGAACACATCTCTATTTCGTCCACAACGTTTTCAATGTCTTGTTTGTTGAGCAGTCTGAAAGAGTAGTGGAAGGAATTGCATAAGACGTGCTCTGTGGGATGCAATAAGGATTATTTCCAGGTAAACTACATTCCTGATGTTACAATTGTTTTGTACAATGCAGTCATCTCCGCAGTTTGACTCCTTTTTGTGTGTGGAAGACCTTCAGTTATTTTGCCTCCAGCATGAATCTTTTACAATGTTTTGTCATTGCATGGCTGAACAATTGACAGACCTCCCTTTTCTTCTAAAACTACCATAGAGCTATTGACAGCTCCAGAGGAGGCGACGCCACCTGGCGGAAAAGATGCAAGGGAGAGAAGTGGGGAGCCACTGCCTATCCAAATGTGCAACAAAAACCAATGTGCCCTGGCAGCCGAAATGTGAAACGGAGGACAGCTGATCAAATGCATGCCAGGGGAGTTGTGAATAGGTAGCAGCTGGTTGCTCTTTTATGCTACATCTGTTCCCTCTATTGTGTGAATTTTGACGTAGTACAGGTATTCCTTTGGGGCCATCAGCTATTGGGAACATCCACGTGTACTGCAGCATAGTGTTGCATGCAATCCATGTTTAAGCGTGTATGGAAGCGTGGTAGTGTAACAGTGCACACTCACACGAGGACTGGTTTGCCACTTATGCGTGGGTCGCCCAGCACTTCGGACACGGCCTGGCGGCACTCCTCAGCTCGGTCGACGGCGGAGGCATCCACGACCACCACAACTCCGTGGGCCAGGGCGTAGTAGTTGCTCCAGATACTCCGAATTCTGGCCCCGCCTCCGAGGTCGTACAGTGTCACCCGAAATCTGGTTCGCTCTAGCTGGACGCTTGAAAACCCCACCGTCGGGACCACGTCCTCTGGAGACTCTGCACTCGCGTAAAGCAAAAGTTGAGAGAAATATCTGGGGTTTCATCGTTTTTCGGCCATGGGAGTTCATTCATGCTGGTACAAGAAACAGTGTGCTGTCTTGTCGTTTTTCTTCCTTTCCATACATATCTAGCTTTTCAATGATTTCTAAATATTTTATATTAAATTTTTTAGGGTGATGGAAGTGCTGCACCATTTTTCTCCATGAATGCATGTCTGCTACATGTCGCGCCAAAGTGCAATTTTTACTAAACCAATTGCCCTAGACCTGCGCCAAGATAAGCTTAAGCCTAGCAACAACAACAACAACAAACATATTGTTTGATGCTTCAGAAGGAAAATGGGACATGCATGTATCTTGCCGCCCTTGGGTGGGAACTATCTTGTGCCACGTTGTCGAGGCTAGCGTAGATTCTGCAGTGCTCAGTCTCTGTCGGAGCTCTCGCTCACATATGCGAGTGCGTGCAAGTGAGACTAGACGCAAGACAAAGACGACCTCTTGCGGCAGTGCTGTGATGCAGCACCGTGGAAGCTACATTAAACTTGTGTAGCACAAAAGCGCTCGTCGACCGCGCTGGCAGCGTCATAATCTGAACTTGCAGACGATACAATGCCGCGACGTCTGCAGAGTCACGGAGTTAGGCATTTGGAGAAAAATTCATAAAATGGAGGTATGGCGGCCGCTGGGATTAGACAGAACTAGGGTCTCATACTCCCGATGAAATCACTTGATTGACATCTCGATCGCATGCCTGGTCAACCTTCATCCCTGTGTGTTGAGTTCCTCTGCTTTGCATCGGTGTGCTAGGAGCAGCGGCTAACGCAGGAGAGCACCTGGGGCACATTGTGGTCTCGGAAATTTTGCTCAGTGCTATTACAGGTGGATTTTTTTTGGTCTTGATCGTGTAAGTCGACCTCCTGTTTTAAATACCATAGCCAAGAAAGAAAAAAAAAAATGCAGGCCAATATTTGGTAAGTCAGGTAGTTCCCGCTCACCAGTCGATCGAAGGGGCACCAGACTTTGACTAAACCCCAGCTCCAATGCTTCTAGCTCTTGCAGTGTTAGAGGAGCCTCACTTTTAAAGTGCAACTTTAATTTTTTATAATATTTGTGTAGTGATATTTGCAGTTTATGATATTAGAATCTTGGGTTTCATTGGTTCATAGAACTTAGTGTAACACATCTTCATGGATGAGCATTTGAGCGAGTATGCCAGTTTTTGCAGGAATTTTACATAAATTATGCTACATAAACTATGAGCACAAAAGGGGAGAGGGGAAGATGCTTTATCTGAACTGAAGTGTCTTGCTATAATTCTTTTTTCAGCAATGACTTTTTTTAGGGGTGAAGCTCCTTAGGGTCTAGCCTTGTCCGGCATCCGTGCTCACATCGATTGCCATCCCATCTGTCTTCTTAAAAAAGAAAAAATGTTTGTGCAGTCAACAGGATTCAAACCTGTGCGGGGAGACACCAATGGATTTCTAGTCCATCGCGACTGCGGGACGAGTAGGGGGCTCTGAGATGTGGTAGTAACTCAAGAGCTGGGGTTGTCATGGATGAAACGTTGCATGTAGCCACTCAGCGTCTATACAGGAGAGGGTGCTGTGGTCAAATGCGTATATAATCGCGTTAAACTTTGCATGCATTGTCTTAACGTTTATAGACGAGAGGGCGCTGCGGTCATATGCTCAAATGCGTAACCACGTTCCATACCACACATCCTCTCTCTGACATGGACCGTTGACTTAAGCAATGGAGATGCATTCCCGCGGCTTCTAGCGGATCCGAGCTGATCCGCTAGAAGAACCACTGGCCCTGCATTTCGCCGACCATAAAGCAGTAATAAATGAAGTCGAAACGCAACCCGGAACTCAGCACTACCTATGAGCAATAAAAAAAAAAAAAACAGCATCATAAGCACTACCTATGAACCAGGGATGGGCAGTATTTCAAATACAAGTATTTGAAATACGTATTTTAAATACTTTGTGTATTTTGCATTTGTATTTAATTACAAATTGGATAATGTATTTGACGTGTGTATTTAAATACTAAAATGTGGGTATTTCAAATACAATTGTAATTAAATACACTTTTGTGGGCGAAAATACATCCCTCAAATTCATCGTCACGGTCCAGAGCAGGAAGAAAACTACGTTCTGCATCGAATGCAGTGTCTCTCAATTAAGCACAGGCGTTTAGTGACTTTGTGGTTACGGTGCTAGTCCAGGGCAAGAATAGTGACGAAATCGACGTTCGCAGGCAGGCTGGCTAAATAAGTGCCTGTGACAACTTGTGATGCTTTCCAGCCAGATTTCCATCCATATTTTTGCCTGGAACATTCTAAATGCGCGGGTCGTCCAGATTTTTGTAACTGGTGCGAATTGCAACAATAAAATATTCTGTAGCTAGTGCTGCGCGTCTTGGTTGTCTCGGTTCTTTGTTGGTCTATACCAAAATGTAATTGACAAAAAATGCTGCTTGAAGCTCTGTACTTTTTTCACCTATTACGTCCAAGCTGATTACATTTTTTTTTTGTGATCATATTTCTATTACGTTACTAGAGCCTCGCACCCTAACTACCGAGTGTGCTATGCAAAATTAAAATGAGATACCCAGAAACCCGTTGCAGGTGCCCTGAAGTCGCTGACGCAAATTTTGAGGAATGTATTTGGAAAAGTATTTGTAGGGAGACCAAATACATTTGGTTGTATTTGTATCTTGTACTTAAATGATTTTTTGGAAATGTAATTAGATTTGTAATTAAATTTTTGATGAACTATTTTGTATTTGTATTTTGATACATATTTGCATGTATTTTGCCCATCCCTGCTATGAACAATAAAATCAGTATCATCAGCACCACCAGAGCTTCGCCCCAATCAACATCATTCACCACGTGGAGATGCGGTCATTTTTTTCTTTTTAATTTCCATATTAAATGGAGCCTAGTCTGACTTGAACCTTATCTATAAAAAGAAAGTTGTGTGTCTATTTTGTACTTTTTATGACCATCTCTACGTATTATATATTGCAAAACATAAAAAGCAATATTCTTTATTATCAACGATAAACCCTAAAATATTAGCAAAGATTTACTTATTTAGTTTTCACATGCGACGTGCAAACATATATGTTGGTATCTGCTCCAAACGGGATGATGGCTGCTGCAAATCATCATCTCTCCTGCTAGAAGAAATCACGTGCCCCTTCCATCAGTTTTCAGTACTTACCGAAATCTTCTAATTGTTCCGCAAGTTTCCCTAATTACACTTTTTTACTCGAATCATCTCCAATAAATAATGAATGTTTCACGGGTGCTTCAAGTTTGATGCTCTTAATACTGTACCAATAGAAACTATCCAATTTTTTTTTTTCTTTCCATACCTCTTAGCAAATGTTTGGTTGTTGATGTTTTCCCAGCATTGTCTAGTCCAATCATTAGAAGAGTGATGTGTCTGGAAAAAAAAAAAAAAAAACAGCAAAGCAACCAGTTTTATTTTTGTCTGATGAACGTTGTAAAAAAGTTTGTTCTCGGAGTTGTAAGTGTCGCAGTATATTAACAACAGATTTGCTCTGAGACTTGGTAAGTTTGGCAAGATGAAGCTCAAAAAAAGTTTGTTCTGGGTCTCATTATAAAGTCTGGTACTATTTAAATTGCTGATGAGTTTGAGCGCATGTTAGGAGAACTCATATGCAAGTATGAAATATGCAGCAAGAACGAAGAAAAATAAAAGGAAATGCACCTACCTTTTATTACTTTTACATAGTCTTGGACCCATCCTGAGCCCCTCTTGGTTTTCCTTATAAATGCAATAGGCCGAATTGCTACCAAAACACGTGTTGTTATGGCAACAGTCAAACAGGTGCTAATGGTAAACAGACGAAATAGGGTTGAAACATAATTTTATGGACATGAATATCTGTTCCGCACAGAAAATTGCTTCCCCTTCTAAAAAGTACTTGTAGAAGACAATCATTCTTTGCCTTCTTTGCAATACTGTTACAGAAAGCAGACATGTTCTTGTGTATAGTCAAGTTTAGTTGTTAACTCCTTACCCCTCTCACCTTTAATATGATTATGAGTCGGCGCGCGCAGGCCACACAAGCAACAGCGAGCTTTAGCGCTTGTACAGTGCAGCAAGCACATGATCACATGCTCCGTGCGCGCATTACAGTGCGCACCAAAAGTTCTGGAATGGGGAATTCGGAAAATGGCGGATTCACATCCTGAAGGTGGCTACAATGTGCTCAAGTGTCCATTAAGAGCTTTGAAGTTAGTATCCAATCCAATCCACTTTGATATTTGTGTACGATTTTTTATCGGGCTTCGGAGTTTTCCGCATAATTTTTACATAATGGTATTTTCAAATATACGTCGTTGATGTTTCATAGAAGCTGAAACAGCTGAAAGCGTTATCACCAGCCATGGGGTCACCACTGAAGCTTTTGTTGTGCGGTGACGTGAACGGGCAGTTCCGCAAACTTTTCGACCGAGTGGCTACGGTGAACAAAAAGAGTGGTCCGTTCGAAATGCTGGTGTGCGTTGGCGACTTCTTCGGTTCAGGTTCGTCAGAATGGGAAGCATACATGTCGGGAGCCAGCAAAGTTCCCCTCTTAACCTACATCCTGGGTCCCACTCCGGGCGGTGCTGTTGACGAGAAGATCGCAGCGACCGACGGAAACCTTTGCGAAAACGTCGTCCACCTCGGCACGAGAGGTGTCTTCACGGGGGCATCGGGACTCAAAGTGGCTTATTTTTCCGGTGTGCAGAGCTCGGACGGCAAAAGCACCAAGACCGCTTTCACCAAGAAAGACGCCTTAGACTTCCTTTTGCCGATCATGGAAAGCACTGGCCAGCGAGGAGTCGATCTGTTCCTCTCCTCGCAGTGGCCAAAAGATATCAGCAAATACGCTCACACGGCTCCCGAACACGACAACGGTGAAAAATCAGACGTGATAGCGCTCCTCGCTTACTTTCTCCGCCCCAGATACCACTTCACGTCGTCTCCCGAAACCTACTACGAGCGGTTACCGTACAGGAACCACAAGGTGCTTCGAGAGCCCGCGCGCCACGCCACGCGATTCATCTCCCTGGCATCTGTGGGCAACACGTCCAAGGCCAAGTGGCTGTACGCGTTTTCGATAGTGCCGATGGCGGACCTCTCCAACGCGGAGCTTGTGAAGCAACCGGCCGACATCACGGAGTGTCCTTTTCAGTTCACGGAGGAAGACTTGAAGCTCGAGAAGGCCAAGCAGTTCTTCTACGACCTGGCGCCGGGGCCAGAGAAAGGAAAGAAAAGGTCCCGTGACGGCGGGGAGCCACGTCAGAAGCGGCCGCCTCCGGAGCCGAAAGGTCCCTGCTGGTTCTGCCTGGCGAGCCCCGAGGTCGAGAAGCAGCTCGTCATAAGCATCGGCGAGAGCTGCTACCTCGCACTCGCCAAGGGCGCCCTCACTCCGGACCACGTGCTCATCCTTCCCATAGGACACCACCAGAGCACGGTTGAGGTGGACGAAGACACCCTGGAAGAGATCAACAAGTTCAAGGATTGCCTTCGGGGCTACTACAAGTCTGTAGGCAAATGCCCGGTGTACTTCGAACGGAACTACAGGAGTTCTCACCTTCAGATTCAGGTGGTTCCTGTGGCAAAGACCCTCATGCCGGGACTCATGTCCGTGCTGGTCGACTATGGCAAGTCTGTCGGGGTCGACTTGGACGAGATACCGCAGAACTCTAACCTGCGTCAGATCATGGATCCGGGCCGCCCTTACTTCTACATGGAGTTTCAGGGAGTCAGGCTGTTGCACAGGATTCGGAAGCAGTTTCCTTTGCAGTTTGGGAGGGAGGTGCTTGCCTGTGAAGAGGTCTTGAACTTGCCCCACATGGCCGACTGGAGGAACTGCAGTGCAACAAAGGAGGAGGAAGTGTCGACTGTTGCTGCATTCAGGGACCAGTTTAAGCCGTACGATTTCACACTCGTGTAGATGAAGGATCGGCATGTTGCATCTGCGATGTGCTGGCGGTCAGTGTAGAGCCCCTGCCTTAAGGTTTTAGCACTTTGTTGACATCTGCAAGGCCATTGTGCAACATAAAAAAGGAAAGAAAGAAGTACTGGCTTTTTGTGTAGCAGCTGAGAATAATAATTACCATTTCACTTTATTAGCCAGCTTTACTAAAACTAAACTGTACTAAAACGAAATAATGCAGATTGTTGGGCTAGTTGGTACTGGGAATCTGACGTCATGATGGTGCTTAAGACAAGGACAATCAACGTTCAATGTTCCCCCCCTTTTTTCAAAATAAATCAGTTGAAGTAGCTCTCCGTGTTGTCTAGTCTCCCTTTTGTCCTCGTCTTAAGCGCCATCATGACATCAAAATGTACTAAAACCTGTAACTAACAGATAAAAGGAAAAGAGGGGGGGAGGGGGGGGTAGCATACATAAGGTTCCTGCGCACGTTGATCCCCCATTTATATGTTGCCCCCAGTACATCAAGCCCCAACCACATGGGGCATTGGTTCACACCTACACTGCCTTTTTGAAAAGAAGACTGCTAGTCTGGGCTGGACGGGGCAGGCCATCAAGCAAAATACAATCCAGTGTGTTCGTGCCATTGACACTAGACAAGATGCAACGCGGTCAATGGAACTGCGTGAACGAGCCTATAGAGGTCCGGTGACACTGGTTTACGCTGTAGATTTAGCCAGTGCAGTATAAATGCTAACCTGTTGTCTTTAACGTGCAGTGTGCAGTAGTGATATATGACCGTATGCTGGTACAATGCTCATCCAGATTGAAACGGGCAGGGGTGGGGACTGAATCAAGGATCCCCAAGTTTTGCAGCGCTAGCTTCTTCTCCATGTGCTCCAAACCACGGTGCGCTAACACACTTGGCCACCGATCCCCCCCGCTGTAGAAGTGCCATTTTTAGCAGTCAGTATGCGTCATTTTCCCATTTTGGTTTGGTTTTTCCTCAGTCTTGGGTTTTTGTAAACATGACATTTGCTTATTCTTTAAGTACTGTATCAGTTGTCAGCTGTGCATTACGTCATCATTAGCAAGCCCTTAGGCTCTGCCCTTTTCTTTGTCTCTGACTGTTGGGTTGTTTGCACTGGTACTTGTTAGTGCCACAGCACTGAAGAGTGGCTAACTGTTACTTGCACTATAACCAACTAATGCTCGTAGTATCACTGCTAGAGCTTGCCCTGCCTCTGACACTGGCATGTCTGTCAGGTACAGTGATCCCAAACTTTAAGGGATTGGTGCAGAAATGTTTGTACTTTTAAAGATACCACTTAAAATGAGTGCCCAACGTTTATAACCTATGAAACACGTGTTAGTTTGTCTCCTTGTCCAATAATAGTTGCAGAAAAAAAGAAAGGGCAGCATTTTTTTCTCAACTTGCAACCAGAACAAGCGGCCACGTGATATGGAGCCGGTTATATGCCGCCAATGTTGATCATAGCCACGCTCTGGGGTTGGCAAAGCACAGGACGCACGCCGAGCTCCAGATATTGTTAAGGTTCACTTATTGTCGTCATTGCAGTGATTGGACATGAGCCACTACCCGAATGCTTGTCAGGCTATTGATTATCGCAAGCCCAAATGGAGTGTTCACGCAATGCTCTGGTCTAAGAGCTGCATTCAAATATCGTCACTGTGGGACTACAGGGGACGCTGCAACCTCCTAACTATGCCATCAAGTTTTGCAAAGAACAGATTGAAAAAAAAACAAAAAAACTGCTTGGTTTTATTCTTGAAATTACTCCGCAACAAAGAGGTTTCTTGGACAATGGCATTGCGTGCGAGTATACTCGGGTCCCTCTAGTGCCAGCAGGCTCATGTAAAGTGAAAAACATTCCAACTCGCCACCACCTGAACATCAAGCTGTAGCAACTTAGTCAAAATAATAATCTAACACCAGGCTAATCTGGTGATTGAGGATTCAGAGTTACCAGGAAGTTAGAGCCGTAGCCGCAGGAATAGCATTGAAGTTCTTTAAGCAAGCCATCTCGTGGGCAGCTGCGAAGGGAGCACTGTACACCCCCGCCACAGCTCTAAACTCTGGGGGACCTTTTGTGGCTATGCAGTGGAAGGTATGTGTGTGCGTTCCTCCTCTCTTCGTAAATGCCACAGAAAGTTGTCTCCAAGTACTACTGGGCTATAGTATGCCAGACACCATGGGACCCGTTACCGATGGGACCCACTCACTGAGTAAGCTCTGAATACTGCGGAGAGTGGAATAGGGATAAATCCTTTGAACTGAACGGCATCTTGTGCCATCTAGTCGCCGTTCCTGATATTACTCGCCCAAACTATCAAACTGCTTAGAACACTGTAGAGTGTGCAGACTTCCAAGCAGTTTGGTGGTTTCCATCTTTAGTCCAAGTTCAGAGGTGGAAATTAAGTTAAGGCAGCAATAAGCACCCTCCTCCCATTCAACGATGTTGTGGTCATCGAGCTGGAACAAAAAGGGCCCAGACTCTGCTTCACAACTGAAGGGAAGAATACACCATCATTACTTGCCCAGTTACTTTTGTGGAAGGCCTGGTGCTACTTGTCAGTTGGAAGTAGTCTGTGCAGAGATGGCCCCAGAAGAATGGCTTCAGGTGGGCAAAAATCAGTGGACGCTACTTAACCCAACAGAGACTATGAGCTCCCACACTGAGAAAGCAACACTGAAGAAACAAGGAAATAATACACACCTGAAAATCCAGGTCCAAAGGGGCCAGACGTCATGAATCTAGGGATAATTGTGTTATTTACAGCAATACATGTTGTAAGAACCCCATGGAAAACTAAGGTGGTCCCAGCTGTAACATGCAAATGATGCAGTAGTGATTGGATCAACCAATTTAAAATGTTTTGGCAGATATCAAACAGATCGGGAGGTGGTTCTTGAAGGCCAACTGCTGCAAGGTCAACAGTGCAGTGATGGGAGAGAATGGGGTGGCCACCTCACATACGAAACCATTGAAGCCAAATAAAAATTTCACTACCTGGAACAACTGGCATTCCTATCCAGTGAAGGGCATACCAGGCAAACATACGAGCACATTAGACACCGGGTAGTTGAAAATGGGTTGATCGAGAAAATTGCAGCCATAAACTCAAAACGCAGCCTTTGAAATATTAATTTTTCGTTCAACTTTAGGGTTATCAAGTTATGTTAACCTTCACTTTCCCCGTCAGTTTTTACCCTGTCTTCTTGTTATGAGGTCCAGAGATGGAAAGGGAAAGCCGGGAGAGATGTTGGCCTCTTGTACGGGGAGAGTCACTACCCGGCTTGGGGAAGGGGGAGAAGCCGTAGGTGCTGCTCTTTTAAACCATAGTTTTTCGGAACTTGACAGCTATGAGAATGATTAGCCAAATTGTGGTGTCACGTGTGTGCTTTTGACTAAGATTGTAATTATAAATGCACCATCTCAAAGTTTCAAAACTTTCCCATTGAACTACCCAACAAAAGCTACAGGACTTGCGCATACTTTGGTAACATAAAAAGTTATTAAAGCATGTTCATAATTTTATTGTTAAATAGAACTAGGCAGTTAGATTAAAATTAACTTATCTAAATGAACAAGTGGAAGCATGACAACAACCTTCGCAAGTTCAGCTGGGACGAATAAAGGCACACAAACAGACCAGCCCTTGTATGTGTGCATTTGTTTGTCTTAGTCTTCTTTCTGCCATTTAGTACTTCCTTTTGCCAAATAGTGAGGCAACTAGCCTCTATGCATGTTGATTGTATTGACTGTGTGCTTATATACAAGCATTCTGAAAGCTTCTTTCATAATGTCAGACTGTGCATTTAACAAAAGCAAATGCTCTTCCTTACAAAAGTTTTGAACGTCTTAGCCTTTTTAGGATTAAGTTGAACATGCTTCCAAGGTTCTAAAAAATGTATGAAGTATCAGCATGTGCACCTGAAAGTTTACAAACTATATACCTTCACTGAATTTAGAATCTTCAAAAATGCAGACAAGTCATAGCTAAAAAGATGAGATTGAAGACCTCTTTAGTTAAGAACAAATATCAGCATGTCAGATTCAGCCCCCCTCCTCCCTTTTTATGCTTCCTCCCTTCAGGCATCTCCTCAGGATATAATATTTAAATTGTAATGAGACATAATGCATAATGCACACATTTCAATATTCACCAACCAAGAGTCTACAATGTGCGCCAGTTCGCCATTTCAAAAGATGGCACCAATCGAACGCCCAAGACAGCCTCTGCGGAGAAAAAAAATAAATATTGTGGAACAAGACATTTCAGCAGTGAAATCTACAATCGCATGAGCAAAGTTTCACTTTCTATCAGCCCAGCAGAATTTTGGGTGCAAGCTTTCGTTCAACCCATTTTACAAGAAAAACCTTTGCCTGAAAATTTAGAAACAAATTGGGCGGCAATCGAGGCCTCAAGGAAGCGACCTAGTGCAATGTTGTTAGAACAATCTTGAAATGGTCATCAGTATAATACCTTTAAGGTATTTTTCGACTAAACAGTAGACAGACGAATGTCAGAAATCAAGTTTAATATCACAACAACAAGTCAAATGAAACATAAAATTGTACATTAAAACAGGACCAGTGTATTTCCATAAATGAAAGAGTCACAAGGCTGGCATGTGGATCCTCACACAAATTCTATATTTGCATCGTTCAGCTCTTTCTCGCAATATGCACAACTCGGACAGGCTGTGACCCATCAGGCAACTTTAAAACAGCTCATGATTCCCCAGTGGTCGCTGGGAAAACACCGGTGCGGCTTCAGCCTCTCGAGGCCAATCAGGCCAAAAAACACCGGCATGAGGCCGGTGGGCTTGGAACGCTTGAAGTAGACGCGGTCAAAACGGCACCGCGGTTTGAAACGCCCGTTCCACGTGACGTTGTCGTTGCGGGTCATGTCCCAAGTGTAGCGGGCTTCCTTGCGCTGTCCGCAAGACTCCCAGACGTCTTCGAAACCGTGTGGAAGGCCGCCCAGGTCGTCGAGCTAGAAGGCAACAGTTGCGTAACTGTCTCTGTTCCAAGTACTCTTCCCCGCTCAGTAAGAGCTGAAGCTTAATGATAAGGCAGGTGAGTTGGTACAGGTTCCCCTCAGTCTTGCGCCCATCAGTAAACGCGACTGCAGGAGCTTAAAAAAACACTGACAATCCCCACAATTTTTTTTTTTTCTGGAAAATTATAATGTAGTGTCTAGACGCTACACAGATTACCTTTTTTTTAAACTGTGGAGTCAATAGTACATGTCAAAAACAATCTTGAGAAGTAATACTGAAATTAGAGGAGTGTGGGTCACCGTTACGTCAGAGTGTATTCGCTTCTCGCAGTGGCACACTAAAGTTTCTCTCAACCAACGCATTTTCGGTGTCTCAGTGGTCATGAACAGTGTGTTGCATGGACTCTATTCCCCGATTAATTAATATGTGCCTTAGGTGGCCTACAACTTGGAAATATTATTTTCGTACACTTTGTCGTCAATGCTCGTGGTTATGGCAAAGGAAGTGAGAGCAGGCCTGAACACCGCCCTTTGACTGGAAGTTTGTGGTGGAGAAAAAAGCAGGAACTAGAGCTGCAAATATTCTTTTGTTAACATATAGTGGGGCCCTTGCATATTATGTTTCAGTAAAACCGGTAGCAAGCTGTCAAGCATTTTTACGACAGCCGTACCAAATATACCAGTAACCGGGGAAAATTCTGGGTGGGGCCGGCATTAGGCACAAGCGACCGGGGCGGCTGCGTCGGGCCCTGCGCTGGCACCAGGGCCCTACAACCACGAAAAAAAAAACCTGCGATCCCCCCACAAAACAAAATTATGCATTTGTTACGGTGTCTGTGACGAACGCCTTTACGCATTGTTCTCAGCCTCATCACATCAATGGAATCTACTGCTAAGCAGTCTCTGACTCTGAAGCCACTCCCGGAGACACGGTGAGTATGCCACGTGTGGAGCGTGAAGGAAGTTAGATATCAGTTAGCAGAGGTGAGCGACGCATTAGAGGCTCTTCAAAATGAGAGTTCAGATGCAGCCGCGTACAGCGAAGCAACATCGATTTACAATTCCCTGAGGTCGTATGAATTGGTCCTTTATTTAGTGATCTGGTACGACATTTTCGTCAAAGTGTATGCCGTCAGCAAGCTGTGGCAAATGAAGACGACGCAGTTAGATCTTGGAATGAAGCATGTGGAAGCATTTGTTGCGTGGCTGGAGCATTACCGTAAAATTGGGTTTGCGGCAGCACAGAGAACAGTAAATAGCCCATGTGAAGACCTGGGGACATTAAGAAAAACTAAAGGACTTCCAACAATGGCGAAAACATGGTGCTTGATCAAGAACCTATTGCCGATCCCACAAAGACATTTGAGAGGGATTATTTCCTTGTGATAGTTAACCAGGCGCTCATGTCAATGACAGAACACTTTAAACAGCTTTAAAGTCATCTTTACTTATTTGGTTTTCTTTACAACGTTTTGGTGCTCCAGAAACTAGAAAGGAATTACATGGTTGAAAAGTTTGAGATTCTTGAGACATGCTTGACTATGTGGCACTGATCTTGTAGAAGAGCATCATCTGTCATTCGTTCTAGAAAAGGGCTCGTCAGCCAACGACAGTCTGAAGTATGGTACGTGCTACAGAGCGAGGCACTTAGAAGCTCTTACCCAGAGACAGCAATCATTCTTGGAATTTCGCTCACAGTACTATTGTCCGTTCCGTACACAGAGCAGTTTCTTCAAACAAACTCAATAACTTCACGGGCAACACTTTCCAGAGATTTCAACCTCGTCCCTTGTCGTCGCCGCTACGAAAAAACCCTTTTCCTCGATTTTGGCATGAGGCCGGGGAAGTCGGGTCTTCCCGTCGACTACCCCGTCATCCGACCAGTAACGACACAACGAAAAGAGAGTCTCCCGTGTCGTCTGCTTGAAAGACTTGTTTTCAAACATCATTGCATTTTACGAACTCCTACTTTGGCAGTATCCAGTTGCTACGCATAATGTTGCATGGTTTTAACAACATCCATCGCGCTTACCCACTTCACGGATCACCGAGCACTGGTGGCAGTCGTCAGTAACATCCAGGGCACCAACCACGACAGCTATGAGAATTAACCACGTTGCACCTCCATCCCCAGGTGCATGACGGCACCATTCCACCCGTATTGCGCGACAGTGCTACAGCTATCGCTTTCATATCTTTGCACATCGAGGGCAAAAAATACAACTTTCTGGCTTTGTCAATCACTGAGCACCCTCCATAAACATTATCGATTAGCTTATCGTGCTCCGTGCACGATAACTGAGGGGAAGTATGCGCACGTCTACTTTCCCTCAGAGAAGCAGATGTTTGGAGTGCACCGTCCTTATGGTGCACGCTGCTGTTCTCTCTTTATATAGTTGATATGTTGTAATAGCTTTTGTACTATACTCCAGCCGATTTGCTGCTTCGGGCATTCTTTGTTTGTTAGCATATTCACATGATGTCCCCGCCACATTTTAGGAAATTTGGTTCTTTTTTAGATTTGTAGTTTTTACATTTAAACACAACCAAACGTGCACATATATAACAACAGGATGTATAATCTAAATTCTCTCGCACACATTTAACTTTCCACCCCTTCACAATTTTTTTTCTCATTTCTTTTTTTCCGCCCCGCCCAGGGCCTTGCATTTTTTTTTTTCCGGCCCCGATTCTGGTCATCCCCTAATCTGCAGATAAAAATAATTAGTGAGACACCATGCAAATAGATGGTGCTGGCTTGTGTGATGACAAGCAGTAGCTTTGTTAAGCTTTCGTATTCTTGCATAGTGTCCAGTAATCCCACAACTACATTGAATTTGATATGAAATATAAGAGGCCAAGGGTAAGGCCCAACACTCAACCTGTACAAAAATCCGAGGGAGCTTACGCCATCACGTAACACGTGTCACAGTGACAGCAGCTCGGCGCTTGCATAATTCGCTGTCATTCTGGCGGCGTCGCCGTCGTTTCTGCGCCGCCTCCTGAGCATGATTCTGAGGAAGTTCACGCCATTTTCGCTTCCGCTCTCGATTTAGGTCTCGTGCCTGATCCATACTTTGTCTACAACGAGTGTCCTCACTGTGCCATACATAACTGAAAGTCGCATTCTTTGGACTCACTACGAGCTTTCCGAGGTATAGATATACGGCGTGCAAGTCTGCTTGCTCAGATGGTCGTGCGCTACACCGGCAGAACGAGGTGTTGACTACAGTAACACCTCCTATAGTCACTGTTGAGGTGAAAACAGCTGGGAGTCTTTTTCGAAACCTGACCTCCAGCACGTGCTCATCGACTTCCACCGTGCTTAAGCTGCATGTGCTATGTCAAGGCTCTCGAGGCGCCGAAGCTTTATCAAAAGTAGAAATAAGTGTAATGTACACTGCCTTTTATTCACTGAAGCTTGTTCCATTGACAGCTCAGTTGGGAGAGTGGTTGACTTTAGAGGAGGGGTTGGCAACCAACGCCCTGCGGGCCACATTCGGCCCGCGGAGCAATATTATGCGGCCCCCGGATTGCCCCCAAAACTGACCCCCCCCCCCCCCCCCTTTTTCAGACACAAGGACAAGAGGTACGTTTGGCTGCTTGTTTGGGAATCGGCTGATCAGCCGATTCCCAAACAAGCAATGAGCTTAACAATGCATTTGTAGCGAACAACTTCGTTATGTTTTCCGCTGGCCTCCCTGAATTAAAGCTTTCAAATCTACGAAATATTGCAATGGCCTTGATCGAAGTGTCTGCTACGGCACATATATATCTGCGAATATCCTTTTACAAGATGAAGACTATCAAGTCAAATGTGGTTCTTGCAAATGACAGATGAGCACCTCCAAAATGTTTAACGACTCTCGGTTTACGAGTTTAAAACGTGAAGATTTGCATCGTGGCGAGCAATATTGAACACCCAACATTTTACTGAGATGGGATTTGGGCAACCTTATGTTACACGTGCCTGATTCAAGATAACATCCTTACGTATACCTTTTAGTATGTAACAGTCTTTTTTAATCCTCCACTTCTGAGTTCCATATAAACTGTATAAAAGAGTTCCCGATACCTGTCGCCATTTTTTTCTGGGCCATGCTAGCCAGCGATGATTTGTCGCTGATGGAAAAGGCCGGACCAGCGTAAAACTGAAAGTAAAGGTTTAATCGGCGAACTTGTACCAGAAACAAAAGAAAAAATGAGCGTCGAAAACAGCTGCAGCGAACGTCGTGGCGTCAGTGCGACAGCTGGCTGGAGCGAGATTGCGAGAGAGTGCCTCGTCGTCGGAAGAGTCTGAATGAGTCCTGGCCCGGCTCGGCTCCTTATCTAGGTACTACACTCGGTATCTAGAATATTCGACCTGTCCATCCCTGTGCATTTCTTTAACTTTTATCTTGATATATTACAAATATAGGAGGTATTACTGTATCTTAAGTAACTCGTTTGCTTCTGACCACTATTGAGGCTCAAAATTTAAAGTCTGCACAATTCTACCGGGTGGTTCAAGGAGACGGCAGGCTCTTTAAATCGACCGGAAAATTCGGTTTCTTAACCTATCGCGCTACGACTTTGTGCAGCGCTGCCCACAGATGGTGCATTTTTTTTGTAAAATTTGCAAAGAGCGAACTTACCTGAGGAAAAAGTAAAGAAAGAAAAAGGCTTAGCTCCTATGGAAACGCAGCGACACCACCGGTCTTCAAACAACACAGCGCCGTTTCGCACGGGAGACAAGAGATGGCGCAAGTGGTCACGACGCCAACTGTCGCCATCGAACGAGCAGACGACGCCGAAAGCCGGCGTATTTAGCAGACAAGGAACCGCAGTTCCTAGTTGTTACCGCGCCTGTTTTTGTTTCTGCGATTGTCGCCGCCTGCCGAACGCGCGCCGCTTTTGAGTCGAAAAGATTGTCTACTAAAGACGCTGGCTCTCAACACCGTATGCTCGTTTGTTGGCGGCGTTTGTTGCGCCATCTCTCGTCTCCCGTGTGAAACGGCGCTGTGTTGTTTGAAGACCGGTGGTGTCGCTGCGTTTCCATAGGAGCTAAGCCTTTTTCTTTCTTTACTTTTTCCTCAGGTAAGTTCGCTCTTTGCAAATTTTACAAAAATAATGCACCATCTATGGGCAATGCTGCACAAAGTCGTAGCGCGATAGGTTAGGAAACCGAATTTTCCGGTCGACTTAAAGAGCCTGCCGTCTCCTGGAATCACCCGGTACATGATGCAAGTAAAACACAGAAAAGAACAGGTTACCTCACTGTCTCTCAGGTTCAAGTCTCCAGCGAAGATGACACTTCGTTCAGCAGGCTCTTTGATGCACTTCCTGAGGCACCTTCTCAGCTGCACTTTCCTTGGTTTTGCAAACTCTGCCGTGCTCTCGAGGTGGGTATTCAGCAGCGTCAAGGGCCTGTTGTTGAAACTTGCCTAAAGAGGAAGGGAGACAATTTTTGTAAAACCACTGCCCTGAAGTCCCAAGTATATAGCGCGTTCCCACCAGCTCCAAAAAATAAATTAGGAAGAATCTGACTCTTATAATGTGATCCAAAATATTCCTTACCCCATTAAACAAATGGGAGAAGTCGGAAACTTTGTTATCTATAAAGGTTCAATTAAAAAACGTATAAAACTGAAATTCGGTATTCAATGAAAACAACCCCAAAAGTGCTTATTGGAGTCAGCAATATAGCAAAATAAAGGTCAACAAAAACATGCAAAGTTGGATAAATTATTACATTAGCTCTGCTTTCTTCGTTTCCTTCATGCCCGAGCATGCCTGTTCACCAGATGCAGCTAACGAATCCTTCAGGATTAACTCGAGTAATAGAAGCATGATTAATGATCAAAGCCTGCACATCCACTACATCCCCAGCCGAAAGGGCTATCGGCGCAGATCACATTTTTGTGGAGAACTGCTTTGTCGACCTTGTTATTTGCTGCTTCTCCTAGGCAGAACGCAATAATTGGCTCTGTGCATGCTCTGCAAAGAAGTCGAAACGAGGCTCTTGTTCATGCACTGTATGTCTACCACTAGAGCAAATATAGTATTTGTGGTTTTAGGCTACTGCAAACGCTACTCCCACTGCAGTGGTAGCTAATGTTGCTACCACTGCAAATGCTAACCTCAAAGTGGATTTACATTTTAGAAAGCTTTTTTTTAAAGGTTGGTTCTTGCCTACTACTAGTTACTCTTTTAAAGGGAATGTCCATTCGTGTAAAAATTTAAGTTTTTACTTTGTATGCACCGACCTTCTGGACCTTTAGAGCTGTGAAAAGAGAATGTAAGACGTACTGAACCGTAAGCTTACTTTGACATAGGTAACATTTCTTCCCATTGCCGTGTTTGAAAACGGGTAGACTTCGTGACTCTCATATTTCACCCTACTCTTCCTGAGCAGTGTTGCTGTGAAGTACTCAACAGTGTTCCCAACCAGGAGCTTGTAACCTGGCAGAGACTGCTCCATAACCTTGACAGACGTGGGCACCACCTCTTGAAGGAACACAACATCAATGCCAGAGCTGAAAACAGACCAACATAAAGACATTTGAAAAAAAAGAAATCCTCAATCGTGGAGTATTTTGATTAGGCACTACTGATGAAACACTTTCCAGTCTTTAAAGTGGACTTACATTCTTTCAAAGCAGAGAAACTGTACATACTCTGCTTATAGAAAAGAGTGCATTGGAATGGTCTGCCTCAGTCAAAATGTTGTATCTGCCTAACTATTGCAGGAAGCAACTATCATCGTCGGCATGCTCTGCATAGTTTGCTTGCCGGAAATTTGCAGTGGGCACTTTAAATTATTGCTTGCGCTATAAGAATGCAATTACACACAACACAGCTGGTGCACACAACATTCAAAGGCTGAGCAAGAAGCTTCATTGAAGAGAAATATGATGAAGAGTCCAGCTAATCAAACTTCTGTGCAAGATCTCCAGTTCGAGTACAATCAGCAAAATGTAAGTTCCGCCCAAAATGCGGCACTCTGCAAGGCCACTTCACTGCAATACTTTTGGGGAGTTTCGTGCATGTGACTGTTTCTTGCCAATAAGAATTTGGCAGCAAAGGAAAAAGGAATGCGGTACTTTGGCTCTCCTAAATAGTTATTCTATTTCAAGCAGCAGTGCAATGGTATGTTGTGGGTTTAAGTCTCATAGCAAAAAGGCCTAGAAGCTAGAAAACAGAAAGAATAAAATATAGAGAGGACGAAACAGACCAGCATTTTATTCTTTGTTATCTTGTATACGTTACCAACACGCTCGATAACATAAAATCGAGAAGCACAGTGCAAATCAATAAATCAACCAATCTTATTTTTCTTTCCTGGAAGTCAGGTTCCCAGAAATCTTCAGGTCCCTGGTATGGCCACTACTAGCATACACTCTGGAGTGTGGTGTGCCATACGATCACCACCAGCTAACAAATGCCAGAGCCAGCTGCAGAAATTTTAAAGGATGTCAGACCCAACCTTGGCAGAGGGGCTGTTAGGGGGCTGTGTGTGCCATTTAAGTGCACGTTACAATGTAAGCCCAGAGTCTCCAACACTGAACTTGCCCACATCAAAAGCATAGTATGCTAGCAGTTCACTCTCTGCAGCTACCGACAGGATAGTAACGGCAGAGAAAGATCATTAAGTTGTCCTGCCTGGGCTTCCTACCTTCGATAACACTTCAGCATCTCACGAGTTTATAGCGTTATGATTCACTTTCACGGGAGCCTATCGACGTTAAAAAGTCTGCCTAAGACTCGAGCTCGTCTCCCGGTTTCCTCGACGGCGAAGCGACCATGTCCCTGCAGGCACGTGGCACCCAGTGGATTATTCTAAGAGGTACGTGCTCGGTGCCACCGAGTTGTTTGGAGCCACCCAAACAAAGGATGTGGGGCATCGGGGCTGGCCGTGTCAGCACCGAGAGAGAAAGACTGCATTGCTGGCACGTCTGAGGAATGCATCGCTGCCAAACCATGTTGGCCTGCTTTTCCACGAGACCCAAAAATAACTTGGAAGCAGCTATGCGACTGCTTCTGTGCTAGTCTGTGCGCACAAAGGGCAAAGCCTGACAGACTGGGGCACGACTATTCTACAGGATTGGCCGCAAACTCTGCTACAAGTGATTCCTGGCTATAAATGCAGGGAGAAGACGCCCGTTAAAAAGAGCAGATCTGTGCTCGTGCTAAACGAGCAAACTGTAAATATGCAAACAAACTGGTGACAAGAGACCATCCTGCTGATCTCGTCACCAATGCGTGACTGAAGGCGCTTGTACTAGAAGCTGGGCATATGGAAGAGATGCCCTGCACGTCTTATCCTTTAACTATAAGGTATTGCAACAAGGATCCCCTATGACGCAATACAGTTTCTTTAATAATGACTTCAAACACTTAAATGTAACCATTTGACAGAAATCTGTTTAGTTAGCAGAATCGAATTAAAGAAAAACTTCCAACCGGGCCCTAAATCTCGGAAACGAAATGTTCCAAGCCTACATAGCCTTGTCTTCAGGGGTGATTACTTGCAACGTTTATGGCCTATAGGGAGTGCACTAGCTCCTCTCAGAATGGCTGCCATCTGAATGGTTCTTCGTAGAACAGTGGTACAAGATTGGGTCTGCGATGCGCAAGTAATTCTAATTTTCTACTTCTACAACAGGAGGGTGTAAGCAAGCACCTTCATTCTGAAGCCGATCCTCCAGAAGCTAGGCAGCGCGGTTCTCGCACCTCAGTACCCCATCGCTAAAAGCTGCGAATGGCTATGGCCGGGGAGGAGCAATATCTTTCTTCTTCTACAGTGGTGTTTCTGTTTGGGTTCCCAAGATTTAGGGTATGGTTGGAAGTCTTTTTGTATTAATTTCAAACAATTTTCATACTTTTATCTGATACAAAATATTGAAGGCTAAGCTGCCATAAATTTTGCTTTGCTTGAGCAGCATTTGCATTTTGAGGATTAGATGGACACTCTATCTTTCTAACAAATGCAGACAAACAAGTTGTTTAGGGTCTCTGTTTCTACAGTGACTGTGGGAACCCCACCTCCCTAACCTCTAAACTGTCAAGCAACTCAAAAACCTGCCCAAACCTTTCAATAATAGAGCAGACTGCCTTTGTTCTGAGTAGCAGGTTCTTGTCATCAATGCCATCTATGTTCCATGTGATGAACTTCAGTGTGCCTGGATCTTGTTCCACGCTTGGAGGCGCTCCAGACATACTGCTGGTTGCAGCTTCGGCAAAGATGGCTGTCGCAGCCGCAGCGAGGGTGGGACGACTGCCACTGTAACAGGACACAGGTTCAAAGAGTACAAGGTTCAATGACACTCGTTGGATTCCTCGTAATCTCAACACGGTCAGTTGTAGAAGCTAGTTGCCTAGCAACTGGGTGGTGCTTGACGTACTGTAGCGCACCACAAGAAAGTTGGATCGGACTCAATTTTTGAATGTGGCTGAGCTTGCACTGTATAAAGCCGAGAAAAAGACGAGTGATGTGCATTCTCGGGCCAGTCGGCGTCGCACATCCGGTGTTCCAATTGGAAAAAGAATCTTGCTTGTTTGGAAGCAGTTAGGACTTGGGAGTTGGTTATTGCAACATTGGAACAGTTCTAGCGGAGCGGTTGTCATGGACAGCGGACAAGCTTAATGACCAGACACATTTGTGCTACTGCCGGGAGCTGCTAGGTTTTCCGAGGTTATCACTCTTGACTGCGATCGACTGCATTTCAGTGCAACTGTGTGCAGTTTTCAGCAATGTAAACAATCTATTCGGTGCACCTGGTCAAGAATGTGGCTGGTGGGATGCCGCCCGTGCTTTGGGGAATTGCAAATTATTTCGAAGGGAAGCATTGCGGCTCCCAGCAGCAGCACTAACGCGGCTGGTCAGTGTGCACCCGTTGAGATGGGCGGCGTTATCGCAATTTTCTCCGCTTGAAATGGTACGAAGGTGTTCATCATGCACCCCTAATGGACCTTCCATATGACCGGAGACTCTACAAGCTCCTGTTAAAATAGCATACAACAGTGCGCCTTATTTTTCTTTGCGAATGTGTTCCGACCCCGTGGACATGGAGGGGGAGACCGCAACTCTGTCGGGGGGCCAGCTGTGTTTATACCTCTGGCAAGGAGGGGTGCTCAGACAGGAAAGGAGGACGATCGTCTGCTGAGGGTCTGCTGCCGCGGGCCTCGGCCACCCCCGCGGGCGCTGGGCGTTGCCCGGGAAGGTGAAAAGAAGACACTCAGCTTCCAGGCACCGATGAAGACGTTCGCGTAGGAAACCTTTCAATGTACTCTTTGTCATTGTTTAACCTTATCTAACCGTAATAAAGTCTTTCTTTTATTCGTTTCTTTAAAAACGGTGACTTCTTGGACCATCAAGTTAACAAATCAGAAGTGGGATGTACATCGGAACCGTGCTTTTGGAAGCTGATGTCACTGGAGAGCGTCGACACATCGGAGGGCGTCGACACATCGGAGGGCGTCGACAACGAGGCATGGTGAGCAACGCATGACTTTCAACTGACACCACTGCTACTATCTTTGTGAGGAGCAGTACAGTCGAGGTCAAGTCTTAGTGACAATGCGTCTAAACATTTCTTCGTGAAATCTACTTGCCTCAACATCTAAAGCGATCAACTGTGTGTTCATCGCGTGAAAAAAGAAACTGGAACTCGAAGATGATTGAGGGCAAAATGAACCAAGAACTCATTGCAGCTTTATTAGATCAAAACAAAAAACTGATGGAACTCATGGACAGAAAACCTGAAACATTTCACATAATGCCCGATCTCAACAAAGCCATTGCCGACTTCGATGGCGAGGGGTCCAGTCACGAAGCCCGCGGCTGGCTGAAGACTGTTGACACGATGGCCGTGTTGCATGGCTGGCCAGATCATTTCAAGCTAGAAACGGCCAAGCTACACCTGAAAGGGCCAGCTCGTTTTTGGTTATAAGCTCGGATTGAAGAACTCGCAGGCTGGGAGGACTTTAAATTAGCTTTCAACAAGACATTTGTAGGCCAGAGGAGTACCGCGGAAAAGTGGCGAAAAATGCAGGAGCGGACGCAACAGAAGAGTGAATCCATCACCGCATATTTCCTGGAGAAAATGCTACTGTGCAAAGAATTAAATCTCAGCCTTAAAGATGCCAAAGAACAGGTCTTAATTGGACTGAGATCAAGAGATGCTTGCACCTCACTAACAGCAAACGAGCACAAGGATGAAGATGAGCTTCTGGCGGATTTGAGAAGATTAGAAAGAGTCAGCGGTTCGAGAATTCAGAGGTCTCCTGCCGACAGGGCGCAAGGAGTAACTTCGGGTTCAGCTCAACTTGTAAAGCCTCCCTCGTCTAGACCATGGGCTAGTGCACAGCAGGGAGTCCAGCCTAGTTCGGCTACCACCCAGGTGGATAAGACCAGTGCTACACCCACTGACAGAAGACCAGGAGCCACGCCTCCCAAGCGCGACGCCACGGAACGAAACCTTGCTACAGTAAGATGCTATGGCTGTGATGAATACGGCCATTTAGCTAAGAACTGTCCGGACAAAGCCAAACCCACCGGAAACTTTGCAGCGAATCCAAATAACAACGATCCAACAAAGTTCCTGAAGACAGCCACCATTAACGGGGTTCAACAGGTGTCTGCCATGATCGACCCACGAAGCTCAGAATGTATCATGGGACACGCTGCAGCGGTCAAGTGCGAACTGCAGATTACCTGCTCATCAAAGGGACTGTACGGCTTCGGAAGCACCGACGATTGGATCTGCTTTCATCGACATCTCCATCGACGACTTTGTGTGTAAGGGGGTCGAGGTTCTCATCGTGCCAGACAGCGTACAACCTGTAGACATCCTAGTTGGGCAGACGTGGACGGAGCAGCCCCACATCGCATATCTATGAAATGGCAACGAGCTGCGAATTGGATATGGGATGACCTGCCCTTTTGCAACATCGAGCTGCCTCTGCCACCAACAAAGGACAGCTTAACAGTGAGTGAGACGACCACACTTCCCAAGAAAAGTGTGTGCTGGGTCACCCTGCAGTCCAAAGAAAAACGAGACTCCAATATCATTATGCGTGACGAGCTTGGAGGAGAAAATCTGCACCACTTGACAGATGGAAAGGTGAATGTCCCGATCGTCAACGACTCATCCACTGACAGACATCTTTGGAAAGGTCAGATGTTTATGCATGCCGAAATCTTGGATGACGAGGACGAGCTGCATGTGGCACGCATTGATACTGATCGAAAGGAACCGATCTTAGAGAGTCAAGTGAACTTTGATCAGGACACTGCAGAAGCTGAGGTGTCAGCACTGATGGTAGTGCTCAATAATTACAGACTGTTTTGCCCTCTCTCTTGCGGAGCTTGGATGTACCCATTTGACTGAAATGACTGTCATTGAAAAACCTGGCAGTGTCCTTGTACACTGCAAGCCCTATCGCAATAACTTTGCAGAGCGAAACGCAATTCCAAAAACTGTTACGGAGTGGAAGGACTGCGGGTTAGTAACGGAGACGTTCTCGCCATATGCTAGTCCTGTTCTCCTGGTAAAAAGAAGAACGGAGAGGACAGGTTGGTCGTGGACTTCCACAGGCTCAACAGCCAAACAATCCCAGACAGGTTTCCGCTGCCTGACATCGATGACTAACTTGCGCAGCTCGCAGGCGCGAAGTTGTTCTGCGTTCTGGACTGCGCTAACAGGTATCTTCAGATCCCCCTGAGCGAAGATTCCAAGGCTAAGACAGCATTCATAACCCCAGATGAGACTGGACAGTTTGAGCGGATCGTTTTCGGACTCAAAAATGGTCCAGCCGTGTTTCAACGTTTGATGAACCAGGTACTGGGACCCTTGCGAAACAATGTAGCTATGTGCTATCCCGACGACATTCCCATTCCTGCAAGGAATTGGGAAGAGATGCCGGAGAAGCTGAAGAAAGTGCTGGACACCATCAGAGAGGCAGGCCTTACTCTAAAGCTGCCGAAATGTTTCTTTGGAAGAAGAGAGCTCGAATATCTCGGATTCAGGATACGGGAAGGGTTTCTGCTCCCTGGAGAACAGAAGACAGAGGCAATTGCGAACATGAAACCCCCAGAGGATGTACATGGCGTGAGGCAGTTTCTTGGGGTGACAAGTTTCTTTCGGAGGTTCATCGCGCACTACGCGACAAAGGCAGAGCCGCTGTCAAGATTGCTTCGGAAGAACATAGACTTTGTGTGGGATGACAAGCAGCAGGAGGCGTTCGAGCAGCTGAAAAAGGAACTAACCTCGTCACCAGTGTTGAGGCTGTACGACCCTGCGGCTCCCATCGAGTTGCACACCGATGCAAGTGTTAAGGGCCTTGCTGGCATGCTGCTGCAGCAGGATGTGGATGGGAAATGGCACCTAGTATTTTGCGTCAGTAAAAAGACCACAGACGCTGAGAAGAACTACCACTCTGGGAAGTTGGAGTTGATGGCAATCGTGTGGGCCGTCGACCGGCTAAAAGTCTTACTTTTGGGGATTCCATTCGTGCTCGTGACGGACTGCCAGGCAACCGTGTACCTGAACACGCACCGTACGCTGAAGCTGCAGATCACGAGGTGGTTTGATCTTCTTCAAGAATACTCATACGAGGTGACGTACCGGCCAGGAGAAAAGATGGCCCACGTCGACTGCCTGAGTAGGAGTCCGGAAGGACCAGCAATGGACACAATGAACAAACTTCTGAGTTCTCGGGTTGATGTCTACGTCACCATGAATCTCGATGATCAAGTGATCATGATTCAGTGATCGGACCCAGCAGAGCTGGCAAGAATTCTGTGGAAACCGACGGCAGAAAGGACAGAAGAAGAAAAGCGAAGAGTGAAAGAGCTGAAGCTCAAGGATGGCAAGCTCTTCTGCATCGAAGAGGATGGACGGAAGTTGCTCTTCGTCATGCCAAAAGCGATGAGAAAAACGCTGTGCGTTAAATTTCATGACATGCAAGGACACTTCAGTGTTGATCGAACTGTGGCCAGGATAAAGGAGCTCTCTTGGTTTCCACAAATGAAACGTTATGTGAAACAGCACATCCAAGGCTGCTTCGAGTGCCTCCTTGCCAAAGTTCCAGCAGAGAAGAAACCTGGATTTCTTCACTCAATCCCTCCAGGAAAACGACCATTCGAGGTGGTGCACCCCGACCACGTTGGACCAATCGTCCGAAGTGGAAGACGCAATCAGTGGATCTTGGTGTTGATTGACAACTTGACCAAGTTTGTGAAGCGGTACCCCGTACGAGACACTTCAACAAAAATCGTGCTGCGATGCTTGCAGAGCTTTATCACAGAGTTTGGCCTGCCACATAGCATCATCTCGGATTGAGGATCTTGCTTCACATCACACGAGTTCGAGAGCTTCTGTCAAGAGAAAGGAGTCTATCACACCCTCAACTCGGCTCATCACCTAAGAGCAAATGGCCAGGTCGAACGCGTCAATAGGACCTTAATCCCGACGATAATAACTACGGTTGAAGACCCAAACCACAAAGACTGGGATCTCAAGATCAAAGAAGTTGAGAGCTACCTAAACGCAGCCTACAACGCGTCGACAGGCATCAGCCCGTTCAAAATGCTGCATGGTTACCAGCCTCGAGTCGAAGACGGACTTTTGCGCTGGCTCAACAGAGAAAATGAACAATGGGAGCAGCCGGAGAATCTTCATCAGTCGGGCCAAGAGGCTATACTGCACAAGCAAGAGAAGTCAAGTGAATACTTTGACAAGAGCCATTTCGCCGCTCAAAAGTTAAAAGTTGGAGGTCTTGTTGTGATGCGTTGTCCTCGAGAGCGCACAGGAGAGTCAACAAAAAAACAAGCTAGATTTAGGGGTCCCCTTTTTGTGACCGAAGTTCTTCCAAGCGACACATATAGAGTGTCGGAAGTGAAAGGCACAAAAAAGCGGATCTACGCGACCACGGCCCACATCACTCAGCTGAACTTGTGGAGGAGGCCAGGTGGTGAAACTTCGAGCGACTCTTCTGGTGAAGAACAAGAGGACAACCCCACTGAACCACCGCCACGAAAAAGTGGGAGGTCTCGCAAGCCGCCTGCTTACCTGAAGGACTATACGTCTGTGTGAAGTGAAGTGATGTGTGCAATCTATGGTGTAATGTAGTCTTTTACTTTGGCCTTTAGAAACTGAGGACAGTTAAAACCCAGTATGGCCGAGTTTTAAAATAACATACAACAGTGCGCCTTATTTTTCTTTGTGAATGTGTTCCGACCCCGTGGACATGGAGGGGGAGACCGCAACTCTGATGGGGGGCCAGCTGTGTTTATACCTCTGGCAAGGAGGGGTGCTCAGACAGGAAAGGAGGACGATCGTTTGCTGAGCGTCTGCTGCCGCGGGGCCTCGACCACCCCTGCGGGCGCTGGGCGTTGCCCGGGAAGGTGAAAAGAAGACACTCAGCTTCCAGGCACCGATGGAGGATGTTCCGTGTCGGAAACCTTTCAATGTACTCTTTGTCATTGTTTAACCTTATCTAACTGTAATAAAGTCTTTCTTTTATTCGTTACTTTAAAAACGGTGACTTCTTGGACCATCAATTTAACACTCCACACAAATGTGCTCGGCAACGCTGTGTGCCGTCTTTCCGCAACTGCACAATTCACACGGAGATCTCTGAACCAGTCTTATAATAGGACCGATCGTCGCGGCACCTTGTAAGGGTCAGGCTGCAATGGGAGACATACAGTCGCACAAGGTCGATCCTTTGCAACTCCGTGCCAGCATAAAGTCCATCGCTTGCTCGGGTCACGGGCGGGCTGTCACAAACAACACACCTGTGTATGGTTGAAAAAACCCCGAGACTGCGGGTAAACGATACAACACTAAAAGAGACTTTTTAGTGTTGTGTCGTTTACCTGCTGTCTCGGGTTTTTTCTTCAACCATGTGCAATGTACACCAGCTCGTTTGCGCCCTTACATTTTGTTCATTACACCTGTGTCTCATTTTGTTCCACCTTCCGGCGCACTTAAGGGCCTTTGAGAAAACCTTGCAGTAGTCTGCCGAAAAAGCGCCGTTCGAACTAATTCCGGCAGAACGACCGTCGCTGGAAATTTAGGCAGGGTCCTGTCGACGGGGCGTCCTCAAAGTAAAGGCCCTCCAATGGCCCCATCATCCGGCAAGACAGAAAACTTACTCGACGACAAGAACGACGTCTGCTCGATTATCCGTCCCCGACACTCGGACAGCGCCTTTGTTGTTTCTGTCTTCGAAAAAGTCGTTCACAGATCTCTGCAAGGCAACAAAGGTGAGAATGAGAAGGCCTGGTCACTGAACAGCGAAGTCAGTGGGTAGCACGTATCTTCGTGACAAGATAGTTTGAGAGATGGAGATGTAAGCAACAGGGAAGAGAGCAATTCAAGCTTACCTCCAAGTTCCACGACCTGTCTTGCAAGTAAAACTGTGCGCAGGCCGTGTCCGTTTGAGTAATGGAAGCGAACTCTTCGCACAACTGTTGGCAGACCTTGCCATCGGGAATATCGTCGTCCGTCTCTGAACTGCTCATCGTGTTCAATGTCTATCACGGATTCAAAGGGGACTGCCGCCAACTGCCTGCCAAAACCGCCGTCGTTTGTGGCTCAATTCGGCTATGGCTATGGCTGCGACTAGAAAGAGAAACAGCCGTCAGTCAGAATTTGCGCCCAAAATATGGAATCCAAAACAAAACCAGGGCAGTGCCACTATGGTGCCTGGAGCGCGTCTTCGACTGGTGTGTTTACCGCGGCCAAAAAAGTGGTCCCTCGATTTCCGCCTGGTGACGTCATAGAAGTGTCATGCTGTCGCCGCTCGCGACCCTGGCGGCGTCCCACCAGCTGTGGTGTACGTCGCAGATGCCTGTTCTGCTGCAGGTCGCTTTCCACTGTGACAGTTCACGGAAGCTAAAGCAGCGGGAGTTGGGACGCCTAAAGGGACGCCGTGACGACAGCGACACTCACGTTCGCTCGAGCTTTTCGCCAGCATTTCTACGGCCAACCGCCAGGATCGCGACAGGCAACAGCATGACACTCGCGTCATTTGTTGCCACATCGGGACCACTTTTGATCTATGGGTGGGATAGGACGCTAAACACACCAGTCAAAGACCCGATCCAGGCACCATAGTGCCACTGCTACCCTTGGGTATGCAACCAATACCACCTAGAACAAAAGGCCTGCGCGTTTCCTCCTCTGAACGTCATCACTAGTAGATCCCCTCAGCCGCCTCAGCGCCCCCTAGCTAACCCGGATGAGCAACATCGTCTGCTACATCGTCTGCAACATCGTCTGCAACATCGTCTGCTCCATTGACTGCTTCAGTGGTTTGTGTAGCAGATAATGAAACAGATGCTCATGTCGAGTGTCTTTTGAAGTCGAGGAAGTTAAACGTTCACGTGGAGCGTTAAATGCATGAGTGAAAGTGCCTTACTGCTGTGCGATGGGCCGCAAAGCCCTCCGCTGGGCGCTGGACGCTGGCACTGGACGCCATTTTTGAGGGCGCTGTTCATACTAGAGCACTGCACGGGCCGGAATTTCTAGGCCCGGCCCGACCCGGCCCGGTAGAGACACGACCCGTGCCCGGCCCGAGCCCGGCAAAATTTTTAATTTCTAGGCCCGGCCCGACCCGGCCCGGAAGAGACACGGCCCGGGCCCGGCCCGAGCCCGACAGAATTTTTTAATTTCTAGGCCCTGCCCGACCCGGCCCGATGGCTGTAGCCCGAAACGACCCATTCCCATTTGAACCGGTCCCGTTTCGACCCGTTCCCGAAACGAGCTCCCCATTTGAACTCGCCCTGTTTCGACCCATTCTTTAAACGCCCTTCCCATACGAACCCGTCCCGTTCCGATCAGTTCCCTAAACGCCCTTCTCGTTTGAATTTGTCCTGTTTCGACCTATTCCCTAAACGCCCTTCTTATTTGAACCAGTTTCCGAAACACCGTTTGCGTTTGATCGCGTCCCGTTTCAACCTAAATCTTCCTAATAGTGAACTAGATATTTTTGAGAGCGATGAATCAGACAGGTAGACAAGCATATGACTGGGACTTTATTTTGTTTACAATTTATAACACTGAACCCTCGCTCACACGGAAAAAGCTTGAAGGCTTTCTAGCTTCAAGACCTCTTTTAGTTATTATTTTTAACGACGCTGTAATGAATTTGCACTTCGCTTTTTTTTTTTTTTTTTTGTATTCATTGAACCTAAAAGATTAATGAGCAAAATTCTTGCTATCAACAACAATTTATGATTTACGGCACAAGATTGCCCAGGCACGGCCCGAGAATTTTTTTGTTCAAGCCCGAGCCCGGCCCGGGCCCGAGAAAATACGTGCTACCCGGCCCGAGCCAGGCCAATACTTGGCCAGGCCCGCGGGCCGGGCTGTCCCTCCTCCCTTTCCTCCTCTCCCTCCTTTTTTTCTCTCTCGCGGGGCTTTGCAACACCTCCTAGGGCTTTGCCGTGGGGGGTCCAAGGTTGGGGGGTCTCCGAATACGCGTATCAGTCATCGTCGTGTCGTCGTCGTAACCGTCATGACCGCGAAAATGGAACGATCCTATCCGACATCAGCGACCCGGTGTCGAAGCGCAGTCGTAGGCTGCTCTCGATACTCTGCAACTTCTGGGTGCGACTGGGTCGGCAGTGGAACATGTGGTCAGACATCGAGGTGGGCCTCGCCGCCGCGAAAACTGACCGCGAAGCCAAAAGAGCCGAACTGGACGCGGTCAGGGCCAAGGTCAACCAGCTGTCCCAGCATCAACCCGGAGAGGCTGGCGGCAGCGCAAGGAGAGCTCGCGGCCGAAAACAAGGCGCTGGCGACCAAGGAGCCAAAGCAGGCGGTTGTGATGAACGGCTACAAGAACTTAAAAAGTGCCAAATGCCAGGTGCCCCAGCAGCTGAAGAAAAGGTTTGTTTTTGTCGTTCCTATCTATTGAGTGGACGAGTACTGACGCGAGATTGCCGAGTTCAGGTTCGCATGATAGTGGGTAAGCCGGTAGACCCAAAAGCTGCCTGCCTTTGTTTCCACTAGTGATGGGCCGAACTTTTGCCGAATCGAAAGTTCGGTGCCGAATCTTGGGATTCATCAGGCAAAGCCGAACTTTTGCCGAACTTTTCTAAAGATTCGGCAAAAATGCATTGTTACCAGACTCGTTGATATTTCGGTTTGTTCTGGCGAAAAAAAAGGTTTTATGTTCCTTTTTTTCTTAACTTAAATTTGAAATAAAAAAAATATATATAATCTACGGTGATATTACATTTTGTGGCGTTGATCATCCTTATCCAGCGGACACATCTTCATGAGTCAGGGAATTAACTGTGCTGAACCGTGTTCAGCGAAAATCGAGAAGCGCTGTGGGGTCGTCTGCTCTGTTTCTAGCAGACGACAAAGCGAGGGTGTGCGCGCAGGCGCGAAGAGCGAATCCGCCACATGGGGTATGGGATGGCCGCCGCTGTGCCGAGGCTCTCCGGACGCAACAACGGCAATGTCTAACAAACAGAAACGCCTCTCCGAGTTATGGGAGAGCTCATCATTAAAGCGTCCACGTACAAGTCAACTTCTTCAACTGATCACATTGTAACTGATGTCTTGTGTTGGCTGGCAATGTGCACAATTTTTCTGAAATATATGCATGTTGACTTCATGATGTTTACGCGAGTTCATAGTAATTTTGAAGTTCATTTATTTTGCCTCATTTTACTTGTTTCTATTCCACCACTTCCACATTCTTTGGTATAAATATTGTCATTTCCTCTACGGAGAGACATCGCCTTTCCTAACAAACTATTTCAATGGCGAGGGTAGAAAGTTGGGCGAGTTGGTGATTCATAATACTTAAAAAGCGCAACCAACAGTACAAGGGACACAGGAGGAGACACAGACGCTGTGTCTCCTTCTGTGTCCCTTGTACTGTTGCGCTTTTTAAGTATTATTTCAATGGCTTTGTTCGCGCTTTCGTTTTCGTACATGCATTTTGTATTTTTTCATGACACATCGCCCGTATACATTCTTTCACAACCTGTTTTACGATGTAAGAGGTTTTTCTCACACTTGTTTGTGTTGATGGACATGTCTTTTCTGAACGCGGTCGTTCAGAAAAATGCCGATTCTTTTCTGAACGCGATCGTTCAGAAAAATGCCGGGACGAGTGTGCATGCTAGCTACCATATGTAGGGAGACGCCTGGAGATTCATTGTGGGTGGCATTCTTTCCTCAAAGTACACACAGTACACACAAAGTACACACGGACGAGGTGCCCGTGCATGCATTGCGTCCAGTGTCATCTGCGCGAGATTGCGCATGGCAAAATACAACCACAATAATCAACGTCACTAGAATAAGAGACCCGAAACGCGCTTTATAAACCCCCGAGCGGACGGTTGAACCTTAGCCCCCCCAGAAAAAAAATCCTGGCTACGCGTCACATTTTTTTTTTTGTCGCCAGTTTGATTATTAATGTGTTTCTAATGACCCTTCGTATTCGTGCTTGGGCTGGCAGCAGGAAACAACTGTCATGAAAGTCAACCAGATGACCATGCGAAAGGAGCAGCGAATATTGACGGTACGTCTTTGCGATGTTTTTTTTTTCTACCATGCTATTCATGGTGCTTTTCATACTCTTTTGTGCATGTCGCGCATTTTTAGCACTTCTCGCTATTTTTTTCAACGCATTATAAAAACGACTCATACAGTGTGGATCGACTAATAATTATTTTTATCTCACTTGCAAGGAGTCACTGAAATTGCCAGTAAATTACTGGCAATTTCAGTGACTCCTTGCAGAAGTGGCGTGACAACAAGGTTGGGTAGAAGCGAGCGTGGCGCAGTCACGAATCGCGCTACGAGAGTTTTGGTTTTGAGGCATCATCAGCACAAGCCTGCACGTGTGTTGCTCTTGCTTTCTCTGGGAGTCACCGTTTCGTGCGCGAAAACGAATGCAACGGTTGCTGAGCCTTCACCAGAAGAGAGAATAATAATATTGTAAATATGCATGTTCTCCAATTTTAGTCACTTGACGTCAGCTTTGCATGAAATTGTGAGTCCCATATTCGCAACGTCTCGTTTTTAACGTTTCAAATGCCTGTTTCTGGTGTTAGGACACACACGAACGTTTCGGAAGGTAGGGAGAGTGAATGTCGGATGTGCAACGTCGAGCATTATAACTCTGTGTTTAGTTTTATGCAGATACATGCAAATCGCAAAATAACACTAATTGAAAAAAAAAATATATATATATTATTTTGTTTTTGCACAAACAATACTTGTGAGTTGAAAACAGAATTGTTATAATTGCGAGGAGTGCTTTAAAGTAATTGTCGGCCAATATCTCAATGTTTCAGAATGCACCGCATCATTAGTCACTTGCGCAGTGGACTGCGTAAATTACTAGTCGATCTTCTATTCTTGAGGCAGAAAATATCCAAGAGAACCACACTCGCTCACAAACGCACAGTTACCGTGTTCCCTACCCCACACCTCGCCGTAACCGCTAGTTGTACTACACTGCACGATGGTAACCGCACGACTGCACGGCGTCCATTTGCAATCCAAGACTCCGTTGCACTATCCTCCTTGCTCCGTTGGCTCCGTCCAAGGCTCCGTCGCGTTCTCGCGGGTGCGCAGACATTTGCCGAATCTTTGGCGAACTTTCCTGCAAAAGTTCAGCGTTTGCCGAACTTTGCCGAGTCTGAAGTTCGGCAGATTCGGTCCATCACTAGTTTCCACTACACTCGTCGAACGCGTCCGAATGCGAAAGGCAAATGGCGGACGCCGGCGTTCCGCGTTTTGAAGCGTTTGATGAGTGCAGTGGAGAAAAAAGCAGCTAGCTTGAGGTCTCCCCACTAGTCCTTCCAACCGGAGCTCTGGCTCCCTCAGTTTTGCGGCACATTGTTTCATTTCCTATTTTCCACCAACATACAGTGCGTAAGGGACCTTCACAGTGCCTCCTTTTTAGGCATTTTTCAAAAAATGAACTGTTGGGTAAACACGGCACGAACATAATAATAATCTTAATTCAATGCTGAGGGGTTGTGACAACACAGAAAGGTCATTCGGCCATGTCTGAGGCCTGCAGCGATGCGTAATGAGGCAATTTTTCTCAAATGTTTGCGGCTTTCCGTGCCAATACTGCATGAGAATGTCGCTTTGATCGCACCTTTTGTACAAATTCATGCAAGCAGACAAATGACCAACCTAAATGGCAGCCTTTCAGCCGCTTTTCCGTTTTAGTCCAGTTCTAAACCGTGGCAGATGAAAATTGCTCTTTTGATCACCTCAAAATCTTGTTTCGATTTGTTTCAGTTTCAATGGTGTGAACATAATTGACCAGTACAAAGTGGCGACCCATAAGTCCCTCGGTTAAATATCTGTCAACAAAAGCCTTTAAAGCCAAGTTTTTTGTGGTAAGAGAGTGGTGTAGCACAATGACATATTGAACATTCAGGCCTCATATGTCCTCGGCTTGTGGTAGTATCTTCTTTCTTCCTTCACCAGCCTCAAGAAGGCTGCCATTAGTTAGTCACAGGTGTCATACATAGATGGATGGATGGATGCTAACAACTGTACCCTTTATAACGGGTCGGGCGGTAGCTTGCGCCACCTACTTGCGGTGACAATTGGGATCAAAATTGCCATAGTGAACTTCGAAAAGGGTCTGTGATCTCGTGGTCTGCCACACCCTGTGCATTCTCTGCAGTGAGGTGGAGGTCCTCGACCTGAAGTCTGCAGTGCACGACGTCCGAGCCAGAATCTGCCTTTCGCAGGAGCGGCAGCAACGGTGCGTGGCGGAGGAAGCGAAAACAGCGTCCCAGCTGCAGGAGGAGCGTCGTCATCTGCAAGCCAGGGTAGACGAGTTGCGCCGCAAGATGCAGAAGGCTCCGAGAGAGCGAGAGGCCTTGACCAACCTCAAGACCCAGCTGCTCTTTAGCCTGGCCGTTGCGCAGCGGCTGGAGTCGTTGGTGCAGGCCAAGGACGAAGCGTCCGCGCGCAGGTCCGTCCCGTACTCTGTCTTTTTTCATAGCCCTCCGTCGCACCGCACTTGGTGTCCTAAAACCGCCGCGGCGGCCTGGGCGGTTGTCTTGCGACGAGTTTGCTTCGACTTGTAACGTCGGAGTTCGGTGCGACTCGTAACGTCCTTGCTTAAAAAGCTTGCTTAAAAAGTGCTCTTCTCTATCCGTGTTGTTTTGAGATTGGTTCACATATTGATCGTGCTGCACTGGCTTCCAGCCAGCTGCGACCAGAGGACGCACTGGCGCTTCCATTTTGCCTAGTATATATTTTCTGCCCTGCCGCAGCGCAACTGCCAACCGTAATCTCGTGGCTAAGTAAATGTTTCCCTCATGCTCGTACAATCTAATTTTTTTATGCATCATTCACTTACCGTGGTCTCGAAATAATTCTGACAATGTTATAGGCAACCATTGCTCGTATGTAATGCATAGATTTGTCCTCGCAAAAACTGCGAAACCTTGTCTGTGGACTAGACGTGCTCCGGGGCTGCCTGACAGATGGTGTTCGTGTGCCCTCCTCGTAAGCAGTTGCGAGAGATCGCGCAAGACGCTAAACGCATATGTGTACACCAGTCTTTAAGCGTAATTCTATATCAGGAATAACTAACCAAATATAAATTTTTTTTTTGTTTTCTTTAGGGGAGCAGTTTAAAGGCACGTCTGCACTTTTGTGTTCTCTGCTTTGTTTTATCGGGGGGAAAGTTCCGCGGCCTTTTTGAAAAGAGGAGGAGTGCGCATGCGCAGCCTTGGGTGCAGCTCGAGGCGCGTGAGCACACGTGTTCCCACACCTTTGACTGCATTGCCACAGAATGTCGTCCCCGATTATAGCAGAATCCGAGAAAGTTGTCCCCTCTCCAACTGCTTGAGTTATGCTCTCGTCCCCATACTTTTGGTAACACTGCCCGTAACTGTAATCATTGACAAAGTGATAACGGCGGGAAGGAGCTGTTCTTGCCCCGATTTGCCCGTGCCTTTGAACGCAGGAAGAGTGCGGAGGACAAATACCACCCCCTGCTGAAGGAGAGGGAGGCAGAGGCCGAAAGGAAGAGCCAGCTGGACGGCCAGACGGCGTTCCAGCACCAGGCCATGCAGTCCAAGCTCAGTGTCAAGAAGGGCGTGAGTTGCGATGAAAATCTTCGCAACCGCGAGGGGCGCTGGAGTCTGCAGGAGAGTCAGCGGTCTCTGGTGATCTGTTGGTTCGCGGGTGCCAGCACTCTTCTGAGGCTGCTACAAGTTCTGCTGTTTTGACTGTGAGTAATCATAATATACATTAGGGTAATAATAAATAATAGCCCCTTCCCCTGGCAAATAGCGAGCGCTCGCCGAGCAGATTCTTGTTTCCCTCGCAAGATGCGAGCAATCGCTCCGTGTGCCACTTGTAGATCTGGAGCCAGTGGGGCGCTCGCCGAGCGGCTCCAACCGCTCCGTGGAAAAGTGGCGGAGCGCGTCGAGCGGTCCGGAGTAGTTCTCCGCGCAGCCTTTTTCGGAGGAGTACGACCTTTAGTCGTCTCTCGCAGCGTTTCAGTTTCGTTATCGACATTCCCGCGGGGGAGTGAAGGAGTTTCGCGGCTTTTTTGTTTCGATTGCTGGTTGGGCTTTCTTGGTGTGCTTGTTTCGTTCCCTTCGTCATGACCGACTCGCTGGAGCATAGTGCAACGATGACATCGTTGGAGTTAATTTTAGAAGGTCTAATAAAACGCAGTGACAGAGACGAAGATACCAGCATAGCTCGAGTGACGACGAGGCAGCCGTTCTCGGCGAAGTGTTTGCCGAGTCGTTTGGCTGGCCAGCGAAGAGGCCCAAGATTCCACGTTACGTCGAAGGCGTTGTGTGCGCCTATTCGGATGAAAAGTGAGGTATGTCGTTTGTCCGTTTTGTGGTCTCTGTTATGTAATTGGAATAATTAGAAGACAACACGTTAAATACTCCGCGGATGGAAGTCGCCTTTGGAGATGACAATCGCTTTACGGCTTACATGTTTGGTTAATAGCATCCTACGGCTCGTACAAGTATTTCTAGTTGTCTGCATCGAGCATATAACTGTAAGGGAATATAAATTGTGTCTTAACGTCGGGGTCACCGTTAATCAAGTAGTAAACAATCAATTTTATGTCAAAGCATAAAATTCCGATCAGAGCTTCATGCTTTCAGCAAGATAGCAATGGGAACCGCAACTGTTCAAAAGCGAGAGCAGACACTCTGGAAGTGGTGGCGCTGGGAGCGTTACGCTCGATTTGCTCCGCAGCGCGTGCCACTGGGATGGATCACGTGACCGATCGCTCACGGAGGCGGACCGCTCGACGACCGCTAGTGCGGAGCGCTCGGCATTTGCCGGGGGAAGGGGCTATAAGTGTATTAAGATGAGCTCAAGCTAATCAAGAGTTGAGCTAATGTCATTTCGGTCTAATTCAAGTCCACTGGGTGAAAAATAACTCGTAGAAATCAAAAGAGTAATAATAATGTCAACTGAGTTCATTATAGAATATATCATTTGGAGGTATAATAACACAAAGTAATCAAACGAGCAACCAAAATGTCAATTAGGCCGAATTAAAGTTCATTTGGTCAATAGTAACTCAAAGTAATAAAACAAGTAATTGCAATGTGAGTGAATAATAAATAATTTATTAAATATTAGCCCCCCAAAATTATAACAGTCATCGCAATGTCAATAGGCCGAATTAAGGTCCCTGGGGCCTGGATCAAAAGTAACTCAAAGTAATCAAGACATAATAATGACTGACTGAGCTCACAACCGATAAATTGGTGCTATAATTACACAAAGTAAACAAGTCGCCAAATGTCACTTAGGCCGAATTAAAGTCAGTTGAATTGAGAGTAACTCAAAGTAATCATAATGTCAATTAATAATCTTCACATAAAAAATAAATTTGTTGAATATTAGCTGAAAGTAATGAAAACTCATTAATATGGCGTTTAATTCGAATTTACGGCCAATGGGTCAATATTAACTCGAAGTAATAAAAAAAGGAATAATAATGTTAACTGAGTTTATTATAGACAAACTGGAGCAAAAATAGCATGAAGTAATTAAAAGAGTAATCATAAATATCAATTGTACTTATATCATCTAAATTGTATCAATGATAAGTTGAGTAATAAAAAAAGATTAAACAAAACGTCCATTCAGCTAAAATAAATTCGAGTGCGCCATAATCACTCCAGGTTACAAAAGAGAGTAATAGACATATCCATTACGCCTCGTCAAAAGCGGGACTAGTTACTCCAAGTAGTCACAATAGTGATCAAATGATCAGTTGCCCCCCCCCCCCCCCCCCCCCCTCAAAAAAAAGAAATCTAAGTGTATAAACAATTATTCTAAGTTACCAAATGTGTAGGCAAAACACGACCATTGTGGATTAAATTGACTGACCCCGGGATTAAAGTGGGCAGTGCAAGGATTAATTTGTGTGGCGCTGGGATTAAATTGAGTGGTACTCGGATTAAATTCGACCTCGCTTAGGTTAAGATGAGCGGGAAAACCTGTAGTTCAGTGTGTAGCATCTCCGCATCAAGCGGCGATCAAACATTTGTCATGCATGCACACTTTTCCTGGACATTTTTTTGCCGACTTATTGAAATAAAATACTCGGAGCGCTTACTGACGCCTGTCCATGCACCCTTTCGAGAAAGAAAAAGACTGTCAAAACAAAGGCTGCTTCAGAAGCAAGTAGTTTCTTGCGCTTGGCCTGTGTGCTTCGTCTTTTTGTCCCTTGGGAACATCCGGAGGTTGCTTAAAAAGTGCTCTTCTCAATCCGTGTTGTTTCGAGGTTGGTTCACATATTGATAGTGCTGCACTGGCTTCCAGCCAGCTGCGACCAGAGGACGCACTGGCGCTTCCATTTTGCCTAGTATATATTTTCTGCCCTGCCGCAGCGCAACTGCCCCCCGTAATCTCGTGGCTAAATAAATGTTTCCCTCATGCTCGTACAATCTAATTTTTTTATGCATCATTCACTTACCGTGGTCTCGAAATAATTCTGACAATGTTATAGGCAACCATTGCTCGTATGTAATGCATAGATTTGATCTTGCAAAAACTGCGAAACTTTGTCTGTGGACTAGACGTGCTTCGGGGCTGCCTGACAGATGGTGCTCGTGTGCCCTTGTCTTAAAGGGGCCCTGCAATGACTTTTTGACTGGTTTTTAATTTGCACTGAACCTGAGCGTGCTGAACGTAGTAACTTAATCCAACTTTTCTTTTCTCAAATTTCGCTTTATTTTAAAAGTTATAGGCAAATTAGAATTACAAAAACAAGCAAAAAATAACCTCCTTCATGACGTCGTAGGTTTTGGCTTGAGTGGCCTTGAACTAGAGAAGGAGTAGTGAGCTCATCGAGCGCACACGGCTGCCGCACTCCGTGTCGACGGCTCGAGAGGGCGCCACTAAAGCACGTGTTGCGTAGGCTGTATGAAGCGGGCGGCCAGGGCAGCTCGCATTGCATTTGCAGCGCGACTAAACACTAATTCGGCATAACATTTCATTGGCCACAAACGACAGCAAACACGGGGTAAAGATAAGTTCAGAACGGGAGCCACTTCGCGCTGACGCACCGCCAAATGGCCAAATCGCCAGCAGGGCCCGCGCCGAAGGCCTTCGGAACGCTCGGAACCGGTCGGATTCTTGAGCCGGTATACGACCACAGCGCCGCCGCGTACATCTGGGACCTTTCTACGCTCCTCGTTTGTCGTAGCCTCATCCCACTAGCCTTTTCTAGTATGCGCCGTTTTTTTCCGCCGCTTGGTGGTGGGTATGTCGACAAGTAATTTCTTGTTTCCGTACTTTCTCAACTGCATTTGTTTCTTTTCTGATCTAAAATAGTGAACAAAAACTACTTTCATACATAATTGAAACGGTTCGCGACACTTATATTTTGTATCTCGACTAAAAAAAACCTCTTAGCGGCTTTGACCAGTGGCAAGCCTAGGACCAAAGACGTCACATTTTGCGCGCTTTCGGTACCGCGGGTCGCCCTCGTCGGTGGAGGAGGTTTCCGCGTCGTCCGGTTAAAATATGACGCAGTGATATTTAGTTACTCTCTCCGTGCCCGCTGGCTTGCCCCAACCCCAAGAGACGTGGAAACCGCAAAAAAGGTAGACGCTTAAATATGATTGCAGGGCCCCTTTAAGAAGTTGCGAGAGATTGCGCAACACGCTAAACGCACATGTGTAAACTAGCCTTTAAGCGTAATTCTATATCAGTAATAACTGACCAAATATTTCTTTTGTTTTCTCTAGGGGAGCATTTTAAAGGCAGGTCTACGTTTTTGTGTTCTCTGCTTTGTTTTATTGGGGGGAAAGTTTCACGGCCTTTCCGAAAAGAGGAGGAGTGCGCATGCGCACCCTTGGGTGCAGCTCGAGGCGCGTGAGCACACATGTTCCCACACCTTTGACTGCATTGCCACAGAAAGTCGTCCCCGATTATAGCAGAATCCGAGAAAGTTGTCCCCTCTCCAACTGCTTGAGTTATGCTCTCGTCCTCGTACCTTTGGTAACACTGCCCGTAACTGTAATCTTTGACAAAGGGACAACGGCAGGAAGGAGCTGTTCTTGCCCCGATTTGCCCGTGCTTTTGAACGCAGGAAGAGTGCGGAGGACAAATACCACCGCCTGCTGAAGGAGAGGGAGGCAGTGGCCGAAAAGAAAAGCCAGCTGAACGGCCAGACAGCGTTAAAGCACCAGGCCATGCAGTCCCAGCTCAGTTTCAAGAAGGAGCAGTTGGCCCAAGCGAAGCAGCGCCTTGAGGAGCTCCATCTCGAGCGCCAAGAGGTGGTCTGCTCCAAGGATTCCGAGGTCTGGCACTGCCAGCTGGCCGCCATTCTATAGTAGGCAAGGAGGTTATAATGGGCAGGAGGTGGCATAACGTCACGGAAGTGGGCGTGGACAAAAAGTGTCCCCACAGTCTTTCGGCCAACAGGAAAATAGTCCCGTGTGCTCTGCTTTTTGTGCCAAAATAGGCAACGCTCATGCTTCCCCTCCTTCCTCAATACGTGACACGTTTCCTCTTTGTCAAGTTGAGAGCCGAAGAGAAAACCTCTGTAGTATCCTGCGCAACAAAGGCTGCTTGCACTCGGCACCATGCAACATACGGCAGTTTGCTCTTGGATGTTCCATTCTGGTTGTGAACTGCAAAGGGTGCATTTTTCACTCTTCCTATGAAATTCGCGCGAGTGTGCAGGTTGCTTTGCCATATTTGGGCATCTTCTTCTGCGGGCCCCCAAATCCTGTATTACTAATTTTAGGCGAAATCGGATGAACGCAATCTCGCTTCGTGTCGGTTTGGACCGGAGAAACCCGCGTCTCGTTTCGTGCACATCCTACCGTTTGCCGCCTTGGTACGACTGTGGTCGGACAGCATAAAGGTTTTTGTTGCACGGTGTCCCACTGCCTGTGCATGGGATGCGTTAAAAACAATTTACAGAATGTTTTTCGCCACAATAACAAACATATTGCCGGACGGTCGGCCTTTGCCCAAATGTTGCACTATACTTTGTTTCAGCTTCCGTCATTGCATTATAAAAATGTTGGAAGAGTCAATGATGTGGTCGGTCATTCATGTTATTTTTCCTACACGCGCCTCCAGCCTATGTTTACGTAAAGCCCCAATTGCCCCTTAGCAATAGAAATAATTTGTGCGACAGACTAGGCGGCAGCATTGTGGAAGGAAACTGGCCTGATTATATCTGCCATGTTACATAGCATAGCGTGACTACCAAAATTTTCAAATCTGTTTGAATTAACCAGAAGTATGAAATATCAGAGTTTGAATTATCGCGAGCCTATTGTATCAATTACTTTCTGCAGCAACTTTGCACTTAACATTGCAATAAAGTGATTTTTAGGCTACCGTAAAAAAACCGGGCAAGCGCCCACTCAAAATTTAGAGATAATCGCGAAAAAATGGGGGATGGGCACTTGTCCGGTCATCAATTTTACAAATAAATGTACTGTGCATACTTTTTCATATTTTAGAAATTTGGATATGGGCGTTTAATGTGCAATGGGTGAATGCGCGGTATTCTACTATAAATTCATTTTTTCGGACTGCTTGATTAATCTGAGCTTTGCATGATCCCCATCGAGTCCGAAATATTGGTCGGTGACTATCAAACTTAAACACAATGGTTACACACCACAGGTCCCGAGGACCAGGACATCAATGAGCTGGCCTTCACCTTGTCCTAGGCAGCAGCGGAACACTATGGGCGGGACCCTGGGTCACTGCACCAGCCAGCTCATGGATGCCGTACTGTACCCTGCACGGCACTGCGTGTGGCTGAACTGGCCAAGCAGAGGGTCATTGCACGACTTTTATGAGGCGTCGCTAGCCATTGCAAGTATATATTTTGGACACTCATGTCTGGTAATGTACTTTGGTACTCTACAACAGAACAGATTTGGTGGCGGTTCAGTCTTGCCAATGAGGCCATTTTGAAACTGAACACATTTAGTGGCAGCTCGGTTTCTGACTCAGCGGTCTTGCAGCAGTGTCTAGACTCGGCACAAACTTCTTTGTACTTCATTGTCAGGGCTAGTGTAATTTCTGCAACATCGCTAGGTGCGAATTCGCACAGTTCGAAGCTCAAGGGGCCTTTGCACGTTGGTGCCGTCTCTGAAACGTTCGTGGATTTAGAAGGCTGTGTTCACCGGGATCACGACGGACGAGCTGGTTGGCCATTGTAGTGAATGGAACAGAAAACATTCATTGACAACATGTCTGGTTGCGCCGTGAAGCGGAGATTTATTCGTCGATGCTGCATGGCTTTTGTGGAATTGGAGAAAAGAAACAAAATAGCTTTATACCGCCGTGCGTGATTCGTCACTCGCTCTCCGAGAGCTATAGTGTTGATAAACGTTCCCCCTACGTCGTGGCGGTCACATTAGGAGCTCTTGTTAAACGTACGCACGGTTTTGCAGCAAAAACTATGAATTAAAACACTCACTTTGCTTGCTCTTTCACTTTTATCTACCGATTTATAAAACCCTGGCCTGCGCGTTCTGCATGCGAGCAGGAGTATGCGGCGAACTTCCAAGCAAGCAAGAGTGTTTCGGTTAAAGTCAATGTTCGATTGTTACCGGTTACCTAAATTGTTGAGTGACTTAAAACGTGTAGATGGGTTTCTGTGTGCCACAAGTAAAGCGAAAGGCTTCTGCGGACCCTGCTTCTGCTCGATGGGTAAAGCTATCTGCGTAAGCCTATCCCACACAGAAAGGCGACGAAACCGTCGCACGTCAATCTCGCAACTCCAGAATGCTCCAGCGTTCCGTAATAAGCAAAGAACATTACACAAAGTCAGGTATGCTAATCGAAAACAGCAGATGCAATCGGTTCATCCCCAGTGAGCCCACCTATACCTTCCTGCCGGCGCCATTGCAACCCGCGCACTGATACCGCTGATACGCGTTTGAGGAACAAGCTGACGTCACTTCTAAACATGCGCTTGATTGGCTCTGGCGGTCCGTAGCTTTGGCTCAGGGTCCAACGTAAGATGAAACGGCGGTATACTAGCTTTAGGTCTACCCACTAGTCATTCCAACCAGGGCTCTGTGTTCTGACGTCCCCACACTTTCTCGTGTCCTCCTCTTCTCAGTGTTTTGGTACATACTCAAGTGCTCTGCATCATGGACAGATCTTTTTTTCTTTTTTCGGAGGGGGGGAGGGGGGGTGAGTTGTGTTTCTCTTTCAGGTTAACTTTTTCTTAATGAAAAATCAACATACTCCAGCTTTTCTTAGAAAGAAATGGTTAGTTTTTGGTGACATAACAAATATTAGGTCATATATTGGGCTACATTTTGCCCATGAAATAGGTATCTCCTTGCAAACTCCCCCTTCTCCCCCACCCCACCCAGCCTGACCCATAAATTCGCCCCTGCTCATTGCCCTGCATGTTCTGGTCAGATATTGTCTGAGTTGACCTGATCGACTCCTTTGTTCCCTGCATTCATCATAGGTTTCAAACCGTCCTGAATCATGGACGAAGCCTTGCAAGACTGCACTCTTAGTCCCAGTCCTTTTTGGTGGATCGGGTCTTGCCATGTTCCCTTCTTGTGGGTTCCTGTCGTAATTAAATAAATTGTATTTTTTTCTGATGACGGTGCATACCTACTGGTACACGTCAGAAAAAGAGTGTGGTGAATCTATACCATGGATTACTGTGAAACATGCGAGAATGTAATTATACAAAAGATGAAGCTCTAAAACGCTTGATGGAAAGAAGATAGATATCCCCGTTTAATTTTTTTTGCCACCTTAACATGCTATGTCCAAAGTATTGCAGTCTATCGTGGCATTGGCTTTTGACCATTCACACTTTCAAGGGAAGGCTATCAGCAAGAAGGGTTCCCAAGCCTTTTCTGTTTGCAATAATTACTGAGAAAGGTTTATGCGGAGCGCAGGTTTGTCTGCTTTTTTTTTGCAGGGGTTGTGGTGAAGTCGAAATGCCAAGCTCTGATTGAAGGATGGTGGGTACACAATGCTAGCTGCCTTCAGGTCTACCCACTATCCTTCAGAGCTCTGCATTCTGACATCACCACAACCCCTGCAAAAGAAACGGACAAACTTGCGCTCCACTAGACATTGCCAAGTGGATTTCAATACGTCTAAATGCTTAAACTTTACACCATTTTGTCACCATGATTTTAATGAGGTTTTGCTAGGGGAAGTATGTTTTCCAGAGAGTTTGCAGTTGCCATACATAAATTTAAGGAAAAAAAACATTAACTACATTTGTCCTCAGAGTTTTTACAGAACACACATCGCTATCACCATCACTTTATTTGAATCACCATCACTTTTTATTTGGGTGGATAGCACTTGTGTTGAGATGTTTTACTTCCGCAAGTCCAAAAAGCATCCTTGCCGGGCAGCTGTCAACAGTCTAGTGTTGAGCCGAAGTGGGACGGTAATGTTGGAGATATGAAACAGAATAATACCCAGTGTTAAATATTTATTTGTTTGCTGGTCTGCTAGGCATCACTGAGGTGCTTTGTTTGGCTGTGTGCCTTTATTTTATGCTAATAGAATGTGCTGCACCCACAACTACTGCTTAGTCGCACTCGTGCAGGGGTCTACGACAGTTGACCGAACACCATTCCATAGAAGCATGTTTTCAACTACGGGCACATTTCATCGAAGCTCAGTTTACAGCAACATTAATTATTGAAAAAGGATCGCCATTTAGTGAATCTATTCGATGGGCATAAGCAAATCTGGAAGCACCTAAATGCTAGTGCGATTTACTGAGGCATATTTGCCTATGCTTTGAGCACTCGCTCTTCTCTCTTAGGTTGTAAATCAGGCAAAACGTAAAAGTATTCTTGCGAAAACAGCAGGGTTGTGACGTGCACAGAACATGTCTATCATACTCTGAATGTGCTGGCCGCCCAAGCGAGTGATTCGCTGACTGGCTCGGCTTCACCGTTGGCTGAGGCAGAGCAAGCAGTCGAGTTCGGTGAACTGTGTTTTCCCGAAAACAAATTTGCTAAAAGGAGGTTTGTTGCCATTTTCTCTAAACTGTGTCTTTCTGAAAGGATTTAATAAAATGGTTTTTTTTTTAAACCGGTGCTTGAGAAAATAGGTGCCTCCGCTCAGGCCCTAAACACTGTTGTTCTTAGATCTATCAGTTGACGAGCTCCACAGAAAAGCAGTGTTCAAAAACAGTTCTCTGTTGCTGGCACGCAAGTGGGTAAAGGTACATAACGTTCCTAGTGCCATAGTGTCAATGCCTCCACGGTCAATAAAGAACATTTTTGGAACGACACTCTTTTTGCACTAAAAAAAATTAATGCTGTGAAGACCTTATGTTTACTGTAAGAACCACAATAAAATCACTTTCCACCGCAGGTAATGTGCATCCAACCTTCCACCAGATCTGTCCATAGGACGGGCCTATAGTGTAACAGGTGCCATTGAGCGGATGTGCCGCAAAAAGGCGTCGGGCGTTTTTCGAAGCTTGTCAACTGACCTAGATCTAAGAACATGTGTACACACATTGCTACCATTGCCAGGCGAGTCCAGACATTGTTGGAGATCTGCTGTGTTTGCTGAAAAATGTTTTTACTATGTTCACGCTTTGGTCAATGCAAGCACATCTTCTGTAGCAAGAGCTACACTGAGCGAGGTTCAGCAGTTTTGCGTGGCTCGCATAATGAGCCGTGCGCCGTGCTGCGCAAGCGCGAGGAGCAGTGACGTCAAACGGTGCTCAGCTGGTGCGCCGGAGCCGCCACCGCGCGCGCCTCGCTGGTCTGCGCATGCGCGAGGAGCAGTGATGTCACACGGCGCACAGCTGGCGCGCTGGAGCCACCGCGCACGCCTTCCCGGTCTGCGCATTCCAGAGAAGTGACGTCATAGCCGCGGCAGACGCTGCACCGGAGCTGCGCAGTCTGACGCTGCACCGGAGCCGCTTGGTAGCGCCTCTCATTTTGTGCGCATAAGCTCACGCTACGTATACCCTGGCATAGCCGAACTAATTTTCAGTAATAATGACTAACATTTCAGCAATCAAGGAAGTTGATACTGAAATGTTGAAAGCAATAAAGAAATTAAATCTAGGCTGTTCCTTGGGTGGAGATCTTATTTCTTGTTATATTGTTAAGAACAGCACTGATTTTGTTTGCCCCATCATTGAAGCATGCATATCACCCGAGAAATCTGATCTTCCATCTTGTGGAGAAAGTTTACTGTATTACCAGTAAAGGAGGCTGGTGACATGTCTAGGGTAGACAACCATTGCCCCATTTCCCTACTGTATGCTCGTTTGAAAGTGAGATAGTTATACAGACATGGGTCTGTTTACTCGTTACAAGCAGCACCATGGAACACAATTTTTTTTAGAGATTGCTCAGTACAAATTAGTTTCTGTACACTTGAATACACGGTGCCATTTCTTCTTTCTTGGAAGCAGGTCGATATTATTTATTTAGATTTATAACAAGCTTTTGATAAGATCAACCACAATCTGCTTTTGTAAAAACCTTTATTGTATGGTGTAGCATTGCCACATTTAAAATTGTTTAATAACTCTAAAAACTCGCAAGATGAGGACGGCAGGGAAAAGCTTCAGTTGCCCTCGCTCCAACATGAGCTTCCTACCTTTGGCAATGCTTCAAGCCCGGGCATTTGTAAGACACGCCCAGACGTTCTCATTCTGTTACGGACCATATCTAACATATCGCCCAAATCATGTTCAGGCGTTCTTGCGAGCCTCCAGAATGCGCGCGCAGACAGAGCATGAGAAAAGGTGCTTACTGGAGGCTGGGTGCCAAGAGATGCCAGATGCCCTGCATTTCTCATCTTGTCAGCGACTATTAGCACCGCTGGTGACATCTTTTTTTGTTCACAACATCAGAGGCAGTTTGATACTTCAGCACAGGCACGTAGCCAGGGATTTGTTTCGGGGGGGGGGGGGGGGTTATGAGATGACTCATAACCAGGGTTATGAGTTACCCTCACGTAACCCCCCCCCCCCCCCCCCCCCCTGAGGTCACGTGGCCTCAGGGAATCACCTATCCCCTCAGTACCCTTCCATCCTCCTTTTCAGGAGCTGCGCTCTAGTCCGGCTTTATGGGGAGTTGTAGACAGCTTTCACTTTTTTTGGTCTACACCCCCAACCCCCCCAGGTTTGGACATCAGGACGCGGTGACGGGTATCGACAGGTACACTCGAGAGCGAGCCGTCACTTGTGGGGGTCGTGACAACACGCTGCGCATCTGGAAGGTCGTCGAAGAGTCACAGTTGGTGTATCAGAGCCACAGGTGTGTATATTTGCTCTTTCTCGCGTGATTTGAAACGTGGTGGCACAAGTGTGCAAATAGCCCCCAATCACTTCCGACTCTGAACTAGACAACGGGTTCCGCAGTATTTGCAAAGTCAAGTATACACGCTATCTTCTGGAAATGGCCACTTATAGCACTGTCAGACTTAATTTATTCTTATTATAAAAGAATGAGGAGTAAAAAATAGGAAATGTATGTGAACCGGAAGTGTGCCAGGGCTACCCAGTAGGTGGCACCACTGAGTTTGCTGCCAAACAAAAAAGGAGCGAAGACTGCTTGCGAGATGTTTCTGTTGTGGCATGATGGCTAGAATGTGTCTTCAAGTGGTGCGTCTTGCATACTATAGGGCAGTTCCACACGGATTTTTTTGGCTCATCACTTTGCTAGGATCTGTGCTAGTAACCCTTTGCCAACACGCAAGGGAAATGTATTTCAGCTTGCTCAAGCTCTTTTGCATTGTGATTAATTGCATCAGCTGGAGAGGTCAGTGACGTAAAGTAATGTTGGCTGCTACTATATTCTTTTACAAACCAACTTTTATTCGGAGTTGAGGCGAGCTGGCACTCGAGCAGTCAGCTCGTCTGCCAGCAGATAGGCCCCAGATGACGCCGGCACGATTCGAAACACAAGAAATTGAAGTTAACAGGGGTTTGTGTGACCCCAAGTACGTCCCCTACCGTGCTCCTCGAGTTCTGCCGTCGACGGGGCCGCTTACCATACTTCCGCATTACATGAAAACAAATAAGGCAAATGGTGGAAAAAGTTTCCCAGTATTTTTGGACCTGTGTATCGTTAGTGAAATTGCCCTAATACTGCTGGTCAGTCATGGAAGCGATGGCATTCTTGACCAGAAACTCTGGTCGTGATTGTCTGCCGAAATCTTTGTCAACTGGCCAGCTGGCAGGCGGGTGGTAGAGAAGACCTGTAGTCCTCACCTCTTTTCTGCTGCCAAACCTGTCGGTTGTTCTAGAAAGCAGCGTCTGCCAGTGTTGCAACAATCTGGAATGTCACCGCGTTAAATGTGATCGAATAGAAAATGGGCATTGTAAGCACATCAGTCGGTTGCAGACGGTGTCTTTTGCACGTGTTTTGTGCCTGGTTTTGGAGATACTACTTTTTCTTTTTATAATTTGTGGAGCTATCCTTGTTGCCATGGTAATGAACAAAAATTGACAGGAGGCATGTCTGTTCTCATTGTGGCCTTGCTGGTGCTCGTTCCTTTGAAAACTGCAATGCAGTGATTCTATGCTGCAGCATTAACCACACGGTATGCCAGTAACAGAATACTTATCTTGCTGGCATATGTCGAGCAGAAGTTGAGGTTTTGAAGTTTACCCAAAAGGCATCTTTTAAAGCTCCTCAAGAATAAACTGGTTGTTGCTTTGGATTTATTTCAGCTGCTCTGTGGACTGTGTGAGCATGATCAACGAGCAACACTTCATTTCTGGTGCTGACGATGGGTGAGTGTCTCCCTCCACCTCTAGGACATTTTTCTAAGCCTGATCATGCAGTCATCTTCAACTCTTTTATGCTACTATTAGGGAATGTTGGGATTGCATTCAACCATATGTTGAGCACGCCTTTAATACGAAACTTTCGTAGGTACTGTATTGTATCATATTTTCCGGACTATAGTAGTTTCCGGACTATAGGGTGCATGGGTGCAGGCAAGCTAGTGAATATTAACCATGTTGAATTAACTTGAGTCTGAATAACAAGAGAAACATGAGACCGTAGAAAATAGACAGGACGACGTCTAAATTTTTAAACATTGCCCAGCCTATTTTTATTTTTTACAGCAGTGCTGTTAAGGGCTAGGTTCCCCAGGATTGTGTCCGTGTATGTCGACACAAGCCTACCTGAACAGCTACCGCCATCTATAAGCGAGGGCGGGAAGCACACAACCAGTATGGTTTCCGCCGTCGCTCGGAGATGGCGGCAACCTTTCCAGCTATATAATAGAAGAACGGATAGTTGGGCATGTTGGTGGGAATTCATCGTAGGAAAACAGCGCGAAAAACAGATGACGACGAAGAAGAAGCACACAGTGTATCGAGTACAGCTCCGCTGGTCTTCCTTCTTCACGAGAGTGGAAAGGCTGTTTGCACACTTTGCTACAGGCGGTTAGAACTTCGAAGTGTGAACGCATAGCACATGGAAACCATTGACGACGCTGCCACAGAATACGACCCCAACTCCGATAAGGTGCCTCCCGACTGATACCAACACTCAAAATGGCAAGCGGCACAAATGATAACTAGTCGTGATGTCAGAGGTCCAGTTCGATCTTTGTTTTCTGCAGTGGGGGAGGGGTGGCGAAAGCAGTTGGCAGTTGTGACAGACAGACAATGTGAGCGCTGTCGGTTCGGCGCGCTCCTCCCCCTCAGAATAAAAGTGAGCCCGTCCTCGATTGCCTCGCGGTGGAGTCGAAGAAGCTTGTGGCAGAAGGCGTGATAGATTCGAAAATCCCTACTCGCATCCTTTCTGTCGTGTTCCTTTGACGTTTAATGTTTCTCTCCTTCCCCAGTCTGACATTAATTCAAACGCGTTTCTAAGTTAAAAGTTTATGAGGCGCAGACTGTCTACAAGTGCGGGCTGTACGAGGATTAGTGTTTTCTAGGTTGTTAAATATTATGAGACGTGACGGATTTCGAGAATTATAGAATCTGCTAGTGATAGTTTGCGTACGACACAAGCTTTTTTGTGGGCTAGTAAAGGAGGCATTTGTTAAGGCATGCTGCGTACGAACATTGTTTACGTCCCAACAGGGTGCCAGGTGCACACTGCTCCCGGTGCAAATTATCCAAGGAAAATGTTTTTTTTTTTATCAGAATTAATTTTTGTTGATCATACACTGTGCGGACTACATTCTGTAAAATATGCTACAACTTTGACTTCTTTTCGATGACTATACCGTGCCCGGCGTATTTCGTTTCAGGTCCCTGTGCCTGTGGACGGCAATGAAGAAGAAGCCGACCTGCACTGTTCACCAGGCCCACGGTGCTCGCGACGGGTCTCCGTTGTGGCTCACTGCTCTGGCTGCACTCAGCTGCACCGACCTAGTTGCCTCGGGTATGCGCATTGCCCGTAGCACTCTACAGACGTCCGGGTGCTCCTGCATTTGAATGCAGGTTTCTCTATGCGTGCGTATAAGGACTCCGGCGTAAATGCAATGGAACCTCATAGATACCTTCTTGGCGCACCGCGGTAAAGAAGCGTGTAATCTGGGAAAACATAATGGCTGGTAACACTTTTGGGGGTCTAGATGTGACAGAAAGCAACTATTGCACAACAGTGAACTGCCTCTATTCAAATATAAGCGTGCAAGTGTGTTTCTTTTTTCCTGCCAATGCTTTTTATGGTTGGGGATCAACTAATATCTGCAACCAAAAAATGTCAACTTAAAGGAGTGCCAAAAATATTCAAAGCACATCGAGCCGGCCGAGATGTCTTCTGCTCCTAGCACGCTGGTGCGAAGCGGTGAAGCGTGATTTCAGTCTCCCATTGAGGGTATCAAAGGTCCATTTTTATGTTGTCGGAGCAAAAGCACAAAGATGCTGTAAGTAATTTAGAGGTACTATAGTCGGTTACAAGTCAAGAAGGTAGGAGAAGCTCCTCCCACAAGCGTGATGCGCCCGTTTAAAATCTTTCCGCAGTCGAAAGAAGAGTTCACTGCAAATGCTCCTTGTTCCGCTTCAATGGATAGATATTAGCTGCAGAGTGATGCCAACTTATCTCCGATCCCACTTTTTAAGAAAGCGACCTTTGTATTCATCGGAGGGGGAACCGAGCCCCTGAAAGCAGCCTTTCCTGGAAGTTGTATTTGTTTCCATCGGAGGAGGAAAACTCTAGTCTCCCTCTCGTGGCTTCCACAATGCTAAGTCAAAGTTGAAAGATAAAGCAAATATGTACAGGAAGGCAAGACCCTCCTCGCGCGTTGGCCGCAACGTCACGGAAACGATGGGACGCTATTGGATGCGGAGGCGGCGGAGGGTTATATGATTCCCTTTGAGGAGCATTTGCTGCTACCTTCTCGACCTGTAACTTACTATAGCAGGGGTTCTCAAACTGGGTTTCGGGGTACACAAAGGTTCCACGAGCTGGTCTCATGGGTTCCGCAAACACCCAAATTGCAACCCCCCATGCCACAAGCTGCGCGGAGGACCATGCAAAGCACCTTCATCTCACTTTGTGCTGACATTGCGATTGATATGGTGGGGATATGTGGGAAGCAACACAAGCAAAATTGCCTACAATTGTGCATCTGTTGCTTCTCGGTCAACAAATATGGAGGGGGGAAGAAGAGAGAGAGAGGGGGGGGAGGGGAGGAAGGAGGAGGAGGGTGTTCAGCGGCAGTTTTTGAGGCTTCCTGGGGTTCCGTGAGGCCAAAAAGTTGAGAACCCCTGTACTATAGTATACTGCCTATCAAAGTTTATAGATGGACAGTACTACCTGTTGAGACAAATAGGTCAAACCCATGTAAATTGCAAAAATCAGTTTCATATGATGTGGCACTAATTCAATCTGTATATGTGGCTAAGTGGTGCATCTGATTTGTGAAGATACGGTTTAAAAAATTGGGTAAGAAGGAAGGAAATTTTTGCTTTGCTCTTGTTGACTTGTTTTTCTAATTTATTGCCTTAATGATGTTTTTCTAATTTATTGCCTTAATGCATTAGCATTAGTACCTACATGAGAGTGAAAAGCTGATGTCTGTCTGCAGACAAAACAGTGGAAAGAAAAGCGTGCCACATAGAGAGCAGGAGAGTAGTGAAGAACAAAGGCGAAAGGGAGCCAGCGTCATGGGGTGGAAGCCAATGAGTTTGCGGGAAACCGGTGAACTGCAAAAGCAGCGTCCGGCAGCGGATGCCATTGCTAAGCATGCAAGGCAAGCGAATTAGGCGGAGGAGTGGAAGTAGTACCTAGCTCTACTGTCCGAAATGCGGCGCAAGAAGCGGCCAGCCGACGCAGGTCTGTGTGCGACAGAGGTTGGAGAAAAGTGGGCTCGGCGAGCCTACTTAGCTGGAAAAAGTTTTAGGGAGGTCCATCAGTGGATTTGTAAGGAATGCATCATCATGACACATGAAAAACACCACACATGTCCCCCTTTGGGAAATGCTAACACTGACCCCATAACGAAGCCAAAAAGAGGCAGCAAAAATTAGAGAAGCAATACAGAAAGCCAAAACAGAAAAGTGAAGGGGTCAACGTCAGCGTTTCCCAAAGGGAGACATGTGTAGCGTTTTCCAAGGGTCATGCTAATCCATTTCCTAAGAATCCACCAATAAATCTTCCTTTATTTTTTTTTTTTTTTTTTTACTTTGAGATTAAGAAAGCTGAAGCAATGTGGTGAATTGGGTCGGTTGGTATTGAGACGACATGATGACAAAACGCCGCACAAAGGACAGGACGACAGGAGAACTCGTAGGACACACGAGCTTGTGCATTCTATGTGTTTTTCTCCTGTTCTGTCCTTTGCGTGCTGTTTTTTCATCATGTTGAAAAGGCTAAACTCCATATCACACCTTAGGAAAACTTGTTTTTGTCTAGCCGCAGACACTATACTCCGTGTCACTAGCTGCGTGCAGTACAGGCGAAGGCAACGCCAGGCGGGGGAAGAAAAGGCAAGCACTAGGAAGGTTGGGAAGGAGGAGAGAAACCTCCTCTCTAACGTTCCTAGTGCTCTCCCTTTCTCCCCTCGCCCTCCATTGCCCTCCTCTCCCGTCCCACCTTCCTAGTGCTCATCCTTTCTCTCTTCGCATGGCATTGCCCTTGCCTGCATTGCAAACAACTAGTGACACGGAGCATAGAAGGTGGGGGGGGGAGCATTTGTGTGATAGCTCGGTGTACCTGACTAAGTATTCCTCTTCTTTCTTTTTTTCAGGATCTTCCAATGGAGAAGTGAAGTTGTGGAGTTGCGGTGATGACTGCAAGAGGCTGACTGAAGTCATCTCGATTCCTCTGGTACGAAAACCAATGGCGCAACTGCCTCACTACTGCAGCATCATTTTTTTTCTCTTGTCAACTTTAGAAAAATCTGTTTTGCATAATCACCTCTTATGTGAGGGTTCTGATCCAGGTATATTTTGCTTATGCTAGTATATGGTGACTGAGGTGCTGCGAAATCTTTGTGCATGCTCATGACTGGCCATGTCTCTTAAAGACTGACGTGCAAAATATTTGTCAACCAGGGTGAAAATCCTTCTTGCCACCCTTCCCATTTCCCCTCTCCCGCTCTTAACTTGATGGGGGGTCCTTTTTTTGTTGCTGCATCTTGGGACCGGATATGCCGGGAGCTTATTCTGTCTCATCCAACCCCAATATCCGGCAAGAAAAGGAGTCCACCCCCCCCCCCCCCCCCCCCTGCCATCAAGATAGCGGTGGGAGATGGGAAATCGGGAAGATTTTCATTGGTTGAAAAATATTTTGCAAGTTGGCCTTTAAATTCGAAGGGATCATGAAATTATTTGTTTTCCACTTTGGCTTTTGACTGTTTTCCACTAGTGCTCAGTGCTTCATGGTGTACTCAATTCACATTCGTAAGGCATGCCGCAGACATCAGCTTTCGTTCACAAGTGCTGGTTTCTACAAAAGGAGGAGAAATGGTTCTATGAGTGTGGGACCATCTTTGTGCTTCACTCGCACGAGAGTGCATGCAAATGGGATGCTTAACGAGACCATGTGCTCACCCCAGTAGCTTTAACAATGCTTTGTGCTATGTGTGAGACTAAGTACAGCACCTATTTTCTCCTATTATGCCCCTTATTGAAGCAAAAGAAAGGATTATCTTTTGGGGATCATACTTTGCTTTGTAGGGCTAGTCATAGGTTGGAATATCATGGGGCCAACCTTGAGTTTATTTAAACGGGAAAACGACAAAAACAAAAATGGTGTAGTCAACAGCTACTTCAATTGCTGCCTCGGTCCCTTCTGCAAGCAGGCTCACTCGAGACAAGGGCCCCAGTGACGTCCTAAGAAAATGATAACACAATGCAGAGAAGGGTCATCCGGTCATCTGCTGCCAACTTTTAATTTCACAGTTCCTTTAAAAAAGCACAGCAAACTTCTTTCGACAAACGTCAGGCTTTAAGGCGTGTTTACACCGGCGATACAAAGCAGTCGTGCGATATGACTAGATAGCATCACAAAAAAAAATTGGACATTCACACTGCCGTGCACAATGAGCAAGTCCAACGCCTTCGTTGGCGCGTCGCCTCTCGAAAACTCCCGCTCCAAACACCGTTGATTGGCTCAGCTGCTCTGCGACTAGATCGCATCGCAAAAGGTCGGGTCAGGTAGCGACTGCTCAAATCGTGTTGCTTTTTTTCCGCGATGGTCGCTTTTGTGATGAAAGGTATCGCGCAGCTAGATTGCATCGCCGGTGTGAACGCGCCTTGAAAGACTATGCATCTCGCGAAAAAGTGGGGCCATGACGATACTAGTTTTACTACTTGCTTCATTGTGATCTTTTGTCTCCGACTAAATTTTAAGATGATTATGTTTGTCCAACAGGAGGGCTTTGTGAACGAGCTTGTGTTCAGCAACTCTGGACAACTGCTGGTTGCGGCGGTTGGTCAGGAGCACAGGCTGGGACGCTGGTGGAACCTGAGGAAAGCCAAGAACTGTGTCGCCATCGTACCTCTCAAGATTTCCGACCGACCAGTAGCAGCCCTGGCAGATGCCTCTGCTAAGCCTGTCCTCAAAGGAAAAGTGCGATGAGATACTGGTTAAAAATATAAATAAAAAAACTTTTTTGTAAGATGTTTTTTTATATATATATTATATTTTAATTTCTGATGGGAAAGTCTCGCCCATTCTGTGTTCTGCATTTCACACTCCTTGAACTAAAAATTACTTCCATGACCATCCATTGATCTGGCTCGAAGTCCACTGAGCTATTCTGGTTGGCTCTTGTTTCATGAATTGTTTACATTCAAGCCAAGTCTATCAGGATTCTTGAGCTGTTGCAATTTACCAGGCGACCCTATTGGAGAGCCAGCCTAGCCTCGTTAAACTGGTGTTTGACAGTGAGAGGCACTAAAAACAATGTACTCGTTTGACTGCTTCGGATTAAGTTGCATCATGGCTGTCTTTTTTTTTTTTTTTTGGGTGTCGTGAATTCGGATTGAGCCTACTTGTATCCGGGTGACCACCCGTCCCGCGACTCTCGGGAATGTCCCGCATTGAGGGCTCGTGTCCTGCGTCCTGCGAGAAATTCCTGAATCGTCCAAATGTCCTGCATTTCACACTGTCGTAAAATTCACTCCGCAACTCGTGGTGCTGCCGAACAACGGGACACGGGGAGGCACGGAGGTTGTTGGTAACCGCATGAATCGCAATGGTACACCATTTTCTGTACAAGCATTGCGGTAAGCGACCATCGTTCATGAAAGAGAAATGACGTGCATGCGCCGTTGTAACTCTGCCCTTGGTGGCATAATATTGTAAGAGAAAATTGCTCGCCAAAAGTTTAAATTATTTTCAAATCGCTGTGTCAATGCAAAAGGGTAGCTGTCGAATTTTTTTTTTAGTGGAGACACCCATACAATGCAAGAAGCCTGCAACTCAAATCGGTCTATAAAGAACATAAGCCCGAAGATTTACGGTTGCTTATTTCCATTTGATGCATTGATTTCTGCTGCAGTCAATCTTTATGTTTTTCAACTTCGACAGATTTAATAACATATTTAGCATAAAAAAAATATATCGCTGGGAGTAAACATTATTTAAACTTAATTGCTGCTATACAATTTGTAGGTGTGAAAACAGCGCAGGATATTAAATGTGTTAATAGAGCGTCGGTTCGTGGTGTGCGTTAATAAATTTCCTCTACCTCTCCCCCTCCCCCCGTCCCGCGTGTTCCGCATTTTGCTAGCAGGAAGGCGGTCACCCTGACTTGTATGTTTTAGATTATTTTCTTGTGACTGCATGAGGGTGACAACAATGCTAGTCACCTGTTGGCATGATCTGGAAAGGCACTTAAATTGTTGGAAAGATAATGTGCAGAAACGGGGAAGAAATGTCCAGGACGTCTGCGCAGCCTGGTTAGTTTTTATTGTTGAAGTATAACAGGATAAATGAGTATTCCTGGATATTTCGACGCTTCCTTTGTTCTTAGAGTCAGCGGTCGCGGGCAGAGTTGCTCTTGAAGGTACACTTGCTGTAGGAGTGCTTGGAAAAAAAAACTATGTTTACTAGGCTAGGACAGAAGTATTGAGGACTGGAACATATAAAACAAAATATGAGGAAATGGATATGCGGTGTGCCGTATGCTAAGGGGAAGACTAGACAATGGAACATGTGAAGTTGAGGCGCACAGTGCTTGCTCCCACTTGCTCCCACCCACCCCGAGGGGGCGATGAATTTAGCCGGAGCGCTGGAGTTTGCAGACGAGAATGGAAGAATGAATGTTGAGTGCATTTTAATAACGAAGTTTAGTTTAGAAGAGTGGTGCAAATTAGGGAGAATTGAATGACGTAAAACTAACACAGCTGGGGACAGGCGAGGCAGGAAAATTAGGACTCCTTGCGTGGCTCCGGCCCAAAGTCTCAACTAGTGCATGCAAATATCTGTCAAACCGGTTATGCGGTTAACCCTTTCCCGCCTGACGGGACACATGTGTCCCAAAAGTATGTGATTTTTTATTATCTCCTGCATGCTCCATATCCCGGCAAAAACCTGTCGGGACACTGGTGGCATTGGCTGCATTTCCAAATCGCACCGTTTTGGCGCTGCGATCACAGTGGCTGCGGCCGCACGGATGGGCCGCACGGTGACTGCTTTTTTGGGGGGACCGAGGGCCCTGGGGGCACTGAAGTAATTGAAAACCCAACGAAGTCAGGAGAGGCACCCAGGGTTAAAAAGAGGAGAAAACGTAAGAACAGGTATAAAAAAACAGCACAATCAGACATTGGATATATTAACATGCAGGGTGGTAGAAATAGGTTCAAATGGGAAGAGGTAGAGGAGCAACTAAGAAAGGAGGATTTAATGGGTTGTGAAAATATTCAAATAGTTGTTTCAAATTATCCGGTATTCACTATTTGCTTCAAAATTAATTGCAATATTCACATTTTTCGAACTGTTGATTGGTGTGCCGCAAAGAAGCAACATCCGTGGAAGAGGGTGCCATGGGTGTTGTTTCTCCGCAGTGCACCCGTGCTCGGTAAGAAGCACGCTCAATGGGGCTAACCTGCCACGATCAACACTTGGAAAGTACAAATATTGCCATCGCATACTTGGGAGGAAAGCCCACGTTCAAAGTGGGATTATGCACGCAATCACCTGGTGTATTTGACATCAACTTTTTGAATGTTAATGTTTATACCACAGTAAAACTAAAAAAAAAAAAAATTTGGCTATTATTTAAGAGTGTGGGGAATGTGGCCACAGTTTAAGAATGTGGGCACTGAACTTTCTGAGGCCACAGTCCATAAATATTGTTAGATAAAAATCATTTTAGCTTAGAAATGGACAAGTGGAAGCTCGGGAACAACCTTCACTAGTTCAGCTGCTTTTTATTTAAGCATGGTGCCTAGCGAAAGGTTTGGAGAAACTATTTGATATTTGATTAGAAAATATACGGCCAAAACCACTATTCGCTCCGAAGTCAAAATCCACTTCATATTTGCACATGCCTAGGATAGATAAACTCTAGTTGTCTAACTGGCTCGTCTGCTTCATTGTGCAATGCTATTACTGGACTACAGTGTTGCTTAATTAGATAATTGGAATCGCCAGGCCACTTGACGGGGAGGATTGATGTTGCAAGCATTCTGTTTCGGCACTCTCAAGCACCTTCTCGCAAAGTGCAAAGGATCAACCAGCACATAATCATTCGCTTTATAATTATTGTTTTCCAGTAAAAGTATGGTGTAAAACATTCACTTCAAGTGTGCTCTCGTAGATTTGATTATTCTAGGGACGAAGCCCAGTTGTTTTTATGTTCCTTTGCAACAACCATAAACTTGGCATCTGGATTTTAATTGATCTAGCTGGTGATGCTATTTTTTGTTTCTTCTAATTACACAGGTGTTTGTCTTTTTTTTAAGGGAAAATGTATTACTGTTGCATTGTGAGCCCGAGTTTGCAATAACAGGATGGTACTGGCGATCAGTTACATTTTTTCACATATTTGGCACATTTACTGTAGCACCGGTGTTAAGCAGGTGCACAAAATTAAATAATGAAAAAGCATTTCAAGCAACTAGTCGGGGCTCTTGGGAATTGCATTATCAAGGAAAGAGTAGACCTTTAAATGGACAAAAAAGGGGTCTGAACATGGACAGTACAGATGTACAAAGTGTCTCTTAAAAAAAAATAGGAATTCTTTTTTTGTTGCAAAAAATTAACTGTATGCACCACCAATTGCTGTCTCTGCCCAAAAGTGGCGCTAGCAGTCCGGACCATATGTCAAAGTGTCGGTGCTTGATGTTATTTGGTTCAAACGTCATAAAACAATTTTCGTAAATTTGCAATGGAAAAATGGCAGCCGACTATGCCCACGAACACGTGAAGCTGAATGGCATTGGCCGCCAAGAACGGGTCTCATTTTTCCATTTTAATTTTCAGAAAATCACTCGGGAGTGAGATAATGGTTAGTTCTGACCCATTTGGGTGGAATCTGAGCTTTTAACGTAGCATAGGTAGTTTTGGTAAAGAAAACACCATCAAATTATTTTGGGTGCGCAGTGTGGGTTCATAGTCAATCACTCAAAGGGCTGCTTGCATGCCGTCCATTTAAGAAATCGCACAACCCTCTCGCAGCTCTTGACCACGTTGTCGATCACCAAGAGATCTGGGACCGACGCCAAGCAGGGAGGCTGCTGAGGTTAAATCCCGTCGTCTGGAGGGCCGTCTGCTTCGACCAGTCTGCCGACGTCTCCTCGCACCGAAGAGCCATAGACAGGAAGTGGCGATAGAAGCAGATTGCAAGCCTTTCATCAACAACAGAAGTCGGCGTGGAAGTGGCAGCCTTCCGGCGATGGGGAAAAAACCGTGTTTTGTCGGGTATCACTGCGCAGCTTCTCGCACTTGCGAGACAAACGACGGCTGTGCCGCGAAACCCAGAATTTGGGAGCGGCCGGTTCGATGTTGCTGCAGCAGTCGTTCCCTCAAGCTCAATCGCAAGATTGCTTGTTTTTTTAAACTGTGCAGAGCTTGTTTCTTTGTAGTGTTATGCGCTTTGCAATAAATATTTATTGAGCTCTTATCATTCTAGTTACATCCCAATTTTACTGCGGCTACGACTTGATATCGAGGGGCCAGGTGGCCCAATGGTGGCATCTAGCACAGACTACTGTAGGTAAAGACTACATGTTGATCAGACTGCATTCAAAGCTGAGCAATCTCTCTGGTAGCCATCGTGAATTTTTTATGGATGTATACCATATACACGGACATTGCAAGTAAAATGTGCCATTCAAAAGGAATTCTTGCAAGATCTCATGCGAATTACAAAGTGATCGGGTAAGGCGTTCCAAAGCACTTGATCCGACTTTTGAGCCTATGCCTCTTACCTCCATGTGATGGAATGATGCAAGCAGTGATGGAATTATTGCGCTGCCATGCTGGCCATGTCATCATCTGCAAGTTCAGACGATGACATGGCCATGCTGACCATGTCATCATCTGAACTTGCAGATGATGTCGATGATGTCGGAGCTCGAGAGGACGCTTAATCTTCGATAGCTAAACATATAAACCCACTCATTCTCAAGCCATGCAAGCCTGCCTGCATGGCCTAGTGGCTAGCATGTCTGGCTCGCAACCTAGGTCATAAATTGGAATCCTGCCGCCGCCTAAAATTCTTTTTGAATTTTTTCTTTAAGGCAAATGTATTGCTTTATAGCAGGGGTTCTCAAACTGGGTTCTGGGGAACACAGGGGTTTCACGAGCTGGTCTCATGGGTTCCATGAACACCCAATTTGCAACCCCCCCCCCCATGCTGCAGGCTGCGCGGCAGGACCATGCAAAGCACCTTCATCTCATTTTGTACTGACATTGCAATTGATATGGTGGGGATATATGGGAAGCAACACAAGCAAAATTGCCTACAATTATGCATCTGTTGCTTCTCGGTGGGCAAATATGGAGGAAGTGGGGGGGGGGGGGGGGGGGGGGGGGGGGTTCCGCGGCAGTTTTTGAGGCTTCCTGTGGTTCCGCGAAGCCAAAAAGTTTGAGAACCCCTGCTTTATAGAGTGAAATCATTTCAGACATGCAGTGACCTTGAATTTACATTACACGTCACGTTTTAGTCACTTTCATTCCACGTGAGCATTTGAAATTCCCACGCGAGTTTGTGTGGCTGGGATGTTGACCCTATCGACCAATCAGGATTTTTCCATTCCACGCCAACGACACTTCTGCGACACAAGCTCCTTAAAGCTATCACTTTCAAATTAATAAAATGGTGGTATAGCGGTAGCTCTAAAACAGAACCAACGTCTCGTACTCCCGATGAGATCTCTCAATCATCATCTCCGCCACATGCCTCTACACCTTGACACAACCGCTGCTCCCATCAACCTTCACCACCTTGCACAGGCACGCATGCATCAAACTTCTCTGCATCGCATTGGTGCGTTGGGGGAAGTGACTTGTGCGGCCTAACACCTGTGGGTTAGCACGATGGGCTCAGAAATTATGCGCTGTACTATTACAAATCACTTTTTTTTCTTGATTGTAGGTTGACTTAATTTCAAAGAACAGTGCCAACAAAAAAAAGGAAACAAGAAATGCACTTATATTTGAACAAGTAAACAAGGTAGTTTCCATTGAGCAGTTTACTCTAGCCTGGGGTCAGCCAGTACGATGATCATCCAGATGGAAATGGGCGGGGTGGGGATGGAACCGAAGTTCCCTGGATTCTGCAGTACGAGGTTTTTCTCCACGTGCTCCAAGCTGGTGTGCACTAGCCCACTCTGCCACCGATCCCTTCCACATATGTTTATTGATTTTACTATGCACATAAAAGAGGGAGTGGGAGAAGCGTGAAGTATTTTGCTATAATTTATTTTCAATCTTTATTTTTCTTAATTTCTATTGTAAACAGAACCTACTTTGACCCGAGCATTCTAAAATACAGTTGTGTGTCATGTGCTTTTCATGACTATTTGTATAATTACAAAAGGTAGCAAGTAAAACATTTGTATATCAAAGCTGAACCCTGCATTATTATTGAAGATTGGCCCTTTTAGCAGTGCAATAATTTAATTTTAAAGGGATGTGCTAACACACATTAGGATTTGCTCCAAAAAAAACACATGACTGCTCCAAGCAAAATGTTGCTTCCATCACCATGCAAGCCTTTTAACCCCAATGCACAAGTTCTCAAACCTCTACCTAGGAACCCAGAGGCTTCGCATTCCCAAAGTTCTCAAATTTCCTCGGTCAATCCAGCCTTTGATGTTGCTGGCATCCCCAAAAACACTATAGTGGTTTTGACATTGGTGCTCAGAAGTTTTTTCCATAAAACAGATGAAAAATAAACCTAACGTGCAAAGACATAAAACGCATAAGTAGCACATCAAGAGCCAGAGTTATAATAAATCATTGCAGGTACATTCCGGTATTTAGAGAGAGAAATAAGTATTCTGGTTTAATAAGCAATACAAACTAAAACCAGAGGAGGATCCAATGCTTTAGAAGTGATTTAGGAATATGGCTACACTTGTTACATGCTTTTATGAAACTGAAACAGCATGCACACCAACATTAAATATATGCATTCATCACCACGTGCACGATGCAGCATTGGAAGCGTTCAAGCCAGAACTTGGCAGAGTTTGGGATAACTGGTGGTGAACTAAACCCTAAGGGGGCCTCAGACTCCAGCATTAGCCTCTAGTACCAACAAACCTCTGAATTACATGAAAAAAAAAAAAAGTAACACTTCTTGGGACAAGGATCATGTGATGGGCTAGTTGGTTATACATTACAAATTTAAAAGTAGCGCTAAAGACAAGGACAAGTAGAAGACACGGACACGGACAGGCGCCGACTCATAACCGATACTTAGTGAAGAGTAAAAGGAAGATAAAACAGAAGTGCAAGGACATATATATACAAAATGAAAAAGAAGACTAAACAAAATGAAAGAAAGCAACAATTATTTTTGACTTCAAAATTAGGAAATAAGAAAAAAGTATGGTAAAAATTAAAATCTTGGGACAGTTTTTTGTGTAGTCACCTACTTGTACTGGGCAATTGCAGAGCAAGGCAGTGAGCTTTCACAACGATAAAAACTTACATTATGCCTAGTAAAACGTTAATACTCACACCATGCAACCTTTGTGTTGTTAAATATCTATTAATGCACTGCATTCTGTTCAGAAGGCAGACTCAGCAATGCGGACATGCTTAAAAAAATTACAAGTTTCAGAACTGTTGGCGTAGAGCACTCCACCAGAAGGCACTCCACGAATCCATCGTCGCATGCTGCAATACAACACTAGTGGCTTGCTCTGGCCATAGCTTTCAGATTGTGAAGTTTCACTGAACCAAAGCAAGCAAAGATACAGCCAAAGGTAGTCTTGAGAGCAAGGAAGAATTTCGCTTTTGTATCTTACTGCCCTTGATAAGCACGAAACAAGAGTGAATTTCCCCATTGCTCTCAAAACCTCCTCAATGGGCCAGTGCCAACCAAGGTGGCACTGCCACATAGGAGCGAGCCCGCTCAGGCGAAGCGTGCCAGGAGACTCGACTTGTTTTAGAAAGACTACATAAATGACGAACACTAAGACTTTTCATTAAAAAAAATACAAAGCAAAAAAAAAAAAAAAAGGTGCGGACACGGTTGTTACAGATTAGATGCACCCTCCGCATCTTTGGAGGGTTCTTCGTCCTCGGGAAAGAACACCTTCTCGGCCATTTTGAGCATGGCCTTGTGTCTCGCAAAGACTCGCTGGGAGTTCAGTCTTGTCTCGGCCACTTTGTCCGCCAAGGACTGCCGAACCTTTTTCGCTTCGTCCTGGACTTGACGGATTTCAGCATCCAAGCCTGCCACCTGAGCAGAGATCGGACAGTGTAAAACACAGCATGCAAGGAGACAAACACGGCATGTCCCCCTAAAAAATTTACAGGGTTTGTTTTTTTTTCACCCGGGAAATAAACTGTGCATCGCCGAACACTCAGACTTTGCCCAACTGTAGCGCTAGTGGCCCGAACGATTTAGTTGGCAGTCACCTCGTTTCTACTTGTTTTCTCTCTCTGTTACTGCTTCACAGCGCACAAGATCAGCAGCGTGAGTGTTCTTCCTGTGTATGCGTGAAATTACTTTTAATTTTAAGTGTGTCTGATCTTGTGCGCTGTGAAGCAGTATCATGAATCACCAACTCGCCCAAGCTGAAGTTCTGTCCAATTCTCTCTCTGTATTTCGGGTGCGCGGAGGAGATGTGGATTGGCTTCGCGACCGAAATAGTCATTCCGGAATGACCGGAGACATCGTGAACTTCGCGTGCAGAATTTCAAATAAACCTCTCGCCGTCAATATTGCTCTAAAAATTATTTTTTTCGCTCAAAATTTATTTTTTGACACGCAAGTCTCAACCAGATTGTTCAAAAAAAAAAAAAAAAAGTTTCTTTTCAGGGGTTTTTCAAGTGGAAAAAAAGGGCCCTTTCTTGGGAAATGACAACGTTCATCCCCACATAGCTGCCATTTACCCACTGCCAATTTCAGAAAATTGCTTACAACCATTAAAAAAGATAGTTCTGGAGCTCTGGCGCCTGGGTCCGGACTGCTAGCGCCACATTTGAGCAAAGGCTGAAAACGGCAATATGTTTGTTTTTGTGGCGAAAAATATTCCGTAAATTATTTTTGAGGCGTCCCATGCACAAGCAGAGGGACACCGTGCAACAGAAACCTTTATGCTGTCCGATCACAGTCGTACCAAGGCAGCAAACATTAGGATGTGCACTAAACGAGACGCGGGTTTCTCCAGTGCAAACCGACACGAAGGGGCATTGCATTCATCTGATTTCGCCTAAAATTAGTAATATAGGATTTGGGGGCCCGCAGAAGAAGATGCCCAAATATGGCAAAGCAACCTGCACACTTGTGCGAATTTCGTAGGAAGAGTGAAAAATGCACCCTTTGCAGTTCACAACCAGAATGGAACATCCAAGAGCAAACTGCCGTATGTTGCATGGTGCCAAGTGCAAGCAGCCTTTGTTGCGCAGGATACAGCAGAGGTTTTCTCTTCGGCTCTCAACTTGACAAAGAGGAAACGTGTCACATATTGAGGAGGGAGGGGAGGCATGAGCGTTGCCTATTTTGGCACAAAAAGCAGAGCACATGGAACTCTTTTCCTGTTGGCCTAAAGACTGTGGGGACACTTTTTGTCCACGCCCACTTCCGTGACGTTACGCCACCTCCTGCCCATTATAACCTCCTTGCCTACTATAAAATGGCGGCCAGCTGGCAGTGCCAGACCTCGGAATCCTTGGAGCAGACCACCTCTTGGCGCTCGAGATGGAGCTCCTCGAGGCGCTGCTTCGCTTGGGCCAACTGCTCCTTCTTGAAACTGAGCTGGGACTGCATGGCCTGGTGCTGGAACGCTGTCTGGCCGTTCAGCTGGCTTTTCTTTTCGGCCACTGCCTCCCTCTCCTTCAGCAGGCGGTGGTATTTGTCCTCCGCACTCTTCCTGCGTTCAAAAGCACGGGCAAATCGGGGCAAGAACAGCTTCTTCCCGCCGCTGTCACTTTGTCAATAATTACAGTTACGGGCAGTGTTACCAAAGGTACGAGGACGAGATCATAACTCAAGCAGTTGGAGAGGGGACAACTTTCTCGGGTTCTGCTATAATCGGGGACGACATTCTGTGGCAATGCAGTCAAAGGTATGGGAACACGTGTGCTCACGCGCCTCGAGCTGCACCCAAGGCTGCGCATGCGCACTCCTCCTCTTTTCGGAAAGCCCGTGGAACTTTCCCCTCGATAAAACAAAGCAGAGAATACAAAAGCGTAGACCTGCCTTTAAAATGCTCCCCTAAAGAAAACAAAACAAAATTAACATTTGGTTAGTTATTACTGATATAGAATTATGCTTAAAGGCTTATTTACACATATGTGTTTAGCGTGTTGCGCGATCTCTCGCAACTGCTTACGACGAGGGCACACGAACACCATCTGTCAGGCAGCCCCGGAGCACGTCTAAAAAAGTCAAATTTGGGGGTTTTACGTGGCAAACCTAAAACGGGCATCTGGCACGCTCCAGCGAAGGACTGAGGATTAATTTCGACCACCTGGGGATCTTTTGACGTGCAACCGAAAGCTCGGTTACACGGCGCCTTCTCCGCAATAAGTTTCCGTCAGATTGCGGGCACCTCGGTCGGGATTCGAACCCGCCACCTGGGGATCCATAGGCCGGCGCTCTTGCCTCGGAGCCACCGAGGCGGCTCCGGAGCACGTCTAGTCCACAGACAAGGTTTTGCAGTTTTTGCGAGATCAAATCTATGCATTACATACGAGCAATGGTTGCCTCTAACATTGTCAGAATTATTTCGTGACCACGGTAAGTGAATGATGCATAAAAAAAATTAGATTGTACGAGCATAAGGGAAACATTTATTTAGCCACGAGATTACGGGGGGCAGTTGCGCTGCGGCAGGGCAGAAAATATATACTAGGCAAAATGGAAGCGCCAGTACGTCCTCTGGTCGCAGCTGGCTGGAAGCGAGTGCAGCACAATCAATATGTGAACCAACCTCAAAACAACACCGATAGAGAAGAGCGCTTTTTAAGCAAGCTCCGGATGTTCCCAAGGACGTTACGAGTCTCACCGAACTCAGACGTTACGAGTCTCACCCACCTCCGACGTTACAAGTCGCAGCAAACTCGTCGCAAGACAACCGCCCAGGCCGCCACGGCGGTTTTAGGACACCAAGTGCAGTGCGACGGAGGGCTATAAAAAAAGACGGAGTACGGGACGGACCTGCGCGCAGACGCGTTGTCCTTGTCCTGCACCAATGACTCCAGACGCTGCGCAACGGCCAGGCTGGAGTGCAGCTGGGTCTTGAGTTTGGTCAAGGCCTCTCGCTCTCTCGGAGCCTTCTGCATCTTGCGGCGCAACTCCTCTACCCTGGTTTGCAGATGACAATGCTCCTCCTGCAGCTGAGACGCTGTCTCCGCTTCCTCAGCCAAGCACCATCGCTGCCGCTCTGGCGAATGGCAGATTCTGGCTTGGACGTCGTGCACTGCAGACCTCAGGTCGAGGACCTCCACCTCACTGCAGAGAATGCACAGGGTGTGGCAGACCGCGAGATCACAGACCCTTTTCGAAGTTCACTATGGCAACTTATGAGAATCCCAATCGTCACCGCGGGTAGGTGGCGCAAGCTACCGCCCGTTATAAAGGGTACAGTCGTTAGCATCCATCCATCCATCTATGTATGACATCTGCGCCAAACTAATGGCAGCCTTCTTGAGCCTGGTGAAGGAAGAAAGAAGATACTACCACAAGCCGAGGACATACGAGGCCTGAATGTTCAATATGTCATTGTGCTACACCACTCTCTTACCACAAAAAACTTGGCTCTAAAGGCTTTCGTTGGCAGATATTTAACCGAGGGACTTGTGGGTCGCCACTTTGTACTGGTCAATTCTTATGTTCACACCAATGAAACTGAAACAAATCGAAACAGGATTTTGAGGTGATCAAAGGAGCAATTCTCATATGCCACGATGTAAAACTTGACTAAAACAGAAGAGCAACTGAACGACTGCCATTTAGGTTGGTCACTTGCCTGCTTGCATGAATTTGTACAAAAGGTCATATCAAAGCGACATTCTCATGCAGTATTGGCACGGAAAGCCGCAAACATACACGAGAAAAATTGCCTCATTACGCGTCGCTGCAGGCCTCAGACATGGGCGAATGACCCTTCTTTGTTGTCACAACCCCTCAGCATTGAATTAAGATTATTATTATGTTTGTGCCGTGTTTACCCAACAGTTCATTTCTTTGAAAAATGCTTGAAAGGAGGCATTGTGAAGGTCCCTTAGGCACTGTATGTTGGTGGAAAATAGGAAATGGGACAATATGCCGAATAACTGAGGTAGCCAGAGCTCCGGTTGGAAGGACTAGTGGGGAGACCTCAAGCAGGCTCCACTGCACTCATTAAACGCTTTAGAACGCGGAACGCCGGCGTCCGCCATTTGCCTTTCGCATTCGGACGCGTTCGACGAGTGTAGTGGAAACAAAGGCAGGCAGCTTTTGGGTCTAGCGGCTTAGCCACTAATCATGCGAACCAGAACTCGGCATTCTCGTGTCAGTACTCGTCAACTGAATAGATAGGAGCGACGAAAACAAACCTTTTCTTCAGCTGCTCGGTCACCTGGCATTTGGCACTTTTTAAGTTCTTGTAGTCGTTCATCACAACCGCCTGCTTTGGCTCCTTGGTCGCCAGCGCCTTGTTTTCGGCCACGAGCTCCCCTTGCGCTGCCGCCAGCCTCTCCGGGTTGATGCCGGGATGCTGGGACAGCTGGTTGACCTTGGCCTTGACCGCGTCCAGCTGGGCTCTTTTGGCTTCGCGGTCAGTTTTCGCGGCGGCGAGGCCCACCTCGATGTCTGACCACATGTTCCACTGCCGACCCAGTCGCACCCAGAAGTTGCAGAGTATCGAGAGCAGCTTACGACTGCGCTTCGGCTCCGGGTCGCTGATGTCGGATAGGCCGAAGTCGGGGACGCCCAGCTTCGTAAAGACCACCTGCATCAGTTTGTTGAGGTGTAATGTTGGCACGAAGCTGCTCACGTGTGCCGGCACGAGGAATTGGGACATTTCGAAGGCGGTCTCGTTCAGGCCCGCCTCCTTGAAAACGCCGTAGAAGACTTTCGTCATAAATTCGCTCGTCGGGGCTTCGACTTCTCGTCGGGTCACCTTGTCGTTGAGCATTTCACTTAGCAAGGCTGCAAGGCGTTCGTGGCTATCCGCAGCTCGTGCCATTTTCGCGGTCATGACGTTTACGACGACGACACGACAATGACTGCCCGATGGCCCGATCTGCCAGATTGTCTTCGCGCGCGCAGCAAGATATCTTGGCTTGGATTGGATTACACGTTGAGTTTGTCTGCATGTAAAACCAAAACTGCTGCTTCTAAAGCTTGTAAGTTACATTTCTATAATGGCTACACCTTTCAGTATTTGGAACGAATATTTCTACCAAAATTGAAGGGTAAGCGCCTTGATGTTGGCTATAAACTCGCTCGGAAAAATATTATGACCTCCGCAAGTCATAACGTCACAGCATGGCAACGTTGGCCACCGATTCGAAGTACATAGGGCGTGGCCACTGATGTCACAGACGTTAGAATAAGTTATTTTGACATCCGTAACGTCACAGTGGTTTATATTTGTTTTGTTCTTTTTTTGACAAAAAAAACACAAAAAAAAAACATGGCGTGCAACGTTGGTCGGGCGCTCGGCGACTCGGCTGACTCGGCGGTGTCCGCACTGGTGTGTGTTGTCGACGTGCAGCCTGTGCTCGTCGCGTTCCTGGCTTTCATTTTCGAATTTCGCCCTGTGCCGAGAAAAGAATTATGTGGCTCGGAGTTGGTTTTGGAGGAGATCGTTGCCCTCCCTACTCTCCAGGGTTAAAATTGAGAGTTTTAGTAGACCGTTTTCGGTTTCCCGCTCCGCTCTATGGAAAGCGGAGTCGCCATCGCGCATGCGCGACCCGCTCTGGGATTTGAGCGTGTAGCGTCAGTACGTTCCACTCTCATGGCGAATTCCACTGGTCGTTTTGGAGCGCGCCGGGATCGACTTTTCTGGAGCGAGCCTATTTCACCGGGCGATCGGGATTGAGACAGACATGTTTCACTGGTCGTTTTGGATTAGCTCCCGCTCGAGATCTTGATCTGGATCCGATGGCGAATTCCACTGGGCGTTTTGGAGCGCGCCGGGATCAATTGACCAGATCCGGAATGGAGCTCACAATCCGAACGGGGTCGCGCCGGCGATGGATCCCCATGTGGAACAGGACCACTTCTCCGGGATCGGCACTTGCCTTCATGTCATTCGACTGCCGGGGAATCCCCTTTCCGCGGCCGCCGCGGTCGTTTCGAAGACGTTTTCGCAATCGCGGTGCTAACACGTGTTAAGGCCGGTTCAGACACTTGCGTTTGAGTGCGTTTGACTGCGTTGCGTCGAGAACCGAGAGCGAGTCACGGGCATATCTGTGCTTCGTATGAAGCGTTGAATCCAATTCAAGGAATCACTGTGGCACGCGATATAAGCAGCAGGTATGTCCTGGTTTCTTGCAGCCGCAACGCAGTCAAACGCAGTCAAACGCAACTGTCTGAACCAGGCTTTAGACGCACGAGCGGCAGGAATGGCTCAGGAGCTTCTAGCAAAATTGCCGGAATGCCCGTAGCGCGGCAAAACCTTCTCTTCTTTTTCCTGGAAAACGAACCGGCTGTCGAGCCAAGAGGTAAAGGCCCTGTCACACTGAGGGGACTGTTGGACAACTCTATCCGGCAACACGAGGAAGTCGTGTTGCCGGCGACCCTGTCACATCGCGGCAACAACAACAGTCGGGCAACATGTTGCTGCCGCCAGGCAGCAGTTTTGCCCGATTTGTTGTCCGACAACCCTGTCACACCGTGCTGACGGCGAGGACAACACGGGGAACACTCCGCCATCTTGATTGTTTACCTTCGTTCGTGTGCGGCGCGGAATCGCTGGAAATGTGACTCTACAAAGCGCTAGTGCGTCCGAAGGGCCGGGAATTACCACGGTACGACATCAACCAGTGGCTGTAATTAGAAAACTTGACACCGGGAGTATTTTCCGCTCTTTATTTTATCGAGATGTTCTTCACTCGCTGACAAAGCAGATAGCCCTAACCGAGGAAAGTGACATCGCTGATATATGTTCGGCATTTACGCCACCGTATGAAGTGTTTCTGTCCGGTTCTTTCATGCGATTCCTATTTCTACTGTGAAATTGCGTTAGCACCGGCAGTACCCCAAACCGTCTTTTGTAACGTAGTGTTGAGCTGAACTGACAGTGCTTCAAAACTGCGACACCGACACCATCGGCCTTCATAACAATTGGTGGAATGAATATTTTTCAACGCTGTCTACTTGTCCACCGCCTGCTATGTGATCGATTCATTCCCCCAGAACGTCTTGGTTTTTTTTTTTAACAAATCAGGTGTCTGGGGTGCTATGTTGCGCTTTTTGCACTCCCAGGAGACTTGGAAGAGGGAAGTGACGTCAACGACACAGCATATGCAGATTGGATGTTGACAGAAGAAAACGAAATCAACACCCAATCTGCGTTTGCTGTGTCGTTGACGTCACTTCCCTCTCCCTAGTCTCCTGGCAGTCCAAAAAGCGCAACATAGCCCCCCTGGTAGCGGCTGGTTCCAAGTTCCAAGCTTCAACGTTTTCGAGATCGCGGCGCTAACACGTGTTCGACGCTCGAGCGGCAGGAATGGCTCAGGAGCGTCTAGCAAAGATTGCCGGAATGCCCGTAGCGCGGCGAAACCTTCTCTTCTCTTCTCCTTCCTGCAAAACGAACCGGCTGTCGAGCCAAGGGGTAAGCAAGCGGCCATTACTATTTCTTCTGAGGCGAGATCAGGCGAGATGCCCGCGAAAAAGGAAGTCACGTGTATACGCGAGGGCTGACCCGGCTGGCTTCCGGTTGAATCCGCCGAAATCGGGGGAGCGACTTTTCTCGGATCCAGATCGAGATCTGGAGCGGGAGCTAATCCAAAACGACCAGTGGAACAAGTTCGTCTCGATCCCGATCGCCCAGTGAAATAGGCTTGCTCCGGAAAAATCGATCCCGGCGGGCTCCAAAACGACCCGTGAAATTCGCCACGAGAAAAGTCGCTCCTACGATTCCGGAGCCCTCGGCGCACACACGTGACTTCCTTTCTCGTGGGGCATCTCGCCCATCTCGCCTCAGAAGAAGAAGAAGCATGTCGCGGGCTCGGCTCCTAGATTGTCTCGACATCAGAAGAATTCGTAATGGCCGCTTGCTTAACCCTTGGCACGAAAGCCGGTTCGTTTTCCAGGAGGGAGAAGAGAAGGTATTTGCCGAGCTACGGGCATTCCGGTAATCTTTGCTAGAAGCGCTTGAGCCATTCCTGCCACTCGTGCGTGGAACACGTGTTTGCTCCGGGTAGCGAAAACGTCTTCGAAACGACCGCGGCGGCCGCGAAAAGGGGATTCCCGGGCAGTTGAATGACGGGAAGGCATCCGCCGACCCCAAGCAGTGGTCATGTTCCACTGAGGATCCGTAGGCGGCGCGACCCCGTTCGGATCTTGTGCTCCAATCCGGATCTGGTCAACTGATCCCGGCGCGCTCCAAAACGCTCAGTGGAATTCGCCATCAGTAAAGGTTCACTAGATGGTGCTTTTCTGGAAAGGTGGGTGCTCGCTATTTGAAATCATGCTTGGGAGCGCGCTTGACCGTTATGAACCTCGCTGCACTAAGAAGCTGCGCAGATTTTGTTTGAAAAGGCGTCCCCCAGAAAACGTTTCAGGGTGGTCAAGAACCTCTGGCTGCTTCAAGAAATCGCTAGCCGCAATCCTTTCACGGAGGTGCTGCCTTGTCTAAGCCAGCGGGCTCGATTTTTCTTTGCGAGATGACGACGACGATGTTGAGAGGATGACACACCGGGCGACGGCGGTGTCTCAATCTGAGCCCTGGGCCTCGGTTCCCGGGAGGCGGCAGCTTCTACTTCGGCTGGACTACCTCCTTGGATCATGATTCTTTGACCCCAGTTGACCCCAGTGAGCAATAGCGCCATTATGTTCCTGGTGCTCCTTCATGCACTGATCGAACGGCGTGCAAGATCCTCATAGCTCGCTGCTCACCCGCCCAACCCGCCTCCACGAAGTCTGGACTTCTGCGAATCGGACTGCCACCCTCCCCAATACCAACAACGGGTCCATATCACAAGAGCGAATGACATTTTAGCGAACGGCGACATTTGAGCGAATGGTCGTTTTAGCGAATAACGGGGGCGCGCGTTAACCCATCCGTCGCGCTGCGCTTTACGCCGCTTCGCGGAGACAGTCTGCGGCAACTCATTACAATAATATAAACTCACTTGGCCCACCCGAAAACGCCGCTTCGCGGCGTCCGACTATTCGCTAAAGTGTCGTTCGATGAAACGTGGGCGTTCGCTAAAACGTCATTCGATCAAGTGAGTGCCTCCCACCAACAACCCATGTCGTCGACTCGTCGTCATCTTGCACGTATATACTCATCACATTACCATGTTCCCTAGACGCGGCACCGCGGGTATGGTGCCGGGATCGCGTCTTCAACTGGTGTGTTTAGCGTCCTATCCCGCCCATACATCAAAAGTGGTCCCAATGTGGCAACAAATGACGCGAGTGTCATGCTGTTGCCTGTCGCGATCCTGGCGGTTGGCCGTAGAAATGCTGACGAAAAGCACGAGCGAACGCGAGTGTCGCTTTAGTCACGACGTCCCTTTAGGCGTCCCAACTTCCGGCTGCTGTAGCTTCCGTGAACTGTCACAGTGGAAAGCGACCTGCAGCAGAACAGGCGTCTGCCACTTACACCACAACTGTTGGGGCGCCGCCAGGGTCGCAACAGGCGACAGCATGACACTTCTATGACGTCATCAGGCGGAAATCGAGGGACCACTTTTTTGAACCCGGTAAACACACCAGTCGGAGACGCGTTCCAGGCACCATACCGCGGGCCTCGGTGGTACGGGCTGCTTCCTTTCCGCGGTGCCGCGGCTCTCCAGAGCCAAAAATTAAAGGTTAAAGACCAAAGACTAAAGCAGTCGGCAAACGAACAGATATTTTGTTTGGTTACTTCAGGCAGCAAGACAGTGAAAATTAGCGAAAGCGAGTACTCCATTTATATCTACTTTTTTCCCCCAATGAAATAAGTCTTTTCTTCTTCGTATGCTTCGGTTTGTGATATGGTGCCTTGGTGTTTATGTACACTGCGCGACACTGTTAGCGGGAGCATTGAATATCCTGTTTTCATTTTTCACCTTAAATTCGAGGGACTGACATTTGCCTATTGGTGTGGAATAAAGCGCTCGTTTGGGGCCCTAATCTGAGCGACAAATTTTTAGCTTTTTC